CGTATCGGCGCCGGCATGCTGACGGCCCACGGCAGTTGCCCCCATGCTTACGGAACTACAGTGTTTTCCTGTACAGTCGACCTGGGTCGGTTGGTGTTTCTGTGGGCCTCGAGCTCCAAGACTCTGGAACGCCCTTGCCTTGCTAGGATTGTTCATGGGGCCTGTCACTCTCACCACGAGAGCCCCCAAGATGCCAGGTTCATCAGCTTGGAATTCACGTGATGATGCTTGCACCCGCGTGTCTTGGAACCCGCCCCCACATGTCCCTGACTCCCCTGCAGACCAGATATGATAGCCACGCGTAGTGACGGGAGCTTCCTCAAAATGTCTTGCTCATCAGTTTATAAACTGAGGAGGCCTCGCGGCTTTCCCGTAAAGATTGCTTGCTACAGCGGTAAACCTGCACAGAAGCAAACATTCAACCACCAGCCGAGGTCGGGTGTTGTCAAACTTTGTTCCAAGCTGCCAATCGCCGGGGCAGGGTGCTCGCGATCAGCACACGTTACGGCTGTGGCAGCCCGATCGTTTCGTCTTCTCGTTGTCGTTACGAGGAGGAATAATACAGGGCCAACGTATGTCAAGGCGGGTTAAAAGGAAGGATCTCCAACTTGGAGCACCGCCTGTCTTGGACACCTGGGTGTATCGATTTCAATAAGCGACGACATTGATGACCATCGCAGAATGCAGACTTTAGAACCCATAGCTCTGGCTCTTGCCTATGTGGGGCTTCATCTCCAAGACCCTAGCCCGGATGGCGTCCCGCGCGAACTGGTGGCTCCCACTTTAAAAATCCCTGTCCTCAAAATGTGATGTGAAAAGAATCCTGCAAATCAAACTATACGAGTGGAACGCTTAAAAAGTAGCACGCCTGCCTAGGAGCCCTCTCTCTTTTCTTTTCCCTCTTTTCGCATGCCCTGACGAGGGTCATCGCCGTCATCTGGGGCCTTCCATGTGCTGATTCTACACACTGTCGTGTAACTCCCGGTCAGTGCCTTCCCGCAGCTCATCCCGGCACCCCTGCCTGTCGCATGACCAGGCTCCTTCGATCCGAACTGGTCTGGATATCGCAGTCTTCGAAAACTACGAGACCTCCAACAGCCTCTCAGTCAGACAACATTAGAACGCGATATCCGTTGCGAGGACCTGCGCGATCTTTCGTGTCAGCCTTGCGTACGTCTCATAGTGGTCGTTCATATCGCTGACCTTCCTACCCACGATACTAGCTGTCTCGTTTCCTGCAATTCATCGACTGTCACTTTTTTTGTTCACCCCGACGCCGCGTCGAGATCGCGTTGAACATTATCGACCACGAACCGAAGCAGTCGACCACCAACAATTGCGCGGTTCCTGTAACACGGCCTGCTGTTGAATCTCCCGACGCTTTCTCCGCTTTCCCGACCTACAACCGGCATACGTGTATTTGTACTCTCGACCCTCTCATAGCTCGCGCTGTTATCCGTCATCGATCCTGCAAATTCAAAGGGCTGGTTGCCGAGAAGGAATACTCGCCAGGCACAAGCTACAAGAGTCGTCAATCGACAAAATTGCAACGCAAAGGTACGCTGGTCAGCGACCTGCACCTGGCGTGCCCTTCACCTGTTGCCCAATCCATCCGTCAACCCGGTCACTAGCCATCTTCAACATCTTCCGTCAACCCATGCTGTCGGCTTGTGTCTAACTCTTTGCGCCACGCAACGCTCATTAGGCGCGCTTCTTCGAGCATTTCCATTTTCGAACCCAATAGGTATGTGCGGCCGTTTTCCGCTCTTCCAATTCCCGTCGGGTTCCTATCACAGTGCATGGCGCTAGCAAATCAGCTTAAGGCACCTCGGAAATGATGCCAGGGTCTGGGTGCCACAGCCAGCTTGATCCCGTTCCAATCTCGGCAGTGTTCCACCCTAGTCCTCGCATAACACCGCGCAATTCAGCATGCTACCTTGCTGATGCGGTACTGCGTCGCGGGTTTATTATTTCGGATCTTGTCGTCTGTACTTCTGGTTTTGTTTTCGCGGCGCTGACGATTTGTCCCGGTATTCTTGCAGGCTCCCTACGCGCGTCTACCCGTCCGCCGCGATCAAACACTCGAAACCGGCATTGAGGAGACACCTGGCGATTTGTGGAGAAGGAACCAGCGGTTGTCCCCGTCAGAGCCCTGAATGCCCTTCATCTGTAAGTCGCCTGTTGTTATCGACGATTCGCATCCGTCTGATGCATGCATCGGGATGCGTCGCATGGAGTCAAGCGACTCTATCGCGCCTCTGCACCACGCTTGGCTGCTGTGGCGGCGGGAGCACACGGGGTTTCGGCTGTGAACCTGGTTTGCCTGGTCACCTTGGGTGTGATCTACTGCGGGCGCATCCTTCAATGCCGCGGTTCGCTGTCCACAAGACAAAACACCCCAGGTCCCCAGCCGACCAAGGCATCATTCCTTACCGTTTACGTTTTGCCCCTACCCAAGAGTTTGCCGACTGACTGGTAAAAAAAAAAAAAGGAGAAGAAAAGGAACAGAGGCAGCTACAGCGCAGACAGCTATCGACATTCTCTATGGGCTTAATGACAATGGCTCAACACCGGCAGGCGTCTCGCCATTTTAAGGAAGAGCCCGGTCATGACTCGGTGAGTGCCATTTTCACTCGTTGTTTTTCATGCGAATAAATTCCGTTCGCCCGCCGTCGCTCCGTCTTTACTTGGTCTTCTCAAAGCGGCCTGCTTGGCGCGGTAGTACCGTTGACGAGGCAAGCCGATTGGCAATGAGTCCATTCAAATACATCCGTGCTCGTACGGCTTGCTCGGGATAAGTTTATCTTGGGAGTAGGACAGCTACATCGTGGAGGCCACGAACAAAAAAAGGCCCCTGGCTCCCGCTTTTGCGATTTCCCTTGTTGGACAACCAGGCCTGGCTTCGCAGTTGTTCCAGAAAACTGCATGCCGCTGCCGCATCCTTGACTGGGGAGATGCACCCTGGGATTGCAAGGGGGCAAACTGTTTCACCAGCAGCCAGGGCTTCGGTAACCTGCGACAGGGGGCAGTGCCGGTGAGCGAAGCGCGCTTCCGCTCTTGAGAGGGACACTGCTTGCCCTGACAATGAGCCCATACAGACCCTTTTATGGCTCGCTCTGATGTAGCGCCCAACGAGCCACTTCCATGCTCGCGCTGTCGCTTTGTCGCGCAAGTCGACGAGCCGGAAAACGCTTCGACCTCCGAAGGAACACTCAGCCAAGCTGGCGGTGGACCTACCGGTAGGTGCGGAGCACGTACCACAGTACACACACGCTTGCTCGTCCAATCGCGCTGTCGCAAGCCAAAGAACCCGGACAGACTTGTTGCTTTTGATTCTGGCCACCCAGTCGGTGGCCACCTGCTCTCAACGGCGACCCACCCCACGCGCTTCCCCCCACCGCTTGTTCAAGCTCTTGGCGACAAGGAGTCGTTGGAACAGCGATCAAGTTCACCTGACCAAACCTCTGTCTGCGCAATTATTCGCACAGGAGTTGAGAGTCAATGTGGCCGCGTTGACGACAGTTGTGCGACGGGGCATCGCCATTCCCACTGTTTCCTCGAGTGCTCGGGCTTGACACACAGGTGTCGGCGGAGAGTCATGTCGCGTCCAGCGAGTGGAGATTGCAGAACTGGAAGGCGAAATTCTAGCGCACTGTGCGCAGTCCTAGCCTGGTTTGCAACGCGTTTTGGTGGAGCCGCTGGCAAATCACAGTTTGTTGTACTGCACGTCCACAGCAGAAATGTTGTCAAAAGCATGACCTCTCGAGTTTCGCCGTCTCATCTCTCGGATCAGAGCAAAAGGCGGCAAAACGGTTCCCAAGTGGGCATGTCGTCCGGAAGCTTCAGAGTGCAGGTTGGGAGCAATTGAATGATATCCAAAAACCTGTCCCTGTTGCCAGGAGCTCTCAAGCGATCTCACTTGGACGACGCACGGGATGATGCTTGAATTGGGGATGTCGCGGGACTTGGGGAACCACTCTTCGGGAAGACCTGCCAAGGGACAAGGGCTGCGGTGTGTGTGGGCTTCTACACCGCCCCTTGTCGCTGGGACCTCTGGCAGATGAGTTGCTCTGGAGCGTTCTGCCTTTCAGTGGCTGGCACCGGGTGGCCATCCCTAGTTGGGCAATTGTCATGTTACCTGGCTCTCAGAATGATCGTCATTGGCCTCTTTATTTCTTGCCCCCCCTTGCAACCTGCCACCCTCCTCCATGGCGGCGGTTGTCCCACCCTCTCTGTCCCACCACACTCGTCGACTTGCCATTCTTTTTCGCTGTGATAAGGGGACGTGGGCTTTGCTTAGTGTGTTCTGGACGAGTGTCTCGCATCAAAAAGGGCATCCTGGTTGGTATCTATATCAGACAACAAGCCGGCCGGGTGATTGTCACTCTACTTTCGCCCCTGGCCACTCTACGTCCAAGCAGTCCTCGCCCCCCAGCCGTTCATTGCTTTGGTTGCCAACCCCGGGATCAGACATACCGGCATTAGGGACGTTGCTCTCTTGATCCGTCCTGGTTCAGTATCACTGTCTGCTGGTCTGTTTGCCTTAAGCTTTGATTGACGGTTAGTGTTTCTGTCCGTTCCCGCCGTCTCCGGCTCCGAGAGTAAAGTTGCTGCTGGCAGAAATATGTCGCCGAGAAAGAGATGTCAAGTGGCAATTTCAGACCTCGGGAGACGTTTCCGAGTCCTTCGTGACTCCACCTGGTGGGTAGTATTGGCTCCCCCTGCTCATGACCAGTTGGCCTGGGTGCCGCGTGGAATTGAGTCTTGTCCTACAAATCCCACCCCAAATCCCCGAAGCTAGCCCGCCTCACCCGTGGATCCGTCGTCTTTTTTTCCAGGGGACCGACAGTACTTCCCGGCTCCCCAGTCCTTGCACGCGCTTCGAAGGAAAGAAAACCACAACATTCCCAGACGCGTCCAGGGCGGATCAGAACACCCACACATACATGGTTTTGGTCTCAAAGAACCCTGTACCGTGAGGACTAATGGTTGTCTCCTCTATGCAGCATCACACCCACCATCAGCAGCAGGGTCCTGTTCCGCCCCATTTGCAACACTCCCGGCCCTCGAGCGTTGTCCACCAGCATCACAGCCAGACCCCGGCACAACCGCAGCCGCCGCAGCCTCCCCAACATTCAAGCGCGTACTCGTACCCTCAGCAGAACCAGGGGGCAAATTCGCAAGACCACGGCCTGCCCTATTACGCCCACGCGAGCCCCTACAGCACGCCAGGTGCGACTAGCGGATACACCTCTGCAGGTCAGTGTTTTGCCTTCCTTGTGCTAGCAACACTCCAACACAATCATCTCAGACGGCATAAGCTAACGCGCCTTCGCAGACACGGGCGATATGATGGCTGCCACGATGCCGAGGCCGTACCCGCCAATCTCGTACCACACTCCGCAGTCGAACTCGCCGGCTTCAGTGGCGTCGCCCTCGGGTCACGACCAGCAGAGAAGCATGTACGCACAACCTCCTTCGCAACTGCACCAGCAGTCGATGTACTATGCTCCGCCTCAACAACAGTATTCATCCATGCCGGCCCAGGCGGGGCAGTCGCCGTACGCGCAACACCCGCAGCACGCGCAACAGTCGCACCAGCCCATGGGTTCGCAGCCGGGCATGATGATGTCGCACACGCCCCCTCAGCACTCCATCAGCCAGCATGCACCGCAGCATCCGCAATCAGGGGTGACAGTCAGCCCGCGTCCGGATACGAAGATCGAGACGCACGGCCTGAACCAGCGGATGCCAGGAACCTCTGCCCCCGTTTCCATGGGGAGCGCCTCGTCAACGAGCCCTCAGAACGGCGCTTTGTCGACACCAACCACGTCAACCGCTGGTGGTGTGAATCCTAATGCCGCTCCTGGCCCGATCCCGGCCACTACGCCGCTAGTGGTTAGGCAGGATACGAACGGCGTCCAGTGGATTGCGTTCGAGTATTCACGGGACCGCGTCAAGATGGAGTACACGATCCGCTGCGACGTCGAATCGGTGAACCAGGACGAGCTGACGGCGGAGTTCAAGGCCGAGAACTGCGTCTACCCTCGCGCTTGCTGCCCCAAGGACCAGTACCGCGGCAACCGGCTGCAATACGAGACGGAGTGCAACTCGGTGGGCTGGGCGCTGGCATCGTTGAACCCACCACTGCGCGGCAAGAGGGGCCTGATTCAGCGGGCCGTGGACAGTTGGCGTAACAGCAACCAGGACCCGCGCCTGAGGAGCCGTCGCGTCCGCCGCATGGCAAAGATGAATTACCGCAATAGCGGCAAAGCTGGTTCGACCACCCCCCACACTCCCCACATGCCTGCCGCCGCCGCCCCCGGCTCGACGGGCATGTCGACACCGACACCCATGGGCGCCGGCACCAACGCGGCCATGGGCAAGCCCGGGCTCAACAACATGGCGCCGCAAATGCACCATCACCACGGCGGCCAACCGGACGGAAGCGCTCAGGGAGGAGACGAAGTCGGTATGTTTCACCAGATGGCCTAAAGCGCGCGCGTTGTTGTTGTGATTAAGTGTGATACCTCTTCGAGTCAACTTGTTCTACATGCGCCTGTCATTTATCTTTGATTTCTTCGGTCGTGTCGGGAATTTCTGGGGATGCTCGTTTGGTCCTCGTCCTATATACCGGCGCGCGCGGCGACCCGATTTCGAGCACCGTTTTCTTAAGGGCGACAACAGGAACCTGGTACAAAAAGAAAGAACTGTACATTACATTAGTCGCGTCTGCTGTTAAGTTGTTTTGCTGGTTCTCGGTCGTCTGGCTGGCTGCTGGCAGAAGCTGTTGCATTGCACACTCTCTGCTCTGCAATTGGCGCACACTCATCAGCATCGCTCATCACATATCAACCAGCACCTTCATCCTTACAACACACACATATCTGCGCGAGTGTCTTTGACAGGGAGCCTGATTTCGCCATGATGGCACCTCGAGATGCTCGCTATCTGTATTCTTTGCTGCGCCGTTTGAGATTTGCGAGTTGCTGCTCTTGCTGCGCTGTTTTGGTTCTCGGAGTATCACACTTGCATCATCCAGCGCGCGCGCTTTGCCAAGGCCTGGCATGGGCTGACCCTGAAATCCTGGGGGGGAGTAAAAGGCCGATTTGGCTAACAACTTTGATTATAGGCCAAGGAGACTATGCTGACGACCAGCACCACCACCATCACCACCAGCCCGCCGCCGCCCAGCCCGGCGCTGAAGAACGGCCTGCCCAAGTGTTTACCGGCTACGGCCACTACAGCGGTGCACCACACGGTCCGTCTATGTCATCGATCCACGACACGCACGGCAATTCCGCCCACGGTGCCGCCATGGCGGCTCACCGGTCGAGTCTCTCGCGCGGCGTTCCGGACGCGCCCGCGGATCTCTTCCCGGACATCCCCGAGGCCAAGAAGCGCAAGTTCATTCTCGTCGAGGACACGGATCGCCACAGCCGCCTGAGGGTGCGCGTCACGCTGGACGTCGTTGACACGCGCGAGATCCCGGACAGCTTCCGCAAGAAGAACAGCGTCTACCCGCGGTCCTTCTTCCCGCGTGAGATGCAGAGCCCCCCTCCTAGTGCGACGGGCAGCAGGTTTTTTACTGAGGATGCGAGCGATGCCGACGATGATGGGATCACCGAGACGGAGGGCCGCGGGGCGCCGCGCGGCGGGCGTTCTTCGAGGCGCGCTGGCAGGTGCATGGTCAAGGTGCCCTTGGCGGAAGGACAGGAGGGTGAAGTCGCAGTCCCCCGGATCCGCAGGGCGACGAGGGGCAAGGAGGTCCGTCTGAACGATCTGGGTTATCGGATGGCGTGGCTGCAGAGCCGTGTCTTTGCGGAGCGGACCGTGTTCCTGCAGCGAGCATGTGAGTTTGTGGTTTTCTCGTTTCCTTTCTTTTTGGGGAGGGTGGTTGATGGTTTTTGCTGACTCGTTCTCGGGCAGTGGATTGCTACCGCAACAAGACGCGGGCCGCCATGGAGAGCGTCAGCCAGGACATCAAGACGGAGGCGCCGCACTACGAGACGCGCGTCGGGAAGCGCAAGTGGAACGAGCGCGTTCGTCTGGGCGGCGAAAAGGACGACGAGTAGAATCCTATTCGGCAGATCATGATGTGGGGGTTCAGGCAAGGGGGCCGCCGTGCGTTGACACTGTCATGAAGATGTTTGATGAGTCGACACGCTGGCGCGAGGTTGACGGATGGAATGAGCCAGGCGTTTTGAACTGGTCATCGCCCTGGTGGACGCTGATTTTGCTGGGTTCGAGCCATGCTCCCCCGGCGTATCTATTGCGCTGGTCATGGGCTTGGGCGATGTCGCGTATGAGGTCGGGTACGACATATGAGATCGGGCTGGACGTGGCACGGGTCTCGCTGTTTAGAGGGCTACAGGCCAAGGCATCACTGCCGATTGTCAAGTTAACAATGTGTATTCAAGAAAGTATGGGCTTTGTGAGAATAGGAACAGTGTAACAGAGAATGGATGTACAAGCATGGGTATGTCTGATCGCACTGCTTCTGGTCACTGAGTGTTTACCGTTTTTCGGTCCATCTAGGTGCCTTCCCCAGACCAGTGGATTGATACAGGTATCTCACGTCTTCCAACGTCCGATAGCATCAATGACTGATTGAACCTACTGGCGCTGTTGACCACCGGTGACTCTCTCGCCTCCTTTTTGCCGGCTTCTTGACATTCACTCCTGCTCATTTCTTCTACTTCCCCCGCAACCAATTCACCAGCGTCTCCGGGGATGCGGCATTCTCCCAGTGCTCGACGGCCCTCCCCATCTCATCAAACCTCCACACCCCACAAAAGGGCATCTCAATCCTCCCGCGTGGTGGTCCTTTTCCTCTTCTCTCGCTGCCTACCTCGTGTTTGTCTTCCTTGTTCCTATCCCCACCATCCTCCCCGCCCCCATCCCTTCCTCCTCCATCTTCCCTATCATCGTCATCACCACCATCATTCCGATGAGTCCCCTCCCTCCGAGACTCAGCACTAGCACCAGCGCCGGAACCAGCTCGTGAATGATCCTCCGTACTCCTACGAAAAGAAGGAGTGGGGGAACAACAACCGGCCTTCAGCACGCCCATGACGCACCCAAAACTCTGGTCTTTTGCTACGGTGATGCTCTCGACGTCCATCGAGAGCGTGCCACACGTCAGCGCGACGAGCTCTTCCTCGTGCTGCTGCGCAGCCGCGATCCCGATGAGTGGTGGCCGCGGACGCAGGTGCGGGTGCGGGTGGTGGTGGAGGGGGAGGTTCCGGTCGGCTGGGTGCAGGATGATGTCTGGCGCGGCGATCTCGGAGAGGCGGGTTAGGTCCTTGTAGAGGTAGGCTAGGCGGGCTTGCGCGGTTGTGAGGGCCGGGGGTGATTCTCCTTTGAGTGTTGTTGTTGGGTTCATGGTGGCTGGGGTAGGTTTTGTTTGGTGTGTCTGGTGGTTCGTTGGTTGATGGGCGTTTTTGACTTGGTGTTGGTGCTTGGGAGATGAGGCTGGGAATTGAGAGAATTGTAGGGAGATGGACTCGGAGCTGGGCGAAGTTGATTGGGAATGTTTGGGTAGTAGGTAGTTTGGTGTCAGGTTGTACAGGAAGGGACAGCTGCTGGTGCTCGGAGGTCCGATGGGAGAAAAGGTGATGTGGCTGGCCAGACACAAGGTAGGTAAGCGTTCTCTTACCAGCAGGACTGGAGCAACTGGGAAGCTGCAGAACTAACAAGTAAGTGCCTTGCTGCCAATTCATCTCGGGACAACAGAACGAGTGAACTGTAATCGGGGGGGCTTGAGTGACAGTTAAATCCAGAGCTGCGAACAGCGCCTATTACCATTCCCTCCATCAGCGGTATCGCTCTTGAGATCTCGAAATGGCCTCGCCTCAGCAGTATGTGTAACCTGGAAACACTCTGTAGCTCATATCGGGCAAAGCGACCTTGCTGTCGCCGCCACGAGTCTCGCGGAAACGATCAGGTCAGTAAGGACTTGCATCGTATAAGCACGACTAAATAATGAAAAGAAGACCATACGTCATGTACATCGCTGAAGAATCAAAAATAACACAAAGAAAAAGGCAAAGAGAAAAAGAAGTAGGAAGAAAAAAAGAAAAAAGGAAAGGAAAGAGAGTGTTAATTCAACAGTCCCGCCTCACAAACATGTCGTCCGTGACGTGACACGCCCACCTTCCCAACCTCACGCCTTAAAGACTTCCGGCAACTTGAGGGTGAGTGAAGTAAGGTTCCGGATATTTAAGGTAACTATGAAATACACATCTCTGCCTCCAGAGATTCAACCTTACAGTTCGAAGGCCATCTATAGCAACATTACAATGTGGGAGCACTTAGAGTGGTGGTTAACAAACACTCCCTACTTACCTCTTAGTTTCCACCTTTTCTCCTCATTCCGACCCAGCAGTGTACTCTCGAAACTCTTTCCCCCCTCCTCCTCTTTCTCCCCCAGGCTATCCCCTATTATCGGTCATCCGTTATATCCCAGGGTCTTGCTGGACTTCCAAGTCAAGTGCCCCAAACACAGAAACCCCTGAAATATATCCACTTACTCACCCGCCTCAGCTGGCGCCCACCTAGTCCCCGTTTCACAACCAACTTTTGCTGTCTCAGCAAAGAACTCAGATTTAGAACTACCCGGGGACCCTGTTCAGGGCGAGCCCACCACCCCAAGGAACATGACAAAGTCCGAAACACCTTAACCGCGCTGTAGGGGGTGATGAGACATACAACATCCCAGATCAGGGGTTATCCGAGTCACGGAACACAAACACTTTATGTCAGTTACTCGACTCGCGATATACATTTTTTCCAGGTGTCTGTCTGATAATAAGCTGGGTTAAGGAATCCTGGCTACGTTTTATCTCCCCGTTATAGACTGGTTCAATGTTTTTCCACTCTGAACCCACTTAGCTACTTGCTGCCTTACCTACCAGTTGACAACCCCTCGAGTTATTCACTCATTACACTCAAAAACCACAACAGCGCGATGCATGAACTCCGTAAAATATCGTCATAACATCGCCGGCCTATTGAGATGAGCAATGAAGTAAGGAAACGAACACAATAAGATACGTAAGAAAACAACGATCGAGACCGTCTTCCCATTCTTTTTCTAAGAGGTTATAAAGGACGACGCAACGCCCACCCCGCGTGCCAAACCGCCAACAACAAGCCGCATCAAAATAGCCGCAGATTATGGACCAGAGCATTGCCTTCCTGTCCGTCGTAGAAATAAAAAGAAGAATATGGTACACACTCCTTCCCGCAAGTGGCTTGTCCCATGGGCTCCGAGTATGGGGCGGCGCCGGGAGGGGTCAGGGTGGTAACATTGGCGAAACGGACAAGAGCTGTGGTTTAGGCACCTCCGGCCGCCCGGCATGCGGCTTCTTGTTGATTGCAGTCAGCGACCGTCGAGCCCTGGGCGGCTCCGGAGTTGACAGCATTGGCGCAGCCATTGTTCTGGATGGCACAGGCGCGCTGAACCGCGGCCGCCCTGTTCACGAAGGTGTTGCCATTGACCGAGAACGGGCGGGCAGCATCGCCCGAGTCCTCTACTGCGGGCGCTGCGATGCCGGCAATGGCGCTACCAGCGTTTGCGTTGGCGCCGCCACCTTGGTTAGTGCCGTTGTTGGGTGTAGCCGCATTGTTCTGGGCGCCCGCTCCGACGTTGCCTCTGCCGCCACCGCCGTTTCCTCTGCCGCCGCCTTGGTTGTTGTTGCCAGTATTGTTGCCGCCGTTGTTACCGGCACCCTGACCGGCACCTTGACCAGCACCCTGACCGGCACCTTGACCGGCACCTTGACCGGCACCTTGACCAGCACCTTGACCAGCACCTTGACCAGCACCCTGGCCGCCGTTGTTACCAGAGTTACCGGCGTTGTTATCAGCACCGTTGCCCGCATTGCCACCCTGATTGCCACCTTGGTTGCCCTGATTGTTGCCAGCGTTACCACCCTGGTTGCCGCCTTGGTTGCCCTGGTTGCCGCCTTGGTTGCCCTGGTTGCCGCCTTGGTTGCCCTGGTTGCCCTGGTTGCCCTGGTTGCCCTGGTTGCCCTGGTTGCCCTGGTTGCCACCCTGATTGCCACCTTGGTTGCCCTGATTGTTGCCAGCGTTGCCGCCTTGGTTGCCCTGGTTGCCACCTTGGTTGCCCTGGTTGCCACCTTGGTTGCCCTGGTTGTTACCAGCGTTGCCACCTTGGTTGCCGCCTTGGTTACCAGCGTTGCCTCCCTGATTCCCGCCTTGGTTGCCGCCCTGGTTGTTGTTGTTGTTTCCACCATTGTTATTATTGTTGTTATTGCCGCCATTTCCGCAGGCGCCGCCGACACTGAAGTAGCGACAGTCCTCCTGCGAACCACGCTGGGCAACGGGCATCAGAACAGGCTGGTGATTGGAGGCGCTGGTTATAGTGCAGACACGGTAGCAACCGGCTGGGAGACCTCCGGTTACCTCAGCGCTGAGCAGGCCCTGGCCGTTTCCGGCGTCATTGATGCCCTTGAAGAAGGCGAACTTGGTGGCATCAAGCGGCTGGGTGGGGTTCAGGGTGTCGCCCGTGTCCTGGACCGTAACGTGGACATGGCCGATAACCTGGCCAGCTCCGTTGAGGTCTTGTGGAGCCGAGTAGTAGGTGCTCGTGGCGTTGGTGAAGGAACCGGCCTGCAGATTGGCAACGTTGACCTGGATGTCGAAGGTCGTAAGCTCCTCGAGGTCGTCATTGTTCTTGGGGTTGGTAATGACGGTCGAGACCATCCTGTTGACGGCGGGAATCTTGCCCATTGCTACCGATGGTTAGCGAGGAACCCGCTGTCTGACGGGATGGATGCACATACGGATACCGTTGCAGGAACCATCGCGGTTCTGCAGACCGTTGGTCAAGGTCTCGCCTGCGCAGTAATTGATGAAGTTGTTGTCGGAACTGGACAGAATTAGCGCCATGAACTCAGACTGCTATGGAACAGGCATAGACGTACACGGCCGACTCGACCTGACCATCCGCGGCCTGCGCACCATTCTGGCCGGTGGACTGCGAGCCGGTTTGGATAGCGTTTGGTGCCAGGCAAGTTTCGCTGGCACCGTTGTTATTATTATTGTTCCCCCCATTGTTGTTGTTGTTGTTTCCCCCATTGTTGTTGTTGTTCCCCCCATTGTTGTTGTTGTTCCCCCCATTGTTGTTGTTGTTTCCACCACCAAATCGCCCGCCCCGGTTCTGTCGTCGTTCCAGCGTGCTGGACGGTCTGTAATGGTGGACCGTGGCCGCCTCGGCAGCCATGGCCAGACCCAAAAGGGCCGTTACCGCAGTCTTCATCAACATGCTGGGCACTTGTTCGAGGGATGCCAATGGGATGTTGAACAGAACTAGGCTCCGCGGGAGCTGAGAGTCGAATGGATGAAAGATGGTGCCAGACCGTCAGAAGCAGAAGCGATATCAAAGGAATGATGGCGACAGCTGCTGTCGGTAAATTGGGATATGTATTGTACAAGTACAACCCGCGTCCGAAGAAAGGAACGAATGGAAAGGAAGAAAAGAAGGACGGACGACACAACTACCACCGCATAGAGTGAGAACGGGATATGGTTGAAGAAGAAGGGCGACGACGGGTCCTGAGGCCCGCACCAAGTGTTTAAGAGAAGAGGCGCCTGTGGGAGCAGGGGTGTGTGCTGCGACGGCGATCCGACGGAGAGCGCCAAGGTGTTTCTCATGTCATGGCAAGCCAAGCGGTTTCGAGACCTTCCGGAGCCCCTCCCGCAGGGATTACCACCAAGCTTTTTACGGCCAGGAACTTAGGTAGTCTGTATCATCCAGCGCCAGGGCAGTAGGAGGGCCGGAGAGAGGAATAAGGTGTGTGCGGCTCCACGATTCCAAAACGCGGTGCAGGGGTTGGGGGGCGTCTGACAAAGGATGGGACAAAGGGGAGGAGGCAGAGATGCAACCTGTAGGAATCCGTACCTGCATAATCAAACTCCCGGTTCAGACTTTTAGGGTTGGGACGGAAGGGGACCCTGGGGAGCTCCTGCCTTCCATCTCTGACACTCGGGGTCATGAGGGGGCCCGGCGTCCCTCCGGGCCTTTGACTTTGAGAGTTGTGGGCAGCACGAGCGGCGAAATAGGAAATGCCTAGCCAGGTACCTTGCAGACCACATCACCGCCGTCTTGGTTGGTCAAGTTTGACCGACTCTCAGAACTAGAACTCCAACTCGTTTGGACCAGCCAATCGCCAACAAAAGCCGGCGGTCCGGTGTACGAGAAAGGGGATTTGCGGTCTACTGTAGCCCGGTCTTTCCAGAAAGACTAAGGATAAAGGCGCCGTGTTGCCGCGCTGTTCAGAGTTCTCTACACCAACTCCATCAGAGCGCGTGCAAAGGCGAGGTCGTTGGACTGAAGTTGATGCGGCTTCTGTGCCAGATGCCATGTCTGGCCCCTGCCCGTCCCATTATGGCCAATCAACGGCCCCTGACAGAGGCGATCGGACGTCTTGTGTCTCGGGATGCAGCGCAAGCGAGCGAGCATTAACTCCGACCCCTGTCGTGGTGTCATTCTCCACTCGGCATCAGGCGCTTCTCGGCCCCGGCCCGACCACTCATCCCTTCCTCAACCGCCAGCCCGGCAAGGAGTTCAATTGACAGCCGGTCGATGCTCACTGTGGACGGATATCGACAGCCCTTCAGAAAATCACGGCAGCGATCTTCCTCCGCCGCCCACCGGCGCATTGCCCTCGGTTGCGGTCGTCTGTGTCAGAGTTCTATCTTCCTGCTCGGTGCTCGGAAATAGCGGCACACTTGACTAATTTAGGGGCGACTTGGTTAAACAAAAGTTGCAGACCCCCGTTGATGAAGCTGGTCTATCACCACTGGCAGGCCAAGATGCTGGCAGTATCATGGCTATACTTCGAGTTACCGTCCGACACAGGGAAGCTGCCCGTTTCTCTCTAAACATTGCGGCCGGCCAAGTGGATGCGGACACTGACTCGATCCCCGTGGCAAAAGCCCCTGTTCGTGGCGAAAGCCCACATTGAACATGCACAGTTCTTCATAAAAGAACGATGACAACATGGATCGGACTGGCAACGGAAATAAACTAGCATAGTAGGCTCCCTTGTGACTTTCGGACTGGGACTTCGCACCTAAAGTCTCCGAGTTTCCCGGCCGAGCAGCAGCCCTGCATTACTTGACACCAGCCCCCCGAGTCAGGCGTGTTTTGTCCTCCCGTCTCCCCCACCACCGCCCGGCACATTGGGATCATTGAGAACGACGAGTTCTGAATGTAAGAAGAACCCCAAACGCATCGCAGTCCAAATTCCAAACAAATCCTACCGCAACGTCGGCGAAACAGATCTTTTCCCATCACTTATCTTATAGAGCCTGCCTAGCCCCGCGTTCCATGGTAGGTGACATTCTCACCACCTGGGCACCTGGCCCCGGCAACAGGGTGTCTTGGATAGTAGGTAATAGGAGATGAGATGACAGCCTTCGTTCTCAAATGGGTGGCTGGTCAGCTAGGCATCATCCATATTTCTTCAGTTACCATCCCGGCCAGAGCTGGATGACGACAATAGCTGTTGGGGATAGCACTAAGTAGGATTCTACTTCCAAGTGTCGAGAGACAACACCGATGTTTCCGAAACCTTTCTTCACTGCTCGCCTTGATGTAGATGCCGAAGAGCTGATTCATGTATGTTACCTAAACGGGCATCAGCGACTCGTGAGAAACGCCTGCAAGCGCCGGCGACACAGTCGTGGTTCACGAAGCGGACCCCTGCGCATCTTGAGACGCCGCATCACTCCTCCATATCCCTCGCATGTCGCCGCTTCTCAGGCTCTGGTTGAGTCGATGAAAACTTTTTCATCCTTTGAAACGACGCAACTCTCCGTCTGAACCAATACTCCTATTTCCACAACCAGTGCAACTTGAGATGAAAGGTTAGGACGGCACAACGTCGTTATCAGTTCAGTCGCCAACAAGGATGTGCAAGTCAGCCCTCTCGAGTTGCTCTTGCTACTGTCGCGCAGGACCGGCGACTCTGAGATCGTCAGAACGAAACAACAAAGCATCTTTGCCGAAGATGCTCGATGCGAACTGCTGCCGCCTACAGGGCTTGGCATGACACCATGATCGCCTTCCAGATGGGATCATCACACACACGGTGTTTGTCTTTTCATTGTAAAGAGCATGCTGCTTAACATAGGGACACAATAGTGTAGTATATCGCGACAATTACCCGCCGCCTTGGAAATGCGACGGCGGAGTGTGTCTTGCCGGTCCCGGTCCCCGGCCACCAAACCGGGACCCCACCAGGCCGAACAGACCAGCCCCTGGACCTCGCCCGGTTACCCACCTCCACCACCCAGCTCATGCCGGTTTGTCAGCTAGCTCCTTGTCGGCGGTGGTCCTGTCGAACCGCCTTGCGGGACATGATGGGCAGCGTCGGCACACGAGCAGGCTGCAGGCTCGGTCGAGACCGCCTCGAAAAACCAACAGAGATCTGGCGGCGAGGGTTGGCGCTATGACCCTGAGAAAAGATTGCCCCGGCGATGATCCACCGACCGAACGAACATCTCGCCAAATTCCCAGCATCCTCGCAGGGCCCTCTCCGTGGACAGTGCCCAAAAGGGCAAGGAAGAAGTCGTCCCCGTGCCAGGTCTCTACTCTCCGGGCCATCCGGGTTGAACATCATCCCATTCTTTTTGACCTCTTTTTTCTTTTGTTTCTTCTCTACTTTTGCGTCTTTCTTCCTTTTTCTGTTCTTTCTCTTTATTACTTTTCTCAGACATGCAACGTCATGTCAACACGACTACCAAAGGATATTCTGGACAACATTGGACAACCCGCGATACGCAGCTTTCTTCGCCCAGTCCAACTCTGCCCAGAGCTTTTAGAGATATAAGAGCACCAGTTGGACCCTGTCCTCATGGAACATGTTTGTCATGTGACGGTATCCGTCGAAGGCATTGCCAGTTGTGCCTCCTGTGGGTGTTGCGAGATACTTGAAGGTGTCTTGAGCACACTGCGTGACCGCACTCTTTATCTGCAGTCTCAGAAGCGTTGACGGCGTATAGAGTAAGGTACTGGTTTGAGCTTTGGGAACCTTGTCAATGACGAACTGCCGAAGAGTGACAGTCAATTGCTACAGTAATTTTCATCGAGTAATGCTCGGCGATCCAACCACTGCAGTCGATGGAGGTAGGCTACCCAGCACTGGCCGCTGATGAGCCTATCTCTGTTGGGATCCAGTGTCTAATGCTGCATCCGGGCTCAGATTGATTTCCTCACCGCCTTGTAGCAGCCCTTGGCAGTAGCGGGAGTCGCAGTAATCGGGAGAGATTAGAGAAAAATCCAAAGTACAGATGAGGGAGGCCTAAAATGAGAAGAGCTAGATGAGAAGATAAAATAAAGGGGTAGGGATGGAAAAGGACAGAGAAATACAAGGGGTTGAACGTATAGGAGAATTAACGATGTAGAAGAGAAGAAGAGCACAAAACCAAGGTCTCTAAGAACCTCATCTTCGTTATACCACCAGGCAAGACACTAGGACCATGGATAACCACCGATCAATGTAAAATGCGATCTGATCCATGGTTAAGGAACACAAATCTCCACGGCAATTATCAGGATCAAGCATGCGCGCATTCCCATGAAAAGAACTACAAACGTCGTTTTCTCTATGTAACTTGTCCATGAAGCCACGCGCTCAGAAAACTAACAGACCATCTGTTGAATGCAGTCGCCGCCCAATACCCAAGATGTGAGATCGTAGGGAAGAATTAGAGACCGAACGCACCTCCCCCTTCCATGATCGTTCAAAAAATGGTGTACGTAAAGCGTTAGGTATCTTCGTTCCCCATCCGGATCGACAGAGAACCCAACCGACCGGCTGCATGACTGGATGTACATATGTGAAGATAGAGTCTAAAAATGACTGGATGGTATCATCATGAGGAACACCCTCTTGCTAAAACAAACCCAAACCACACCCGCTATGGCCAGAGGAAAGAAATATAAATGCTAGCACCCCGGGGTATCCATCCATCCTAAATGTTCCGACACACCAACACCCCCTTGAATACCTGAAGACGCAGCACACCCATAGCAAATGACATGAACATATCAACATGAGCATAGAACAAAGAAACCCAATACACCAGCCTATACCATCCCCTGTTTATCTATTCACTGCACCTTCCTCGCCTCAAAGAGCGCCAGACTCAAAGCCGTATCATTCTCCCCCACATTCGGCGTCGGCTCGCTCAGCGCCTCCCACCTCCGATACTGAAACACACTGAGCCTCTCGCCGCCCTGGCCGCGATCAAACCCCCACAGCGCAGCCGGCGTGCCCAACAGGCCACTAAACATGGTATTCCCACCTCCACCATTACCACCACCACCACCGCCAGCAGCATTTGCACCCCTCCCATTCCCCCCCACTCCACCAACACCACCATTACCAACCAATCCTTTCTCACGATGCGCAAGAAATAGCGTCCCCCCCTCCTCCGCCCCTTCAGACCCAGCAGCAGACGACCCAGACCCAGCCCCCGAAAAACTAAACAAATACCTCAACCTCGCATCCCCGCCCGCACAATCCCTCACCGCCCGCACACACATCGCCCTGGCCTCCTCGCTGAGGTTATCCACCAGCAAACATGACAGGTCAAATAACCTGCGCCCCAGCGGCCGGGTATCAAACCACCCCGTGCCTGTACCGGTACCAGTACCGGTACCACGGTTCAGGTGTTGGTGCAGGGGGTGCGCGGACGAGTGGTCGAGCTCCTGCATGAGACCCGCGCAGGTGACCAGGATCCTGGCGCGGACGTCTGCGGCGGTGGCGGGGGGTTTATTGGTGGTGGTGGTGGAGGAGGAGGAGGAGGAGGAGGGGTTGTCGAGGACGTGCTGTTGCTGCTGCAGCTGTAGCTGTTGCTGGTGGGCGTGGAGGGTGATGAAATTGAGAGTGAGCGGGAGCCAGTGGGTGAGGACGGCGAGTTTGGGATCGGTTGAGGATGAGTCGGTGATCGTGGGTATTGATGCTGGCTCGTCGGGGGAGGCGAGGAGTTCCCATAGGTCGACGAGCTTGTCTACGACTGCCGGGGGCAGTTGGGGCTGCCGCGCTCCGGCTGGGCTGCTGCGCATGATGGCGTCGATGACGGACAGCAAGTTTTCTGCCATTTGGAGCGTCTGCGGGAGAACGGTGTTCGGAGTTGGTGGGCTGCGGAGGGAGGGTAAGAGCTCCAAGAAGCGGCTCTGGGCGCGGAGCTTGAGATGCTGGGTGATCTCTGGGCTGAGACAGCTCAACATGCCGACCCAGGTGATGTTGCCCGCGCTAATGGCCTTGTCCATAGCGTTGGCGAAGAGATCGACGTGCGACTGCTGTCGATCCGCGGTTTCGTGGATGGCCTGCTCGTTGGAGCTCAGACTCAGGGCTAGCTTCACCTGGCAGAATGGGAGAGTAAACTCGTTGGTGAGCTCCAAAACCTGCTCAAAGGTAACTTGTTTCCGGCTGTCCCCGGTGGGAATCAGCAAATCCGTCGTCAAGCTGTCGATCAAACCGCTCATGTGCGGATTCGAGTTCTTGACACTTAACGCCCGCGCAACCCCCCCGGCGTCCCTCAACACGAGGCGCTTGAGCAATCCGATGAGGCTCGCTCGGACACACTCGCTTTCTAGAGGCAGCGCCTCGTCATCGTTCTGCCCCTTTGCGTACGAGTACTCGGCAGACGCCAGGAAAATGAGGCCGAGGACCTCCTTCGGGCACTCACGAATCGCCTGATCCTGAAGGATGGCGAAGCGGTATGCTTCATCGACCGTCAGCAGGTCGTCCTGCCGAATGGGTGCAGTGAGCAATTGAAGCACCTCCTGCATGTACCTCGTTCGATACGTTATTTGGACGACATGAGGCGGGGTACCCGCACTGGGTGCCCGCGCTGTAACCGCGCCCTGCCCGGCGGACAACTCCGAGGCGGTTGCAAGGATGGCGCACAGGTCGAGGCACCCCACCGAGACGAGCAACGGAAAGATCCTCAGGATGGACGGGCGGTTCCCGAGCGTGCGAACGAACAGCAGCCATTTGACCATGAGTCCGTCAAAGTGCTGGGTGTTGAAGAGTCGCAGCCGGCCCAGCAAGGTGCCGTAAGCCCGCTGCTTGTCCGTTGCTCTGTCCCAACTGAACTGCAGGCGCTGCACGATAGTCTGGAACAGTCGCTCCATCGTGTTTCGGTCGAGACTCGAACCCCCGGCCAGTATTTTCTCAATCTCCTCGTGCAGCTCACCGGCGTCATCCTGCAGCCGGGCAACCATGTTGTCGGACACGGGCGAACACGCGTCTACGGGATTTTGGCGGTCGTTCAGCGCCAGATCCTTCTTCAACTGCGAGGCAATGTCCTCCATTCCGGGTATTCTTGGGACGAGGGCGACGAGCGAAGCCAGAAGCGGCCGTAATGCAAACCCTTGCTCTCGGACGGCGGCCTTGAGCCGCTGATGAAGAGTTCGAAACAGCGTCAAGGTGTCGCCCAAGGCGGAGAAGATGAAAAAGTGCCGGCTGACGGTATCGGAAATGGCCGCCAGGATCTCGAGACTCGAGTTCTTGGTGAGCATCTTCATGATGTCTCCAAGCATCAAAAAATCTTCAGCAGCCTCGAGCACAGATCGAACTGCGTAGAAGATGGTAGGCGAGATATCCGAAGTCTGACCGCCTTCCTCGTTCTCCTTGGCATGTGCGGCGAAGCTGGCCCGAAGCCAGCAGCCAAGCTCGGCCTTGAGCGCTCGACTCGCAGACGATATCTTCCTAGTAAGCTTCTTGAGCGAGAGCGGTGTCTGCTCCAGCAGCGGGTCCCCAGCATCCATGGGCAGGTTCAATGTGTGCTTCAGGTGTCGTATCGCCAATTCGACATCCTGTGCCTCGTCAACCACACTGAAAGAAGCGCGCCGGAGGACAGCGTTTCTGAGATCCCGCTGAGGCGGAGCGAGGGCGGAAGCAGGAATTTCAGCAAGGAGACGAGTCCGCCCCGGAGCCGTCGGTGACACATCCTCAGGGCTCCTTACCCCTCCGCGGGCAATGAGCCACTTAATCAAACGCGGCACTGAAAAGATGTCTGAGCGGACAAGCTCACACACGACGTGATAGAGTGTAGCCTTGCGCGGCTCGTCCTCGCAAGCATCGGTCTCGAGAAAATCCAGCACTGCCACGGTAGGATCCAGGCCCAACGTGCTCCAGTGTCGTAGAATCCGGCTCGTGACGTAGACTTTGGCCAGCCCAGGGCGGTAGAGGGAGGTGCACCATTCCAGAAGAGCCCTGGCCAAGGCCTCCTTGTCCTTGGAAATGTCCCAACACTGGGCGGGTAGCTCGGCTGGCATGGGTGCTTGGAGTGTTGCGTCCAGCATTCGCACCAGGATATGTCGAGCGGCGGGTTGCGACCTGTTGGCAGCCGCGGCAAGCTGCTCGTTCCGACCATTGATAGCTCCATACGAGTTCTGTCGTGCCTCGTCCCCAGCGGGAAGGCAAGCTTTCAGAGCATCGCGGTACTTTGACCAGGATGAAGGACACACAAAGTTTTCTGGACTCCTGAGTATTAATGCGTTTAAACACTGCGCCAAGTTGTCGAGGAGCGGTTGGAGGATGTCTTTGTCGGGGTGATTATATATCTGGAGCGTTTATCAGCACCCGTACCTTTCCCAGCCGGAAGCTATCATATTTCACATACTAAGTGGTGGTGTGTCATGAGAGCCGTGACCAACCTGCGGCCGTACTTCCTCAGCTTCAGAAGATCTTTCCAGTACAACTGGGTGATGAGCATCCACATGGGGAGCCTGGCCTCGGAGCTGTTTTCGAGACTTGATACGAGCCATTCCGAGTAATGCTCGCAATCAAGCAAGTGCTCCGCGTACAAATGTGCTGCCAGTCGGGTACTGCGATGTTGTTAGCCCGGCAACCGGACTGGTGGAGAGACGGAAACTTACGTGTAGTGCACCTTGGATTTCCACCCATCCTCGTCGAAGGAGAAGAAAACATGCTCGATGAACTGCTCAACCGAAACAGTCCAGTCCTTGATCCACCTGGTCTCTCCGCCCATGACTAAGGTGCTCACGCCTTTCCTCTTGGTTGCTCGAATCTCATTTGCACCCACACACTTTATCAACCAGACGGCGCGGTCGGTTGGAACGTTCTTGTTCAGGCATTGCTCAAGAAGCACCTTGCCGCGGATGCCGTGAGGGATCGTCCTGCTGAGCTTTCGAAGCGGAATGGCGGGGTTCGCGAGGTCCCTTAACCATGCCTCCCGTTTGGTGTCGGTGAGGGTAACTCGAGGAGGGGGCTTGAACGTGGACGGCGCCGTTATCCGGCCGCTGTGCCTCCTCTGGCCCAACACGGCCGTAAAGACAGAAGAGAGGGCAGTGAGCCCAGTTTTGTGCTTTAGGGCCGGGAACAATATGCCCTTGGCGGACTGTGTCTCAACCGTAGAGAATGGGCCCTTGTCGTAGTATCCATGCCGGATAACATTCTCGGAGAACTGATCTTCTGGGTGATTCCCCGTCCAAGGGAAAAAGTCCGCGTATCCGGTCTTCATCGGGGCAGTCAAGCCGCCTGTTCTCGGCTGAGGACCTGCGAGTGTCGAGTACCGTGGGGCAGCGGCTGGCGGCTCTATGGTGAAGGGCTTCGGACGGGTATCCTTCTTGATTGGGTTTGATATTGTTGGTGGTGGCATCTCACGGCGCGGTAGACTAGCGACAAAGGGTGGCGGACGGTGAGGCATGGGCAGAGGCGTGTCGATCTCGGCGCTCGGCGGATGGGTCGAGAGATGGGGGCTCATATCGCCCAGGTCGGAAGAGTCGGTTGGGGGCATAATGCGGGACGGCGTGAAGGGCTTGGAGGACTCGACGGCGCTCGGGGATTCGCTAATAGGGGCATGCGAAATCGAATCGGTCGAGTCGTGTGAGAGCTCCAACTTGAGCCGGGACCCGGCCCGGCGCTGGGCGGCAGGACGAACTGGGGCGCCATCGCTGGGGTCGACCGCGTTGAAGTCGTAGAATGCAGCGTCCTTGCGCACGGGGGACGGGGGAGGATACTGCTGGTGGGAGAGAGCACGCTGGTGGGCGGTGGCCGGGCGTTGCGACAGGGTCGGCCCGCTCAGCTTGTGCTGTGGCGGTCGCTGTTGGACGCCCAAGGGGGGCCGGGAGGTCATCGCAAAGAACAGAGCGACTGCGCCATGCCGCAAGTTGTTCGGGGTGATGAATCGCTTTTATCTGGTCGGGAGATCTGAAATATGGATGGGTGGTGATGGACTGAGGTTGAGCGCGCACTCTCCCGGTGTCCAGCGCAGTGGACTGCCCTGTGGAGTGTGGGTCTGGCCCTGCAGGCGACGAATTACTGGTACACCGGCCGGTCTTCGGGCGGAAGCGACGGCTGACACAGCTGTTCGATTTTCTGAAGGACTTCTAGGTTCGACGATGCTGCGGAGGAGAACCGGGCGTTGGCGGTTAATCACAGCGACGATGGGTTTTTGACACCACTGCCCAAAGTGAATGAGAGTACTCCGTACCAGGCCGGCCGGTCCCGTAGGTACAGTACCGTGCCTGACCAGACCCTGCGCGCGGGAGGCCGGATTGCTGAGGCTTGCGTGCGTTGGGCCCTGCGGGACCCACTGGAAGTCTTCGGCGTGGGGCTTGTCCCCAAACGGCTCAGCAGGTGCTTGGGAGTTATGAAGTTGAGGTGTTGTGAACTTCTGATGTTGTCTTGATCTGCCCGTGGAGTATGGACAGCCCGTGCTCCTGTGAAACCGAGAGATTTCAAATCTCGGCGTCCCTCTTGAACGTTAATGCCTGCGGGAGAACGGCATATCGGGTTCCCTGCTCCGTTGGGTGCTACACTTGGGAAGAGATGATGATCCTGCCACACACACTCCCGTCTTCGGCTCGTACTTTGAAACGCGGGACATTGCATTCATATGCTGTACACTTGATTATGTGAGTGGCAACTGTGCACGGCACACAGCGCGGAGATCGCTCTCGAGGAGATCCTCAGCTTGGTTGTCGTGGCTTGGCGCTGGCTCACTGCAACTGGCCACTGGCCAGCCTGAGTTCTTCACGTTGATGAGATGTCGATATCCAGCCGTACAATCAGCGGAGATGGGGGCAGATTCCGCGGTATGTCCCAAATCAAATTAGGAACTGTGCCAGTGAACAACCAGGAAACGGCGTAGATGGTTTTGGGCATCTGTGTGCAATCATCCCGTACGGGAGCGAATGGCACTACAATCCAGCCCTGGTTGGTTTCCTAGCGCGAGACCCAAGATTGGGGCCCCTACCCAGAATTACACACTCTCCACCGAACAGCCAGAAGCCCGTATTTATTCTAAGAAATGCAACGAATAGTAGAACATGCCAAGACAGTCCTTACTGGAGTGAGTTTTCTGCATCAGAACGAGTTGCAGCGCTGTTGAGTTCAAGACTTTAAGACCAGGATCCCTGTCGTGGTCCCGCATTAGGAAACGAACCAGGGCTGGATCGTATGGAATAGCGTACCGACTGTTGTACGGATACTGTACAGTATTGTACTATACCTCTGTCACACTCACAGTCGGTCGTGGAGGTCGATGTCCTGACTCTTTACCACAACCGAGATGTCAAGCAACAAATGTGTCCGCATGGATTAACTATATCATATGCTTCAAGAAGAGACGCTAGGTGATCTTTCAGGACGCTGCGCTAATGATTCCTGCTTGCGCTCAGGTAGTATCGAATCTCGAACAAACCGCACGTGAAAGAAATGCGGGGCGAGATCTGACTGCGCTTTTGCGGAGTTCGGCCGTTTGCCAAGTTGGGTGTCGGCTCTTGCCACTCCTGGAAACTCTTCCGCGCCTATCCCACACCCCGGCCTACGGTGGGGCAGACTTTGGGGCTGCACTCACATTCGACGCCAAACAGCATCGTGATCTCCAAGGGTTATCATCGAGCCAGCATTTGCACAAGCCAAACACCATGGAGTCCAGCAAAGAGAAAGATATGAGGCAACCGGACTTGAGTGAGTAATCAAGAGAGCCCCAACACGATATCGTGGAGACCTGTGCGCTAACCCTAACCACGCCGCAGTCATCCCGTATCAAGAGCCTGCTGCGAAAGGCGACAATGTCGAGTTCCAGTCAACCCTGGCATCGACATTGCCGATGGCTGCGGTCTTCTTGAGGAACAAATATATTGGATGGTATGCTCGGCCCGGTTCTTGAGTTTCCCCTGACACCCACCCACCCCCCTTTCCGCTGGACACCCATCCGTTCACCACCAGCTCACGATCGCGATAAGCTGACGATGTGTCGACCCAGGGCTGCCGTTGTCTTCAGCATACAGAGCTGGCTGGGCGAGAGTGAGGATACCAAGAAGAGCACCGGCACACCTGGATACTTCAACGTCGGAATGGCCTGTATGCCGCTCCCTGTCCCCTAGATACAAGTGTCACCGACTAACGCGGATAGTACAGTGTCGTCCCTACTCGTTACATACCTACCACTCTTCCTTCCACAACCGGGCGCACAACGAGGAAGCGCGACAGAGGTCCCCGCGCCGGCTCCGGCATGAAACAGAACGGCGACCTGCAGTGGATTACGGCGGGCTGACGGACGGGCGGCGCAATGATTGCCTCGCGACTCTCTCCGCGTCATTGTGGATTAATGGGCTTGTCAAATTGTCGGAGACATGGTGGAGTGTACAATATACCCCAATACATACCTAAAATCGGTCAGCCGTTCCCTCTTGATGCCGGTACTATATTTCATGATAGGTCAACGCTGAGATCCTCGCGCTTGCAACCCGCGAGACGATTGTTGAACGCGACAGCCGGTGATACATAACCTCCAGACACCGGAAGCGAAAAAAGCACCACGAGAAGAACATCGCGACCTCGGTCTCCGGTTGGATGCACCCCGGGCCAATGTCGAAATCAACGTTGACGCACACCTCCCCCCCAACATATGTACGCGTGTCAAATCAAAATGGGGTATACACCAAAAGACAGCATTTATTAAACATCCAAAGCCACAAGCCTCGCTCCGAAACTATTCCCAACCCTCCAGACTCGTGTCAGATAACCGGCGTCCCCGTCCAGATGAGATATCGATTGGCCCCAAGATAGGCACATCAACGATTACCTCCTTGTGAATCGACTCTCTCCAACCCATGGGCAACTCTGAATGGTGGAGCGAGATCAGTTATTTCGGAGCGATCTGCTCGGGTCCGATCAGTAACTGCCAGCTTGTTATCAGAACGTAAAGAGACTTACCCACACCCCTGGGGAGTTGTGACGCCAAAGAAGCAGTCATCATCCGCCTTGGGAACGACCTGCTCCGGCCTGATGGGCGTGATGATGACGCCGGCGCTGACAACCGAGAAGCACAGTGAGAGCATGGCAGCGGCGAAGGTGGCGGGTTTCATTTTGACCGATTGGTGGGTTTTTGTCGAGGAATTGAGATTATTCCAGAGAGGCACCGGACCGGGCCGTGGGCAAGGAAGTCGATGGACTGAAAAAAGAAAGGGTGAAGGTATTCAGACCAGCTGATGTGTATTAGAAGAGGAGAAGGGAAATTGTGTTTTAAGTCTGCAATCAGTGGCAATAGTTATCCGTACACAGACCATGAAGATGATAGAGAAGCGAATCGATGCTGAAGCTCTGCGAATGAAAGCGCCAAGGCCCGAGTCTGGGCGGCTATTTTTGAAACTCGCCGCTGCAACTTTTTGGGGGTTCGAGACTGCCAGGGCCGCATGTTTCAGGCCTGAAACGGGGTTCATCAAACCCGTCCCAAAACAACAACGACGACAACGCCATTTAAATCAGAGCGGTTGACCTAGAATTCCCTCCAACACGACGATGACGACGACGATGGCAATCAACAATTGACCCAAAGTACAGTACTCGTACCACTTTGGCTAAACAAACCCTAGCGCGAGGCTGCGGGCTACGGCTTTGAGCTGGAAACCAGCTTCCCGTCGTCCAGGTAATGGAAGGCGGAAACACCAGCGACTGAAGGTCGTCGTCCACGGAGAAAAGAAGTGCGTCCACCGTCGATGATGGACGTCGACTGGTGTACATGCGCAGTAAGTTGGTTGTGTTGTGCTCGAGACAAGCTCCGTGTTCTTCAGCCCCAAAACTGCAAACCTCTTGGAGAATGTGGTAAGGCCGAGGGCGGCGTGTTACACCACATGAGCTGAGCCCCAAGTAAAATACATACATACCATTGGCACCGAGGGCACGCTGGCACTCACTCAGATACAGGCACTTCAGCCGCGGAGGAATAAATGAGTATATATCAATATCAGGTATCAGCTCCGGAGAGGAGGTTCTCCCCCATCCCAAGCCTCGCATCTAGCACTTTATCCCTCCACATCAACATGAAGCAGGATCGATCTCCGAGACAACATGAACTTCACCGACGAGGCCCCGAGGGGACAACGAACCATGGCAACTCCGGGCTCATTTGCAAACCCCCGAACTGGCACGATTACATCGCTTTCTATGCTCTCAACTCCGTTATTCACGCCGGAACTATTCCTTCTGTGCCTGGGGAGACGAAACTCGAAATTCTCTATGATGTGCTCAATGCCTTCTTTATCCCCGGCTTCGGTGTTCTGCGTGCTCTTCGCCGCCTGATGCTCCGACCCGGACTCCGCCGCCAAAAGTTTCTCGATGCGCCACTATGGACCATGACCGGGACTGGCTCGGACGAGACATGACCCCACTCCATCTCGCTGTCGAGAAAAGGGACGACCCATTAGTTCATTGGAGTGACATGGACAAGTCTGAAGAGATCCTCACCGAGATCCTTCTCTCGGCAGGCGCGGACCCCAACACAAAGACGAGCAACGGCAACACCCCAATGCATATTGCCAACACAGAGAAGCCCCGCATATTTGAGCTCTTGGTTCAATACGGAGCTGACATCAATGCTGTAAATGCTCGCGGAAGGACCTCTGCTCGAGATGATCGTTCGGTTGGCCCATGACACCGGTCTGAGTCAATCACAGCCAAACGTCAAGGTCTTCGACATGTTGTTGGAGCTTGGCGCAGATGTGAACATCGCCGACGGCAATGGCGACAATGTCTTCCATCACATATTGCACAGCATCAACAGCCTCGCCGACAGCCGCGAGTTCATGACCGTCATCAACAAATTTGCTGCGGGCCGGTGCAGACGTGAACAGGAAGAACAAGAAGAGCCAGCCGCCGCTGTTCAGCTACAACAAGTGCGGTTTTTCCTCCCGGACCGCTCTCGCTCGTCATCACGATGAGATGCTCAGGATGCTTGTGGGTGTCGGCATGGACCTGAACGCGCGCGACGAGCAGGGCCGCACGATCCTCTGGGTGATTGGGGAGCAGTATGGGACCGATGTCGACGTGATCGAGAAGTTCATCCGCTTGAGTGCCGATCCCGGCGCGGCCACGGACGACGGCAGGACTGTGATCCACTCGGCAGTGGAAAAAACGAGAGGACCGGACTGGTTCCGGTCTAATATCAGTTGGGGTCAAACCGGACGTACACGGCAAGGACGGAGACACAACTATCCATATGGTTCTTCGCCAGACTGAGACGTACCCAAGAGCTCAGGAAGTGATTCTGGTCTTGATGGACGAGGGGACTGTGTCGCCGCTGGCAAAGAACGCGGAGGGACAGTCGGCACTACACGTGGCGGGTACGCTGAGCCACCTGGAACTTGCGTCAACAGTCCGGCATTCAGAGGACTGGACGTCAATGAGGCAAACATTGATGGGTACTCCCCCCTACATTATGCTGTGGTGTTTGGGGAGGAAGCTGTTAGAATGCTTCTCCGTGCTGGAGCTGATCCGACGACGCTTGCCACCAGCAACTTGTCCCCGCTGCACGTCGCCGCCCGCAAAAGAGACGCTGGTGTTGCAGTACTTCTTCTCGTACAGTACCGCAAGCTGAGCGTCCTCGAGGAGCACGTCAACCTGCTCGGTGAGGGCAGGGCGCCTCTGCACTATGCATGTCGAGCTGGAAGCCCCGAGGCCGTCTGGTACCTGTTGCGCAACGGTGCAGACCCTTCCATCATGGATGGAAACGGACTGACTTCACTGCATGCCTTGACGGAATGCGAGGCTCCGGGCCCGCCGCCCATGGTCGACATCATTGCGATGCTGCAACGCGGGGGTGCCGATCTGACCGCCGAGGCGGCGATTCGGATGGACGGCGAGACGAGGATGTTGACTCCCTTGGACATGGCGGTGCAGAGGAAAAACTGGGAAATGGTCCGGGCTCTGATTACTCATGGGGTTCAGCCTCGTGACTGCCAGAGACCGTCTGAGGAATTTGTCTTAGCCACGGACAGGGGTAAGGCGGCCGAGGAAGCTCGGAAGGTACAGACCAGCGTGCCACAGCCTCAGGAATTCCCAAGGGCTGGTCGGACTCGCCGGTGGAGAGGACGCTGGGCGGCTGGTCCAGGGGCGAGAATGCCTCTAGAGAAGGGAACTTGCTTCATGACCAACGGACAAGACATCCTGGATTTGAAAGTCCCGAACCTGCGGACGAAGATGGCAATGCCGCCGATTGCTTGTGCGATGTGCTGCAGGATGGTGACTACGACATCATTAAGGAGTATGCCCAGCTCGGAGGGAATATGATACAGCTACGACGTTGGAGCAAGGACATATTTCTTCACCACCTCATCCGAAGCGGCCAGGCAGAGTTGTCGGAGTACTTTGGCGACAAGGTGGCCGAGTTTGAGGCGCAGGACTGGGTGCAGAAAAACAAAAACGTCTGCTGCACGCTGCTCGGCGCGGCATGCCTGCGGAGCCAGCCTTCCCTGCAAATTATCCAGTTGCTTGTAGAGAAGCTTGGCGTTGATGTGAATGCCACCTACAATCCGGATGGCTTCTGCTACAGGCTGCGGAGAGGAACGGCCCTTCACATCCTCGCGAGCGGGGCTAACTTCTGGCAGGTCGAGGCGCTCGAGTACCTCCTCTCAAAAGGGGCGGACATCAAAGCGAGGAATGCGGATGGGATGACGCCATTGCTGGCCGCTATTGATAAAAGCTGGCCAGACGGTTTTTGGAGGGAGGAGACGGTGTGTGTGCTGTTGAAGCACGGGGCTGATGTCAATGCGACTGCCAGGAAACTGTCGGGGGTCACTGGGCGGTCGGCGCTGGAGATGTCGGGCCACCCGGGGGTTACAAGACTCTTGTTGGAACATGGGGCGAGCAGAGACTGGTTTTGGGGTCTCTTGACATACGCTGTCTGTAATTGGATGGAGCCGGGGATTATGAAGCTGCCGTTGGAAGCAGGGCTGGACCCGAATGAGCTGCCGTCGTGTGGAGGGGATCAACAACAGGAGAAACGGCTACTCAAGGGAGTCATAGATGATGAGGAGGTTGAGCAAAAGAAGGGTGGGGGAGAGGATGAGGAGAGGGAGGAGTGGGGAGAGGAGGAGGAAGAGGAGGAGGAGGAGGAGCCAAAGGTGGAACCACGCTATCCCCTTCACGAGGCAGCCCGGCCATCAACCGCATACGACCCAGCATTCAACTTCAGGCGCGGCAGCAAGCTGTCATTGAATTGCTTGTCTCCCATGGCGCCGATGTCTATGCGTCTTATCCGGATGGCAAATTTGTCCTCCCAGCCATTGTGGAGGACCGTGGCAAGCTAGACAGTTTCCTCCCTCAACTTTCGGCATGAACAGAGATCGCAAAGGCCATCATGGACGGACACTTCTGACCTCAGCTTGCATCCCTGTTTTTCCTGTGGGTGCACCAGTCTACGGCGTCCCAAAACCAAAGCCGACTGTCGTGGCCGATGCCATAAACGCCCTCGTCACCGCTCGAGCGGATGCCCTCGCTCTCGACGACGAAGCCGCACTCCTCTGCACTGGTTCTGCACCCTGTCCGGGAAACAAGTCGACGAGGCACACTGCAACACCTCCGTTTCGCTTGCTCGCCACGGCCCAGAAGCCGTGCATATAGCAGATAAGCAAGGCCGCAAGCCCCTGCACCTAGCCCTAGCAATCAACGCGAGCCGCGCGCAAATTTCGTCGTTCCTGATTCAACACCTCCTCTCCGTCGGCGTCAATCCAGCAGACCCAGACCCGCTGACAGGCAACTCAGCTCTGCACTTCATCGCACCACGGCTCGTAGGTGAGTCCACGGCGGCCGCGGCCGCGACCACCCTGTTCCTCGAGCTGGCGGCCCACCTTGACATCAACGCGCGCAACGGCGCAGGCGAAACGCCGGTCTTTGCGTTTGCGGCGGTTGGGTGGGCGGGCACGCGCAATCCGGAAAGTAAGGTCGGGCACCCAACGTACGCGCTCAAGCACGACATGACGCATGCCAAGGCACTGGATATGTTTGTTGAGTTGGGTGCGGATCTGGTGGCTGTCGATGGGAAAAACCGGACGCTGCTTCATGTGACGGCTGGACGGAAGGGTGTGCGAGGTAGTCAGTTGGAGCCGGAGGAGATGGAGGATGTTGAGGGGGCATTCAAGAAGCTCCTTGATTTGGGGATTCATCCACGGGCGGAGGATGATCAGCTGCGGACGGCGATTGATGTGACTGTGGCGCGAAATATGTATGGGATTGTGTGGATGTTTAGTGAGGAGGGGAGGAGAGAGAGGGAGAAGGGGATGAAGGATGATGGTGGAAAGGAGAGCGGGAGTGGTGATTTTGAGTGGTGATGGAACTTGCCGTGTGTGGCAGTGATTTCAATACTAGATAGAGTAGAGCAAAGACTGGCTAAACTCTTTTGCTACTCCGAGGCGATGACGGAGTGGTGGTATCAAAGTTCCATGGTCCAACTATTTCGCTGAATATTTTTCTTGTGAACATGGACTTCAGAATGACATGGAAAAAGGCGTCTCCCAAGTCAGGATTGGAACAATAGGGTATGTAAAGAAAGGAGACCAATCTGCGAGCACGAACACGATACGGCGCCTGGGAACAACGGCCCTTTATGATCCTTATGGATGCGAACTGAATAACAGCTATGCAAAACGTCCGAGAAACGATCAGTCTGAGCCTTGACGCCACTGAAATGCAAACCACATGCAGACATCGCAATGTCGTAGCCATACCCAAATGCGTAACCATCATTAACCCTCCTCATCAAATCACTCATTCATCGTCCCAAATCCAATGCCCGCAACCCAGACACCCAAGTGTCGGTGAAGCGCAGATCTCAAGCCGTCCCAGCCGCCTTGACGAGCCTCTTGGGCGAGTAAATCCGGAACTGGACAAAGATAATGCAGTCTTCGATCATAGTGCCAAGCGAGCCCAGCAACCAGGGCAGCGCCCGGACAAAGTAGTCCGGATCCTGCGAATAGGAAATAACGCTCGCGCCGTATGTGAAGTTGCCCGTCAGCGAGAGCAAAAAGAAGAGAAGCGCGAGCCCCTCGCACGACTTTTCTCGGTAATTTTTGACAATTTGGGGGATGCGCGCACTGTCGCCAACCAAATCACATTAGTAAACCACTCGCCCATAAACCATCCTCACAAAACCACCGGAGAGCAGGGGAAGAGTGGGAAAATTAGGATGCATAGGACATACCACAAGTAACAGACCGCGCTCGCATAACCAAGCACCATCCCCACCATCGCAACAGGCTCCTTCATCATGTCCCCACCTCTGTCCTCATCCTCCGGCCCTGGCGCTACTGCCCCGCCATCACCAGCCGCCCCCCACGCGCCCATCTTGTAGCTGAAATACCACCCGGCTGCGCCGACCGCCCACACGGCGAGCAGGCTCGTGGCGTTGTGCAGCCAGGGATTGCTGTCGGGCGTGTCGTCCTCGCCCGTGATGATGCGCGTCAGCGGGTCGACCAGTCCGGAGCTCTCGCGCCGACGCACCTCGTGGCGCCGATGCGAGCCGGGGAGACCGCTTGAGTCGGCCCGCGCGCGGGGGGTGGTTGGGAGGAGGGGGTCAGATTCGGTTGGGGCGGGGTCGAGAACGGCGGTGGATGTGCTTGCGTCGAGGTCGTCGTCGTCGCGGCGGCGGTGGTGATGGTGGTGGTGATGATGATGGTGATGGTGGTGCTCGCGGTGAGCGGCGCGGCGGCGGGCGTTGATGGTGTTGTAGTAGGTGCATTGGCTTATCAGGATCAGATCGGCGACGCAGAAGTAGCTGGCGAGGGCTATTGTTGAGGGCGCAAGGCTTGTGAAAAGGGCACCTGAGGCAAGGTTAGTACGAAGTACGCCGAGCATACAGAGTACTTGGGCAGATGCGAACCAGACAGGTTGCAAATATCGCCGAGCAGCCAGATCAGGAGGAACTTCATTGATAAGGCGTCCGCGCTCTTGGCTTTGTAGTTTGTGATCAGTTGCGGGAGCTACAGGGTGGTCAGCCATTGTATTCAATTTTCGAGACCCTTTTGGGAATTACCAAAAGACATATCCAAGCTGTCAAACTGACGCTGCCAAAAATTCCCGAGAGGGCTTCGCCGACGCCGGGCTTATGAAGCGCCTCGGGGGCGGCAGCGACAAAGCGCAGCATGACGGACCCGGAGCGGAGCTGATGAGGAGCGGCGGAAGTTCGTCGAAGTTAAGAAAAGAAAAAATGAATGGCTACCTGGCCATATATAGGTATCAGGGACGTCGCGAACCTTGTGCCCGTCTATGTGTACCTTAAGGTTTGGTTTGGTGTTGAGCTTTGCATGCGGGATTCGAGTCATTCAGTGAGGTCACAAGCGCCGACCGCCAGACCCTTATCGCTCGGCGCAGAGATAAAGGACACCACCGAAGGAAATTGAGCATCCATCCCACGGCATCCTGGCTGGCTGAAGCTGCCAATCTCCAGTACGAAATATCGAGTCCTGTTCACTCGTTGGGTGGTGGCCTACGCACAATGCAAATCATCGAAACCTCAGTACGATGGCCGAACATAAATGGCAACCAAATGAGATCGCCGGTGACATAAACTCAAGCAGCACCCCGCATTTTCCCTTGCATGTCAGGGTCTTTTTGAGTGGGCCGGTCGTGTGAGAGCTTGGGCTATTGAGGGTGGGCCGGTTACCGATTCGCATCTGGGGACTTCAGGTTGCACCCGAACTTTCAAAAGCATCGGACACGGCCGCGGCAGAACAAAGTTCGAAGAGTCTAAGATTGCGGCATCAAAGGACACATATTACAAGACGCCAATGCGTATGTCCATGCTCTTGCCGGCCTGCATCACCTCATCCGGCGGCAAATGACTGTTACCCGTCGATTAACCTGGCCCATCGCTGAGCTTCAGCCCGACACGTGGGGCTCAACCTGCAACTGCCCTTGAACTTGACTGGCTGGACCGTCCCTCTGACAACCAGCGAGACAAGGGTCTCTAACAATCACAAGGCTGAACCACGCCTTGCCCAGCTGACTGCGACCACCGCTCTGCTGGTTTAACAGGGAGTACGAATATTCCGTCCGATTAGTGCTCATATATTGCTAGTTCTTATTACACATCGCCGGTTGTGTTTGAATTCTGTACAGCGTCATTCGGTCTTGCAGCACATCCAGCGAGATGAGGCTCTCATCGATTGCAGTAGGCGCGACAGCCTTGCCGGGCGCCCTGGCTTGGGGTGGTATGTCACTCCGCGCCTCTTCTAGCAATGACGGGATCCTAACATGCCACATCTCAGGCTTCGGACACATCAGCGTAGCCTATATCGCGAGCAACTTCGCCTCCCCCTCCACAACAACGTACCTCCAAACCCTGCTGCGCAACGACACTGGCGACTATCTCGCCGGGGTAGCGACCTGGGCCGACTCGATCCGGTACACAAAATGGGGAAGGTTCACCTCCGACTTCCACTTCATCGACGCCAAGGACGACCCGCCGCGGTACTGCGGCGTCGACTTCGACCGCGACTGCAAGAAGGACCGGGGCTGCGTGGTCAGCGCCCTGCACAATTACACGACGCGAATGCTGGACGCTGACCTGCCCGCGTACGAGCGCGCCATCGCCGCCAAGTTCGTGGTGCACTTTATTGGCGACATTCACCAGCCGCTGCACACGGAGAACGTCGAGCGCGGCGGCAACGGCATCCCGGTCCTGTTTGACGGCAAGCACTTCAACCTGCACCACGTCTGGGACACGAGCATCGTGGAGAAGCTGGTGGGCGGCGTTGGCCGCCGGAGCCCCTACGAGGCGGCCAAGCGCTGGGCGGACGAGCTCACGAAGGAGATCAATGATGGCAAGTACGCCTCGGACACGATTGACTGGCTGAGGTCTGCCAACCTGTCGGATCCCATTTCCACGGCGATGGCCTGGGCGACCGAGGGAAATGCCTATGTCTGCACGACAGGTAAGTGCTCTCTCTCCAACCGTCTTTCACAAGGCGGGACACCCTATTGTATCTCACAGCTTACGGCAAGCTAACCTTATTGAAAAGTCCTCCCTGAAGGTCCGCACGCCATCAGAGGCCAGGAGCTTGGGTCAAAGTACTACGAGGCCGCCGCCCCGGTTATCGAGGTGCAGGTGGCGAGAGCGGGATATCGTTTGGCTGCCTGGTTAGACCTCATCGTCACGAGACTTGAGACACGGACATTGCCAGACGATCTGTAGAGGATTATAGGAAAATCCATGTTGAACCGTCATACGTACGAGATTCGGGATGAGAGCCGTCCATCCTGCGGGCGGGAGATGAATCGGCACATTCGCGATCAGGATTTTGCTTCGTCGTAGACAACCCCAGAAGGCTTCATTTCCCATCAAGTCCTCAACCTGGCGGCCCCACGCCCGCTTCAACGGGCCAAAGCAGCCGACATCAAGTGGCTGGGGCTTGTGAGAAGAGTGCGGAGGCATGCAAAGCGTTACCGACAAGACATCTCCTTGAGTTCGAGGTAACTACGAAGGATCCAAGCGAATCATTCGGCCTCTCCTGACGACTCTTCCGTTCTCTACGACCTTGCGACTGTCAATTGATACGAGCGGATCACGACAGCCTCCGGCCTTTCAAGGTTCCTTGTGTTACGACGTCACGAAATACATCACGGCTAGGGAGTCAGCCCAAGCCGGGCCTTCGCGGCATGAGAGCGACCTTGACGAAGACGACATACCTACTCGACCTGCAGAACCCTCCTCTGATGGACACCGTCGACGAAGAACTTGGTAAGGAAGCCTGGACCCGTTGTAGGGCGCGGCCTGCGCGCAGAGATGGTTGATCACTAATGGACATGATCGTCTCAGGATGCCACCGGACACTCGCTTCTCTAGGCATGTCTCGTCTCCTCATCCTATGACCAGGTACGTCGTAGCGCTACAGCAGGCCCTTGCTACTAAAATGACAGTCCTAGACCCAAGGCCAACCACCTGGGCACGCGGTCCCCATACTCCTCCGACAAAAGGCTCAAGGTTGGTGTTGAATAGCTCTGAACCGTTGGGATCCCACGCATTGCTCACTCCCAGAGCGTACGTCTCACTATTGTAAATTATGCGTGACTCGCCCTCAAGTAGAGCCGCTCCTTGCTCGGGGCAGAGTACGCCGACGGGCTCGATGCTGGGAAAGCCATTGTCAAATATCTGCTTGTACATGTAGTCTCTGGGACGCAAGTCGGCAAATCCACCCGCATTGCTTTCCAAGCTGATGGACAAAGGCCCTTTGAAGATGCGGTCGAAAATGAGTCGCGAAGCTTTCAGGATTAAGGTGGTGTTGGAAAGTCGTGGCACTGGAAACTCGGACGCTCAGCTGCAAGTGCCCTGCTGTTGGATGCATGGCTGCCCAACTGAGCGTCAGGCAACGTGAGAGGTAACCAGGGCGCTGGGCAACGAGGTCAGGGCGATTCCCCTTTCGCTGGAGACGTGAGAGAAGAACAACCTTCAATCAAGAACATCTGGGATGCTCCGAGCATCTCAAATCTGACTGTTGTAAGCTCCCATCATCTGTGTGATCACCGTGGAATCGTGGCTGTTGGTCTTCCAACAGGTGGGTAGCAATATCGATCTTGTATGTGCGAGCTGACCAGACCTTGGGTGGTGCCCGTCACACCTTCTCTCTTTGTTTCCCTACCTGTCGAGAGCCCTGTACAGGTCTCTCTGTAAGCGTATCTCTATAGCTGGCCAGGTCCTTAGCTTCGGTGGTTAGCGGCACCACACAGCTAAGTGTTCCACTGTCTCCCTGCCATGGCCGCATTCGCAGTAGGGGGTAGGTATTCGAGAGACCCTGGCCCGGAAGAGGAAGTCTTTAAGGCCTATAGCTCCGGTCCGGGCCTGGGTCAATAGAGAGCTCTCGGCCTTCGTGAGACCCTCGTGCCTTTCTAGTGCCTTTTTGTCAAGTTTCGGCCAATGATCGGCCGGTTGTACGGTAGATAGGGCCTGGTTCCGGGCCCTATACCGTTGTAGTCAATTGGTGATCTCTTGGGCCCACCTAGCCTTGCAGGCCTTATTGAGAGCCTCTGTAGAGTCTTTGCCTTGGGCTCTCCAGGCTGCAATAGCCTCTGTAGCTTCGTCGATTGCTAGAGGTTGCATTGGCCCTTTGGCTCTTTGTAGTCCTTAGAAGCAATTGCGAATCCTGTTGCAGGCCTCCTCGACTAGCAGGCTAGGAGGCCGAGGAAAAAAACGTGACCGTCTGAACCCCCTAATGACCTAATCACCCCAACGAAGCTGTCTTTCAAGGATTTTAATCCAATACCCACTCTTACGCATATCCCGGCCATGGCAAATGCGGCCTCAACTAAACGCAGTGTGCCCCTTCGGTGCTTGCACTCTGAGCTATGAATCGGCCCCTATGATCCGCTCAAAGAAAGATAACACTGGCACCAACCACCTTCCTCTGGTCTTCCGCAACGCGGCCAACTTCTCCTTCACCTTCCAACCACATTCCCGCATCGGCCACCATCTTCTCTCCGAACCCCATCAAGACGTTAACGAGCCCGTCACCATCTTTGATAACATATCTGACTCTCCTGGCCGGGGTGCCACCCAACCTCCGGAAACGACGTATAACCGCAGCTGGACCTTGGGTGTGATACCTATCCAATGACAACAGACTCCGAGTACCTCTTTCGGAGTTGATCTCTTAGCATCTATTCAGCCGCATATATACAACTTGGCGATGAGCCAAGGTCCTATCCCTTGTCTGAAATTCATAGGGTTGAACAGCCAGAATCAGAATGTCTCCAACGCGTTGCTGTTCCTTGACATACGATCCGCGCTTTTCTATCACCGCATCAGTCAAAAAGACAGCCGTCACACCTCAACAACGGCAAGCCCAACATATCTAAAAAGAAAATTACGGGGGAACTTCAAAGGCTGAAGTCTCATTAAATCGCGGGTAGCATGACCTCAAGGCTCCGAAGTTGCCACATTTACGGATGCTGAACTTGACCGGTGTCTTCAACATTCCCGCTGTGATGGGCTGAGCCCATGATGGCCTCGGCAACCCTCGGCCGTGGTATCATGATAACGTCATCCTGAAGCAGGCAGTGTCTGTGTGTTTCGGAGCATATAAGAGCTGCCCTCTCTTCCTGTCATCTAGTTCTCTCTTTTCTTCTTCTTTCTCCATTCGAGGCAAACTCGTAGAGTCGTCACCAGCTAGTTGCAATATACTCCTGGGACCGTTACACCCGCCGCCTGCAAGGCAGCTGACACTACATCCATTGCCAGGCGCCGCTAACTGGCCGAATTACTGACTTTATCCCGTTTGTGCCCTTTTCGCCGATCGAACAGGCAGCTGTCGCAGACAAGTGCCTCTCCGAGCTTGGGAAAAGACTGGCAAAGCCCCTCGACACCTGTGAAGAGGCTTTCAGGTACCGACCTGGCGGCAACATCGATTTGCAGGTTAGGCGAGCATACCCGGTCAATAAGGCACTGGCTGAACAGAGAATGCCTCAAGTCTTGGTTCGTAATGTTCTCGTATAGGAGAAGAGGGTACTGGAGATCGCCTTCGCCGTCCTTCTTTGAGGCTTTCTTCAGACGACCTAGGATAAGCCCCGGGGGGGTCAATCGGAGATCGTCTTAGCTGTCCTTCGATAGAGCTTCCTTCGTCTGACGGGGCAGGAACTCTGTATGTACCGGGAGTGTGGACTCGAAATTGGCTTAGTCGTCCTTCGTTACGACTTTCTTCATCTGAGGATGTACTGGGTACTGTATACGTGCCCGCAGCGCGGATTGGGGATCACTTTGGCTGTTCTTTCTCCATATTTCCTTCAGCTAGAGGAATATCAGGTATAACGTATTCGGAGGAAATGCGGTGGTGGATTGGAGGTCGCAACTATGAACCTGACCTTCGCGCGTTGGGTGGTTTTTGGGCATTCCCACCAGGACAAACTGGTCTGCTGTGTCTACTATCCATGTCGTAGCCCCGGCCTTTCGGCCTGCCTGATAGCTGGTGAGACACAAAACCGGAAGGAGGATGGCCATGTCTCGGGGGTATTTGTGAAAACGGGCGACCACCGGGGGCGGGGGGTGCCCTTTCCAATGCCCCCCCTCGTGCTGGAGCTGGTAAGATGAATTGGTGTCGTGCGGGTGTTGGCCGTCCCGCAGGATGCGTTGCGACATCGAAAGTCTGAGTCGCCGGGAAACTCGACTCGAACGACACCGGAGGTGATTGCTGAGTTGCAGAGGCTCGGGCCGGGCTATCGTCCGGGATAGTGATAGGACTTTGAGCGGTGCCTACTTCATCATCCTCCACTGGGCTGCCAAGAGCATGGAGCACACAGAGGGGTAGGACATACGGGAGCGGTCGATGCTCGTGACTCCATCGACCCCGAAGTCTGAGCCCAGAACTCGAGGATGGTGCGGGATCGAGAGGCGGGTCCGTACGGTACGCATCGCTGATCTGCAAAAAGTAGATCTTGTCGCCCGGCACCGTTCTTGACAGCTCATCGAGGCTGGCCGTGTAGGTCCTTGCCAAATCAACCGCCGTGATTCCCTCAGCCTCGATTCTTCCCGAGGTCGTGGTCGGATCTCCCCATTCGCCTCCTGCCGTTTGAAAGGTATTAAGGCAGAGGCCAATGTTTGGCCGGCTGGCTTTCTTTATGGTGGACCAGACGTCCTTCCAGGTCGGGACGCAGGTCGCCCAGCACCAGTTCTCATAAGCAAGTCGAAACCCCCGTGCTGCCAACATATCGGCCAAACATCCAAGATCTGCGGCAATCTGGTCCATGTCCTTGGACATGTCCGTTGAGTCAGATGACCCAACTTGCGACATGTCGGTGCCAGCGGCCTCCATGATGTCGATCCATGCCTTTGCCCTCGCAAAAGCCGCTTGGCGTTGCTGGCTTCCCTCTGGCCAGCCTTCAAAGTTGGAAAACGGCTGGAGGACAAGGATTTTCAAGCCGTGCCCGATGCACATGTCATGGACTGCCTTCGCGGCCTCGCACAAAGAGCTGTAATCATCTTCGGCGATGTCGCGGCCAAAATGCCGGCTTGCGTAAGCTTGGAGTCCGGGAAAAGAGAGCTCAATACCGTCAAAGCCCGCTTCGCGAATAGCCTCGATTTTCTGATGGAGCGTGTGCCGAGGTAGCCCGATAAAGCACAAGGCAAATGCAACAGGGTGACGAATTGAGCCAGATCCCTAGGACGTGGACGATATGATGTGAGCTGTCGAATACTTTGCAGCTCGTTGGGCTCGGACTCGATTAACACACTGCAGTAACCAACCTCTACTGCAGTGGGTATGAGTATTTCAGGTGATTGTTTCCAAACCGTCCTGTGTTCTAAGGCTGATTTAGATCCTGTAGCAAGGTTTGGAATCTTGGAACTCGATCTATCATTGTAACTTTTGTCAATGATGTCAGCCCTGCATGTCATAATCACACCCACTACGGGGTACTCGCACTTAACTTTCAGCGAAATCTCACAAGAAAGTAGCGACCTCCTTGCTCCTTGTATCGGACAGTGTATCTGAATAAAGTGAAACCAACTCCAGTCCTACCGCTGCTCCGTAAGTGTAACAATTGTTAGGTTCCACCCGCCTTCTTAGCCCGCTTTGTGTTAAGAAGTGACGTTATATTATATGTAGCTAGGCTTCGAGTTAGGCTTGGAGCAACGACCGAAACATTTTGGGTATCCCAAAGCTACGGCTGGTGAAGATGGAAGATGTTACTAGCCGTAGTCGTTGCTCGTGGAAGCTCCAGATCAGATATCAATTCAAAATCCAGTGATGGAGTGGCCCGTGGGTAGCATGTCTAGCCTGCTACTTGCGTAGCAGTACCCCGGCAATATTCCGACACCAACCTCGGAACATGGACCGTGTCGAGGTATGGCTAATTAGCACACCTAACGCTGACTGACCAGGTTCAAGAACGAAGACCACATACCTTACAACAATGACTACCTAGTGTAGGTACAACTTACTGTGCAAAGCTAATTGTAATTGAGATGGGCAAACTCGCGCAAGGCTCGGATTCCAACTCTCTGATCACGAGTGAGATTGGTAAATCTAGGCTGCTTTGGTGTAGATGAATTAAGTCCGCTATTGCAAGGCCTCGGCTAAACTTCGTCATCGTCGTTGGTAAGCTCAGCTGTAGGTTTGGTAGACATTGTTGCATTCCTATAGATTTTAAGATAAGTATTCTCCCATAGGAGTTGGCAGGAAAGTGACTTTAGTAATAAACTTCAGTGGATGTAAGGGGTTTTGCCAGACCCTTATCAACCCCCTTTGCCAATTCACTACGGATCCGTACACTAGCAATACTAACCCCGGCGGAGGTGTACTAAGGTGATCGGCCGGGGAAGTGGGTTTACAGCGGTCGGCCCACTCCGATCCAGTGCAGGGCCGGCGGAGCCGATGCCGCTCCAGCTAAGGGAGCCTAACTATGGAAGGACAAATATATTGTAGCAATCAGCTGAGGGGGTACACTCTTTCTGCAGAACCTGCTCCCTCCATGAAACTGCCTTGTCAAGACAATCATTTTCCATTGAAGTTACTTAGGCGTGCCGCGGTCACGAAACGGAAATCGCATAACTCGCGTTCAGATAAATGGATCCATTGTGTGGATCTACTGTACTTTATCTCGGTCGGCCTCGGGCGAAGTGGGCCGCCACCATGCTATACGTCATAAGAGCACCTCGAAGTGGTGGTTTCGCCACGCAAACACTTATCTCGGGCCTGGATTGAACTTATCGACGGACTGGAGTTCGGAGATGGACTGTGATCTATCGATGATGAGGCTGGAAATTCAGTTGCCGCCGAGGCGATGTCTTAAATAGAGGAGTGGCCAGTGCTCCTTCAAACACCGCCCCCGGACCGCAAAGCTGCCGGATTCAGGATCACGGAGAGATTCATGGAGCAGCCACAGGAAGCATGAAGGTCCCTGCAACAGACAAGAGCTCCTCCCGTAGGCCTAGCGGAGCAACGCAACAGTTTGAAGATGCCATGCTATCAATTCAAGTATAAACAAGGTACTCTGTTGACTTGAGCGATGTGGTCGGGAGTGATGCGCAGGTGTTGAGTTCATTAGGGACAGCGATGTTCACCGCAGAGAATTGGCCGGTGGGCGGGACTACTGCCTAAAGTGGCTGGTCTCCATGCGAACAAGAACAGGGGGTCTGTGCGGTTAGACCGTCCCAACTTGCCAAGATTTGACGGAGCCTGGCGGGAGCATATAGTACCACAGTCCAGTACAGCGGAAGGGTTGGTTCCATGGTTGGTTGGTAATCATCAATACCTAAGCTTCATCTTGCTTGGACAGAACGAAACGTACGTTAGGCGGCGGCCACGAGAGTGGCGGTTGCGCTTGTAGCAGCTGGCAGGGGGTGGTTGTGATATGGCAAGGATAGACAACCAGAACTTCCCTCCTCCACCAGAAAAACTCTTCTTCGCCAAACAAATTGGCTTCTCTCCATAACGATACCATTCGTTACTGACTGATTTTTGATCAAGCGGTCCGCTCATATGCTGTGTTATCGATACTAATGACCAAAATCCCTTGACAAAGCACTCTTGGCACCAGGTATCTCAACAAGAACACCATGCCCACCGTCGTCAAACCAGACCCTCTTACCACTCGGAGTGGCAGAACTCACAAATACGAACAATTTGCAATTTCGCCTCTCCAAGCGCTCCACTGTATCTCGAGTACACACTATATCTCCCTCCTCGTACACGGAACGGCGATTCGTCGCTCGCATTTCAGCTTCCCAAACAACGAGATCGGCTCCGTCGTTCCCAACAAGAACGGTTTCACCCACACCGTGATCCAAGCTTGGCAGCAGGACTTGCACCTGAAGCTCCGGCCTGACGACGTTTGGCTCGCCATCCTAACCCAGTTCAGCTTCTTCGTTAACGGAAATGCCGACGCCCTCCGCCCTATCTTCGTTGCCCATGAAGGTCGGGTTGAAGTCGTTGTCGATGCCCGCCCCGACACCATCGAAACTGTTGACGTCGGCTCCGTCGCGCAGGAGCTGGCCAGCATGGTGAAGCAGCGCCTCAAGGACCCCAACATCGCTACCGCCCTTCTTCCCAAATTCACGACCACAACACCACTTGACCAGACTACGGCCGCCATCGTGTTCCTCGGGGCCGTGAAGGAGTACTTTGGCTACGGGGCTCGGCTTGGCTGCAGCTTTCCATCGGTCACGCTCTTGGGCGAACGAAGCGACTGGGCCGATATGCTCCAAAGGGTGGCTTGGTTTAGCACCATCGAACATGAGGAGATTGTCGCTTGGGCTTTGCGGCTGACCAAGGTTCTTGAGTACATGGTCGCAAGCTTTGACCGCCCCGACGATCCGGATGTCAAGCAGTTTTGGATGCGCGCAATTCATCAGGCGGGATCGGCCGGCTCTGGCGGCGCTGTGACCACGTTATCTGGATGGTTGGCAGCGTTTTGCTGGTGGAACTCCGATGGCAAGAGGGTCAAGCATTACAGTGACCAAGATTTTGATCGCCTCTGTCGCCTTGGGATTTTCTCGGGGGGGGGGAAGGGATATCAGCGGTTGACATTGGATGGGCTCGAGTTTCCGGTCATTGAACGATCCGAAATTCCGGCAGGCGTTGTAAGTGTCCCAATAACCTGCTACCAGGCGGGGCTGGACCCCGTGAAATCGACCCTGCTGGCGGGGTTGATGGGGATGCAGGTTGTTGTCGAGGACGATGATGAAACTGCGGTCCAACCTGCTTCCGGGTGGTGGTGGATTACACGTGTCGCCGTTTAAGAACGCGACGCGACCGCGTTTACTATCATTTTTTTCAACCTTCCGCCATTCCTCGGCATGACGCTCAAGTTAGCTGATTTCGCAGCCAAAATGGCGGCCGGGGGGCAGCCGAACCGGGAGCTATCGCCAGAGCTTCGTGCAGCCATTTGTACGCTCATTGCCACAGGCCGGACCCAGCGCGAGGTCGGGTCGCTCTTTCGCGTGTCGAAGAAGGCCGTCGAAGGCGCGGTTCAACTCTTCAAAACTCACGAATCCTTCCATTCGAGACCTCGTAGCGGGCGGCCCGAGGTACTTACGCGACGAGGGAAGCGCCATATCCTAATTCTCTATAAACGGAATAGGAAGCTCGCTAAAAAGGCACTCCTTACCGTTACAGGAACAATTGTCTCGTACTCGACGATTCGCCGCTGTCTACGCCACCACAACATGCGCAAATGGAGAGCAATGAAGTGAATTCCATTGAAGAAAAAGTGGCGAAGGATAGATATGACGTTGTCTGCGACCAGCTCGGAAATCTCGAAGAGTTCCTCCGGGTTTCTAGCTTAAAGTCTCCCCTTGTTTTAGCTATATCTAAATAAAATAGACCATGTTCTCAGAAGAGTGTTCTTGCCAAAACAGCACCTCAAATCCGACTGCTTGGGTATTCCGTTTCCCTTCTGAGAGCTTCGAGCCTCGATTCGTCAACCTCCGGAACCATATGAAGGCGAATATTACCATTATGGTATGGGGAAGTAGTTGGTTTGTGAGAAACCCTGGCAGTTCAGTTAGACATCATATAAGTGGAAGTAATAGCACAAGTAGAACAAGTTGTCTCTGAAACGACTCTGCCTATGTATAACGATTTGAGGGCCTAGGAGACCGCTGAACCTTTTGGCTTCACCGAACCTCACCTCGTTGACAAGTTATAACCTTCAGGAGTCCCTTTCAGAAGTTGGGGCTTCGAGATTCGTCACAAAGTGCGATGCGTTATGTCTGCAGATGGGCGGGCTCAGTCATTATCACGGGACCTGTGAGCCTTTAAATCCACAGGTACCCGTGAACCTATTGGCTCCCGTGACCTAGGCTCTGCTGAGTGACGGGGCGAGCATGTGGGCAATCCGATGGAGCACTTAATCTTCCTTCTTCTTGGACTTGTGAGCAAGCAGGGACAGCACCGACGGGGAGTCTTTCACACCATAGAAGTCTAATCCCCGCCACTGCACGCTCTAAGGTCACCAGGAAGACTCCACAATCGCCCAAGTTATGGTTGATTGCTGAAACCGTAGTAGTTTAATGATTGGATCGACTGAATTGACTGAGTCTGACTGGCTGAACCAAATGGTAGGTTGTAAGAATCGTGGAGAGAGCTGTGCGGTGGTCTAGAAAAGCTCCTGCTAAGAGTGCGGAGATATGGGTACCGGGCTTAGACTGTACTCTTGGCGCCATCACATTCCATCACAGTGGCAAGCCAATCAGATCCTACCTAACGGATAACGGCTGTACCTCTGTACATAGTAGGCCAGTGCTGCCCACAAGGCAAATCAAGTCAAATCGGCACACCGACTTGCTTTGATTTGAGGCTAGAGATACTCGACTTGCCTTGTCAGTTCCTCGACTTGCGTTGACCCAAAGCTTTGCCAAGCCGCTTACATAATCCCCCGAAATGGGTTGTTCCGCACCGCCCCGTTTTCCCCCCCCCTGAGCCACCCGGATCCGAGTCTCCCAGTCTTTACTGCCTCTTTGCCCACTGTTTCAGACACTCCACCATGTGATAGTATTGTCTTCGAGGCTCTAGCGTTTTAAGCCCACTGTAAGCTTCGCACTGCTGAACACCCTCTCGCACTCCGCAGACATCGCTGGGATAGTAAGGACGTTGAAGGCCATCGTGGAAAGGCGAGGAAGACGTCAGGATTCACGGAACCCGCCGCATTTCCATCCCAAAACGGGCCGTCCGTCTCCATCTCGGCGCAACCGTCGCAACACTCGGCCATGGGAAACCAAAGAGAGAAGGCTTGCAAGGAAGGTGATGAGGTAGCTACTATGCTCTGGGAGGCTCCTTAGTGGACCTTAGAGCGCCCGGCATGTGCTCTCGCTCTATTTCACGAGGAACTTAGAAGCTTGTTTGAATTTGCGTTCAGCTGCGGCGGCTGTAGAGGCAGCTTCTTGACTCTGCTTTGCTAGGAAGTTTTCGTTATTCAGGGCTAGCATTGAACACGGTGTATTAGCAGGGGCACCACGCATCGCGGTGTTCTACAACGAGGAGGAATGGATATTGTACCACTCCAATCTCATGGTTATACTACTTGGCTTTCATCTGAACCCCTTGGCTTCCATCTGAAACTCTTGGTTGCTGTCTTATTCTCTTAGCTTTCTGATCTACCGGCGCAAGCTAAACCGCGTGGCAGCTTCAACCATTGACTTAAGAAAATTTGTAGAACAGTATGAACCTCCGGGACCTGGTTGTGCGCTGGCTTTCTAGTTATGCGCGCCGTGAGATGAGTATTTGGAGAAGCCCAAAGGGCCTATTGCAAGAAGCATTTTTTTGCGCTGTGGGCGTGCCCATCTCGACCACAAAATCCGTACACAGTTGCCTGCCTCGGGTCAGTTGGAGTCCAGGATGGCGCACATTTTCGTGGTAGACATGCTGGTAAGAGAGACTGGTTGAGATTGTAATCCGAAATGAATGCGCCTTTGCCAGCCCTGTCAAGATCGGCACTATGGAGGGCCGATCCGCACCGATCGCCTTCCAAGTTGACGCGGCCTTGGCGGCTTGGCTCGCGGGGCCACCTGGCTGAGCAGGTATCTGCGCCACTCACATGTCTCAGGCTCTCAGCAGAATCACATCCTCCGCCTGAATTCAACCTCGACCGACCGCAGCCATCTCCGACTTTTGTTCTACTACATTTCCAATCCCGCATCAGTGATAGCTGGCGTTCCTTGGCCTCGATTCTACTTTGCGACGTATTTTTTTTCGCTCTCATCGCGAGGCATTACAGCACTCAGGAAAACCAAGCAGTTCAAGATGGTATCAGAAGACCGGCAACGGATCATCGAGACCAACCGGTCTCTCCGTCTGATTAAGAACGCAAGTCCACACCGTCCCGCTTGATTATCCGGGAGTCATCATCCCTCCTCCTGCTAACACGCTCCAGGAACTCGAGTCCCTCCTCGAGAAAGGCGTCATCACTGATTCCGCCTTCGACTCCATCAGCGCCCTGCTCCCAGCCGAGTCCCCTCTCTCCGGCGGCCCAGTAGCAGCAGCCCGCACCGACAACGCCAATTCTTCTCTCCCCACGCCTTCCCCGTCCAACCCGTCACCTGCTCCCGCCGTCTCCCCGCCAACCTACGCCCAGTCCACCGCCCCCCCGCCGTCCCTGCCCGTCCGCAACAACCCACCTCCCCCGCCCGCGGACAGCAGGCCCATCCTGACGCACGCGCGCGGCCTGTACCGCTACGCGGGCACCGACGCGCGCGACGTGTCGTTCGAGCGCGACGACCGCATCGCCGTGCTCGAGTACATGAACGCGGACTGGTGGATGGGGCGAAACCTGCGGACGGGCCAGGAGGGGATTTTCCCGCGGAGTTATGTCGTCGAGGAGCAGCAGAGCCAAGAAAAGATGCCGGTGGCGGGGTACCCGCAGCAGCCGCAGTATGCTGCTCCTGCATCAGGGCATTATCCGATCGCGCCGGTGCCGGTGGGTGGGTACGGGCAGCAGCAGCAGCAGCAGCAGGAGAGCGGAGGGGGAGGGGGGAGCAGCAAGATTGAGGAGCACGGCAAGAAGTTTGGCAAGAAGCTGGGGAATGCGGCGATCTTTGGCGCGGGCGCGACGATTGGGAGTAATATTGTTAATTCCATCTTTTAAAAGAGCGCAGGGGACTGTTGGTTAGCGGGGGTTGGCGCAAGGAGACCGGGGAGGCTGGCTGGGGACATGGGAGGGGTTAGATTTGGAATGCGTTCGTCCGTCCAGCCCTTATGGACGGCAAGGGGTCTCTTTTCCCCAGCTGTCAGCGTGAGCCTTATCATTCACGACTTGCAGGCTGTTTTTTTTCCCACGGCACGACGGGCCGGATAGGTTTACTGATAACTGACTGAGCGTTACTCTGGGGTTTTCCTTTTAGCTAACAATGACGGTCTGCCATGACTGACAGAATTGAGCGCAAGCGGAGTTCCTATGTACGATTACCAATCAGGACTCGCTGTCGCCATCGTCTCACCGGTGCGATATGGTGCGTGCGGACCGCTCCTGACGATCCTCTGTTGCGAGGCTGCCGCGTATAGACGTGGAGCGTATGTAATTGCGCGTACCACTGCAGAACCAGGTCCGGCATTCGATAGATGGGCGTTCAGGTCTGGGCACACATCCTTCCCCTGGCCGGCCGGCCTTGGCCTTCAAATTTTCACTCACATTCTGAACTCGAGCTCATGAGCTTATCAAGCTGGTACACAACGCTATTTTCAATGTGAGGACCATTTAGAATTTGCAAGGACGTTGTCAGACCGTCCACAACAACAACCATTGTCTTGGCAGTCGTCATTCGTATCCTTCCCAAGCTCGCCTTCCTTTGATGGACTCTGGACTCGTAAAAAACGCAAGAGACGAACCATGCCTTTACTCAAAGCTGATGAACTACCACTTCGACAGCCCAGCTTTCAATTGACTATTCTTGTACTTGTACCCATGTGGCTCAATGGTAGAGCGTCGCCCTCCTATCTTACCAAGGAACTGAATAGGTGAAGGTTGAAGGTTCGAGTCCTTCCATGGGTGAGTTTTTGTCCCTGGCATCTACTTATGCATTGAAGAGAGACTTGGACAGAACTTTTTAGCTTATGATGTGATTTGCCTTTTTTGGGATAGCATCTCTCCCTTGTGTTGTCGGGGCGAGATTCAAACTGCAGCAAGAGTTGGTCTATGCTATCGAGATTGTCCATCGACCACGATAAGTAGCCTGGGACCACAGTACGCAGTCTGGTTTGGCATATTGTATGTAGTGTGGCTGTGCCTCTGTTGTGTATGTGCTGGGCCAAGTGATGAGCTGGACGAAAGCTATCGTCAACAGTCATGTCGGTTCCCCGACAAAAAATAAGAAGGTAAGTATTTTCGACAGCGTGCAAACCGAGGGAAAAGAGATGACCTGCATAACAGAAAACATCTCCCGTCAGTGCTTGAAATGCAAGTACACAAACTCCGCGCTCCCCATCTTCCGACCCTGGTATTTATCCCCCCATATCGCAATGTAAATAGACCTGCCGCAAATGAGAACGCCATGCCTAGTAGAAAACGAAGGAAACAAGACGGCAGCATCTGGGCGAATAATGATATGAAGGGCGAGGGATTGGGACAGAGCCGCCTAAGACGCGATTTCGACAACGACAGCCGCATCCTGCACAGTAGCAACAATCCCCTTCATCGCCTCGCCATCCACCTCCTCCAGTTCTGATTGAGGTTCAGGCCAAGGAGGCAATTCCATAGCGGCAAACGGCTTCCCCTCCCTCCTCTCGAGTTCGACCTTCAAGATCTCCGCCGCCAGCGCCCACCTCCGGAGGAGCTTGGCCCGGCGCTCGGCAAACCGCTGCACGAGCACCTCGGCCTCGTTGGCAAACTCGACGGCGAGGTCCTCCACCTCCTCGGCGCGCCGGTCCACGAGCGCCTCCATCTCCCTCGCGTGCCGCCCCACCAGCTCCTCCATGCTCTTCACCTGCTTCTCGCGCAACCCATGGATCAGGCTCTGGTGCCGCCGCTCCATGCCGTCGCGCACGCAGTACTGCTGCCGCAGCTGCTCCCGGTCGCGGTCCGTGACCCGCCTCCGCGGCATCATCATCATCATCATGGCGTCGCTGCTGCTATCCCCCCCGCCGCTGTTGCCGCCGCCAGAAGATGTCTTGCCGCTGCAGTAGTCCTCCATGTACTTGAGCTTGATGCGCACCTTCTTCTCCTTCTCGGCCAGCCCCGCCGCCAGCTCAATCTCGGCCATGACCTGGCGGTCTTCAAGGTGCTGTTCCGTCTTGGCGTGGCGCTCGCGCATCCTGTCGATGGCGTCGGCGAACCGGTCAACGAGCGCCCGCTTGCGGGCGAGCTGCCGCGAGCGCATGGCGTCCCGCGCCTTCAGCTCATACTTGCTAAACCGCGCCATCTCGGCCTCGAACTGCTCCCTCAGCGACCGGAACTCGCTACTCTCCAGCGTCCGCTTCTCGGCCTCCCGCCGCGCCGTCTCCTCCGCCAGCGCGGCCTTTTCCGCGGCGAGCTTCTCAGCCTCGAGCTCGGCAAGCCGCGCCTCCTCCTCGACGCGCCGGCGCTCGAGCTCCTCCTCGCCGTTGCAGAAGTTGGGACACCCGACGTCCGGGTCCCAGACGGCGCCGCAGATATAGCAGAACTGGGCCTTGCACCGACACGTGATGTGGGTGCAGCCGTGCGCCAGCTCGACGAGCGCGCGGCACTTGTAGCAGCGACGCCAGCCCGAGCTCTCGCCCAACTTGAGCACGGCGTTGGACTCAAAGTCCTCCGGGCAGTCCTGCCCGAGCTGGTGGGCGTTGCGCTTGCACATGACGCAGGCGCGCGTCTTGCAGGTCTTGCAGAGCGCCTCGAACGGGCGTTTGGGGTCGACCCGGTCGGCCGGCGGGATGAACTCGCCACAACTGGTGTTCGGGCAGAAGATCCGAGCCTCCCAGGGCGTGCTGTACTGAACCACTGCCTTGAGAAACAGGTGTTGTTTCTCGCGCGGGAGGACCGTTTTGATGATGGCGCTCGGGATGGGCTGGGTGCAGCACCGAGGCGGCATCCGGGACTCGTCCGTGATGGATTGATCGACCATGACCGCCAGACAGTCGCGGCAGTAGAGGTGGCCGCATGGCAGCGTGTGGAGGGCACTGTTACCGGCTAGGAAGTCTTCTTGGCAGCATACACAAGGCCTAGTGTAGAACGAGTCAGGGCCAGTTGCTCGCGAAATGCCGCTAGGCTGCATAGAAAACTTACATGGGCAGGTTTGCGGTGGGCCGCTTCCTCCTCAGCTTCGCCGCTATACTTTTGGTAAAACTCCGGACTCCCTTTCTGGTTGCTGACCTCACCACGACGCCTGCTGACCACTCGGACCTGTCGTTGGCCGGCCTTAGGAATTTGGGTTGGGCAATGGCAGGATCAACCTGGCTGATATACTGCTCGTACAGGGAGAAACTGAGGCTTTTGGACCTCCTTCTCGCCGAGGTCTCTGCCGGCGCCGCATGGGTTGCTGTCGTGTGATCCGACGTCTGCGGTTCGGTCCCGTCGTCTGCCGCTCCGTCCGAATCCGCGGATCCCGCCAGAGCACGTGGTAAGTTCGGTGTATCCAGCGAGCTCCCCATATGCGTTTCCTGCTCCGGCCCGGCGTTTGCTTGTCCCGACGTTTCAATCCCAAGAGCAGCTGCCTTGGCCAACAGCCGCTGTTCCATATCTGCCTCGGTCGTGCCGTCGCAGGCATTCAGGACCTCGTGGACGTAGTCGGCATCTCGAAGCTCAGGCGGCACCGCGTTGGGGTTGGCCTTGCCCTCCCGCAGAGAAGAGTGTCGAGCCATGGAGCTTACGACGGCGAAAGCAGGCCAGTCGATGGTCGAGCCAAAGCCAGAGGGAGCGACTCTTGAGCCGTCGGATGCGTGTGCGTTGCGAATCTGGCAGACATGATCTGGGATCAAGCCCAATGACGTCGAGAGGTGGGCGTAAATGCTCTCATAAGGCATGCGATTGAGTTGGGCCGATCAGGGCGTGGGATGGTGTCGTTGGGTTCGCTTTGCCCAGTTTGATGGGCAAGGGTGGCCTGGATTGGCTGCGAGGTAGGCGGTCTTGGCTAATCTTGCCAAGACGGCAGCTGCCCTGCGCTCCACAAGTGCCGCGACCGGCCCGAAGTGCTACGGTAGGAGGTACCGAAAGAGCGGCGGCGATAACCTGATTGACGAGATTTGATCGGAGACACGCGAGACGGAATTTGCGTCTGTAACTCGAGCGAGCAGCAGACCGTGGTCGAACTAAAGCTGCTCCCGGGAAAGGCCCAGATGAAAGTAGGAGGTTATAAGGCGTCAACTGGAGCTGCTGGTTTAGCGCAAGTCTCGACGGGGCTTATCCGGGGTTTTCGATCGATTGCCGCTGCGTTCACACATCCACATGCTCGCACGAGCAGTCGTACAATGATTTTCTCTGACGAGGTCGGGGCTGTCCTTGTGTTTAAAGGAAACCTAGCAAGCAATGGAAAGGACCGCATCTTGCACGGATCCATCGAAAAAGAGAAAAGCAGCTCAACCGTTACACCAAGCTGTTTGCTGCGTCACTCCGGAAACGCCACACTACTGTGTAGGTTCCCTCACTAGGCAGTCAAGGCACCGTTGTCCCAGGGAGCGTCCCAGGACTTGTAGCCCCTGTGGCGCTGACTGTGGGACTGACTGCCGTTTGCACCCCAAATCCGTCGCCGAGGACCTGAGCGGGTGATCCAGCTAGATTTGGATACCCAATCTTGGTGTATTCCATCCAGTAACAGGGTACGGGCTGAGTTTGGTTACGAGCTTTGTCCCCCCACCCGCTGATTTGGCGCGGCGTCGATCGATCAACGATGCTGACATCATCCTAACAATGATTGTCTTCGAATTTGACAGGATGCCCGCAGAGGAGTCATCCCAGCAATGAAACGATCGGCCGTGGCGCTCAAACCGGAGACCAATAAGCTTTATTCGTCATTGGCTCGTCATGAACCTCTGTTTTCGCAAGCTTGCCTTAAATCACCAAACTTGCAGGATACCTAGTGCCCTGATTTGCGCCTGGGAGCATGCAGGAGACATTGACAGTGTACAGGAAAGTACTCCGTATGGCAGCTGGGAAAAGCATCCAAATTGTGTTGCTTTTCCCAATATGGGAATTGAGATCACCCGACCACACACCAGACCGTCCGTTGGTACAGTCCAGTGACTTGGATGGTTGTCTCAGATTTTTTGTGGTCAGAGCGCGTCCCACTCAACAGCTGCCCGTCGACCGCCAAACTAGGGGGAAAATTGAAAGAATAGCTTATGTGCCTCTCACATCAGCTCTTGCTTCCCGCCACAAACAAGCGAACAAACGACGCCTGTCAGTGCGATGATGGGGGTCTTTCTTGCTTCCATCCTAGTGCCTTTTGCCCTTCCATCGATACTCGAGAGCAAGGGACGAACGGGAAGGCGTTGTCTGCGCGCCTCCTTACTCCGTGCTGTGGTAGTGCCCAGATCCAGGGAATGCAATCTGCCGACAGTGATCGGATGCGGCTGATATTTGTTATTTGCGCCCTCGGTGTGCCAGTGGCTTGCAATTCCCAAGCCCAACAGCCTCACTTTGTCACCGAAAAGAAATGTCGCCCAACAAGATCATGCCGGATCAAACAAGTTCCCACCTCGTCAGCCAGCCAACGCTCTCGCCCGCATTTCTCACGATACAAAGCTTGCCCTCTTTGACTCCCGCCTCCCGGAGCGTCTCCAGTGCCTTTTCCGCCGAAATCGACCCAATCGCGGTGCCCTTGCCCTCGCTCAGATTGAAAGCACCTGTCGTCACAAAGCCAATCAGGTCTTTCTCGTCCGGGCACAGGGGATGATGCCCGCCAATGTCGAGCTGGTTGATAGCTGGCCTGGGATAAGGGAGCTCTGTCGTGACGAGTGATTGCGCTAGCAGCCTTTTCCGAGTCTCTATATCGACCCCGGGCGCCATTTGTGGGGGGCCGCCCAATCGGGATCTTCTGCCCCGACCTTTGTTGTTGTTGTTGATGGGAAGTTTCCGAAGCCATTGATCTCTCAGATCCATAGGCAGGCGTCCTGGGTTGGTCGAGGCAGGGTCGGTAGCGAGAACTTCGGCATCTGCCGGTAGATCGGTGATCCTTGACGTCCGGGGAGGCAGCCGGTAAATCCTGGCGCAGGTGTTTGCGACACCTCTTGAGATGAAGGTTAGATTAACGGTGACGAGAGAGTTCGCCGGGGGCTTGTCTAGATTCGGTGAAGATAGTAGGGAGCTGAACGCCGACTTCGTCAGCTGTCGCATCAAACCCAGGGCCGGTGCAGGGGGTGTGGTGGCTCCTAAAGCCTTAATCCCGTCCGTCCGTTCGGGAGGGTCAATATCCATCTGTTCGGTCGCATCCGTGATCGAGGAGCCGATGACCTGTGGTCTCGAAGGCGGAGTTCCGCAGAGGGCAAACAGGAACTCGAAATCGCACGCCAGGCCATCTCCGATTTCGCCCTTCCGCCCAGCGCCCAGGTCAAGGGACTTCCATTCGATCCTCTTGCCTTTTGGACGACGATCCCAATCCCGATGCCTCTTGACCCTCTGCTCAAGCTCCCAGTTTATCCCGGCGTCAGTGGCTGGGAAATCGCCGGGAAACCACGGGGCTCCGTGCTCAAACGCGATTTGTCTCTGCTCATCGACCCCCCCAAGTCGAGGGTTGCCGCCGGTCGTCAGAGGATAGTGCATAAGAGAGTACCAGATGGGCGTGATGCACTTCCACGGTGCCAGCAATGTCCACGTCCCTTGGGCTTGGCCGTCGGTCGACGGTCTTGAGGCAAGCAGCATTACCGGAATGGCGGGATCGGCTTCAGTAACGCGGAGATGTTCCCCCGGTACATTCGCCCCTTTTCGGCGATTTATAGATTTCTGAGACGGCAATCTAGAGGCCCGGAATCGTTGCTCGCGGTCGAAGATACCACACGGCTTCAGCCCTTCCTCAACGGGCCATTTGGTGAGAGTCTCAACGAGAGCCGCATCAGTGGCTCCACTGGGGATGCTGACCATTCTGGGAGGATAAGCCAGGCGTGGGTCTTTCACGGAGAACGCGAGGAGCGCGTCCTTGGGGAGAGCCGCCGGGTTGGAGACGCCGACAAGGGATTGAAAAACCTGTGCCTGGCGGTCCTCATTCCCAGGCTTGTCGTGGTATGGTTGAAGGATGCCTAATAGAGCTTCGGTTGAACCAGGGCCGGTAAGTTCAATGCTGCCAATTTCAAAGCGCAAATCCTCGGCATGGAGCTGGGGCGTCTGCATCTTGGCCAACTTGAGAAGCTCCTGAAATAGTTCAAGGAAGCAGGATGGGTGAGTCCGGATGAACAATTGTCGTTGCGGCTTCCTGGCACGGCTCGAGTCTGCCGCGTCGACACTCTGAGCGGGTGCCTGGGGATTCCAGACAATGGTCGCGGGCCCAATGTCACGCCTCCAATCTTTGACCTGCTTGCTAAGGACACCCGACCATTTCCGGACGCCAGCTCTCCATTTCTGTCCCCGGACACCCCAGAGGCTTTCCTGATGCAAGCCCAAGGCCCTCAAGACTCGTTCCACACCCTCTGCCGTCCCATACAGCCCAATGGTGCTCATGTAGCTCATATCCCACACCACAACTCCCTTTTGGCCCGAGGCTCGATGGGTTGGCCGGTAGCATTTTTCGGTTGGGGTGAGCGGAACAGCGAAGCGCCACAGCGGCTTGCTCGGCTCCGTCATCTTTGCCCGCTTTGCGTGCCAAAGGTGCGTTGGTAACCACGTCTTATTGACCTGCCTCTTTCTAAACTTGAAGTTTGCTTTGGGTGGCTCGTTCAGCATGTCGCGCCGGATCTTCGGTCTCGCTGCCCTGGTGTGCACCGCTGGTTTCGGTCCGGGTTGTTTTGTCGAGCCTCCTTCCATGGCAGCCTTTTCAAGCAGCTTCTTCTTCTTCCTCGCAGCGAGGATGCCCAACTTCTTGGCCGTCTCGGCGCGGATGCGGGCACGGGTTGTGCGAGGACGACGTTTTCTAGCCTCGACTGTCGGGGTATTGTCCTCGATCATCTCCCTCCTCGCTCGTTCACGCAGTCTTTTTGGTACCCTCTTGACATTGTGGCTTGCAGTCCTCCTGCGCATGGCGCGAGGCACTTGCTGGAACACGCGGGTCGCATTGGCGGCCTTACACTTGCGCATGCTGTTCTCGAGCGCTTTGATCTCGAACTCGCGGGCGTCGAGGAACTTTTGCAAGTCGAGCTTTCCATCTTCAAGCGCCGCATCCGACGGCTGCGTGCGGATGTTGCGGGCATCTTGGAATTTGACGCGTTTTGCAGCGCGGGACCCCGTCGTTGCCGCCTGTGGTGTACCAGTCGATCGCCCATCCTGTCGTCGAGACTTGCCGTCCTGGGTCACCGTTGGGGCATCTTTCCGCTTCCTCGTCTCTGTGCCCTTTCCGGTGAAAAATAATCGGTTGCTGTCCATGTGGCCAACATGGGAACCGGGTAGACGAGCGAGATCGGTGTTGTCGGGAACTTGGGCTTGCTTTTCGCCGTCGAGCAAGATCAGATCTGATCCATCTGATTGCGAAGATTCAATTGTTTTTTGGAGCTCTTATCTTATCAAAGCACGCCGCTACCAACTGCCAGGGGTCCGCTTGTTCCTTGGCATCGAGTTCAAGCCGTCCTAGGCACTTTTTTGGGTTACCAACAAAGTCACCGAAAAGCGGTTCAAGTGCCCATTGCCAAAGGATTGAAATTGAGGGGCCCTGGCAAAAAGAGAAATCGAATCCCGACTCATCTACTTACTATATGGCGATCGAATACCAGGTTTGGTTAACTGCCTCTCTGGAAGTGAGAGCAGGGCGTCGCGTTCTCAGCGAACCACTGCCACCTCCCCGCAGTCCATCCCCCCCGCAAGACGTTTCTGCGTGGGCCCGGCGGATGGCTCCAGAAATCTCCCCTGGCCTGGGTGGCACACACCAATCCTAAATGCCCGTCTTGATGGACTGATATAGACAAGCTTTCAACTCGAGTGTGCATGTTCGGTACAACGCGTCGCTAGAAGGCCACCCACTCTCGCGCTGCCCTGCAGGAACATAACGGTGGCTTTGTCTGGAATGGTCAGAAACGGTTCTTGGCAAGTCGACGTCAGCTTCCCCCGTTCTCGAGAACTGGAAAGAAAAGGAAACAGCCGGTCATCCCGGATTCGGTCCTGCTTGCGGGTTGGGGAATAATAAGCGTTGTCTCATCCGAGACTAAATCGTGCCAGTCAGATAAGCATGGCATCGCTCAGTAAGCCCGGCGAGCCAACTCGTTACTTTATCTCCGCCCTACCAGTCCTCCTTGTTACTTACACCTCTGCCGCCCGTTCCTTCATTCCATCTTAGTTATGTCGACAACCACATGAAATGTACTCTTTCTTCTCTTGTTAGTCTTCTCGCACTGACCGACTTTGTGCCTACCAATGGCCCTGGCCGCTCGGTTTGAACACATCACGCCTCACAGAGCACTTCGCCGCGTAGACCCGCCTGCCTGAGCCGATATTCTTCCTCTGGGACCACGACCCTGTGCTAATATGCGATTTCTGCCCATAGTAAACAAGGCTCGGAAGGTTGGACTATCACTGTTCACATACCCACCCCCAAGGCCAATGACTGACATACCGTTCCTTCCTGCAGCCCAAATTTGATGTACATCTCAAGGAAAGTAATGAAAGCAATACATGCTCCATGAGATCATCCTCCCTGGATCACATTGCTAACGCATACACAGATTTCGGACCTCAACAATGTGCCACTTGTCTCGGGCATGTCCATGATCAAATGGCACCTCCCACACAGCATACATGGGGAGCACCGAGGGCGGACATCAAAATGCCCAATTCTCAATCACCGAGTTGAGTACAACTACTCCAAGGTCATACCCGTGCGCATCGGTATCGACCGCAACAACAACCTGGTCGAGTGCCCCATCGAGTTTGAGGTTGTGCAGGAGTTCAGTGCCGGCGGGCGAGACGAAAAGATTACGCTGGGCACCATCCGTCTCAATCTCAGCGAGTATGTCGAGGAAAGCGAAGCAGTGCTGCGCCATGGGAGCACCGTCAACTCCATCAAGGACGCGCTTAGCTCGCCCGTCCAAAAGTCGGGCCACCACCGCAAGCGCAGCTCGCTGAGCAACATCGTGCCCGCGGCAGCCGAATCGAGCCCTCGCACTTCCCGCGACGAGGACCGCCCGACAAGTGACATCGTCCAGGATGGCGTCGTCCGGCGGTATCTCATGCAGGACAGTAAGATCAACTCGACACTCAAGATCAGCATCCTGATGGTTCAAGTTGAGGGGGAGCACAACTACAACGCGCCTCCACCAAAGTCGGCCCCCGTGTTCGGCGGCATCGCCGGCTTCGTAGCAGGTGACGCCGCGTTCGAGCCCGTCGACCCCGGCGCAACCGGCGCCGGCCACGTGCCCTCCTCGTTCAGCGGCAAGTCGCGCGATATGTTTGAGCTCCAAGACATGTACCGCCGCGCCCTGGCCGCGAGCTGGGCAAGCCAGCCTGGCGAATTGCCGGCCGACCAGTGCATCGAAGACATCTTTGCCGGGGGCGAGGGCTTCGCGGTGCCGCCGTCGTCGTCAAAAGCCGGCCACGCGCGAGGACAATTAAAGCACCACACAACAGCAGTAGCCTCCCACGGGAAAAAGGGCGCCCAGGTAGGACCAGACGACGACACTTCTCCGCAGCAGCACCACACTAGAAGTAGGAACCTACGACGAGAAGATAGCGGCGGCTCCGTCTCGGACGACGAAGAGAACAATAACGGCGACATGATGGGCACCCTCCGGCCGCGCGACCTGGCCCGTCTGCGGCGCCACCTCCACCACCTGCGAGACCAGAGCGTCGCAAGCGACCGGAGCACGGCCACCGTGTTGGGCGGCGACCGCGACCGGGACCGGGACCTAGACCGCGAGTCCAGCCGCGGCATTGGGATTTCCGGCAGTGGGTCGCTGCTTCGGGAACCGTTCCCGTCGTTCCACCAGCATCGCCGCGAGGAGAGCAAGATTACCCATGACGGCGGCGGGCTGCGGAGTCGCAGTTCGAGTCTGGTTAGCCTGGCAACGACGCTGGGTACAGGTAGCGAGCGGAATAGGGGGAGGGAGGGGCTCAAGCGGGCGAGGGAGGTGGATGAGTTTGAGGTGAGGGATGATCTGGTTGCTTGGACTATTCCGGGGACTCGGCTGTAGGCGGGCATGTGGTGCCTGGTTAGCGAGGAGACATGTGAGACAGGTGACTGTGAGGTCAGCTCGGCGTTCAAGGTCGATGGTTGCGTTGAAATGGTCAGTTATCTTGATGTGAATATGATATGTCATCGCTTGGCGGTCAACCTGCTTCCGATATCAAGTCTCGTTATGAGGTGGCTGCTCGTGCCCCAAAGGCCCGGTCTGGGTCATCCTTTATATGACCTCTGACGCGCTCCTCCTGAAGCGTCAGCGGCATCTTTGTCATGTCTCAAATTCCTCGCCTCCGGACATTAAAGAACACCGCCCCTTAGCTGGCCTGAGCCCGCTCTATCCTCTCCCGCTGCTGTCAGACAAGCTTGCTCGTCTTACAGTAACGAGCGCATGCCCATAGAACCTAGCTTCGCTTGAATACCTATACCTGTTGGCTTAGCCCTCGCGCGGCGGCCTAGGGTCTTTGTTGACTTTGGTCCACAGTAGGCAACATGCAGCAATAAAATGTGCTGAACGGGAGCATCTGCCCTCTCGGCATGACTGCTTCAAGCTCAGTCCACAGCCGCTGAAACTGGGCAAGTCCGAGTGTTGGCCGCCGTCGTTGAGACTCCCGTATGAATCCGTACTTGCCTTTCACTCGCCCTTTCACCTCTGCCCGTTACTCGGATCGCAGGGAGCGGATTCGACATGTTTTCTCCTCGAAATCTCCTAGCTCGCATCTTTTTATTACGACCGCACCGGCACTTCTTCCGTTTTCATGACCTCTCCAACCAAGTCCGACGTTTTGCACTTGTCCCGTCGCAAAGTCCCTTTCCACAAGAACAGAAAATTTTCCCCCTCAGCACTGCAACCGCGATGCTCGCACTAAGAACGTCCCTTTACCGAGAGGGCTGTCACCTCTCGCTCTGTTGTTTAAGCCGAAACTGCGCGACGAGACCCGGTCATGGTTCGCACCAACCTTACCATCCGACCGCGCGACCCGCCTCAAAGCGCTCTCTGGCCCGACATCCCGACCATGAGTCGCTTCATCAGTTCATCATCCTACCATTGCCGAGGAAGTTTCATCCCACAACTTCGCAAGTACCATCAGCCGCCTATCCCTCCCATTGACCCTCACTCGTCGAGCCTCAGGTGCAAGTTTGGGACGCGCAACTCATCCCAACTTCCTCCGCGTTCTACCTCATCATTCTTCACTTCCATTTCGACAAAGCCCTGACCACTTTGCAAGACATAATGGAACCTGAACTTCACAGCGTCACTGAAATGAAGTACGAACGCAAGCACAGCGGACCGTTCAGGGCTAGCTGGTCAACCAGGGCAGGATCATTACGATCAGCGGCGAGGGCTAGGTCGAGTATCGTGTCCTGATAAAGCTCGCAGATGTGACCGAGTTCGTCGCTCGCGTGGCGCCTTGCCCCCTCGACAAAGCAAGAGACATCAGCTTATTGTCTATACACGCATTCCTCTTTCAGCATAGCCCATCAAAAGGAGGGCTGGCAGTGACGGGAGGCTCTCGCGCCAAGTGCATTCAGTCACGCATCCCACACATCGCAGGAAGCGGGATGCGGAATGACGATGATATTGACTGCAAGAATCAGTCTATGTAGAGCAGATCTATCACAGAAAGCGGATTACCCAGCCAAAACCACGGACCCACCACGACCCGCGCGCCTCAGTCTTGCAAAGTGAACGGGGGGCCCGCAGTGCGCTTTCATCACAGTCTATGTGCCAACCTGCCGCCGCCATGTGTTCGCCTAGAAAGTGCCTCCTAAGCACTCGTCAATGTCCCACGAACGCCGCCCTTGCCGCCAACCTCCCGCGCTGTTACGATAATCGACAGATCCGAATTCACCGTAATCGAGACCTCGACCTTGCCGCCCTTCTTGACGTCCTTGACGGCCGCCTCTGCGAGGGTGGACCCAATCTTCCAGACCTTTTCCCGCTTCTCCTCCTCCTCCTCCTCGTCGTCGTCGAAGTCGCTGTCGTCCTCGTCGCTATCGTCGGCATCCTCGACCTTGGCCGCCTTGGAATCGCCGTTCTCCTTGGCCTTGGGCTCGGGCTTGGTCACCTTAATATGCGTGTTGCCCTCGACAACCTTAACCAGAACGTCGCCGCCGTTGGGCGCAGACAGGTGCACCGTTCGCCGCGCAGGCACAGCCGTCTCGGGCGGAACGATAGGAGCAAACGTCTCCTCGCCAGCCTCGTTGAGCGAAATGACGCCGATGGCGTTGGTGACATGCGGTACTGTTGTGACGGCGGCGTGGGTCGACTGGTCGATGTCCTCAGCCTCGTAGTCCTGAATCAAACTGGCCTGCAGCGCGGCGCCGCGGGCCTGGAGCTCCGAGGGGTTGATAGCCGTCGGCTCGGTCGAGGGCGCCAATATCCTCGTGTTCTGGGGGAACAGGTAGCGCAGGTTGGCAGCAATGCGGGGCGTGTGCGAGGTGCCGCCGGACAGAATCACCTCGTCCACGTCCAGAACGTCGAGGCCAGCCTTCTTGACGGCCGACCCGACCAGGCGGTTGAGGCCCTCAAAGACGGTCCTGGCGATCGTCTCGTAGCGCAGGCGGTTGATGGTGCTGGCAAAGTCGAGGCCGTCTGCCAGACTCTCGACGCTGAAGCTCGCGTTGGTGCCCAAGCTGAGGGCCCTCTTGGTCGCCTCGGCCTCGAGCCTCAACTTGGCCAGGCTCCTGGCGTTCTCGCGCGGGTCGCTCGCCCCAGAGTTCTTCTTCATGAACTCCTTGGCAAAGTGATCCATAAGCACCTTGTCCAAGGCAAAACCAGCAAATTCGTAGTCGTGCGCCGTCGCCAGGATCGTGTACATGCCGCCGCGGCTGGCAAGCACAGTGACATCGGACCGCGTGCCGCCTAAATCCGCCACGACGACAATCTTGTCCTCGATCTTGGTCTCTGCGCGCCCATCATAGGCGAGCACCGCGGCGACCGGTTCGCTGATGAGCTGCAGCACCTCGAGGTCGGCGGCAGCCGCTGCAGCGATCAGGGCGGCTTTTTGCTTGTCGGTGAAGTTTGTGGGAACGGTGATGACGGCCGACGTGACCTTCTTGCCGAGGTACTCGGAAGCCGAACCCACCAGGCGGCGGAGGTAGCGGGTGGCGACCTCGGAGACGGACAGTGTTGACGGGGCCGCATCCTCGCCCTCCTTGTCCTGGATTGTAAACGCTACCGTCTCGCCAGACTCTTGCGGGTGGGCAGACGCGTGGTTGTGGGTAGGATCGATCGACTTGAACTCTTTCCCTAGGAAGTCGCGGAAGTAGGCGACTGTGTTCTTGGGGTTCCTGACAAGGAAATTCTTGGCCTGCTGGCCGTAGTATTCGTCGCCATCGACGTACGAGAGGATCGTGGGGATCTGGCGGTCTGGAGTAGAGAGCGAATCAGTATTCAATCGGGCCGGCATCATCGGTATCATGTCAAGCCTCGCTTACCTCCATCCTCGTTTGCAATGACCTCCGCCTTGTCGTCGACCAGGTGGGCGATGGAGCTGTTGGAATTGCCGAACGTAATACCAATCGTGGTGCGCTCGCTTGGCTCAGGGCCGGACTTGACCCCGTTGTCCGCCATTGTTGCTTGGTTTCAGTATCTGGGTGCTTCGGAGGCAGAGCGCTAGGTGATCGGACAGGACCTTCAAGACTGACTGAAAAGTTATGGTGGGGGTTTTATGGATGGTTTCCAAAAATTTAATTCTGCTGGCCTTCACCCCTGTTACTTGGGCTGAAATGCCCCGCCTGTAATAATTTCCATGCGAGCACGTACGGACTACCGTCTTTTTCCACCCATAAGAGCGACTGCTAGACAAGGCTAAACCACTGTTTGCTTAACCAACTGGCCGGAAGGCATGAGGCTGTCATGAGGATGGCCAATCAAGCAGGTGCTTATCCTTGTCTAGCAGTCGCTCTTATGAGTGCGACAAGACGGTGCTCTGTGGAATACTGTGACCTGTATTCATGTCGGCGGCACATTTGCTCGCCCAGTACTGTCACAATCTTGTACTCTCTGCGAACTGCATCCATGACCGTAGTGCGGCAAGACTAAGCGCTACAATGAGACAGAGCGTGCATAATTATCCGTTGAGTCTGGCGCAAGCAGTTTATATCTGCACAGACATTCGCTTTAACGTAATTAAGGTACAAGTTCCAGCCCCGCGTGCTTGCACAATGATGAACCGTACAATCTGTAAGTTACAATCCTGTCACGACGTTCGAAGCACCCACCCTTGCAGGTGCCCCACCAAGGGTGCCAGCCGCAACAAGGCTGCGGAAACTAAAAGCCCTAGCGCAATCAGCTTCTGAAGAAGCACCCATCCTTCAAAGAACATCACGACATCCTCCCACCGCCAAACCGCCAACCACCAAATCAATTACCATGTCAAACGACAGGCTATTCGTCCTCCCGGGCGAGACAATCGACCCCTCCCTTATTCCGTCGCACCCCAAAAACCCTCTCCGCCTGGGGCCAGGGCTGCGACACATCCCGCCCTCCGACATCGTGCCAACAGTCGCCGGCCAGCTCATAACCAACCCAGTCAAGAACTTTATGTCGATAGAGTACAACTCTACCCACGTAAGCCGCTTCCGCCCCTTCCACTCATCCCGCGTTCTTCCAATTCACAACCAAACTAACCAACCCCCTTTCCCTCTCCAGTACATCCCCTCCCAAGGCGACATAATCCTCGCCCAAATCCTCCGCTCTACAACCGACTTCTACCTCTGCTCCCTCGCACCCTACACCGCGCCCGCCACCCTCCCGCACCTAGCCTTCGAATCCGCCACCAAGAAAACCCGCCCCATCCTTTCCCCGGGCCAGCTAGTCTACGCGCGCGTGAGCCTCGCCAACGCGCACATGGACCCGGAACTCGAATGCGTTCACGCCTCGACGGGAAAAGCCGACGGACTGGGCCCCATTACAGGCCCCGGCTGCGTCTTTGACGTGTCGCTCGGCTTCGCGCGACGGCTTCTCATGGCGCGAGCCGTCGAGGACGGCGGGGTGGGCGTGCTAGATATGTTGGGAGGCGAGGAAGGAGGCGGGTTGGCGTTTGAGACGGCCGTGGGGCGGAACGGGAGGGTGTGGGTGGGCAGTGATAACCCAAAGACGGTGGTGATTGTTGGGCGGGCGCTGCAGGAGACAGACCGAAGTCGGTTGGGGATGGAAAGGCAGAGGAGGTTGGTGAAGAAGCTGGTGAGGGAAATGAGGTGGAGGGACTGATTGAGTCGGGCACGGGATCGTGTGGATAGTAGTCTCAGGCTGGGGCTTTTCATGCGCCGTTTCTGCGACATAAGACTGTGTGTGGGGACGGGAGAGCAAGATAGGCTGGTCGAGAGAGAACAGCATGGAAAGTGGGTTGCTGTTCGTTGCCCGACAGGCGTGCCTCACTATGCGGCGTACTAGTCGATTCCATACAAATGCCTCCCAGACGGAGCAGCGGCACCGGGCATCGTGTTCGTCCGCAAACACAGCATGGAAACAAACCGAACATGAATTTGAGGGGGGGGGGGGGGTTTCACAAGCCATGGTATTGCCCAAGACGGCTTTCCCCAATCCTGCGACGCAGAGACCAAGAAGCTGACCTCACAGCTCCAGATAAACAGCATAAAAATATAACACGAATTCCATGAATGCAGGCCCTCCAAGTAGGCCCCCCCTCGTTTTCCCACCGGTGGAACCTCCAACTGCCTCTAGAGCACTGAGAGTCCGCTAGGAATACCAACACCCGGGACTGCACTGGATCCACCTTGACCTTCCGTGAGGCCTGGCGCATGCAATAATCGATCGGCGATTCACGATCCGGCCTGGTCTAGTTGAGACCCTCCTGCGCGGCAAACGTTCCCAGTCTCAGTGACGCGACGTTCTGCGATCCGAATGGCCTGGGGTGCTCATGCTGCTCGCTCAGCACCGTCGACGGAGCCAATATGAGCCGCAGCATTGCTAGCTAGCCCTAACATTCGGCGCTAGGGCAGGTCACCTTCGTCCATCGCAAAATCCCCCAAATCATCCTCGTCGGTCATGTTCTGGGGGTCGATGGAGTGCTTCTTCAACATGTGCCGCTTCCAGTTGTCCTTCCTGGGGAAGGATTTGGTGCCTTGCCTCGAATAGTCGCACCCCGGCTGAGTGCAATAGAACTTGCGCGTCTTGTGGTGCTTGTCGTTGACGTGGCGCTTTAGGTGTGTTATTGTGCCAAAGCTCCGATCACACTGCTTGCACGGCCAAGGCCGTTCGTGGTACCGTCGGTGGTGGCTGCAATGCTTGTCAGTTTTGCACCAGGCCATCAAAGAAGCGTTCTGCTTACTTGAATTGGTGGTATGAGCTCTTGACGGCGCCGCATACCTCACAGACGAACCCGCCTGGCGGCCGCGCCGGAGATCGACCAGGCGACCGGCCTTGCGAGGGGCCAGGGGAACGGCCGGGTGATGGAGCTGATGACAAGCCTGGTGACGGCGAGAGGCCCACTGACGGCGAGGGACCTGCTGACAAACCAGGGGAAGCCGTCAAGTGGCCATTGATACTCGCCTCGGCCTCTGCTGGCGGGGACGGAGACGCAGTGTAAGGCGTCAATCGAGTGTCAGGGGTGTTCTGGGTCGACGGCCCTGTGGAGGGCGGCGGCGTATTGTAGTCTGGGGTCGTCAGGACGTTAAAATTATAGTATTCCATCGGCTCCTCATGAAGATGCATGCCAATGTCCGACGGGGCCATGGGAGGCGACTGATATGGAGACTGGTACGAGGGTTGGTACTGAGCAGCGAACTGCGGCTTCGGTTGGTTGTCCGGCGCAGGGCGCGACACTGCGTCCACAATCATTGACGAAGGCAGGGAGGGTTCGGGCGCAGGTAGCGGTGGGAAGTTCTGAATCATGCGCATCTCGTGCTCTAACATCCATGCGTTTTCGGCTGGGTTCGTCGGCTTCATCATCTCCATGGGATTACCACTCGGGCCAATGTTATATTGGAGCAGAGGGGGGCTGGGAATGTCTGCCACGATGGTTGGAGGGGGCAGGCTGTCGGTGCGCTGGAGCGGTCCGGAGAACCTTTTGTCCTGGAGGAAGGTATTTTTTCTGCTGAAAGTGCCGGGCGTGAGTGTCGTGTCACTGTCGGGCGAGATGACGTCCGGTTCCTGCGTGACAGCTCTCGTCGTCGGGGCGTATCCAAATCCAGTCACGGGAACTTGGCCGGTTGAAGTTGGAGCATATGTGGCCGGCGCGGTGGTCGCAGAGGTATGGGTTTGCGTGGATTGCGGATACGTTTCAGAGAGTTCAAGGCCCAGGTTAGGGTCGTGATAGTAATCCCAAGCCAAGCCAAGGGTTTCTGTATCAATCTCGAGGCCAGACGGTGGGGGTTGGGCTTGTGAAAGAGGCTCGTTGGTGGTGACGGACGGCGAACGCGCCCCGTCACTGCCGCCTAGGGTAGAGCGTCGGCTATCTCGACGGTGCTGGGAAGAGCGGCGACCGTGAAGTAAGCTGCGCAGAGACCCTCTGAGATGAGGGAAGTTGCCGTGTTCGGGGGAGGCCGAGGGACGATCGAAGGATTCTGGCTCTTCCGTTATGCCAGCCGATGTGATGTTGGTGAGCTCACGGCTTGGTGGCTCATACGAGTCACTAAAACTGAGCTCGCGCGTGTTTTCGCGGCCGACAGTGCCCTTGGATCCTTGCAACGAGGTTGATGGGGCCTCGGCGGATGACCGGGCGGGAGCAGCAGCTGTCTGCGGCGAAGCTGACGGACCGTGGCCGTGAGCAGTCGTATCAATCGGCGACGCAGGGGACGAGACGGGTGACGGCAGGCCGTGCTGGACAGTAACGCCTTCCGGTAGGGCGGACTGGGGCTCTGGATCACAGTTTGTCGTCTGCGGAACGTCGTGGGTAGTGGCAGTCTCGGGGCCGGACCCCGAGGATCTTTTGTACAACGCTTCGTCTAAGTCCTCTTGGGGCGGGAAGATGGGGCCTCCGGGGCCCTGCCCCATCTCGGCCAGGCCGGGATCGTCATGGCGGGCGAGCCGTCGACGCCTGGCGCGGACGATGAAAGGGAAGACGCAGAAGGCGATGAGGAGGGCGCCGACGACTGACCCGATCACAGCCCCAGCGATGGCTCCAGGTGAGAGCGGACTGGATCTGGGGACGAGCATGGACCGAGCGAGCGGCCTCACAGCCGGAGCTGCTGCGGTGGGCTGGAGCATCAATATCGAGCTCACAACACACACTTGATGCAAGACGGAGGGAGCAGGTTTCTGTCGCGTTGGGAAATCGAGAGCTATCAATCGCGATTCTGGTGAGGTTAGACAGGGGAGGGCTCTCAGCCACGGTGTGATGGGGTGTCTGGGGAGGGTTGTGGGTGCGGAAGAGGCTGTGCCAGCACCTAATTGCTTGGCTGTGTATTCGCTCGACTGAGGGCCCGAGGGACGGTGACTGTGAGCGAAAAACCCGGTTCTCTGCGAAAGGGAAAACCAAAAGAATTGTAGAAGAGCCGGCGACTGTGAGCAAGGGCACTAGTGCCTCGAGCCGGTGCTAGGAAAAACAGTCGACGCCAATTGCTGATGGGCTCATCGCGAATCGGCAGTGGTGAGATGAGAGTGAGACGGATGGGACAAACAGTAAGAGAAGCTCCGGGAGATTTTTCAAGCAGGTTGATTGCAGCCTGGGCCGACGGCTCGTGATAATCGAGATCTGAGGCAACAGCGACGACCGTATGTTAAGGTGTATTGCCAATTGTCAAAAGCCATCAGCCTTACTGCGTGAAACATGTAGGTCCTCTGGTTTGGTGGTGGGAATTGCGAGCTCTGCGCTGGCTGATGGCAAGGGTCCGGGTCTCGATTGGCCTAGTTGGTTGCCTCCCCAAAATGGAGCAAAGGTGGGGTTGAGCGGCAGGTTGGATCTCCCCATTTTGACCTTTAAACGGTTGGTTCCCTCAAAAGTCCACCCAATTCATTTCAGAACCAGGAGCTAGTCCTGTGCCTGTTTGTTGGTTTCTCCTCTGCGACCGCTATCGACCACAAGCCGGCTTCAGTTCCAGGTTGTTTTCACGAACAGGATGGTATTGGCCATCCATCTTTAGGTTGCTCCGATTCCCTCCCGCGGAGGCCATTACCATGCCAGACTGGGACGAGATCGAGTCGACCATTAGAGTTCGGGATGGCCCATTCCCCGGGAGGTCCACAATCCGGGCTGACCCATCTGATGCCGTTCTCGGGCACCGGCGGCTGGGCTTACCTCCCCCGCGCCGTTCCAGCATCGTGGCTACAAGCGCCGGCCTAATGTGCTAGCCTGGCTTGTTCCAACCGTCGTCTCACATTCGCACACTCGAGACACAGGTACACTGCATCGTAACGATGCCAGCAACCTCGATCAACAGACATGGTTCATCTCCCTTTCCTCCATGGACCCAACAAACTCGCAGAGAGTTGCGGCCCTGTTTAAATAACACGAGCTCGCCGTTGTCTGCGCCGTCGGCCCCAAAACGGCAGGTCTGGAAACCGATCTGGGACACTCTGCACATCGTGTGGCACTATCACAGTGGCTGTGATCGGCAACTGGAAGCCGACTCAGGGCAACCCAATCCAGCCGTTGCCTCAATCATGTGTTCCCAACTTCCGAACATCCGACATTCGACGGAGGTCGGCTGCCAATATATTCCGGCCTCCCTTTGTCAGTGGACTCTGGCGGGGAGATGCCACCGATGAGGATATGATGACGCACTTCAGCCTAGTAATTATCCTGACGCTCCAACCCATCTAGTGTGTAAGAGTTACCAACAACCGCGCCGGCAAGTCTGGTGCAATCGCGGGGTTGACGACCAATCAGTGGTCAGACTCGGTCGATGATGACGCTGCCTGGGGGAGATGGAGGCCGCGTGTTCCGGCCCTCCTCCGCAAACATTTAGGTAGCTAATGTTGGTCGACTCCGATAGCCTTCAGGAGACAGAAGCTCGCTGTCTCAGCGTGATCTGGCTTGGGCAATATCAATTTACGATCCTCATAATCGACCGCGTGCCTGTGTACAAAGATCATGAGGCAGAACATAATCTTTTTCGCGGCTACTGCTGCCGCTCTCGTTGTCCCTGGCATTGAACAACAGCAAGTTTCCCTCTTCGACATCCATGACAAGTTTACGGAACACAATGCCGTCCAGGCATGGTGGGATACCATTCCCAACGCCGATAGGCTCTTCTCTTCAATTCAAGACCGCATGTCCAAGAGCATCCAGGGTAGCAATCTCGATGGATTGGTTGCCATGATTGACGGTGAGAAGGAAGGTCCTCACCCTCGCCCGCCTCATGGCGGACATGGTCGCCACGGACATCACGGACACGGCGACCCGGAAAAGACCATCTATGAGTTGATCAAAGAAAGCGAGCACACGACCAAATTCGCCAAGCTGGTCGAAGAGCACGATGATATCAAGCATTTACTCCAGGACACCGAGCACAACTACACACTCTTCATTCCCACGGACCGCGCCTTCAGACATAATCCGCACCGTCACGGCCACCGCGGCGGTGACGACGACACCGACAATGACGACGACGACGACGATCACAAACCCTCCAAAGAATTCATCCTCGACCTCCTAAAATACCACATCACCCCAGGTCTCTACCCCCTGCACCGCGTCCGCTCAAGCAACACCCTCCCATCCTCCCTCCACCCCTCCGCCCTCAGCACCTCCGCCTCCTCAAAGCATCACCACCACCATCCCCAACGCATCCGGGTGTCCACAGTCCCCTTCCTCCCTATAACCCGCCTCAACTTCCACGCCCGCCTGATCACCGGCGACTTCATCGCCAAGAACGGCCTCATCCACGCGCTCGACTCCCTCCTCATTCCCCCGCCCTCACAGACAACCATCATCCGCCTGCTCCCCTCCCAGTTCAGCACCCTCGCCCTGGCGCTCCAGACGACGGGTCTGGGCAATGAATTGGGCGAGTTGGAGAGGAGCGGTGGCGCGACGCTGTTCGCGCCGTCGAACCTAGCCTGGGCGAGGTTGGGCCCAAGGGCAAATGCGTTTTTGTTCTCGGAGAGGGGCAGGAAATATCTCAAGGGCTTGCTCAAGTATCATGTTGCTGTTAATGAGACGCTGTATTCGGATGCATATTATACTGGTGGTGGCAATGGAAAGGGGGAGGAGGAGGTGGTGGTGGAGCTGGATGGGTTGGAGGGTGGTCGGAGGCGGGGTAGCTACTGGCATGTGGACTTGACGAGTCTGTTGGATGGGAAGCCGATTAGTGTTGATGTTCAGAGGTGGAAGCGGTTCGTGTCGATCGTGGTCAACGGCTTCGTGCCGGTTGTAGTCAAGGATGGGGTTGCGGACGATGGGGTTGTGCATGTGGTGTCGAGGGTATTGATTCCGCCTTGCGAGCATCGTGGCGGGAATGGAGTTGGGGAAGGGGATGAGGAGGAGGTGAGTGTTGAGGAGTTGATGAGACGGTTGGAGCCGTATGTGGAGGAAACGTCCGCTGGACGGGAGGATATGGGAGATCTGTAGTTAGCGATGAAGCAGTCGTAAGCACGTTGTGAGTTTGGTTTGTTGGCGAGTTGGATATTCTGTACGTACGCTCATTTTTAGCAGGCTATGCAAGCTATCTTTTCATGATCAATTCCAGTCAGTTCCTTTTACCGTATTCCCGGCCCTCTGACATCTAGATCAAAGACAGCACCATTCCTCCCAACAACGGGATGTCCCTTTCGTGTCACCCCTTACAACACCGCATCAACAACCCTTCCCTCCCCATCAACATCAACCGCACCCCACCTCTGCTCCCTGCACCTTCTTTTCCCCCATTCCCTCCTCCTTGCATCGGACTGCTCGTACACCCCAATTTCATCCAACAACACCTCCACGACCCAAACATACGGAACCTCGGCCCCCACCACCGCCCCGCGACAACTCGCCATCAAAGCAGCGTCATCCGCCCTCGTCCTCGGCACGCGGGTGCAGAGCAGGTGCAGATCCAGCATCTGGGAAAACACCAACCCGAAGGAAGGCTTGTTGCGCCAGGCGGTGGACGTCAAGGTGTGGCTCGGGTGCTGTTGTTGTTGTTGTTGTTGTTGTTGTTGTTGTTGTTGTTGTTGTTGTTGTTGTCGTTGTTGTCCGGCCACCGTCGGCGCGGGTGGGATGTTGAATATCGAGCGGAGGGTCGGTTCGATGTGCCCGGTTTGTCTGTCGGTTGTTGTCGACGGTACTGCTGCGGTAAGGCCGTTGTTGTCGGCAGTAACGTGTGCAGAGGAGGGAGAAGGCGAGGTGGTTGTTGTTGTTGTTGTCGAGTTGAGGAACATGATGAGCGGGCCGCCGTGGGATGGAGATCGGGTAAGGGACTGCAGATGGGAAGAGAGGAGGAGTATCGTGCTGTGTGCTGCTCCCTTGTCGCGGCCGGCGAAAAGCGTCTTAAGGAGAGTGGAGGTGTGGGTGATGAGGATCAGGTCCGGGAGAGGAGGAAGTTGGGTTGCTGGTGGGACTGGCATGGTAGTACTTGGCTTTGGTTCGGGTTGCAGTGGCGGCGTCTGCGCGGGAGACGATTCTGGAGAAGAGAAGCCGCCTTCATCCTCGCTGTCCAGGACTTCGGTTCTTTGCGCCTTTTGATCCTCGTGGCATCCTTCTGGCGTCGCGTCCTCTGGCTTCTTCTGCCCTGCCTTCGCTTCCTGATCGTCTGCTGGCGTGCGACTGTCCGTCACAGAGACGGCCGCCTCTAGCTCTCCAAGGACCTCCCACAGCCCTTCAAAGTCAAAGATTCGAGCAACCGAGGTTCTTTCCAGACATCCCTGGACCTTCCTGTGGAATTCCTGCAGTCCGTCTCGGGGAGTGGACAGCTGGCCGACAAGAGCCTTCCGCAACTTGGGCAGCAGCATGCTCGCCGGCAGCGTGGTCACAACCATGGCCCTTGCCGACGAATCGGTAGCCAACAAATGCGCCACAGCCTGGAAGCAGATCTTGATTCTCAACTGTCAATAAAACGTCCTGTATTCTGAGATTGAGGCAAGGGGAATATTGTGAATATGAAACCCACCAACAACCCGATCTCCTCCTCCTCAGCGCTCACGCCGACGACAGACCCGCGCTCCATCCCTCCCAGCAAGACATAATCATCCAGCTCTCCGCAACCCGTCATCAAATTCCCCTTCCGGAGGAGTTTCTCCCTGCGGTCCAGCTCCAGGTCGACCAACAGCGATGCTGGGAGGGGCTGGACTGGGAAGTGGGAGGTCGCCTGTGACAGAGGAGCAGGCGCGTCCATGGTTTCGTCTATGATATATCACGAAAACGTTATTCATAGGCTGAAAATATCGGCATGGACGGAGGTGACAGGTTATCACATTCGACAGAGTGAATGGTGGATGAACCCGTTTGGCGCAGACAAATGAAATGGCTAACAGGACACTGTCTCCAATCCATCTCATTTGCTTCTCTGCTGTCTTCGTCGTTTCGAGGCGTCAAGTCGCTAAAGCCCCTGTTATTTTTGGTTGGACGATCGCGCCACCTTGATGTAAGTTCTGATATGTCTTGGTGTTTCTCATTTGACTGTTATGGAAATCGATGAGCCTGTCGTTCAGTTCGAACAATGCCTTAGTTATTCATGTTGGCGCTGATACCTCAGGCAGAAACAACAACATTACTGTATCGTCAGACCTCCACTCTTTCTCAACCTGAATGTGTGGCTGTGTGAGATGTGGGCCTCTGCTGCGACTTACTTAGGTAGGCAAGTTGTGCGTGAGTGACCTGATGACTTATCTGACTCGGAGTTTTATAAGAGGTCAGTCGTGCTTTCCCTTTTCTTGTCTTGTGGTCGGCTTGCTCTTCAAATCGAACCCCATCCCGTTTTTCTCCCAAATTCAAGTTGTGCATACAAAGACCGCCCTGCAGACTGCTCCCATGTCATACATCATTCCTATCGGCCCACCAGGGTACTACAATTACGACAATCAGACCACCAGTAGCACAGCCCATCAACAGCATCAAGAAGCTGTCGGTGGAGCGGCACAAGGGTACTATGGCACTCATCATCCTCCTGCTCCCGGTCCCAATCCGGCTGCTCCTGCTGAGGCCGGCGGCACTACCGCCGCCTTAGCAAAGCTAGTCCCACCTCAAGTCCAAATGCGTCTTCCTCGAGAGAACCCACGTCTCGCCGGCTTCTACGTAGATGCAGACCGGTTACTCAGCCAGCCCACGCCGATGCATGAGTCTCGCTACATCGCAAGCGTGGCCGACTTCAACTCGTGGATGACCGAGGTCTACCACCCCAAGAGGGCAGCTCTACAAACACTGGTCAGCGAGCTCGAATCCCTCCAACAAAGACTTCATTCCTTCGCCGAAATATCCGCCGTCATTGGCCCAGCCGGCTACCACTTCCTTACGCCCAACCTGGAGCTCGGCGACGTCCTCGACCTCTTGCTTTCCGTCGAGCGTCGAGCCGAAGAAGTCCACCAGGACCTGCTCACGATGGACGACCTCAAGATCTCGCTCGAAGCCACCGCCAACGCAACAGCGTGCTATAGCCACAACGACTGGGACGCTGCACGTAAATGGGACGAGTGGAAGGAATCGTCCGAAATGGCGGCCAAGAGGACGTTCCATTCGCAGCGCACGGTGCGGAAGTGGGACCTGGCATCCAGGTTGTCCAACTACTACAACACGACAGAACAAGTCAACACGCCGCCCTACGAGGCCATCATGCTCGAGCTGTCGCGCATCGAGTCGTCCCTTGATCCATCGTCGTCGCTGAACGAGAATGACCGCGCGGTGCTGGAGCGGGCCTTGACCATCCTGCGCGTTCTCAAGGACCAGGGCTGCCATGCCTGTAGCCTGTCGTGGAAGGCGAGAAGCCAGGCGCTGCAACAGGACGAGGTTTTTGCAAGGTTAGAGACAGAGCCTGCGACCACGATGAATTATGAACTCCGCGAACAGCTGTTGCAGAGACAGCGGGAAATTATTGAGGAGAATGAAGGACAGGCTGAGCGGGCGAACAAGGCGGTCACGGACCATTATGTGCAGTATGGGGAGGTGCCGGTTATGAGGTTGTTGGGGGAGGTGAACAGGAACTCGAAATCGCCGACAGCAACAGCGACAGCGGGCAGTGGTGGGGTTGTCGCGCCGCCGACACAGTCGGCACGGCCGAGCTTTCAGATGCCACTTAGTTGGTATTCGAATATGTTGACGTCGTCACATGTAGTAAGTAACAGGTTGCTGACAGGTGTTTTGAGCGGTGTGATGATGAGACACTGACACGCTAGCCAGACAAATATGCAAGTCATGAACAACATTGCTGGCGGCTCAACCAACTTCCATTTGGCGAATTCGTATGGCCAAATAAAGTGGTAGGTTTGAAAGGATATCTACCAGATTTTACTTTTATTATAGACAACATGGCGTGTCTACAGGGGTCAGGTGGCGTTGGGAATCCTGCTGGTGGTACTCCGTCCTTCTACAAATACAATTGCTCTTAACACTTGAAGCTCTCACCTTCACTTATACCTTATGGCACTCCTACGTTATCGCTGCTCATTAGCTACAAGATTTCCCCCTAGCCCCTGAAACTCAGAAGACAATGCAACCAAAAGACACGACTTCATGCATTACAACAATACTCAATTCAATCTGCTAGTCAAAACCACCACTGCCCAGAGCTAGCTGACAACCAGGGACAGACCACCTGGCAGGGCAGAAGGGAAGAAAAACCCATTTAGTCCGAAAACCCATTCCTTCCAGGCAGAAAAGTCCCCACCCTCATCAAGCAATCGGGGAGAAAGAAAACGACTATGTACATTTCAAATGCGCCCTTGACAAGACAAAGACCACGACGACACCAGCATTCCATCCGAGTCTCCCATCCACAGTCTTGTCAGCCAAGGCGAAGCAAAACTATCACTATGCTTTGCTATCTGGGGAAGTTTCAGCTCGCGCGCAACAACTGCAGAGAACAAGAGAAGAGAAACAGAAAAACCACAACTCGATGTGTAACAATGTTATTAAAGGACGGTGTCGATCGCCCGAACATCAGAATAGCGGTAAATGCCTTTAGATAGAAATAACCGGTCCCATCGGAGACAGCGTCAGGGTGACCGAGACGAGAAGGAATTCGTCAGCTCCGGGACCGGTCTGCGCCTGCACAACTATTCATCTGTGAAGCTGGGGTGGATGGCCTCGAAAGCAAGGAGAGCCTGTGATGATGGTAAGTCGGCGTCGGAAGATTAGCAATGACCGGAGGATAGGCGGCTATAGAAGCTCGGGTAGGATGAGACTGAATTCGACCAAATCTTCATGATCCACGCTCAAATTTGCCCGACAGATCTTTAGACCGCCGTTCCAGGAGGGGGCCCGGCATCTGCATCGCTGCCAGGGGGAGCCGGGCGCTGGCGTCTTCCCTTCAGACTCTTCATGCGGCCCAGGATGCCGCTGGCCTTCGGCTGCGCATCTTCGCCTCCCGTAGCATCAGTCGTCGACCTGCGCTCGAGACCAGGTCCGCCTTTAGGACTGGTAGGCGACCCCTTGCTTGCGTTCGTATCTGTCCTACGAACCGTGGAGTCGTCCTCGCCCTTGCCGGACCCGAACTCGCTGAAGAAAGGGTTACGTTCCGACAGCGATGCTGAGGCCGGTCCGCTCTGGCCCGGGGACCGGCGGGCGCCGTACACTCCGTCAGGGTTGGTCAACCGCCCAGAGGGCTGGAAGTCGCGCCCTCCGCGGTTGATGTTGCGGATCCGGTGAGCCAGCGACTTCTTCCGTTGGAGACCCTCGTTCATCACTTCAGCAGCCCGCTCCTCTTCGCGCTTTTGAATAGCCGTCCTTGCTGCCGGTGTTCCTTCCAAGAAGGTCGATGTGCCCAAACCAAGCGACTGGTCGCCGTGCAGGACGCTCCCGCGGCCGAGGGGATCGAACACGGGCACATCCTTCTTTGATGACGAGTATTCCGACCCGTCCTTTCCACCCTTTGACCACTCCTTGAATGCCTCGTCGTCTTGCTGTCCCAGGAACGTGGCATGGTCAGGCCGAGCGTTCAGCGGCCCAGCGCCGCCAATCGTGTTGTTCAGCGAGCCCTCCGGGAAAGCTTGCATCGGCGCACGACGGCTGCCTTGCCTGTTCCGGTGGGGATTGAGAGCGTCGAAGGGTCCATCATGGTGGAACACTGTTAACAACGTCAGCCTGGGACCCGTGAAAAGAATGAGGACGAGACACCCACTTCCGACCCCATAGATGCTCGTGGCATCGAGCTGGTCGATGATGTCGATCTTTCGGCTGACTGGTTTCTTATCCCTGTTCTCACGATGCCGACGCTCGCGCTCGCGGCGCCTTAGTTCGCGCTGCTTTTTCTCCTCCTCAGTCATAGTTTTGTCGGCGTCCATTATGGATGACTCCGAGTTCCTGCGTGGCCGTCTCTCCATGCGCCGCTGCGGGGACCGGGACGGGTCAAGTGGACCAGCGCGGTCGCCATTCTCCTGCCTTCTCCGGGCGCGAAGTGCCTCTTCCTGCGATCGAGTTGGGCGGTGATTTGGCGGCGGGCCCCTTCGATTGGGCGGCGGTGCACCGTCACGGGGAGGAGGAGGTGGCCCACGACGGCCCCCTGGGGGGGCTGGAGGTTTGGCACCATCTGGCCGTGGCGGCGGGCCCGATGCGGTGGGCTTGTCTTCCAGCGTCAGAGAACCCTGCACACGCTTCTTGGTCAGTTTTGTTGGGTTGTGAAGCAGGCGACGAGACACAGGCGGGTGTCTATGCCGTCGTCATTTCTGGAAGGTCATACGAATATTTCTTCGGCCGTGAGCGACGGCCTCTTCTCGAGCGACATGGTTTCGGAAGCGGAGCGAAGATTCGAGAGACTGGACCTGTTCGTGATGGCGGGGTCGAGAAAAGGGTTGCGCGAAACTGGTCGCGGAGGGGGGTCGTCAAAGGGAGAAGCCGGGGGCGCAGTGGTGGGCGATACGGCGCCGCGATTGCGGAAAGGATTGTTGGAGGGAAGGTTCAATAGCAACCCAGTAGATTGCTGGCCTAAATGGTTGATAACCCAGCAGGTCAGCAATCAATTCAGGCACGAAAACAGGAGGGGTCCGCGGCACGATGCATGCGATGACGACGATGAGAGGGACATTGAAACAGCAATCTCCGTTCCATGACACAACATGCTCAATGGTCAGAGCAAACCAGATGGACATGCCCAGGCGCCAAAGCGGCCCCATGAAAGCGAAAACTGGGAAGCGGGATGTGGCCAACCAGGCACGCCTGCGACGATCTGCTCCCCTCTGCTTGCGAGCGCCCGCCATTGGAGACACCGTAGCAGGGCACGCATTTGGCAGATCGCTCAACAGGTCACCAAACGGATGAAGGGCAGTGCATACCTTGCTGCCCTGGCTGTGAATCCGCCATGGCGGGCACGAAGAAGAGAGGGTCTGAAGGCTGGCGGTTCCGGTATTCGGTGGGCCGTTTGCGTGTCGACTTCGGGTCGATGCGTTCTTTGGAGAACCAACCTGTGCTACCGTGTCAAAATGTCTTGGATTGAATCCCTTCGGCCAGGGCTGGCGTCATACCAGTGGGGAATAAGGAGGCTTTCTTCAGACAGCGGGTCACTCCCAGTCTCGTGGGGCTGTCTCAAATGTGATGAGTCGTCTTCTTTGCGATTCAAAAATGCGGTTCGGCTCAAAGAACTCGGAGTTGCGCTGTCGAAAGACAAGGTATAACTGTCCCAGCACCTTCGGCGCAGCGGGGTGGGGTCGAGATGGGACGGACAATGAGCTTGCCCCTGAAGCTAATTCGAGACCGGTACGGAGTACCGCTCGGTGGCTCAGTGAGCTTGTTCTTGTCGACGGCTGGCGCTGATTGTCGGAATAATCGACTGACGTGGTTTCTAAATCTTGGATGGCGACGGAGGTCGAGTCTCGACCGTCGATTTCCAGCGGGAGAGTTCGTCCGTCCTGTCAAGGCCGAGCGCCTTGTTGGGGATCTGGGCGTCCAGCTCGATCCCGCAGGCTGTTTGTTGTTGCGGGAGGAAGAAAGTTGAGCGATCCCCAACACGTTGGGGTTTAAAAGTTTGGCGCAAGACTATCTATCGTATCTGGAGGGTCAGCGGGATTGGCACCCGTTGCCGCGGTTCAGACCAAGGTGAAAGCGTGCCTGACGGGCCTTGGGGACGTGTCCGTGTGACTGGCATTCCTGAACCGCCGGAGACAGTAAGGATGTGACCGTTGCGAGCAGCTCCAGCTTTTGGACCCTGAATTCCTCGACTGGTACTTGCGGATCGGTGGAGTTCGGGGCCCGACGCACCTAAGGTAGCGGTGTGGACACTGGGCGGGGACTTCCCGGCTTGTTGAAGGGATGAAACAGACGTCGCAAGCGCCGCAGCGATCAACAGATCAGGTAGGCAACTCGTGATGACAATGGATTGGAAGCCAGAGCACACAGGGAACTTTGTTCCAGAATGGAGAGCACATAACACAGTTCGCGCGCGACTGGTGCTCCCGAGGACAAGATACCGATAAAAATTCGAAGCAGTGATGGGAAGATGATGGTCCCTGCATACGTCGCCAATATGCCTTCTCGTTCCGTGTGGCCAGATGCCCCTCCTTGCCCGTTTAGGAACAGCTCCAAGCCTTTTGAACAAAAGCCATTTCTCCTTTCATCAATTTGATGATGGCCAATCTCCAAACACCAACCAGCTCCATGTGTGAGAACGTTTGAGAGGGGAAATCGTTGATATCCGATGATCTGTAGCGCGAGCCGCTCTCACCAGGCTCCAACGATGTTTTCTCTCAAGAGAAACTCGTTATGATTTCGTTGAATCATGTACACGTGTAGAAGGGGCGAAATACAACCGCTCCCTCAAGCGGCAGCCAGTGACCACGGCGGGTCATGGAGATCTCCATCTCCGAACAAAGAGCACTACCGAGAACAGGTAGTGCTGACGAGATAGGCAAGGCCAGGGTACCGTCCCTGTACCTGCGGCATGGAAATAAGCGTCTACAAAGCTATATCATTGTACTCCGTACAGATGAGAACTTAAAAGTCCCCCTCATGTCAGGAGCTATAAGCTAGAGGCAGTTGATCCGGAGAATGCAAAGCAACAGTTACGATTCGAAGCTAACCCTTCCCTCCAACCCACGCCGACAACCACGGGACGTGTAACGGGTATCACACTGCCCCGCTCCTTGGGTTTTACAGAGGAGGTGGGGTAATAAACTTTTTATATTATTGAACTTCATCCCGGCTGAGCTACCAGCTCTTGGGGTCTAGAAAAAGGGGTCAAGCAAGCTACAAAATTTTTAAACTGTAGGCAGTTCTCTTGTCCTGAGGCCTTGTCTTGCAAGAGACAACGAGGAAGCCCTGATCCGCGTTGTTCTCCCGTACCTAATTATCCCCGACACCTTGCTCAAGGACAAGTGTGAACTAGCAAGCAGATGGACTACTCAACAAACCGGTATGTTCCTGCTAACCGAGACACCGCGTTTTGCCATTGCCAGCAATAAAGCAAAGCAAGTAACACGTCAGGCCGCCGTCCTACCCTGCAGCTCCTACAGGATACACAAGCAACGACAGCAGGCCCCGTGACCTGCTGACATGGACCGAGGGGTCGGACGCAGCATGTCCGGGCGCTCTTACGAAGGGAGGTATCTGTCCGAAGGCGGGAGATAACCTTCCTTGGCACCGATCGAGTTGTGTAAGCCGCCGGCTCTCCTACCGGCAAGGGGCGACCCCGGGTCAGCGGCCACGACGGTGATCACTAAGTCCGCCGGGCTGGTTGGCCTGATCCGAGCTCGAAACGAACACTGGCGGCTGCGGCCATTGACATGATGGACTAGGCAAGTTGCACAAGATGCTTTGGTATAGACTTTCCCTTCTTCCTCGGGACTCGGGGGCGCAAGTGCATATAAAGAAAGAAGTTTGATGGCTCTGAGGGAACAACAGGTTGAATGAGGCGTATGAGGCACTGCACTTGCCCGGTTCGTTGCCGGCTTGGTGGTAGGATCTCCATGTACGGAGTACCATACGTTGCCCCGTGCTCTGCCCAAACCCGGATTCTGTGAGCTGCTCAATCAACAGAACCGAGCTTGCTAGATAGAAAGATGTTGTGTAGCTAACATGAACCAACATGGGGCCAATAATTGCTCCCGCTGCGGTCCGGTCGTCGTGCACATTGCCCACTGCGCCCTAGCCTTCTCTGTCGGGTTCCTCCGGAAAGCTCGCATTACGCAAAGGGCACAAGGCGTGGCGGCGACCGAACGAGCTATAGGGAGATCAGGAGTTACCTCCCTTTTTGCCGCCTAACAAACATATTTCCTGCGAAGTCGTGATTCATGCCATTCCTGACTTGTCAGCAGCTCGCATACGAGTACCTCCCGAGCCTCCGTAGAGTGGCAATATGTTTTGCGTTATGCCACTGGCCGAGCATCGCCATGGTCGAGCGATCATGCCCACCTAGATAGGGCTAAGTCGAGGGAATATCGCACAGTGCTTGGCGGTTCTCGGGCCAGGCTGACGCCATGCATGTGTAATAAGCACTATGTTCCGGATACTTATATCCACAGCAGTAGGCGTCTATGTGATCCAAATTCTCGGGTCGCTGTTCTATCAAACGGCAAGAGGAAGCGTCCCTGCCCGACGAAACATGTCGAAGCGAACAAGCGCGCCCCACGAGTCTTGTGACAATGACAGGCTTGTGACTCTGATAGACGCAGCTCAAGGCTCACGTATATGCGCAACCGCAGCAGCGTATATGGCAGTCTGACCGTTGCTGTAACCATGCGGAGATCAGGGCGCATTGCGGATCTGATTCGAGATGTGCTGGCACGGTTGACAGCCTGGTCGGAATTCGAGACCGCTGGTTTAAGCTTCAGGAGACGAGAGACAAACCGCGAGATGGAAAGCTGAAAACGGTAATTTGCCAACGGCCGGCATCGCCCTGCGGATTGGGCACCAGCTGCCCGCTTTTTGTGGCCAAAGATTGCCTCCAGAGTAACGCCTGGAAAAGTTGCCTGTTGCCGCTCGCACTGTACAGCTGGTGCCTATTCTGAACCTTCTCCGCAAATTGCACTGTGGGCCCTTCCCTTGGCCGCGGCAAGGCCAGTGAATGGATGGATCCATCAGCCCCTGGGAGGCATTCCTGGTTCAAGTTGGCGGCCCAGTTTCCCTCCTCACAAGGGCATGCTTTCTCCTCTCTTTTTGCCTTGCCATTTCCTTCACCAAAACTCGTCGCCTCCGCCCTTCGACACGACAAGACCGAACCGGGTGATTTCGAGGGTAAAAACCGCATCCACTAGCGCAGAGTGATTTTACGCTTTGAATTCCGTCTGATCTCCCTCGCAGGTTTCTGCAGCTTTTATTTTCATTCCGCTGCCACTTCCTCGGTCGGCATCACCGATCCGCTTCCACCGACCATCAACTGAGCGGCCTTACATCTCGCTCACCCACCGCAACGCGTTGTATTTGACAGGTAAGCAGACTTTCCAACTCTATCTCATTTGGTCGTTTCTGCTTTTACACTCGAACCTTTCACCCTCCATTTTGCAATACAGCTTGAGAATTGAGTTGGCGAGGTGAGCGGTCTTTTGTCGCCACCAGCTCGAGGCAGCACCTATTCTGCTGTTATTCTGCACTTCTCGACCTAAATACTGCAAAGTCTTACGCGCTGTTGCTGCCCTTTCGTCGTTATTGAATTTCAACGAAGCTGACATCTTGCTCTCTGCAGCTAAGATCGCCCGACCGTGGATATTTTGAGTCTGAGGCCAACGAAAGTCACGCAAACCAACCGGCAAGATGACGACTATGGTACGAACCCCAACCCGACATTGGATATTTGATTGGGATAGGATTGAGAGTATCGAATGGAACCGACCACTAATAAACAAACGACAGGATCTTCGCGTCGGGAACAAGTACCGGATCGGTCGTAAGATCGGTTCGGGGTCGTTCGGTGATATCTATTTGGGCACCAACATCATCTCGGGCGAGGAGATCGCCATCAAGCTCGAGAGTGTCAAGGCAAAGCACCCGCAGCTGGAGTATGAGGCCCGGGTTTACAAGTCGCTCGCCGGCGGCGTCGGCATCCCGTTTGTCCGTTGGTTCGGCACCGAGTGCGACTACAACGCCATGGTTCTCGACCTCCTTGGGCCCAGTTTGGAAGACTTGTTCAACTTTTGCAACCGCAAGTTCTCGCTCAAGACGGTCCTGCTCCTCGCCGACCAGTTGATTTCCCGCATCGAGTACATCCACGCCAAATCGTTCATCCACCGTGACATCAAGCCTGACAACTTCCTCATGGGTATCGGCAAGCGTGGCAACCAGGTCAACGTCATCGACTTTGGTCTTGCCAAGAAGTACCGCGACCCCAAGACGCACTTCCACATTCCGTACAGAGAGAACAAGAACCTGACGGGCACTGCCCGCTATGCTTCGATCAACACCCATCTCGGTGTCGAACAGTCGCGCCGCGACGACATGGAGTCACTCGGCTATGTCATGCTCTACTTCTGTCGTGGCTCCCTCCCCTGGCAGGGTCTGAAGGCTGCCACTAAGAAGCAGAAGTACGACCGCATCATGGAGAAGAAGATGACGACGCCCACCGATGTGCTCTGCCGCGGCTTCCCCAACGAGTTCGCCATCTATTTGAATTACACCCGGTCGCTTCGCTTCGATGACAAGCCTGATTACAGCTACCTGCGCAAGATCTTCCGCGACCTGTTTGTCCGCGAAGGCTTCCAGTACGATTACGTCTTTGACTGGACGGTCTACAAGTACCAGAAGAACGCGCAGGCCATCCAGCAGGCTGCCGGCAACACCGCCAACCAGGCTCAGGAGTCCAAGGACGCCCAGCAGGCGGGCGCCCGCAAGGACGCTCAGCAAGCGCTGCCTCGCGGTACCCGTAAGCAGATTGCCGGCGAGGCTCAGGACACCAACCGTGCCGTCGGTGGAAGCGACAGGATGTGAGTGACTACCAAGCCTAGCCCGAAGCATTCCTAGTAAGGAATCATATTTCCTTCGAGTTTGGTGTGCTCATCAACGCTGCCCGGAGGTACAATGCTGACATGGAATGCTGACGATCAGTTTGCGATAATAGGCTGCGCTCTGCTGCAAAGGCTCAGGGCGCTGGCTCGGGATACGCCTCCAACAAGTACCGGCCCATGGACTGAAGCACTTAGACGGCACTCAGATTGACGCCTCCTTTGGGCTGTGAGAGTATGTTTCTCGTCGACCGCCTGGGCCAATCCCTTTGGTGGGCTTTGTCATTTGGCATCGGGACTTCAGCAAACGCAATTGTGCATCGGCAGGGACCGGATCAGCATCGATAACGGATACACGCCCTCAGCACCAGCATTTCGGGACTACTTTTCACCCATTCCTTTCCTTCTCGACATCTCATCAGTTCATGGCCTCTCTATTTGCTCGGGTGATCTTTGATCTGGCGCGTCGTCAGGAGGTACGGCTATGGCCGCCCGTTGTTACGATGCCCGGGTCGGATCTACCGAACGGCATGTCCGGCACTCTGATCCGTTCGGAGTGCCGTTCGATAGGGCGCTTGCTGATGTTTGGGCCTTGATCCCAACGCCGCAGGTGTCAAGAGCAACGGTCAGCGATGGGAGGGGATTTCGAGGTGGATCGACTGTTTGGAGCAGTCGCATCTCGGGTCCCTTGTCGTAGGAGCTCGGCAAATCGCACACTACACACCTCACTCATCGTTGTGTTTTTTCTTTCTCTTTCTGATTTTGCGTTCTTTGCACGGTACTCTGCATTTCATCGCATCGGAAATCGCTTGTGGGGAGGAAACAGGGGACGGAGCGATTCCTGGCTTGGATGCGGCGGAAACGATGGACAGTCCTGCCTCCAAATCTACGACGGAGATGGACCGTGGGCCTCCACGGGAGGGCTCATACTGCCAAGTTGGCATCGACTCGTGAGGTATCGTCGACAAGCAGATTTGGGACGTCGGTCATTGGTCTCACTTTGACTGATGGAGCAGCATAGCGGTCACGTTTGCGGGAGAGCAACGATCTTGGGGGGGATTGTGCTTGGCAGATTTTAGGGGGCTCCCACCGGTCCGAACTCTCCGGCTTTGGAGCAGCATGGTGGCAATGGATGTGCGGCTTCCTCCGATTGTCGCAACACCAGCCGTGGCATCAAGATCGGAGAGGCCGGTGAAGCTGAGCCGCAGCCCAGTTCCAGGTACCAGCTGCAGCCCGCAATCCTGACCGGTCTGGGGTGCTGCCAATATTTACATGCCAGGTAGTCTCATTAATTCAGTCTCGTCATGCTTTCTATGTCTTGAGTCCCGGGTGCGGGAAATAAAGCACACTTATTAATTCTGCATAGTGAGCAGGTAGCGCGATGCTCAGCCTCTTGTGGTGCATGTAATAGTCGTGTTGGGGGGGGCTGTACACCTCAGGTGTCCCAGCCTCTCAGATGCGGGGCCGTGACTCGGGGATCAAGGAATGGGAAATAATCTCTATAATATACTGGCATCGGAAGGAGGGGAAGGGAAGCAAGAGGGCGACTTTGTGCTGTTCCCTATCCACTCTGATCGTCTTTGTCCAGGGTACTGTGTACGGAGTCCAGGCCGCATCAAAATCCCTGCCCTCCGTCACCCGACTTAGCCTAGAAAGTACGTACCGTTTTCGCCTTGTCGAGAACCCAACCCCGACCTCGATGTCGCCGGTAACTGGAAAGAAGTCACGCGTGACTCTGACGACACATTCCGCTACCATGGCCCCCTCGACGCTCGATCTGTTTATTCTCACCTTCAACTGCGCAAAGAACCTGATCGACCCTTATGTTTTTGCCTCGCATCTGCATGGCGCGCTATCACAGAACGACGCCGCGGGCCTTCCCAACTTGGTTGTCTTGTAAGTTGGGAATATAAATTCCTGCAGCCGCCGTTTCTTGAGCCTCAGACGATCATACATACTCACTCCTCATCCCATCGATAGCTCGCTCCAGGAGGTAGCACCGCTTTCATACTCCTTCATCGGCTCCTACTTCTTGAACCCCTACTATGCCCGCTTCGGGGAAGCCCTTAATCTTGCTTCGGCACGAGTGCTTGCCACTGCCGGTGATGGCGATGTATCCGCATCCTTGTCCGCTCCTGACGGGACGCCCACTGCCCGGGGAAGCAAGCAGCATTACACGCTCCTCCGCGCCAAGAACGTGGGTATGACGGCCATCCTCCTGTACGCCCGAGACCCTGCCTCAGTAAGCAAGATCGAAGAGGCAGAGTGCGGGTTCGGCGCTGCCGACATGGGCAACAAGGGCGCCGTCGGACTGAGGGTGACATGCTGCGGCCAGCGAGACGATGGGGTTGGGCCGCACAGGACGACGGAGCTCACCTTTGTCGCCGCCCACCTCGCCGCCATGGAATGGAATCTCAAGAAGCGCAACGCCAACTGGCGAAGCATCGTTTCCGGCCTGACCTTCGCCAACCCCCGCACCATCGTCCCGGGTCTCTTCCGCGACACCCGCGCCGCCCCGACCCTGGACCGCTCTGGTGCAGGCGACATTGCACCGCCACCCTGTCTTCCAACTGGCGAAAGCCCCGAACCAAGCGAGGAGGAGCCAGAACCAGAAGACTCCGCCTCCTCTTCACAAGAAGACACCCAACCGCTGCTGTCGTCCACCACCACCGACGACCAACAACAACGACAGCAACAACAACCCCCGCTCTCCTTGTCGGACCAGGCCGCCCTGCAATCCATCTCCATCTACAAACCTACTTCACACTTATTCGTAGCCGGCGACCTCAACTACCGCATCGCCAGCACCACCCCGCCCCCGCAATCCGCTTTCCCCTCCTTCGACCCGTCCTCAGAGCACTTCTACCCCAACTTCCTCCCGCGCGACCAGCTCACGCGCGAGCGCCTCGCCCGTCGCGCGCTGCACGGCCTGAGCGAGGCGGACATAGCTTTCGGGCCGACCTACAAGTTCGACGTGCTCGCCTCTGCCGAGGGGGCAGCAAATGAGGAGGCTGTGAGGCGCGGGGGAAGGGATGTGAATGGGGTCGTGGAGGTGCCGTGGCGATTCGCGCCGCATCGCTGGCCGGGGTGGTGTGATCGGGTTTTGTATCTGGATGTGCCGAGGTGGGTTAACAACACAAACAAGATTAACGGCGACAGAAAGGAGGTGGGGGAGAGGGAGGTCAAGGTGGCGGTGACGACGTATGACGCCATGCCCGTCGTTGCGACGAGCGATCATAGGGCGGTTTTCTTCCGCGCAAGCGTGCCGGTTTTGGGGGAGGAAGAGATGAAGCCTCCTCCGCAGGAGGGAGAAGAACAACAACAACAACAAGAAGAAGAAGAAGAAGGGCTGGCCGTGGATCCCAGGGTGCGGATGCCTGTGCCCGTGGACGTGCATGCTTGGGAGAGGAGGGCGGCGGCGCGCAGGAAGGAGTTGCTGGTCGGCTGGTCGGCGTTAATCTGGAGTACGCGTGAGGGGGCCGTGTTGTTGGCGACGGTGTTGGCGTTGGGTCTGGGGAGTTGGTGGTTGTGGCGTGCGTGGTGAGTGTTGGGTTGCGGCGTGTTTATTGCCTGGTGGAAATTGGGTTTGGGGCTTGGATATGAATATATATGTCTTCAAGCGCCTTAGAGACGTGAATGTGGGGGCCGTTGAGGGGTGTGTGTGGACGGTTTTGCGCGTCTGATACCACTGTTAGAGCCTGGTCATGAGTTGCTGATAGACCTACATCCGTTACTGTTACTCCCGCGTTGCGAGCTGAGAAATGGAATAGCTTCTCGGTATTATACATAACCTGATTGTTACTCCCGGTCGTGCCAACCTGAAAATTCACCATCGTGAATCTGCTCAGTTGAGACCATCAGCCGTGCAGGAGGGCATGATGAACTAGGAGGAGCACAGCCATCTTGCTGTCTCATCCGCAGAAACAACTAGATGGTTCGTACTTCTCACGCACATCGCCGGCTTTGAAAGAGGGTGATTGGCCTGTACAGTTCAATAGGTATATGTAGTCTACCAACTCCCCTGACCGCCCGCGGCTTTCTCTACCACTCCATTCCGTTCTTCGAAGCCCAGAGCCCTCACCACTGGCAGACCTCATAACGATACACTACCCTCTAGGCACCACACCTTTCTGTCGCATACAGCCGCCCAATGACTGTGCTATGTGCAGTTCACATGCTCATCTCTTCCACCCAAACGCCAGCCATCCGTCCCATGGAAAAACAAAATGCCGCCCGCTCTTTGCTTGCTGGTTAGGACTACAAACTCAGAAACCAATGTCCTCAGAACTTGACACCCGCCCACTCCCCTGCAGATGGCCCCATCAACCGGGTATTCAAGCTCAAAAGCAAGACCCAAAGAATCAATCCCGCCCACCAAAACCAACGCGTGCCCAGCAACCCCGGTCCATTCCCTTTCCCTCTATCGCCACAAGTTCTCAGAAATCCGCGAAGTACTCATCGTACCTGTCCGCCATCTCATTAGTATACTCCTCCTTGTTGGCGTCCTCTTCCGGGTACAGATCGAAGCACTGCGCGTCACCCGGGTACCGGACGGGCGGGATGATGGGCCCGCGGTGGCGTTTCTGGTAGACGGCATCCCAGTCGACACCTTTAAAGAAGGGGTGGGCCTTGACCTTGGCCGCGCCGCCCGAAACGTTACCGAGGCGCCGGGAGCGGTCGACGGTGCAGAACTGCCGGATGATGTCCTTTGCCGCGTCGCTGATGGGTGGTTCTTGCGGGAAGACGATAGGTTTCTCGACGATTCTGCCATTGCGTTAGGACATCTGGGACCCCCCGGGGGGGGGGGGGGGTTGGTTGCGAGGGAGGGCTTACTGCTTGTAGATTTCGATGGGGTTTTGGTGCCAGAACGGCGGGTAGCCCGTGAGGAATTCGTAGATAAGGATGCCCAGCGCCCACCAGTCTACCGCGGTCGTGTGGCCCTTGTTATGGATTACCTCGGGCGCGAGGTACTCGGGGGTGCCACACAATGTGTAAGTCTCGACTGGGTGGCCGGACTCGTTATTTCCTAGCCGCTTCGCGAAACCAAAGTCGACGAGCTTGATATGCCCCTCTGCGTCCAGCAACAAATTCTCCGGCTTCATGTCCCGGTATGCTATCCCCCCTTGCTGCTCGTGCAGGTGCTCCAAGATTAGGACAATCTCGGCGGCGTAGAAACGGGCCATGCTCTCGTCAAAACGGCGGAACTTGCGTAGGTATGTAAAGAGCTCTCCGCCGGGTACGTAGTCGAGCAAAATGTAGAGGAACTCGTGGTCCGAGAAGGAGGCGACGAAGCTGGTGATGAAAGGGTGGCCTCGCACGTCGGCCAGGATCTGACGCTCGTGGCGCACATGGTCGATCTGCTTCAGCTTGATTACTATGGCCGGTTAGCACTGACACGGCCCAGTCGCTGAAGATTTGGTCAAGCTCACCCTCAGTCTTGCGCAGTATCTTCAGCGCATACACCTTGGCGCGATCAACCTCTGTGCCGTGGGATGGCCGGACCAGGCAAACACGGGCGAACGTCCCTGAGCAAGAAAGGTCAGCCGCGAAGGCACGCGAGAGCAAGTCGAGAACTGTACTTGTACCAGTACATACCTGTGCCCAACGTCCGCACCCTCACAAAATCGCTCACAGACAACTTCCGGGATGTTACATCGAAGGGCTCGTCATCGAAGTCCCGTTGTTGGGGATGTTGAGGCTGCTGCTGCAATTGCCCACTGCTGGCGGACCTAAGGGCCGCTGCTTGCAATGGATGAAGCCCGGGAGGGATAGTCTGTGAGTGCGCGACCGTGGCCGCCATGGCGGGTGGGTGTTTGAGAGTGTGTGTAGGTGTTGAATCTCCAGGCGCGAACTGATACCCCGGTTATAAGCAGCTCGGGATCTTCAAGGAACTCGTTGTGCGGTGTAACATGCGCACTGGTTCCAATCGGTAGGTGGCAGGTAGTGTGGGGGTAACACAGGTGGTATATAGGATCGTAATTAGGTACAGCGCAGTTCCGGGAAAGAAGAGTACAGAAGATCGGGGAGCAGGATGAGATCAGGATCGAGGACTGCCCGCCTTCGCGGTCGCAGATATCGAGGCAAAAAGTGGAGCGGCCAAGGACGGGTCGGGTACGAAAATGGACAATGAAGGCCAGTTCACATGAACGGAATGGCCGAAAGGACAGGGCCGGGTTGGCACGGAATACGGATATCGTGACGGCTCGGCGGGTCGTCTTCCTATCGAGTCCCGGTCGAGGGTCAGCTTCGCGGGGTTCCTAGCCTGGGGTAGTAGGAGACAGCGGATCGGGTTTGAGGGACGGCGATCAGAGACAACGTATCCGTGCTTAAGTACGCACGCCGATTGCTGAAGCACTTGGCAGAGAGGAAGCAGCGGATGACGTTGGCGACGCAGGACAAGCGGACCCTCGAATCTCGTCAGATACCGGAACCGAGTGCCTGCGCGTAGCAGGGCGGTGGCTGCAGGCCGAGTAGATGCTGTGGAACAAGCTGGAGAATAAACGGATGTTCACAGACAAAAGGAGGCAAGAGACTGGGGGCTAGGTATGTACCTTATATTATATTCTGTGATTAAGTCTGTGGTTATGATTGCTCCTGAGGTGGTTCGGCCCACAGCCGTTGTAGCAGTTGCGAACAAGCAGCAATGACATCGCCATGGCAATCTGCCCGAAACGGGGCGGGCCGGCTTCCACGGTGGGACTCGGCCCCTGGATTCTCAAAGTCGGAGATGAGCGACGGCTGAAGCCTCTTCACCGAATAAAGGGTCCCGAATAACGGAATCGACACAGGGAGATGCAACGTTCGTTGAATGTTTAAATCGCCCAAGATCTGGGTTCTCTCTGCCATCAGTCGAGATTGCGGCTCTCAGGACTCCTGGTATCTTTAGAGGTAATCCCTATAGGAAGACCTTCCAGCCGGGCTTGTCCCGTCTTAAGAATGAAGGGAAACAAACTGGAGATGTGTTGACTTCTGCCGGCAGTGTTCACAGGATGCAAGCAGGTTGACGCCGCAGCAAGCAACCTGGAAGCCAAATCGTTGGAGCGGTCAGAGTCCAACCTGGAAACAAACCTATCTGCTTGGTGAAGCTGCAAGCAGATCGGACCCTGACTTCGGCCGCCCTGCGCCGACAGGCACGGGTCCAGCGTTACCCCAGCAGGGAGGGGCTCCACTCTCCGCACCGTGCTGCGGCTGCCTCGTGAGCGCAACCACATCCACTCCGGCATTCCTAGAGGGAAGGCAGGTTCCAGGTTACCCTTCAGCTGTCAGCCGCACAGTGTGACATCCATCTAACCAAGGAAAACCATCAATTTTGACCTCGCCGATTGTATATACCGAATCTCGCCATCTTCATTCCACCGCCACTTGCCGTGCCATCTGCTTCTGACGCGCGATGCCAACGGGGCTCGCTGTCTCCCGAACCACTCCGCCAAGCCGTCCCTCGCGACACGCCCAGGGCAACAGCTGCACCTGAGACGGACCCTTTTCAGAATGTTGAGTTTCTCGAGCTTCGTGCAGAAAGCCCAGCAGCTGTTGGATCCCACCCAGGGCCTGAACCTCTCCGAATCAGACAGAAACCCGTCCAAGGCATCGCTGTTCCAGAGCCAGTTTCGCCTCCCTTCATCCCAGCACCCGCTCTACGAGATCACCGCCGAGCTCACTATCCCCCCCGCAAATGCCACCCAGGGTGGGAGAGACCGGGACCTAGGCTACCAGTATGCTGGCAAGCTCCATCTGTCCGAGGCATACCTCTCCTTTTCCACAACCCCGTCCAGTTTCCTGCAGTCGGCCAGCACATCGACGTCCTCAATATTCACCGGTCAGACGCACGGCGGGGGACCCGGCGGTAATGGCTTCACATTTCCGCTCTGCGCGATCCGGAGAGTCGAACGGCTGCACAGCCAGAATTTCCAGGTGAGACGGTGCAGTTCCCCGGCAGACGCTGGACCCTGGCTAACAGCTCTGCGCCTGTAGTTTGCCCTCTCAATTTCGACCTGGAACGGTATCAGTCAGGATGCTGCAAAGGACAGAGATAAGAAGGATCTGAAAGAGCAGCGGGTCACGTTGCAGCTAGCCGGCAGTCGACAAGCCTGCGAGCGCTTCTGCGACGGCCTGAAAAAGGGGTTGCGCGCAAATGTCGGCAATGTCGCCAAGATGAAAAAGGTCACAGCCGAGTGTTATTCCGAATACCTTCTCCGGCCCGAGGACAAGAAGAACGCCGCCCCGCCCGATGCTGGCCTAGGCATGATGTTCAAGTACCCCGGCGACCCCAAGAAACTCCGCGACCGAGCAAAGATGAGGCTGTGGGCCGAGTATCTCCGAGACAATGGCCGCAATATGACGCTCATCCGCCAACCGACGTTTCACAAATTGATCAGAGTGGGCTTGCCAAACAGGTTACGAGGCGAGATCTGGGAGCTGACTTCGGGCTCCATCTACCTGAGGCTGGAGAACCCCACGCTTTACGCAGACACCTTGTCCAAGTTTTCTGGCCAAGAGTCGCTGGCAATCGACGAGATTGAGAAGGACCTCAATCGCAGCTTGCCGGAATATCCGGGCTTCCAGAGCGAAGAGGGCATCGGCCGCCTCCGCCGCGTGCTCACTGCCTACAGCTGGGTGAACGCCGACGTTGGCTATTGCCAGGCCATGAACATCGTTGTCGCCGCCCTTCTCATCTATATGTCTGAGGCACAAGCATTCTTCCTCCTCTCGGCCCTGTGTGACCGCCTAGTCCCTGGCTATTACTCGACGACCATGTACGGGACACTGCTCGACCAAAAGGTGTTTGAATCTTTGGTGGAAAAGACGATGCCGATCCTCTGGGAACATCTAGTCAAAAGTGATGTTCAGCTATCTGTTGTCTCTCTTCCCTGGTTTTTATCACTTTACATCAACTCGATGCCCTTGGTCTTTGCGTTCAGGGTGCTGGACGTGTTCTTCGTCGAAGGTCCCAAAGTACTGTTCCAAGTAGGATTGGCCATCCTCAGGATAAACGGAGAGGAGTTGTTGGACGCAACCGATGATGGCGCCTTCATCTCGGTTCTCAAGTCCTACTTTGCCAGCCTCGACGAGTCTGCCCATCCCAAATCAGAAAACCCGAAGCTCCGAGCCGTCACGAAATTCCAGGAACTCATGGTTGTCGCATTCAAGGAGTTCTCGGGGATTACGCACAGCAGCATCACAGAGCTCCGCCTGAAGAACAAGGATGCCGTCTTGAGCAACATTGAAAACTTCGCCAAGCGCACCGCCATCAGAAATCTGGGCCCGGATAGCAAACTGCTCAGCACTGATGAACTGGGCGCCCTGTACGACCGCTTTTACGGGGTTCTGTACGAGAGGCAGCAGCGGGACCACATCATCAAGCAGGAGCAGGCAAGGCGCGCAAGGACCAGCCGGTCGCGCATCGCAGAGGCGGCCAGTGAGGGAGATCATGGCGTCGAGAAGGGGCGCGTCGGTCTTGGTCCGAGCACCAGCTTGATGGACTACGACGCCTTTCGCGAATTCCTGGCAGGCATGTGCAAGTGGGCCATTTCAGACGCGCCCTCGACGCCGCGCCGGGAGGCGTCTGCAGACAAGGAGAAGGGTTTCTACGGTAGCTTCAGAAGGTCTGATGCAACGCTGTCGCCGTGGGGAGCGGGCCCTGAGCCTGCAGACCACGAGTTCCTCCAGCGTTTATTCCAGAAATGGGATACCGATTCTTCCTCGGCGCTTACTCTGCAGAAGGTTGTCTCTGGCCTGGCGCGAATCAAGGGGAAGCGTGATATCATGGGAACCATCACCTACTTCTTCGAGCTGCACGACAATGACGGCGACGGCAAGGTTGATCGGGAAGGCATCTTGCGCATGTCGGAAGCCTTGCTCTTCCTCTCCCGCCGTGGCCTGGAGGGCACGCTGAACCCGACAAACTCCTCCTTGACCCTGACGGGAGATGGCACGAACGGCGGCAGCGACGTCCCTGGTCAGTCGGTTAACGAACGATTCCTCGGCAGCGTGAGCGCTTTCATAAGGAGATGCTTTGAGTATGCCGATCCAGATCACCCAAAGAATCAGGACAACGCGATGCCAAAACTACAAGCCAAGCTCGGATCGATTCAGCTAGAAGAGCATGAAGGAGACGAATTGGCGAACCCTGACGCTTTCGCCATCGGCGATGACGATGACGAGGACGAGGACGACCTCTTAGCGATGGACTCACCGACCGCAAGCCCCAAGACAGCAGCCCAGAAGCCCGACACGCAACCGCCCACCCTGCAGCCCAACTCGACGCATCTGTCTCCGGACGACCGCCGCCGGGTATCAAAAGCGCAATCTGTAAAAGCCAACGCCGCTCTCGACCCGTCGAATCCGCTGCACATCACCCTCCCTACCTTCCGCATGGTCGTCCTCGCCGACGAGCTGCTTGAGCAGTTCTTTGAGTCGTCGTTCCCGGCCTCGTTCCACATCATTGAAGGCCTTGCGTCAGCCGCCACGCCCAAGAGCGCGTCCTCGCTGACTACTTTCTCTAGTATCGGCATCGGCGCTGGCCGCGCCGTCAACGCGGAGCTTGGCGCAGGTGCAGGTAGGGAGGGCGCACCGGGCGGAGCCGGAGCCGGAGCCGGGGCAGGCCGCGGGCTGCGCGGCGTGCTGGATAATATTGTCACGGACGGCATGCGCGTTGCTGCTGAGGTCAGGAGGCGCATGGAGGAGGCGCAGAGGGAGCTTGAGAAGAATGCTGTGGCTGGACAGCAGCAGCGGGCAAGTAATGATGAGGAGGAGGAGGAGGATGAGGAGGGGTTTAGGGGAGGGGAGGGTGGTGGCGGTGCGTACAAGGGGGATGCGGAGCGGCGGAGTGTGAGGAGCTCGGATAGGGATTTGTTGACGGGGGCTGATGCTGAGGCCAGTGATGGCGCCGTGACTGATGTTGGGGAGGGTGAGGTTGGCCGGAATGGCGAGCTGGGTGCCGCGGAAGGGACGGGAAAGGTGGTGGGGGTCGAGTTTGACGGCTAGATGCCGTGATGCTCTGCCTGGGTACGGGCGGGGCGGAGATGTTGTCATGTGAGGCTTTACTCGTCTCTGGTTGATCCAGGTTGTTTCTTGGCTGTCTTGGCTGGCTCTTCTGCTTTGGTTGTGGTGACGCGGGTTTCCCGTTCGGAGGAATGGGCATGGTTGGGCATGGTTGGAGTCAAGGAGTGAGTGGAGTGTCCGTGTAAATGGTCTGTCGAGTCGTTGACTACGTTGGCGCTGCTGATTTACGGGGCTGTTTAGAACAGATATTTTGATATTGGACATACATTGCGGCCGTGGCTGCTGTTGCAAGCCTGCTGTTTGATGCTGGTCAATCTTACCATGGTGTTAGCACCTTGCTTGAAAATCTGGCGATTGGAGTTTGAGCATGTCAGCAAGCTTGGGGGGCGCGGAGAGAGCAGGAAAGACAGGAGAACTGCAAGAGGCAAGCAGGAAGCGAGACTGTCAGGAGGAGGAATCATTGAGGGGAGGAGGAGAGAAGGTTCAACGGAAAGTATCTTCCCGCTTTTTGACTGGATTGATTCGTGTTGAGCTGGAAGCTAATCAGCGAAATGTAGGTTGCACGCCTCGCCAGCACCGATGTTACTCGGATTGGTCATTCTCGCGTGATCCACAGGGCTCTTGCGCTTTGCTATCGGTCAGTCATTCCATTCCTAGTTCCCGTCCTCCTCCTGGCATCTGCCAAGAAGCATTTCGATGCCTCGCTTCCGTATGTCTCAGGGCCAAAGGGGTGGTTCCGATTCGCAAGTAGGACCGAGACAGTGAGGAATGTTGCAACACAGAATCGTGATTATCTCTCTTCCTCTCTGGTGCCCGTTATGGGCATTCCAGCTTCCCGCGTCCCCACGAGTGTCGATATCCGACAACGCGCCCAACAGCGTGCCGGCGTCGCGTATCCAACTACGCGACTGCGCCTTCGTGAGGCTACCACGCTGTGATTGCAATGCCTTCCTCCGGTATTTTAAGCCAGGTATCCTCGCCATCCCGTCAGGGCTTCAGTATCCGGGATTCGACATTTCTTGCTTGCGTCGACTTGCAGTCCGCTCCCTTCGTTCTGACTCGCGCCCCTCCATTTATTTGCTGACGGTTTCTCCACGATACCGTCGTCCTCTCTTTCCCCGCTGGACAAACGTATTCACTGCCGCCCGGTCATCATGCGGCTCCGGTTCGGACAGGCCTTGGCGACCGCCGTCGGTCAGCTGAGTGTCGTTGATGCCCGGGCCATCTTCGGCGACCGGATGAGTCAGCTCATCGTCTGTGGCGGTGATGATTTGACCTCCCCCACCACGGCGAGCATCGAGGGCAAGGCCGCCAAGTGAGCACTGTTTCGTCGTCGAACCCTACGGCTACCACCACCTCCACCTCAACCACCACGACAGCCACGACGAGCACCGCTTCCGAGATCACAACGACCTCGTCTACCACTACCGACATTAGTATAACAACTACAACCATTACCAACACCTCTTCCGAGATCACAAGTGAGTAGCAATCATGTGTTGTGGACTGTTATATTTCGTTATGGCTGTCTCAGGAGCCGTCCTGCTCCCGAGACCCTTGGGACTTCTCCGGAATAGGAAGATGACAGCTGGAATTGTTATAGCGACTACGAGCACCTCGACAGACCTTACACGCAAGCAACAATTGCTTTCAGCTTGTTGACTGTTGATACTTCTTTATGGCTATCTCAGGAGTCCTGCCCCCGAGACTGCGCAATGCCCCCGAAACCCTTGAAACAATTCCGAGAGAAGCACATCGCAGCTGATATTGCTATAGCGACTGCCACCACCAGCACCTCTTCCGAGATCACAAGTAAGCAACAATCTTCTTTGCTTGTGGACTGTTTATACCTCTTCATAGCTGTCTCGGGAGCCGTTCTGCTCCGGAGACTGTTGCGCATTGCTCCCGAAACCCTCGTGACATTTCGAAAATGAGGGATTTGCAGCTGATATTGTTAAGCGACGACGAGCACCTCCAGTACAAGCACCACTGGGACTGTCAGCACTACAACTACCGGCACAGAGACTTCAAGCAGTGCAACAACCGCCGCCGAGAGTACGACGTCCAGTGAAATCTAAAGAACACCCAGCACCACCACCACCGTTGACACTTCCACCAGCACGTCCACAGATTTAGAAACCACAATTACTACAACCACCACCACCACCACCTCTTCCGGTACTACATCGGATTTGTCCACTATTAGCAGCACGACGACTGCTACGGCAACACAGACCTTTTGGTGGTTGGAGCTCTCAACATCGACGTCAACCACACGGACGACCACCACAAGCGCCACAACTTTCACCAGCCCAGAGGTTACGACAGCAACGTCGACGTCGTCCACAGTTACCACAAAGACGACCACTACAACCACAACTATTTCAACCACGAGCACCGACGTTTTAATCTCCTCTAGCACCAGCACCGACATATCTTTAACCACATCTACATCTCTCCCTACTCACGATTCAGACCTCGACGACACTCACTCTCGAGACTGGCACTTCTACGACGACCACGACAACAACAACTACGACAAGAAGTACTTCGGTGGAGGCGACACCGACTTCTCCTCCCGTGGGCGGCAGCACGACCCCCTGGACTGGCGGTGGCTGGGATGATTACCCCTGAGGATTTTTTTTTTATGGAGGGTTAGGATCATGCCCTTCCCACCCCCGAGTTTTGGGATGATCGAGAGGCGAGTGATGGATAGTTGTGGTTATGGCATTTTAGATCTTGTTGGAATTAATGTGGGGTTGCTTTGAGGCACTAGCATGAATTATCTGTTTGCTAGGAGTCTCGTGCGTTTTGCGTGGATTATTTCCCCGTGGTCCGTCGCTCTCCGTCTTCCCCGTCATATTTGTCGAGGGGGGAAGGGGGATTTCAGGAAGGGTAGGGGTGACGGTTCCGACTCTGGTTGTCGATGTGTCCAGCACCAAGCTCCTCTCAGGATCAACCATGTTCCCAATCATTTTGTTGTGTCTCCCTGCCGAGCCATTTCCTCTCACAGTCAACGCTTTCAGTCTTGTCCTCAATGCACACACCACATCACACACATGATCCCAATGCCAACTGTCTTCTGCGTTCCCTGTCTGTCCACATCCTGACACAGTGATCAGTTGAAGCAGAATCTCTATCAGCTGCGGAGGGATTTCGGGCTCCACCTCCTTTCAGCATTCCCGCCAACAACCTGCTCTCATCTTCATCTCCCAGACCGCCAAGATTCGGCTGAACCAGAGCGCACTCGCAACTTCCAAGATTTTGGTCTAGTTGGTTTGTGCCTGCAGGGTTTCTGTATGTATATCATGCGAGTACCTTCCGACATGTCGTGTTGTTGATGACCATGTCACAGTCTCTTACACACTCGCTGCTGGCTTTCCTGTCCCAAGCTCGGATCGTGACGATCCGGTGGGCTAGACAACTCCTTGCCAGGTGGGCGAGCTGCAATACCGGAAAGGATCAGGGAGATATGGCTGATGGTGGCGCTGGCTTGCACGTCCACCTCTGACGCCGTTGAGTTTGACCACCTGGAAGCTTTTCTCCTGGTGATCTCGGCGGCCTTGCCGAATCAGCTATCATCGTGCATAATCATTGGCCCAATTTTGTTCATGTAGGAAGCCAACTCGAGCTCCCTTGAGAGCTGAGTGCTTCTGTCCGTTAATAGAGCTGAAATTTGTAAGGGTCATCGTGGGCGTCACTGTCAGTTGATTCCCTGCTGCTGGGACAAGTCCCTTCGTTTGTCATCAGACAGAGCTCAGCCAAGGAGCAAGTGAAATTTCTCTTTCGTAAGTGTCATCCATTCTTACCTCTTACACTAACAACCCTTTAGTGTACTGGGATAAACAACGTGATCGGCCTAGACCCCCTACTCGAGTAGCCCTCTAGCTTCACCGTGCTTCTAACCCCGGGAGCTGGGTTCTTCCTGTTCTTGCGACATCCTATTGAACTCCGCAACATGATGTACCGGAAACTTCGAGTCTCGAGGTATCACATGCGCGTGGATTACTTCCATCTAAACGGCTTACCACGTCTGCAATATATCCACACATATTCTACGCCTCTGCCGTTGAATCAGTACCGAGGTGCTCGACGTCCTTCATAGGCAGAACGACTTCGTCTTCAGCCACGGGGCCGACGTACCACCGAGCATCCTCAACTATTATCCCGCCGGCAAACATGCGACGGGTCCCGAAGCTCGGCATCGATCACCAAGCAAAGTCCGCAATGCACACCGTCATCGCCACGTTGGGTGGCATGCTCAACTGTCGGATCTCCTACTTGCCAATCTCCAGAGCACTCCAGGTCACATCCTCCTCCTCCTGGAATCTTCCAAGGGCATGTAGATGCCTCCCTTCCGCATATCTCGATGAGGGGCGCGTCAGATTTGCAGGTGAGACCGAGACGGTGAGGAATACTGCCATGCCAGGCAGGATCTTTCTCTCTATCCTTGCCATTACAAGCATATCAATTTCCCTCGTCTCCGCGATGTACGACAGCGCGTTGACATCCGTTTCCGAAATACGCGACTACGTGCTTGTAAGGGGATCGCGCAGTAACTGCGATGCGGTCTGGTGCCCTGGTATTATAAGTCGATTACCCTCATTATCCCAGGAAGTGCTTCAGCACCCTAGGATTCGACATTTCTTACTTGCTTCAACCTAGCTCGTTGTCTACTTCGTTCTAACTCACGCCCCTCTCTTTTCTCGGTAGCGAACGGTTTCACCACGGATACCGGCGTCCTCTCTCTTTAACCCCCCTAGACGAAACGCCTTTCGCTTGCTGCTGTCATCGCCATGCGGCTCCGGCTCCAAGTGGCCGTGGCGGCCGCGGTTGGTCTGCTGAGCTTCGCTGATGCCCAGGCCAACTACAGCAACCTGACCGGTCAGCTCAGCGCCTGCGGGAATGAAAAATTTATGGACCCAGTGTGCTGTATGTAAAGTCAACTAACTCCCTTTGCCCCTTTTCGAGAAGATCGCTTCCGCCCCTGACTGACGTTGCCTGGTCAGTCCCCAGCTTCCAGGCCACTGTTGGCGGCTTGTTTACCTTCAGCCCGTTGGGCTTCAACCCCTCGGACCCATCCCGCGGCTTCCCCGACTGGGATCCCGGCTCTGTGTTTGAACGATACGGTGACGCCCCTGAACTGCGCTCGGGCCTGCCGAGGCTTCGGCTACAAGTTTGCCGCCCTCCAGAGCAGCAACTGCACATGCGGTATGCGGCTGCCCCTGGATTATCAACCGGGTGATCCGGCGGATTGCAATGTGCCGTGTGGAGGAGATGCGTCCCAGACCTGCAGCGGCGTCGAGCAAGCCCAGATCTACCTTGAACCCAGCTTTGCGGCGAACGATCAGGTGCCCATCACCGACTCGAACCCAGCCATAACGGCCTACTATCACCATCTGGGTTGCTATGAAGTACAGTACTGCACCTGTATGGATGCGTCCGAGTGCTGGAGAGGGGATCGAAAACGGTGTCTTTTATGGCACTGTCCCGATGAACGCCATCAGCCCTGCGACGCTGAATCAATGTGCTGAACTGTGCAATTCGCAGCTTTTTGGCATGATCAATGCCAGTGGGACGTGAGTTGCCGCTTCTTGGGCCAGTTACGAAGTGTTGCTAATCCACATGTTGTTAATGACCTTGACTGTTACTGGGGGCGAACAGTGCGCTCTGTCACTGCTGTACAGATGGTAATGAGCACTTTCCGCACTCTATAAGCCGACCCACGTCCTGCTTCTGAGACTGTGCATTCGCCCTGGGAGACCATCATCATTCGTTCTAGTTCAGAAACCTGTAGCTGACAGTCCATCTAGGGAAATTGTAGTGTGGCTTGCGGCGCTGCTGCTGACAACATCTCCTGCGGCGGCACCGACTCGCTTATTGTATACTCTTCCAACGTGGGAGGCATCTTACCCGGAGCTCGCTGCCCGGCTAGCTCTGGCTTCGCGCGAGTACGAATGCGATCCTTTGAGTGAGTCTGCAATTTCATACTCTCTGTGGTTTTGCACCTTTGGTTAGGTTAGGGGTGGCAAGGCAGAGGAGGGTAGGACAGGAGCGGTCGCCGGGCTTTGCTCTCTTCTGAGATGTCATCCATCCCTAACAATGGTCGCTAACTGGTGCCAGCTACATCGACGCTGACAACTACAACAACGACGACATTGACATTGAACACACTCAGCACAGAAGTGTCCGTCTTGAGCACCACCACCGCCACCACTGCTACCACTACAACTATCACCACCAGTACCAGCACAGAGCTCTCGACATTGAGCTCGACGACGACAACCACCACTACCTCCACCTTAAGTGAAGTTACTACATCCACATCCACCTTGAGCATAGTTAGCACAAATTTGTCTGTTGTAAGTTGCACTACTACGGATTTTTCAACACTGAGCTTGACGACGACGACAACCACCACCACCACCTCGAATGAAGTTACCACGCTCACTTTGAGCACAATCAGCACAGATTTGTCCATCGTGAGCAGCACTTCTACAGACCTCTCGACATTGAGCTGAACTACTATCGACTTCTCAACCACCTCATCCACCACTACCACCACGACAACTACAACCAGCATCAGCCTCGAGACCACCGCTAGTACCACTACCGGCCTGGACATGGCCACCACAATAATCACCACCACCACAACAACAACCACCAGCTGCACAGCGACTGACCTTGCCACCAGCACGTCAACAGACTTCACTACTAGCACGTCGACGGACTCTACAAGCAACAATCTTTCTATATTTGTAGCCTATTTATACCTCTTTATGGCTGTCTCAGGAGTCCTGCCACTGACACCCTTGGGATGCTTCCGAAATATGGCAATCGCAGCTGGTATTTTTGGAGCGACTACGAGCACCTCCATATCTATCTTGAGTACGACTAGTATAGATCTGTCTATCTTGAGTGCTAGCACAAACATCACCCCTAGTATTACCACTACGACCACAAGTAATAGTACGGATCTTCCAACTTTTGAGCTCAACGCCCACGGACAACTTTGTAGAAAGTACCACGTCCACAGACATCTCCGTCAAAAGTACTACCATAACCACTACAAATATCTCTACATCTTATGTCCTCGGCATCCGAGAGCTTAACCAGCACCACAACTACAACCACGACCACTACTTCCAGCTCTACGGCGGTTGATCTTACGACTTCAACATCTACATACTCGACCGTCAGTACAGCCACTGAGATCTCAACCGCCTCTTCCACTACTACTACGGCCCTCGATACCACCACGTCAACGTCTACATACTTGACCGTTAGTACAACCACAGACATCTCGACCACTTCTTCCACGACGACATCCACAATCAGCACCACATTTAGTACCACAATAGACATCTCAACAACCAGCGAAACAACGACCGCCACGGAGACCACGTCCACAACACTCACCAACACTAAGACTATCATCATGGCATTTGCATCCCCATCTCTACTCCGTAAACAAACTCAAGGGAAGGCTATCTGGGCTCCTAGCTTATGCCGCAGAGACATACATCAAGATCGAGACAATTTGGCTCATTAGGGTAACTTCCTGGCCGCATCAGTTGATGAGAGATAGCGCTGTTCTTTGATCGAATCCCCAAAGAGCAGAACAAAGAATGGCCGATTAACAAACTACCGACGATTACATCTGGTATAAGAATAAGGACGAGACAATTCGCCCTGATTGGCTCCCTTCTTTGGGTTTGATGAGAAGGGAGAGCTCAAGATCACCCCCGGCGAACTTTACTGTCGTTTCAAGATGGGCGATCGTAGATCGTGCATGACAAGAGGCTCTTCTTGAACGAGTCTAACTTGAGGACTCATATTAACGAGCACAGGGTCGACGGCAAGCATGTTGCGATTGAGAGTAAGCGATAGGATTCAATCCACTGCTGGCGCTCGCACCTCCGTGTCCTTCAGAGCCGTGCTACTGACCCAGAAGAATGTCAAACCGGCTCAAAGCGCACAGCTTGCCTGACGCTTCGTGGCGGAAAAGCGAAACACAACTTTACCAGCAAGCCTTCGAAGTGCAGGCGCCGACACAGAAAACGCCGACAGGTGAGGCGAAATCATTTACAGACGAATTGAAGTGAGGGACGAGAAAGACGGGGAAGATTGTGCTAACCGGTTTTTTTCCAACCAGAGATCCGACCCAACCGCATCCGCCAGTCTCACCCTCCAGCAAATGACCGATAAACACCCAACGACGAGCATTCCAGAAAGGATCTTGATACGGTGGGAATGAGAAACGCGGCGGCTGTTCACTCTCCAGGGTGACGAGCCAAGAAAGAAAGGACGAACGAAAGACAAGGTGCTACAGCCAGGCTCTAACGGCAGCGCAAACACAGCTTTGATGCCGCTTGAGGGAACAAATGGCGCAGGCGGCAACAGGGTGAGCAAAAGCCAACCAGAAGACCGTCTGGGCGAGCACCAACAAGCAGTCTCGTTCCATCTGCCCGTGAAGAATTCGTAGACACGATCCCCCCGTCTCTTCAGCCGGGCAAAACTTCTTAGAGTCGTTGATGTTGCGAACAGTTTCCTGGGCATTGTTGGCTTTAGACTCAACACGACCCTGATCAGTGGACTGACCTTGACATGTTTGATGCTATGCATCTTCCAGGTACGGTATAGGTACCTGCACAGGTAGTTGGAGCCGTATTTGCGCTCATTGTGTGATGGCACGACTTCTGATGCCGACCGGACCGTCCAGGCTTTTCGTCACATACTTGAGGGATGTTGTCTTTCTCAGCCCGGTTCACGTGGATGAGCATAGAGATCCGCTGGAGGTGGCGGGCTCTCAATGAACAGCCTCGTAGCTAACGAAGCCTGGGCCGCCGGAGGGCCGAGGGCGTTTGTTGTGTACGTGGTAGTAACCCAGACCCACGTACTGTAGCTGCACGAGATTGACGGATCTGATATTTCTCGATGATCATACATCATCCCAGATCGCTGTTACCCGAGGACCCAAGTGCCTGCGCTTGGCCTTACCGGATCGCCGTACATGGAATGATTGTTTACCCTTGATGAACTAGTACTTGGCTGTCTGTTTACAGGTGTGACATGACCCATTTGGGGGATTCTCTTTGGCTGTGCCGTGCTCCAGGACGGACGGCATACTCAGGGACAGATCTAAAACCCAGATGTCCCAGACGCCCGCTCAAAGGGATGGGAAAGCTCACTCCTTTTTCCAATGGGTTACTGCTGAGGCGTACTGGCACCTCCTGAGTTGTGTGCAAGACACACAGAGCTCAGAGTGAGGTTGGGTTCGTGCGTTGCGGCATCTCAGACGCTGTGACGGTCTCAGTTGCGAAGAGGGTATAAGATCGGCGGGGGGGGTTGAAAGCTCCGAGCCTGGCTGGGTCTCGAAGCTGGTGGAATGCTGGAGCTACTCCGTACATCCACCTATGCTTTAGAAACAGGGAGAAACAGAAGCCGAAGGATATCCCGTCAGGAAGATCTTCACCCAGAACGGCGAGAAGGCCGTGTCTTGCTGCCATATTATTCCCTGTCTCTCGGTCACTTGGCTGGACGTTCCACAACCACCAGCCTGGAGCGCCGGGATCTAGTGTAGGAGGTAGCCTCGGCCTCTCAACAAGCGGGTCGTTCACAGCCACGTTGAGGGCGCACTGGGACAAGGGGGAAACCGAGCGGCAGTTCGTTTGGGAGGTCAAAGCTCCAGCTTTCGGGGGCCCAATGTGTTGTCGCAGCCTCGCGATACGAGTGCGATGAATCGGACTAAGGAAGCCCGAAACAAACATATGGTTGCATCACTTGTCCAAACATGGAAACGTGCTACCCCTGACGCTGACCTGTTCTGGGCAGTGGGGCCTGCGGGAGAATGCCGGACGTCCGAGGCCAGGACCATCGGCGCGCTACAGGGTCACAAGACACGGAGAATGAACCTGATGAGGAACCAAGCCCAAGATGGTCTCTCTGTTGAAAGCTTCCGTACCTACTTGGGTACCAGGTAGCTGAGATCGTGCAATGCTTTGTGTTGAAATCTGGATTTGAGACATGCTGTTGTCGGCAACTGAAGCTGCGCGCGTCGACAGCTGAGGTTGACGTTGATGGATGAAGACCGGGCGGCAGAGGTGGCGGTTGTGGTTGAGGAAGCTGAACTTCCACGTTCCAGGTTTCCGCTTGGGTCTGACAAGCAGTGATTCGCTAGCCTCTCTGCACGGCGGTCAATCCCGTCCGAAAGCCCGATTAAAATTCTCCGTCTGTGCAAACTAAGGGCTGGCTCCAGGTTTGGGGCTTCAAAACTGGGCTAAAAATAAGGTATGACATGGGAGGTGGGGCTGCTTCTTCACAGGCCTGCAAGAACGGTCGCAAGAGACTCAGAAACAATCAGACGGCCATGAAGCAACGAGTCTTTACAGACTTTCGCTCTTGATGGTCAAAATATGGAATCTTGCATCACTGAGCATTAGCCCTATTGGGGTGCGTCTGGCATCAATGCCAGCCAAATCGAGGCTTTCAATGATAGGTGAACATCGTGTGTACTTGTTGCTGAACCTGAAGCCTAGATTCGGTAGAGGCCGCTCCGTAGGATGGCATAGTGCCGCGGTGCCCAGAGTTCACATAAAGCGAATCGAGATCGCGACAAAGTGAACCGAGTTGACGAGTAAGCACACTGCACAGCAGCTTTCACAGTCAGTTGCAAGGCACTCGTTGACAACTGTAACCACAGTATGCCGCTGGAAGAGCAAAGCATCGATCGGGCCGAAGCGGAATCCGATTGGTTGGGCTAATCTCTCAAGTGTTGGAACGCCAAGATTCTCGCTTCTTTCGGGGCTCGGTCCACTCACCTGAAACAGAGACCTTCCCGCCCAGTCGGACAAAGACTCACTTTGAAACACGGCACTCGACCGAGCCAGCCGCTGGCCGCAACCCGGATTTGACAAACCGCCATAGGTAGAGAGATCCAACTCCCCTTCTCTCTTCGGTGAGACTTTCAAACAACCGCATGCAGTGCAGTGAGATTGCCGGTCAGTACCGCTTGCTGTATACCTACTACCATCGCAACAAAGTTGCCGCAGACCCCCATCCCGCATGGAGAAAGTTCGACCTTGGGTCATTGTTGATCCCTTTGCGGAAACGCACCTCCTCGTGGCTCTGCAGGGAACCCTCTTCTCGCAAGGCTAACGGAGTTGTTCTTGGCAATGGCATGCCCATCCACCACCATGGCAAAAACTCCCGAAGCAGAACAAGCATTCTGGGTCAAGCTGATCTCCGCAGGGTGGGATCGCGCTACGCTCGGGAAGCATCGCACAGATGGAGTACCTGCAGTAGCGTCCCCGATGTGGCTGAGCAAGCCGCCGCTGTTTCATGATTTCATCAAAGACAAACCATCACATTGTCTGCCTCCGTGATCTGCTGGGTGAGTCCTCTGGATACCCAAGCTTCCCTCGGTCGTTCTCCAGCGCTAGTCATCTCAGAGGTGCCCCTAAATGGAGGCACTGATTTAAGAATAATCGACTCGTCGGCCAGTTAAAACGGCCTTCCGGGGATGAAGACATTGGCCTTCGGTTCACTGGTCGAGCTGGTAACCGATTGGTCGTGGTGTTGGCCGGGCTGGAACCGACCCCTGGACCCAGATCTTGAGCCGACCCCTGTCAGCCAACCATGCCGACCAGGGGCAGGGTGCTGCCGCTGTGGTCAGAGCCGCGCGCCACCAACAAAACACCCGGACACAAAGTCGACAGAGTTGTGGGGCATCAACTTCAACCTTCCAGGGCAGGTGGCTCGCTCTCCGACGACGAGCGGTGCAACCGCGGCCGCCAGCAGAACCCGTTTCTTGACAGCCAGTTCGCTGCCGGACTACGTTGCGATACATGCTACCCTGCAATGTCGACCTTTGCCTTTCTGGACAGCGCTGTCAATTCTGGAGCTTTCTCATTGGTCTTGTCTCCCTGGAGACTTTTGTTTTGGAGATGCCGAAGACAGTCCTCACGCATTATGGACTCTCATGTCAGGCCTGGTCCCCGGTCATGGCCACAACCGGCACACCCTGTCGAGTGACTTGCAAGGGTTACGGAGGGTGGATGGACTGTCATGCCGGTGCTTGCTGCTGGGCTGTATATCAACAATCGTCAACCCCCCATCACCGTCTCTTCTCTTTCCCCTATCATCCAGCTCGCTCTGTTCAGAGGCTCTTTTCCGTTCCATTCTTAGTCTAACACACCGAGGCAAAGTCATTCGCTTCTTTTCCTCGCCCTTTCGTTCTTGACAGTTCATTGTTCATACTGTCGTTGGCTAGCCCACTTCTCCCCGCTATATTTGAGAGCGCTAGTTCCGCTCAGATACGTTTTCAGACACCAGTCCATCGTTCCCAGTTCCACCTCAATTTGAAAACAGAGCACCCCTTCAATATGAAGACCACCGTTCAATTTTTGGCCCTCGCCGCCGGCGTGACGGCAACAGTAAGTTCCGCTCCTGACACTACCTCAACATGGCTTGTCTGGCCGAGATGACTTACACTACGTTGTGCAGTTTAACCTGGCTCCTCCCTTCACCTGCCCGGCCAATATTGACAACAAGTGTACCGATCTGCAGAAGGGCGGATTCAGTTGGGACGACCTCGATTTCGGCGACTTCTTCAGCTACCGTGATTTCAGCTTCAGCGGTTGGAAGTGTGAGGATGACGGTGACAGGGTCGGCGGCCGGTTTGCTCCCCGCACCTTCAGGAAGGTCATTGGTGGCACATGCCATTCGGACAAGAAGAAGTCGCCATCCTTCGGCTGTGGCGCTGCCGTCGACAAGTTCTCTCTGGGCTCCATCGTCGTCAAGCCCGAGTTCGACTGCGATCTCGAGTTCCACTACGACATGCCTGATGGCTCGACCTGCAAGCACCGGAGCTTCTGCCGCAAGTCTGGTACCACTGTGGTCAACCGCCAGTGCGGCGGTGCCAAGAACGTCACCATCGTCTACCCTCCCCAGCCCAACAAGCCCAAGCCCAGCTGCAGCATCAAGGTGCCCACCATCTCCTTCGACTGCAGCACTGCTTCCAGCACGAAGCCCCCCAAGACCAAGACCAGCAAGCCTGCCACTACCGCTACGCCTCCCGTCACGACTACTAGCACTGAGGTGAAGGAGTCGTCGACCATCAGCTCTGTCAAGCCTAGCAGCAACCCCCCCGCCGTGACCAGCACCACCTCTGTCAGCCCGGGAGGTAGCAGCTCCGAGGTCTCCAGCGCCACCATCACCATTGGAAGCAGCAGCAGCAGCAGCTCCGTTAGCGAAGTCAGCAGCATAACTGTGTCTTCTTTGGATAGCAGCAGCAGCATTGTCTCCGAGGGCACCACCACTACTGCCTCGGTGGCGCCGAGCCAGGAGACCAGCGCCAGCCCCAGCACCAGCGTGGTGGTCCCCAGCGGCAGCGGCAGCGGCAGCAGCAGCATCGAGGTTCCTGCTACCAGCTCTCCCGTCACCAAGACGATCACGACCAGCTACGTCAGCACCTCGACCATCTTCACGACCAGCACCTCGACTATCACGTCGTGCGCGCCTACTGTTACCAACTGCCCGGCCAGCTCGGTGGTCACTACGGTCGTCACCATTGCCGTTTCCACCACCGTTTGTCCGGTCACCGAGACTCTAACCACCGTCGAGAGCAGCTCTGTTCCCAGCTCGGCTGTTGTTGTTCCCAGCTCGGCAGTCACCGTTGCTCCCGGGGCCTCGACCACGTCTACCCAGGTCGCTGGCGGCTCCAGCAGTGTTGTCAGCTCCGCCAAGCCTATCGAGACCCTCCCCTGCCCTAGCGTCGTCCCGTCTTGCCTGAACACTTTCCTGTTCACCGTCGGCTGCGCCGACAACACCGACGCCGAGTGCTACTGCCCGGATGCCACCTTCGTCAAGAACATTTACGACTGCCTGTACGCCCACGGTGAGACCGACGCCATCATTGCCGAGGCTGTCGCCTACTTCCAGGGCATCTGCGGCAAGTGGGTCAATGAGAACCCTGCCATCGCGACCGATGCCACGGTCACTACCTACATCAGCGTCACCGCCGCGCCTACTGTTGCGCCCGTCTACACCACCGTCACCGTGGACGTGACCACCGTGGTGCCCTGCACCGACGAAGCCGGCGAGGTCATCCCGAGCTCCAGCACCACCGCCACCGTCAGCACCACCTTGACGGTGCCCCAGGTCGGCTTCACCACCGGCTCGTCCGGCAGCGTCGACGTCATCCCCGTCACCGCCGCTCCCATCGTCACTGGCACCACCCCGGGCGGCAGCGGCCCCGGCGGCGTCATCACCACGTCCAGCGGTACCGCCGTCGCCGTTCCCACCGGCACCGGCTCGCTGCGTCCCAGCACCACCACCACCGGCAGGCCGGTCGTCACGGCCGCCGGTGGCCGCGTCGACGCCAGCTTCGGTCTGGCCGCCGCTGTGGCCTTGGTCGCTGCCTTTGCGCTCTAAGACGAGCCCGGTGTCTCTTTTCCATGTCCAAAAGATGACGTTCCGCAAAACCAATCTTTGATTCTTTACGGTCCTTACGAAAGCAACGCGGCATAGCATTGTATATCAACCCAGCATTTCCACAACGGCGGTCGGTCAACAGCCTTGGGCGGCTTTTTCGCGGTTTCTCGTCTCAGCACATCATCATCATCACCAACATTGCGATTGTCTTTTTCTCTCATCTCCTTATTCCATTTTGCCAAAAGAACAGGCAGAGCAAGGGCGGGTGCGGGTATAGGCATGCGTGGAAGGGAGAATAGGGAAGCAAACGCAATGGGAGGGAAGGGCTGCGAGGGCAGAAGCTACGTGCAGACTGCAAAGTACGGTATCTGATTTCTGTTCCTCAACAAGCAGCCCTTGTGTAGAACTTTTCTGTATTGCATACACAGCTCTGCTCAGGGGCACAACTGTACATAATAGTTAATATACCCCAAGCTCTGATGGTCAGACCGCATCTGATTTGGTTCAACCTAGAAAACGCCGAAACAATGACCTCGTATGGGCGTACGGAGAAATGTAGAGCCGAAGGAGTACAGCCAATGTGCCAGGAAGGATGTAGAGGCCTTCTTCATCAAGGCCCTGTGCGGAATCTACGGCGACTACCAAAGGGACCTCGCATTGCCAGTCACCATCGCGTTCAGTGGTCATCAACATCAGCTCGGACAATCTGGGAAGAAAACCAGCTGCCTCAGATAAAACTCTCTGTGAGGCGCAGCAACATTGATCCATCATTGGTCAAGCACATAATCTTTTGACTGTATTAGCTACTGTGTAGGCTATCGAGACATGTAATCGAGGCCGGCAGGTGGCTTAGCTAGTTCCCTCGGACTCTGCTCTCTCAGTCAGGCTGAGGCCTACATACAGATCCTAACTAACTGCCGCCATCACGCACCCCCCTGCTGCAACCTCCTAATCCTCTCCTCCGCCGCCCTAGCCCTCCGCTCCCGCTCCAACCTCATCCTCTGCTCAGGCGTCAACCCCCTGGCCTCTTCCGCCCTCCTCTCCTCCGCCGTCTTAGGCGGCCCCCCACCACCCAACAGATTCCCCCCCTTCTTCCTCCTCCCACCAGCATTGTTACTATTACTATCATCCAACCTAGGCCCCTCAGCCCTCAACCTCTCCTCCTCAGCCCTCCTCCTGGCCTCCTCCTCCCGCTCCAGCGCTCTGCGCTCCCTCTCGGCCCGCTGTTCCGCCTCCTCCCGCTTCAGCGGCGCGGGCACCCTCGCGGCGTCCCAGTCCCACGCCTCTTCGCCCAGCTCGGCGCGCGCGACGCGGAATGCGTCGCGCGTGGCGCGGTCGCCGGCGAGATCAAAGGGCGTCTTGTTTTCGCTGCTCAGGATGGTTGGGTCGGCTTGGGCGCGGGCGAGGAGACCTGTGACGAGCGGGGCCGAGTTCTGGGAGGCCGCGAGGTGCAGGGCGGTGGGTGCGTGGTGGTTCTGTTGCGAGTCGGGGGGTTGGAAGAGGAAATTGGCGGAGAGGCTATTTGTGGTGAGGTAGGAGAGGAGGGCAGGGAGTTTGGAGCGCCGGATCATGGCTTGGATCTGGGAGGTGTGGAATATGGCGGCCTCTTCTTCCTCTGTGAGCTTGGGAGGTGCGGTTTTGGAATCGACCTTTGTCTTAGGGGTTTTGGATTCGTCGTTGGGCACGGAGGCTGCTTCGGGTTGAATCTCCTTCACTTTGAGCCGGGTCAATTCAATAAAAGACCGCATGAGCTCGTTCTGGGTAGCTCTCCGGGTGCTGAAGGGAAAGCCCCTGATGCGCGGATCGTTGGGCCGCAGGACCTGGTCGTCGTATGGTCCAAACAAAGTTCGTCGGTTTGTCGAGCCCGTGGCTCGAATGAAGAGCAGGTCGGAGGTATCAATCAAGGCCTTCCAATCCTTGAGAAGCTCCCGGACGTCCTCTACGAGGGCCTGTTCGTTGTACCGACGCAGTGAAGATCCGGCTGAGTGCGCAGTTCCCTTGGCGTTGTCATTTGCAGACTGCGAGCCGCCCTGTTTCCGTCGGGTTGTGTATCGGTGGAAGGTCTTGTGTGCCAAAACGACAGCCTCCCTGTTGAGTGGCCCAATCGAGCCTTGCTTGCTCTGCTTTGGGGCCAGGCAGACCACCATGGCGGCAAAGTGGCCACCTCCAATCATGCAAAGAAAGATATGCCTGCCGTTATAGACCGGCGGTACAGTATTCCCATCCTTGGCAGCCTTGGGCATGGATATTGGCGGAAGCTGTCGCTGCTTGATAGCGTCGATGATTGCATCCTCCCGGTCTAATTCGTCCGCTGTGAACATTGCCCGGTATATCCCAAAATAGGTATTTTCCGGCAATAATGGGCAGCTGAACCACAACAATGGCGGTTTCCCTGTCCCTCTCCTCTTCGCTTTTGGCTCTTCCTCCTTGTCGCCACCGTTTGGCCCTCGGCTATCGGCAAGCGACGCTTGCTTCTTGAGCAAGGCTGAGATCGTGGTTTCTCGCCGCGAAGACTCGTCCTCGTCCTCGTCGCTGTCAGACGTGTCGGATCCCGAGATGCTCACATCGTTCTCGTTGACAAGCTTCTCGAACTCGGCTTCAGAGACGGGTCGGAGGCCGTTCAGCTTTTGCTTGAGGTTGTAGTAATGGACGTCGGTCTTCAAGTGGTCCTTCTGCTCCTGGACGGTGAGAAACGACATGCCGCAAAGCGAACATGCCTGCGATCCGAGAACGTTTTCGGTCCCGGCGGGGCTTGGGCTCTGTTTTTGAGAGGGAGTGCCGCCGGTGGATGCGTCGTCGACCAGGGCTGGCAGCCCCGCATCAGGCTTTAGAGAAAGAGAGCTCAGAACTTCCGGTGGTAAGTCAAAGAGATAAAGAGGTCGCCGTAGCAGCGCATCCTGAGTTTTATCCATGGCGCATTCACTTGATGCCGCCGAGTGATTTGTATGCGATGCTGCCGGAGCAACTCCTTGACCTGGGACGTGATGGAGGGGCACTTTTATCGGCTCGAGCTTGGCCGATAAGAGTCACACACCGCGTACCTGCCCTGTCACTGGCAGTGAGCCCTAACCCTTGATCTGCGGTTGAGAGGATGTTTACTCGGTACATGGACAAGTTGGAAAGCGTCAAGTCACATTCACCTCAAATCTAAAAGCGGTTTGAACAGATCTGTAAAAGTTAATGAATTCGGGGGAAACAGTTATCCAGCCTAGAATGCCTGTAGTAGTTTACGACCACACCTACCTCATCATCCATGCTACACCCATTAGTAGATCTCACGCTTACTGCCGCTCACCTTCTTCTGGCGACAAGTCCACCATTACAGGCGATGGACCAACATGTCGGCCCACTGAACTTCCAATCTCACTCCAAGAATCATCCGTCTCACATCTATCCTCCGTCGCAGCGCCGCCATATTCCTGAACGAAGCGAGGCGGGGAGGCGCTACGCCTGGGCTGGGGAGCGACTATTTCGAGCACTGTAACAGGAGCAGTCTCGTGCTCCTCCGGAAGCCTAGTCTCCGATACGCGAGAGCTCGTCTTCATCTTGTCCATGGCGACCTCGACCGAAATCGGACTGACGGCGTCTACTCTAGCCAGCGCTGCCGCCTCGTCCGGGTCGATGTCGGAAACGGAGAAATGGCTCGTCATATTGGGCTGGTCAAACTCCTCCGTCTCGTGTTTTGTGGGTGCCTCGTTCAAGGAGACACCTGTAAACTTGCCGTCGTTGGTCTGGCAGTGCTGCACTTTTTCCACATTCTCAGTTAAAACACCGCAACCTTGGGATGGCCCCGTGGGAAGAGTGCTGGTGCAATCGCCAGTTTGGCCGGGGAATTCTGTTGGCGCAACTGTCCCGTCGCCGGTGTTGCTGATAGCTTCCCCGGACGCCTCAGCAACGGATTCTCGAGTTACTGCTTCAAATCCGACAACGGAATTGTCCTGGGAGGTCCTCCATTGGCTGTTTCCCGAGCTAGTCAAAGCCTGGCACAACGGGTGAGGGGGCTGCCGATGTGAGAAACAGAAATCCTGGGCCACTTCGTGGCCGAGAGGTGATGAAGCGAGAGGCTCCGAGACAGTTGCCACCTCTTGCTTGATTTGGTCACCTGTTTCTGATTCCTTGGCTTCTGTCGACCGTCGAGGGAGGCACTCCGAAGAAGCATCGCCGCACAGCTTTCTAAGCGTTTCAGAATGGACCTGCGGAGACGCCCCTGAGTGATGCGATGGAACTAGGTTTGCCGTGCTCTCCTGGGACTCACTCAGCTCGGTAATTGAGCTGAGGGCATGGGCATATGGGTAGACGGACATGGGCGTCGATATCCGCGGCTGCATGTGGACGACACGCTCACCAATACGTTCGCGGCGTTGACGCTGGTGGCCGACAACTGCCGACCACTTCGCGGCCAGTTCAAGCGTCAGTGTTCTGGCTTCCTCGAGCCGTTGCAGCCAGGCAACCGGCGTCTCGAACGGCTTCCGGGGGAGCACTTTACCAAGAGCCATCAGCTCACGCCGGGGGTGTTTAGGGTCGTCCTTGCGGGCAGGAGCTCTGCTCCCAAAGACCGACTCGGCGGCGATGAGCTTGGGAGAAACGCTGGACGAATAGCCATGAGCGTTTTTGAAGGCCCAGTAGTTCAAAACGGCTTCCACCGTCATCGTATCACAACCGTCGTAGTGCTCGCGGCAGCCGTCGCAGAACCAATACTTGAGTTTGGTTTGCTCAACAGGCCGGCAGCTCAGGAGAGTAAGACAGAAACTGCCGTCTTCCCATCGCTCGTTCCTAGCTTTCTGATGCTCGCACTCGACAAGTCCTCCCATTCTGGTGTGGGCACACACAGTGTAGACGTTCTTGGTGATGTAGCACATGGTGGATGTTGCAAGGGAAAAGTACCGAGGGAGGAAGCGCCAAGTTGGAAGAATGGTATTGGGAGGAGTTATGGTGAAGACGAACTTGCCAATGTAGAACGATGGGGGTATTTTGAAGAGAGTCTCATAATAAATAGCAGAAATGGGGCGGGTACAGGTCGTGAGCAACAATGGCATTGTCGTGCGCGATCTGTATAGAACCTGTTCATAACAGGCCAAGGTGTTTGAGGCACTTGGTTCTCAGAACAAAGATGTGAAGTACAGGCTCAACAATAACTATCCTGCAGACAGAAGACAAATTCAGCTTCTGGCTCGTTGTTGAGAGGAGCGGAGGTGGCTGTTGGACATTGAATGTTGTCTGTCATTCACATGCCCATTGACTTGGCTGCTGAACATGATGGCCTGTCCAGCACTTCCGAGTCAAAGTGTCCGGAGTACAGAGTATGCCGCAAGCGTTTCCACAACTCGGAGTCTGACCAGCGTTGAACCAACAACATGAAAAAAGGAACAAAAGGATAATCCGTGTATACCGCTGGGCACAGTGAAGAGACGAAATTTGAAACTGATTTCCTGTCGTCATACAAACATAGGAGGGAAGAAAATGAGAGGGGGAAACGCAGAGAGAAACCGGAAAAAAGAAGGCCCTGCTGAGTCATCCTCTCAGCTAACGTTGGCGCTTGGCCACTGCAAAGCATGAGATAATCTTCGGTCAGCCTTGGCGGCGGGCAATTCTCCACTTTGTCCATCAATCTCATCATGGACAATGGAAGTCAGGTTTGGCGTCATGAGTATGTTGTAAGGAGTTTGTAAGGAATTATTAGAGAGACTAGAAGGTTTTCAAACCAAAACTGCATTTGGAATGCTCATCAAATCATCACGTTTTAAAGGTTATGCCATCCATCAGCGACTCCGCGGTTCTCTCCAGCGTTCCCCTTGTGATATAAAAGCACGCAGTCTTCAAGGCCTTCGAGAAAAGATCCGGTTCTCAGAGCATCAAGTTCCCAGAATACCATCCGCAATCTGAATCATACGAGTCAGAATCTTCACACCACGTTCAGATACCCCACTGTCAAACCATCATTCCATGCTGAGCACAATCAGAAGCACCATGTCCAGCACACTCCGTCACGCAAAGATCACGCCGCACCGATCTGCTGCCCGAGGGCATGCCAACCACGGCTGGCTGGATACCTACCACTCGTTCAGCTTCGCCAACTGGTACAACCCCAACTTCACCCACTTCGGCGCCCTGAGGGTCCTCAACGAGGACCGGGTCAAGGCCAACTCCGGGTTCCCGGCCCATCCACATCGCGATTTCGAAATCTTCAGCTACATCATCTCGGGCGAGCTGACGCACACCGACTCAACGCACAAGAAGCAGGAAGTCGTCGGGCGGGGCGACATCCAGTTCACGACGGCCGGCACGGGCGTCACGCACTCCGAGTACAATCACGGGCGGGACCCGGTGCACTTTTTGCAGATCTGGGCCATCCCGTGGAAGCGTGGCCTGGCGCCACGGTACGACTGGGGACGGTACAACGACGATGACAAGCGCAAGGGCTTCGTTAACCTGCTGAGCCCGCTCAAGGGCGGAGTCAATGCGACGGCCGAGCAGGAAAAGGCGGCCGAGCCCACGATCCCCGGGACCATCGCCATTCATGCTGACTTCGTCATGTCTGCGGGCATTATCGCCCCGGGAAGCAGATTTGAATGGACGGTCGGTGCCAAGGCGACTGAAGCGACAAAGAGGAAGGTCTATGTGCATTTGCCGATGACGAAGGGAGGCAAAGCGAAGATCAGGCTGGACGGCCGGGAAGAGGGAGTGCTGGTGGAAGGAGACGGCGCGTTTGTCGATAGTGTCAACGCTGGCGACAAGCTTATGGTGGAGAGTTTGGGTGACGCCGAGGCAGAAGTCGTCGTTCTAGATACCGCGTAATGTTAGCAAAAGGATGGTTCAAGAAGGTGTTACCCATAGCGCCAGGCGAAATAGACTGGAAGCATAATCACTATCATTCTTGGTCTTGTGCGACTAAATTATTTGAAGCCCTTCCTCGCCTCGGCCCCCATGGACCGATGGAGACGAAAGGAATGAGTGATTCCTGCAAAGAGGAAAGTTCCAAAAATTCCCTGCCAGGTCAAGACCCAACAGGAGCGGTCAGGTTGTAGTTTTCAACTAGCAAAAACGTGATCTCGGACGAATCCTCACTGATACACGTAAAACCCCTGCACTTGGATGGAGAAGAAAAGAAGAAGGGATAGGAAGTTGGGCGAGCCCGGTCGAGCTTTTTATGCCCATCCTGAGTTGGTCTGTGCGCACCTTCAATTCTCACCTCCGCTTGCAATTTGTCTGTGCGTCAAACTGGTCCAAGCTTCTCTACAAGAATCCTAACCCTTCGCACATTGCATCGAACTGAACTTGAAGCTTCACGTTCACAATGAAACAAAGCACCCTGTCACTTGAAATTTCCCTTTCATATAAACGAACTAGAGAGTGGGTGCCTAACGGGATGTCTCCATTCAACTGTAAGAGTAATGCTATACCTGTAGACAAGTCAGCTTTCCTACCAACTTGCCGAGGTATGCAGCTCCGGATGATTCGAGTCCTGACAACGACGCCCTGTCTCAATCCAGTATCCAGTAATGTTCTGCAATGCGCCCTGCTGATCTCTGTGGCTGTGTCCGGTGAAGAGGTCCGTTTGTCCCAACACTGGGTTGTCGTTGCAGTTTGGGTATGATGTCACCATGGACAGCAGGCTGCATTCGGTCACAAGCCAAAGTCTCTCAACAAAACCTCTTCTCATATCACAGAATCGGCTTGAGAGCACAGTGAGGGCTTGAAAATTCAATTCAGGCAATTAACGGCCGTATCTACTCTTACTGTGTTTTGCCCACGCCTCATCAACCTCTCTCTCTTTGCAACTGCCCCACCCACTCACTACCAACTTACACCACAACACCCGACAGCGACACCTACAAAGCTGCCCATCATGTCTCTCTCACGCCACGTGAGTCTGAATCTAAATATCCTCACCTCAACCGCACCGCTAACAACACCAAGGTTGACCCCGAAGACATTATTCATCACCTTCAGAATCTCCGCATGCCGTCCGAGAGCGGCTCCTCAACGGGCCAGACAGCCCATCTCACCCCCTTCTCAACCCCGTACGCCAGCCAGCGCGACATCCCCAAGTACCGTATCCCGGAGAACGGCGCTCCTGGAGACACCGTGTACGAGATGCTCAAGGACGAGCTGGACCTGGACGGCCGGCCGAATCTCAACGTGGCCAGCTTCGTCGACACGTACCTGGACGACAACGCGCAGAAACTCATGGCCGAGAACATGGGCAAGAATCTGGCCGACAATGACGAGTACCCAGCCATGCTGTCCATCGCGAACCGCTGCGTGTCCATCCTTGCCCACTTGTGGGGGGTGCAAAAGGGCGACAAGGCCGTCGGCTCGCCGACCGTGGGCTCGTCCGAGGCTATCCACCTGGGCGGGTTGGCCATGAAGCGGCGGTGGCAGGAGCGCCGGCGGGCGCAGGGCAAGGACACGTCCAAGCCGAACATCATCATGGGTGCGAATGCGCAGGTCGCGTTGCTCAAGTTTGCGAGGTACTTTGAGGTAGAGGCGCGCGTGCTGCCTGTTTCGGAAAAAAGCAAGTTCTGCTTGGACCCGGACCTGGTGAGGGAGAATGTTGATGAGAACACCATTGGGGTATTTGTGATCTTGGGGAGCACGTATACTGGGCACTATGAGCCGGTGGAGACGATCTCAAAGATATTAGATGAGTACGAGGAAAAGACGGGCGTGTGGATTCCGATTCATGTGGACGCTGCGAGCGGTGGGTTTGTGGCTCCGTTCACATATGCTGGGACTGGTGGATGGAAATGGTGAGTCTGCTACCGGAATCAAGGAGCGGGTTGTCCCTAACATTGGCAGGAATTTCGAGCTTGCCCGAGTCGTCTCCATCAACGCATCAGGTAAGAAGACAGCCACCTACATCCGGGAGTTCCACTAACAGAACCGAGGCCACAAATACGGACTTGTCACCCCGGGCGTTGGGTGGATAGTGTGGCGGGATCAGTCATACCTCCCCAAAGACCTTGTCTTCGAGCTTCACTACCTCGGGGGCACCGAGGAGTCCTACACGCTCAACTTCTCACGCCCCGGCGCGCAAATCATTGTGCAGTACTACAACCTAATCCACCTTGGCTTCCAAGGCTACCGCGAGGTCGTCGAGAACTGCTTAGCCAACGCGCGCATCCTCTCCAAGAGCCTTGAAGCCACGGGCTGGTACACCTGCGTCAGTGACATCCACCGCCCCGCCCCGACCAACCACACCACCTCCTCAACCACCGCGGCCGCCGCATCCGACGCTGCGCACCGCGCCAAAGACGCACTCACCTCCGCGGCAACAACAGGCCGACTCCTCGCCGGCCCGACCCTGGGCCCCGCTACCCCGCGCCAAAACAACAACGTTGAAACCTCGGCCGCGTACGTAGCCGGCCTGCCCGTCGTCTCGTTCCGCTTCGCCGACGAGTTCCGTCGCGAGTACCCGCACATCAAGCAAGAGACTGTCTCGCTCCTGCTGCGCGCGCGCCAGTGGATCGTGCCCAACTACGCGCTGCCGCCGGGGGAGGACGACACCGAGATCCTGCGGGTCGTGGTCCGCGTCAACATGAGCTTTGACTTGCTCGACAGGCTGGTGACGGACGTCGTGCAGGTGACGGAGACGCTGATGCAGAAGGACGAGGTGGATCTGTCGATCCTGCAGGAGCAGCAGCGGAAGGGACCTGTTGTGAAGAAGAAGAAGGAGGATGAGGAGGAGGAAAAGGAAAAGGAGGGGGAGGGGAGGAAGGTGAAGAGGGTTGGGGAGGAGGTCAAGAAGAGGATGGCGGATGGGATTCATCGGACTGTGTGCTAGGGGAGCGGTGGGCTTCCAAGATTGGACCGGTTTGGACGTCCACGGCGACGTTCTTCTCCTTCGTCTACCCCCACCTCGACCATATTGAGAACCTGCTTACACTTATCACTAATGACATCAAGCAATGGCAAAGGAGAGTCTTCCGTTTCGAAGGTCTAGGGCACTCCGCCGGACCCATTCAAGAGCGATTGTTACTAATCTGGCAACAAGGGATGAGGAGGTTGTGGACATGAAGTGGGACGACTTCCGACCGTTCAGGAGGCGCTCAGTGAGGTCGTCAATGCCCTCGTCACACACATCCGCCGTCTGGAGAAGCGGTAGGCGGAGATGTAACCAAGACATGGGTTCCAGGAATCGAGTACGCCTTTACCTACGCATATCTAGACGGCGGATGTGTCTGGCGCGGATATCGACGACCTGACTAGGCGCCTCCTGATTTTTCGGGAGTTGTCCCACTTTATATATACAACCTCCTCATCCCTTATTTTGAGATTAGTAACAACTAGGTTGAAAGGGTCCGGCAGAGCGTACCATCTCTCACAGGAATTCCCATCATTCATCCAAGACAAGGCTTGAGCAGACTTCTAAGATATAACCTGTTTCGAGTTAAGGGGGGTGGTTGTCTAGCTATGTAGCCGGAAGTCAACGCATGAAAACGCAGTCAAAACGCGATCTCATCTTATGTCTCCAAAATGACGATGCGGTTTGATCTGCAAGTGTGAGCAGATTTCCGAGATACGCTGCAGCATCCTATGCAGCGACAGTACATGCAAACAGATCCACCCGCCTTGTACTCACCGCGCCCAAAGACAATCTAGATCCTGGCCAGGTATCGCCAACTACACATCAACACCAGATCAGAGCTTAGCCCCCTTCGCCCGCCTCGCCTCCTTCTCCCTATCCCGCAGCAACCGGCGCAGAATCTTGCCGCTGGGGCTCTTGGGAATGGCATCGATGAACTCGACCCCGCCCTTGAGCCACTTGTAATGGGCCTTGTGGTCCTGGACGTGCTTGATGATCTCGGCAGCCATATCGTCATCCTTCCGCGACGCCATTGACGCAGGTCTCACGACAAATGCCTTGGGTACTTCGCCGTCCCGCTCGTCTGGGACGGCAATCACGGCGCAATCGTCGACAGCGGGGTAGGTTAGGAGATGGGCTTCGAGTTCGGCGGGGGCGACTTGATGGCCCTGTTGCGAGGGTCAGCTTTACCTTTTCTCTTAGACTATCATGGAGTATCTTGCGCACCTTGACCTTAATCAGCTCCTTCAGCCGGTCCACAATCGTGATATGCTCGTATCCGCTGTCCGACTTGGTGACGATGACTTCATCCCCGGTCCGCAGCCACCGCCCGTCCTCGTCATAGATAAAGGCTTCGGCGGTGGCCTTCTCATTATTCAGATAGCCCAGCGTGACCGACGGAGACTGCACGAGCAGTTCGCCGGGCTTGCCGTACTCGGTGATTTCCTTGCCGTCGCGATCGATAACCTTGGCTCGAAAGCCGGGAAGCAGAGAGCCGGAGGTCCCCTGGCAGATGTCATGCTCGCTGGTTGAGCAGACGACGGTGGAGGATTCGGTCATGCCTGCTGTCTGTCAGAAAAACAAATGTCTGCAGGGGGGAGAAGAGGCTACCGTAGCCCTGGCCGACGCGCCAGCGGGGATATAGTCGAAGTATTTCTTCAACCGTCTCCTTCCCTAGCGGTGCAGCTCCGGTGAAGAGGCACCTGATGCTGCTAAGGTCATATTTCTTGAGGATATCTTTACTGCTCAGCATCCGAATAATAATCGGAGGTACCTAGGGCTGGGCTTAGCAATGCTACACTGGGGATGGTGCATTGGCAGGCTTACCACAGGGACATGGTTGACCTTGAACCGCTCAATGGCTCGGAGATAGTCCGTGAGCTCGAACCTAGGCAATACAATGACCTCGTCACCGCGCCAAGTCGCCGCGTGAGCCACCACGACCAGGCCGTAGATGTGGGAAAACGGAAGGAGGCCCATCTCAACCTGAGTTTCAATGCCGTCTTTCCTTCTGGCCACGTCTTCGAAAAGGCAGTACATCATTGTGTTGGCAATAACGTTTCGGTGTGAGATCATAACGGCTTTCTGGTGTCCTCCATGTCAGCGAGAGCGAGTGTGATTCATAGTCACCGGCAGAACTCACAGGCAAACCAGAGGTGCCGCTAGAGTAGCAGAGGAAAGCCACTTGACGTGCACCCTGCCCTGTGGTCCACTTCAGGGGCTCCAGGTCTGGCACTAAAAGGCCGAGTTCGACCAGGTCATTGACCGTTTGGAAAGGGGCCCAAAGTTTGTGAGAGTGAAGAGGAGAATCCATGAGAAAGACCTTGGCCTCGGGAATCCCCACAGCCTTCGCCGCTGTTAAGGCGGTCTCCAGCACTGGCACGCAGGTGAAGAGTGCCTTGGCCCCGGATGACCTGAGCTGGTGCTCCAGCTCGCTTGCTGAATACGCGACATTTGCAGGTGTGGCTATGCCGGACAAGCGGTGCACGGCGTGTAGAACTGATAGGTAGTCGATCTACGATAATGAGTGACCTTGGTATCGATGGTCATCTCTTAACCTGCAGAAGAGCAACTCACCGTGTTAAAGGAGAATACTGCAACCACCTTGTCCCAGGGAGTGTCGGCATTGGGCTCCCAGCCCATGATATTTGACAAGGCCTTTGCAATCAGATCGGAGCGTCTGTGAGACTCGGCCACGGAGTATGTCTTGCCTGTGAGACCACATGTGAAGGGGTTACGGCTCTTGGCAATCGGATGGCGGCCATAGATCTCATTCCTCATGAACTCGCCAATGGTGACCGAGTCGGGCGGGGCTGTTCTTGAATGAGAATGCATGGACTGCTCAGGCCCGACACTTCCACTTACCGAACGGGAGTTTAGGAGCCCATGGCGGCGGATAGAAGACCATCTTGTGCCCGTGTGGTGTCCTGTCAATCCTTCGACTGTCTGTGTACTTCAGATTCTTGAGGCAAACAAAACCTGAACGAAGATGACAGGAGGCAGGGCTGATGAGTGAGATCAAGTCACCTGAGCAGTTGCCGAAGAGTCGGCCCCTGTCCCGGTTCTCCCCATCGGCACCGCAACCTTAACCGAGGGGAGCAATGGGCTCCACTTCCCCATATTCTTCATCACCAACCTTGAACATTCCCGGATAGTCGCTAATAACAGGTTTACCCCGCATTCCCCAATCCCCAAACGGTCGCGGAGTGTCACTCCACGCAGAATTGATCATTTCCCAGAACTTTGAGTCCAATCGAAGTCTTCTCGAGCACCTCAACTTTGATGCTCAGTCGATTGCTCCGGGTTCTTTTGGAAGCCTTCTGCAGCACGGTCAGGTCGATAAATCACCCACTTTGCGGTAACGGTTGGTCCGAGCTTCAAGGACTGGTTTTGCCAAGACAACTGTTGCCCTGCAACCAGAGTGGAGGTTAGCCCCTGAGTGGTGTAAACATGACGCCTCAAATTGACGCACACTTTTTCAACCTTTCTCCCTTCAGGACCAGCTGTGACCAGTTTACACACATGACCTCATAAGTTTAAGGCAAACTTGCGGCAGGTAACAAATACTAAACACTCCGTTTGACCAATATTCCATCCAGCGGTTGAAAGGGTCTGGCGTCCCCCCTTAGCCCATAGCATGGACCTGAAGCTATAGATAAGGAGATCTTGTCGTTTGTTAGCCACGTGTCTTTATGCCACTGCACAACCAGAGCTATTTCACCAGAAACCTCTTGTATGTTTGCGAAGCAGATCTGATCTTCAGGACCCGATCGGCCGGATTGACAGGGATGCTGGACCCCCACGTGCGATGATTGGGGGTTAACCTTGATTTGACGACGGCGACCTCGCTGGCCGACGACATCTCTTATATCAGGGGCTTGATCAAAGGCAAGAAACGTCAGCATCCTGCGCCTTTGGATGGTGGTTTTCTGAGCCGAGTTGGAATCCAGAGAATCGAGGTCATGCTCCCTGGTCAAGGATTTTTTCAGCTTTTATCTCTTGTCACAGAGTCACCATGCTATCAACTGTAGATGGGCACGCATGACTCTCACATGCCCACCATTTGGGTCCTGCTCCCAGTCATTCTGTGGCAATTAGTTCAGCATGCTCCCACCCCAGTGGCCCTGCCCCTGCCACATGTGGTACGCCCGACCAGCGTACCTTCCTCGACGTCCGTCGTCACCATCCGAACTAGGAAGCAGCAGGGCAGCAGGTCCTTCCACAACTTCGAGATGTCTCGCCAATGCAGACTCCTCAACATGGACTTTGTCCAGGCCGACTTCCCGTTCCTCACCGATCACTCCCCGTCTCGTTCAACACCCGCTCACATATATGCAGGTTGAGGAATCTATTGGCTCATCCAGTCTCCAAAAAGAGATCTTGTTCCAGTTCCCACACTCTTGATCCCTACTCGATATTTCTTCAAATCTTCTCGCGAACCTTCGGGATTTCCAGTTCTTCCACATACCCTTCCAACACCACCGACCACCAGTAATCGACCACCGGCCACCGAGCAGAACGAGGTTATCGCCACCCCTCATCGTCCGCGACGAAGCGTTCCAAGTCGCCGTGACACAGTAGTGTATAGAGACAAGTTTCATTCGTATCGTGAGTGATCCGCGTCCCTCCATGCGCAGTGTATATCCAGTGGCGCAGAGTCGCATCGAGAAACTCGGACTTGGGCGACCGATAGCTCCAGCTGCATACAAAAGGCCACAATCGCATCGCAGATGACGGCCTCTGATCCCAATCACAACCAATAATTTCGCCGCGTCCCTCGCAAATTTGGCACGAACGCTAACACAGCCTGCCGACAGTTCAATCTGCAGCGACGTTCCAACTCAGCTACAGTGGCCTGGAACAGGGTCTCGTCAGCTTCTAGCATCTCAAAGGTGTGGTCAAGAGATCCCATTCTCGTTGCTTTTACGACTCGTCGAGCCTCACACGCTGCCGATTCCCTCGTCTCCTCCACAGGACCACGCGATAACCAGAACTCTGCCCCTTCAAGATCCCGATACTTGTTTCATGTTTCTTTCTCACAGCTAAGCTCCAGAGCATGATCACATCCTTCAATGCCGTCTGATGTTACACCTTTGATTTGCTTGTCACGCACCTCATTGGCTGCCTCCGGACTTCAGACGACTCGTCATCACATCAGGAACGAGGCTGGCTTGCAGGGTTGCAAGTCCGCTGCTCTCAGGTCTCTCGTCCTGATTAGCGAAAATGAGCGTCTAGACCCTTCTCACAGTGTTCTTTCAACGCGCCGCTTTACCCTATTATAAATCCCCCCCTTATGCTTCCCTTCCTCCTCCTCAATCCGTCCAGCAAGCAGCCATAAGCTTTCACATTCTTACCCTCTCTCTTCTTCCTTTTGGTTATCAAACGTGTGTTACAAACCTCCTGCCCTGCTCTTCTTCTTGTTACAATTTCAGCTTATCGGCAGGAAGTCGCCTTCCCTTCCACGGCTTCTCCGACTCCTCTCCTTCAGCCTCATGGGAGCAGAGGAACTTGCCTTAACTTCTCCGTTATTTACTTCTTCACACAGCTTAGCACAGCAAGTGAGCATGACGACGGCGCTGTCGCTTGCCCTGAACATGGGAGATTGCTGAAGTGACCCTAGCGCCTGACCCGGAGCCATATAGATGCTGACAGTTCATCCAGTTTCAGACACCACGGTTCGAAGCGACTGCAATACCCATCTCAAGAAGAAGGCCTCCAAGAGCATCAATATAGGATATCGCGACAGAGAGACGGATCATCTGCTGGTGGTTGCAACCAACACTGAGTAAGTACATTCTTCTGGTATTTCAGTGCTGCTCGTTGGTATTAGATTGCGGTTACTGCCCGAGTGCTGTGAACATCTGGAGCGTCTTACACATCGATTGACCACTCTTTGCGACGTCCAGTTGACCAGGTTTTGTGGGTGTTCCATTTGCTTCTCAGTCGCCTGCTTCACACCATTCACACCTGTCAATCGAGATTTGGAAGGTATCTTGCTAATAGACAACCACTCAATGAGATATACACAAAGCATCCCCTCAGGCCAGCTTCAATCGGTATTGCCTCACGGAGAGGGCTACCAGCGATACCCGGAAGTCGTCTCCCTTGTTCACACCTCCGGCATCGAGTCCCATAGCTTCGTCAAAGACGGCCCCTCGCATAAGCCCCATTACTGGGAGCCGTGACACGTCTCCCGAGCCTTTCCTCGCTGTGGCGCTGAGGACTTCCAGTTGGTTGGCTTCCAAGCGTGTGCAGACGGCAATCAAGCGAACCATGGAAGAGGTTGCCGAGGTTCCTGCCAAACTCACCAAGCGCATGCAGACGGCAATCAAGCGATCCATGGAAGAGGTTGTCGATGTTTTTGACAAACCCACCAAGCGAACTCGTCGAACTGCTCAGGTTGAACATGGAGAGTATGTTGCGGAAGTTCCTAACAAGCCCATCAAGCGCGCGCAGATGGCCATCAAGCGAACCATGAAGGGCGCTGCCGAAGTTCCTGGCAAACCCACCAAGCCCGCTCGTCGCACTGCTCAGGTTGATGATAGAGAGTCCCCGCACACAGATGAGTCAGACGGCCCGCAAACCGCAGACAAAAACGCCCACACGGTTGGCGACCGCGAAGATACCATGCAGACTATCCTTGTCTCGATGGCTGGCGTCTCCAAGAAGAGAACCAGTGCTAAACAGGAGACAAAAGCCGCCGAGCCTGACTCCAGGCCACCATCGTCGGGCAAGCCCCTGGTGTGGGCAACAAGCCGCGGCGGTCTGTGTGAAGCAGTGCCATACTTCAAATCCTTTAAATCCAGCCTTTACACCAACAAAGGGGTAGCCTATGGGTTTCTGATTGACCATGAGACAGATGGAGGGGATGCTTTTGATGCACAGGTCATCATCACCACGGTGTGAGTCCCGACTGTTCTTGCAGATCTCATCTCTTAGACTTTTGTCTGTTACTCACAGAAACTGCAGGGGCGGTGGCCGTGTCAGAGACTCAGAGACTGGTGCCATGGTTCGGGTGAATGATGCGTCCGACACAACCCCTGGCATCAAATCACTCATGAACAGTCACCACAGCAAAACTCTCATGGCTGTCATTGCTGGTAAGCATGAATATGCCATGGTATTAATTGAGCAGAACGGTTGACTTTCCTGCAGGCGAGGGAAACCCCCTTTATCAGTGCCGTCCTCCCTATCCTTACGCAGTGCTTGGGTGGTTTCACATCACCGACTTGTGGAAGGAAAGGCAAATGCCCAAGGGTGGTAGCAAAGCCGTTACAATCTGGCGCATTCGCTTTGAGAAAGCCGACCTTTCAGAGCCCTCTTGGTGGTTTCCTGAGGGCGAGTGCACCACGGTGCCCAGCATCCCTATCAACAAAGAATTCAAGGCACCAGTTGTGACCTGTGCGAAATGCAGCAAGCCAAGCAAAGAGATCTTCGCGACTGGTTGGTTTTGCTTGAACCACGAGTGCGAGCACTATTGGGTGTTCCCTACAGGTGCCGCAGTCGACACCAAGGGACTCGCGTACAGCGAAGCTTTCCTGAATGAGCGTACCCCTCTCCTTGGTGAGATCCCGCCCATCAGGCCCCCGATCCCCGACACTGCTGGACTTCATGGCACAGAGCTTGCTCTCCGCCGAGGCTTTGTCTGCCCAGACTGTGGCTGCTGCAACCGCCGGGTCTATTGGAACCGCTGGGTCTGCGACAACAAGGAGTGCCAATACACCCGCGATGCTCCGATGCTTCCGTATCCGGCCGACCTTCTTGAGCAGGAGAATGCCAAGTTCGACAACCACATGGGCAGGAGAAGGGCCACCTACGGTGTGAACGAGAACACCCTCGACGAGGACTCTTACATCTTTGATCCGTTTGCCACCATCTACCAGCGGGGCTATCTGCAGTTCTCGCTGACTCTCAAAATTGGGGGTTTTGAGGTCCGCCAGTACTTCCTCCCGGATTCCCAAGGCCGTGTGCTTGGTTCTTTCAGCATCTTCTCGGCCAGCAAAGGAGTGAACAGCAAGCCAAATGGCCCCGATGACCTCTTCAGGACCCTTGAACTCACCGACATCGGCCTGCGTCGGAACCCCGCTGCCCAATTTGGTCGTAAGTACTTCCTTGAGAGGAGCTGTCTTTCAGGCACTGACGAGGTGATGCAGATAAGCTTGAAGGATACACTAGGCATTTCCAACAGAACTTTGTAAGGCTCTTGGATACTCCACATGACTTCTGCTAACAGCAACAGGGCGCCCGGTACAAGTTCGGTGTCTCAGTTCAGTCGAAGGGTTTTAATGAGGCCCCCGACGTGATTCTTCGTGCCCTTCATCGCTTGATCTGGGCAAAGAAGGTTGCTGTGGAGAACTCCAACGCCTTCATTGGTACACTGGATCCGAAATTCGTTCGATCCAATGCCCTCGTGCCCAACAGCGGCGACTTCAACGAGCTTCTGGCGCTTGGGTACATGGAGGACGACAAGATCAATGTATGTCAACCTCCGAATTTGGTCAGGACTTTACTGACATGTGGCTACCACAGTACCACGACGACGGGGAGAGCGAGCTTGGCCCCGTTGTTGCTGCCCTGTCGCTGGGTTCCCCTTCCACGATGCGTTTCCGACCCAAGCGCAAGACGCAGTTCTTTCTCCCCACTCAGCAAGATAGAGGAAAGGCCTGCTATAAAGAGGTCCTGGAGGTTCCCATGAAGCATGGCGACATGATGGTCATGGTCGGAACAGAGATTCAGAAGGTCTACGAGGTGAGCATTGCTGCAACTTGTTCAGCTTTGGTTGGGATACTGACCATGATCAGCACACTGTCGATCCGTACGGCATGCGGCGTTTCTCGCTCACGGCCCGCTACATCGATCCTGAGCGGATGACTTTGCAGGCCGACCGGGATGATGCTGCCGTGAAGGGTGCAATTCCCAAGCATGCCGAAGCTTTCGTCTATGACGGTTACTGAAGCTGCCGACGCTTGAGACCAGCAACTCCAAGGTCACGACACACCGCCCTCATTCTGTCCGGCGGCAACAGCATTTCGAAGTGCACCTCAAACTATATGAGGACCACACACGTTCTGCGATTCCCTCGTCTCATTTCACACCTTCATATTCTGCACAGCACACATTTTCTCAAGGGGCTTGAGCTCCTGATATACGGCCTTCTTGGAGGAATCTGATGTGGGCGAACTCAGATATGGACGGGACATTTGCTTTGCTTCTAGCACGACGTATATGTCATTAACGCAGCATCTATGTCGTCCAAGGATGGGCAAGGACATTTTCGGTTTCTTCGGTTTCCCAACATATAAAACAGAACCACTCGGGGTTTCTTTCTGGTAGCATGGATCGCCAACATTTGGGTTGGCACGGTGCTCTCTATAGGGTGCCAACTCGGAGGACGCACCCTTCTCTGCTTCACTTCACTATCTCCTACCCTTTAACATACATAGGGCACACAGCAGATACTAATGGTCAAATGGTAGCTTATAATTGCAGTCTACAGTCATATACGTTGCCTTGGTGAAACTTGACCATGATGTGAATCTTTATGTGCAATGCGGTTGGCATACTCTGGCAGAACGAAGACTCAGCAGTGAATGTGATGGTATGGAAGTTGGTTCATTTGCTCAACATGCGATGTTACAGAGTGTACATTATATACAAGAAGATTGCAGATGCCGTTGTTACACACAGTGTTTGCATCTAAATATACATTTAAATACAAGCTCCGCCCAGCTCAGCTGCTCTTTGACGCAGTCCCATTCCCTGATACAAGCAGCACCACGCTGCCCAACTGGCGCCTCAGATCCTCCTTCTCCACATCATGCGTGTCCTCCACCTCTCCCCAGCGTCCCGTCTGCCAGTCCACCTCCAGACTGACCGCCCTCGCCGCCTCCTCCACCCCATACCTCTCTTTCCTCCTTCCCCGTTCTTCGTCTGCTGAAATGGTGCGAGCATGCGCCCCTTCCTCGCTCCACTCGACCACCAACCGTGCCGCAGCCAGCAGGCTCTTGCCTGCCAACGTGGCACGCTCCAGCCCGGCGAGCTCAAAGGGTGAGAGGGAGGTGATCCACCCCTGTACCACCTCGCGTGTGCCGGGTTGTTGGGGTTGTGGGAAAAGGGAGTGGCCGTCGAGGACGGGCGCGATAGATACACCTGGCCAGACGCGCGTGGTTAGGTAGGAGACCGTGGAGGTGTATGCTTGTTCTTGGCGAGTGCGTAGCGAGGGGCCGTCGCGGGCCGGGTCGTGGTCGCCTGGTGCCGGTGGGGGGGCGAGGCAGAGGAGGGAGTCGGTGTCGAGGTAGCGGAGGAGGGTTGTGGTGATTGTGGGGCGGATGCTGCCCTCCGTTGTGTTTGAGGAGTCGGAGGAGGCGATGTCGAGGGCACGGCAGATTAGGGAGGTTAGGGGGATGAGGTGCTGTTTGGTTGCTTGTTGGGCTGAGACGAGATTGTCCCATTCCAGGGCTAGCGCGTGGGCGAGGTGGGGTTTGGAGGCGGGGAGGCGGATGATGGATTTGGTGGTTGGATGTCGGAGGGGGCGGGTGTCGAGGTGGATTTCGAGGGCGCCTAGTGGGAGGTTAGTACTATTTAGGGGAATAATGAGGGGGTTGTTTGGGATGGAAGGGGAAAGGGAAAGAAAGGGGCATACCATTGACCTCGCGCACATGGACATCCTTCCAGAACCGCCTCTTCAGCCCACCACCACTAGTCTTTGTATTCTTGGCGTCTTGCTGCTGCTGCTGTTTCAGCGCCTTGAGATCGCCGGCGCGATTTAGCAGCTCGGCCTGCCTCCTCCGGCGGGCCAGGCGCTGCTCTCGCTCCTGGGCGGTAAACTCGGGGTCGGGCTGTGGCGGCTCGGGAGGCGGGCCGGTGCCGTAGACGGGGACCACTTTGGCGGGCTGGGCAGGGTTGCTGTGTATCGCGCGAGTTGCGGCCCGTGTGCAGCCTCCTGCTACCCGGCATGCGACAGGTCGCAGTGGGAGGACGAGGCAGAGTCTTGTTGCCGGCGACATCTCTAATAGTCCAGCTGGCGGGAAGGGGGAGAGAAAGATGTCAGGGACTCGGTACGCGCGGCGCGGGACGGGGTACATTCATGAGTTGAACAATCAAAGTGTGGTTGAAGTTGGCTCGATGTTGATATCCATTCTGAGAATCATTTTTTTGACTTCCCAGTCCTGGAACTCGGCTCTTGGCGTGAGCAAGGGTTCAGCTGCACTAGCAGGGGTAGCTGCAGGTCCACCCAATCGAGAAAAGCAGGGTTGGGGTTCGCCCTCTTTACGGCCCCCGGGAGCTCACCTTAAGAATTGTGATACTCACGAACTGCCTTGATGCGCGAGCTACACCCCAGAGAAGAGTTCCACGTGGAATCCGACTGGAATAAGAACTACTAGGACTCTGTTTAGACGATAACTATAAGATCATGAAAAAGATGGGCAGGTGGTGTATGCGGAAGGTCCGCGATTCCGAGGTACAACGACAACGAAGCCCCCCCCAACTAGTTAAGAGAACCTAATGCTCAACAGCAGTGGTCACCGATCCCCCAGGGCTTGGGAGACGAGTGGTCGGCCTCGTGCTTGGAGGTCATCGGCTCGACTCAGAGTCCCGCCACTTCCAGAAAGTAAGACCCCCAGAGGATGACGAGCAAACAACCCCGTCCCAGTGTCTCTAGCTCTTCACAGGGGGCAGGACAACGATGCCAAAAGAAGACCAGATGCAGCTGGGAGATTCTCAAATGTCGCCTTTGGCAGCATGCAGCCAAACACGATTCCGCTTCCTACATAGCAGTAGAAACAGAGCCGCTAGTGGAACAGCTTCCTCCACAACACAAAAACCACGGCCATCTCAACCTATAACCCTCCTCAAAACACCAGCCGTACTAGTACACTTTATAAGCTTCTGGATCCCCCCCGCTTCGCCACGCAAGAGACCCAAAACCAACCAGCTAAAGCCACTTTCAACCGGCTGTTTTCAGGCCCAAAACCAATCACCCATCGGATATTCCCCCCCATCTAAAGATCCAAAGCAGCAAACTACGCTATCAACAACAACAAGCAAACAACAACGCTGTTTCTAATAAGGCGGCTTCGTAACCACCGCCCCAAGCTGCTGCTGTCCCACCGTCACCCCTTGCTCCCCGACATGCGCATCAATACCCAACAGCAACGCATTCAGGTCCATCGCCGCCGCCGCTGGAGGCATCATCCTAATCTTCTCATCCACCGCCGCCGAAGCCCACGAACTCGACAACAGCGACCGGGACTCGTTGCCAGCACCCGCACCAGCACCCGCACGACCACCACCTCCTCCTCCTCCTCCCTGCCTGCTTTTAACACTCCGTTTCGACGTCGACGGCCTGGGTGTTAGCGTGGCAGCAGCGTTCAAGTTGGTCACCCGTCCGGGTCCTGCTGCCGCGCCGGCACCGGCACCGTCCACTACCACCAGCCCTGTAGGAAGCGGCGGGACAGGCGGGACAGATCCATCCTCATCCTCATCATCGTCGTTGCGGTGGTGTTCATGGCCGTTGCCATCGTCATCTTGTGCCATGGGGTGGGAACTGAGCGGGCCGCCCGGGAGGGATGACTTGCGCTCGCGGGAGACGGGGCGCGCGATATTATTATTATTGTTGTTGTTCAGATCGGAGGGAAGACCATCCACAAACGACAGCCGCTCGGCACCACCGCCGCCGACTGCCCCCGCGGTAGTGGTTGTGGCGACGGGGTTGAAGGACAGTTCGCTGGGCGTCATGTCGTAGCTGACGAGGCTGTCGCTGCTGGAATCCTCGTCGTCGTCATGACGCCCGTGGTGAAAGCTGCTGCCGGGGCCGTGGTGGTGGTGCATAGTCGGCGGCGGCTGCAGGTGGCCCGACAAGACGAGCTTAAGCTGCTCGACCGAGGCGACTTGCTGCTGCTCCTTGGCGTCGCCGCCTCCTCCGTTGCTTGGCACGCCGGGCGAGTGTGCGCTGCGCAGGCTGGATTTGCGCACCTTGGCCGTCGTGTCCAAGCCGACGCCCGGCGAGGTGGTGAGACGGAGGTTGGTCCTGCTGCCATGCGGGGTTGCTCGGTGGTCTGGCCTGAGGTTGTTGTGTCCGTTCGCTGTCAGCCCGCCGTTGGCGGCCAGGCGGTTGGTGCCTGTCGTCCCGGACCGAGACCCGTTGAGGGATGCGGATTTGCTCGTGGTTTGCACCGCTGCCAGGACGGCCTCGCGGCTCCACTCGCTGAGCATCTGCTCGCGGAAATGGGGAGGGATCTCGTGCTCGGTTTCGATGGTTAGGATGGTACTCATGGTCGAGCCCAAGAGGGGATGCGAGAAACTCCGACCTGGACTAGCGGCCGGACTCTGCGTCGGAGAAGCAAGCTGCTCCTGGTACCCGGTGCACACGCACTCCACTAGCGCCAGGCGCTCATCGAAGGGGAGCAGTGCTTCCGACACAATCTCCTCGATGGGAAGTCTTGGCTGGTGGCGAACCGTGCCCGGGGTACCCACCAAATCGAGGAGAGGGGGCGGCATACTGGTGCCGTCGACCCAGAAGTTCTTACTGCGGCGCCGGACGATCTCATTGTGGATCGCCCTTCCCACAACGGAGCCCTCGAAATCGAATCTCTCAGTTAAGATCCAGAAATAGCCGTGCACAAGGCTTCCAAGCCGGACCTTTTGGACAGGCGTTTCGGCGTCCTGAATGTCCTCCTGAAGCCTGAAAATCATGGGCAGCCCGTATCTCACAGCGTTGACGCCGAGCTTGTCCACTAGTTTTGCCAGTAGCACGTGGAGGAGCACGATATCAGTGTCGTAGTCGATATACTGAATGGCGTTGTCGTAGATGGCCACATGAAGGAGCTCCAAGAAGTGCGACCGTGGAACTTTGACGGGCTTCTCTCGGGCAGAGGCACTCGAGACTGCCCTCCTCGCAAGCGTCGCGCCGGGCAGCTCCCGGTTCTTGAGCGTCGGCCGGGCCGTCTCGTCTCTCGCCTTCGAATCAGCGCTCGTCGTCTCGCGCTCCAGCCACGTTATGACCGCGTCCGCATACGCCATGCGGACGAGTCCGTCCGGGTCTCGCAGCAGCCAATGTGTCCCATCCCAGATCTGGACTGGGACGCGGCTCCTTGAGAGACCAAGGTTTCCGCTCATCTTGCTCCTGGGGTTGGCGACCAACAGAACCGATTTGATTGCCCTCAGCGCGGCGATCTTGGCGACGGTGAGGGCGAATAGGGAATCGACATGATGCTCGTCAGGAAGGGCGCGCACGGACGACTTGGGGGTATTGTCTGTCTTATCACCGTGAGGTGAACCCGGGCTGCTGCTGGATCGGGACGGCTTTAGTTTCTGCAGTATGGTAGAAATCATGTCCGAAATCTGGTCCGTGTAGTAGACGTGCGTGGCCAGATCCCCGACGCACTCCTGCAACCGGAACAGCAGATCTTTGCGTTCAGCAGCGGCCTGCTCCGCCTTGTCGGCAAACTGGCGAGCGGATTGAGAGCGTGGATCTGGCTGGCCTGGAAGAGGTGGCTCGCTGCGCATGCTGTTCGGGTCCCCCGGCATCTGAACGAGCCTCCGAATGTGGGCGATGAATTGGAGAAGAACATCCATAACACTCAGACCAATCAGGTTGACATCCGACCGCAAGAGCGCGCCGATTATGGCGGCCATAACAATGTGTAGCCGCAGAGTATCGTCGGCCAAGGGGTGCTGGACGAGAAAATCCATGGCCGTGACGAGAATGGTGAAGCGCTCGGCGACGGGGGCCCAGCGGGCAACCAGGAGGAACATCTTAACAGCCCAGCCGCTGTCCCTCCCATTGAAATCCGTCCGGACAACATCCTCCTGCTGGCTCACCCGCTCCTGGATGAATTTGAGGAGGGCTACCGTAGCAGCATGGACTTGTGACCTGTTGGGGGTGACAAAGATATGCTTCAAACATTCCATGGCCAGCACGCCAGTGTCCTCCTCAGCCAACTTGTCCATGTCGACGGCAGTATCAGCAAGGGCGATGGGGTTCGTGTTGGCCTCACTCTCGGCCGTCTGTACTGTCGCAACGCTCGTCCGTCTTCTCAACAGAGCACCGCCAATCTTCTCCTCCAACTCGGCTCGCTGATGCAAGACGTCGAGAAAGCCCTCGTTATCGGTCCAGAGATTCTCGAGGATCATGGGCACGGCCAGGTCGTACTGCTGGGTCGTGACGGAGGAGAGGGCTTCGGATGAGGCAACACTCCTGATGGCTTTCAGGCCGGTGTTCCTCCACCGAAGCGCTGTCGGTTTGCTCGGCTCGAGCTTCCCAGGGAAGGCGCGCGTCGAGGCGAGAGATGCGTACTGTTGGACGACAGAGAGGTACTGGCGCAAGTAGGCCTGGTCGGCCATGAGGGAGGTCGGGTCATGGTGGGTACAGAAGGCCTCAAAGGTCGGGACGGAGGATTCCACCATGGTAATGTCGTGGGACTTGAGGATCTGCTCAAGGATCTGGAGGACGCATGATGCGAACAGGGGGAGGTCCTTGGGCGTCTTTTCGATCAGGGCCGTCAGGATTTGCAGAGTGACCTGAACGTTCCTATTGTGCAGCCGAGTCAGCGCAAGGTTGCTTGGACAATCGAGAAGGGCAAATCAACGGCTACATACCCAATCCGCTGACGGTAGACGTCGCTGGCCGTCTTCTTCTCAAGGAAGCTGCCGACCTTATGAATCTTTGAGCGGCGCGACTGAGCATAGAACAGCAGGTAGCTGAGCTCGCTCGAGTTCGGCTTGACGTCGACGGCGCCCTTTGTGGTCCGCGGGTAGCATTTCAAAACGAGGACTTGGTGCTTCGGGCGACACTTTTGCTGGATGGCGTTCATGACGGGCTGCGCCGAGATGCAGCGAGCGGGCGGGACAAGGCAGCTTCGACGATTCGAGGACGAGGACGAGGATGAGGAGTCGGAAGTCACGGATGCCACGGATGTGCAACGGCGGGCATGGGACGACTGGGACTTGGTCGTGATATCACTTGAACGCTGCGCGATTGTCAGTCGTCATCTGCGACCCCCTTGGTGGGAGATGTTGGTTGGCGCCAAAATGAGGAAAATGTCATGGCTGCGAAATTGCAGCGTGAGATCTGTCATTGGTGTTCCAACTTGGCCTGGTTGGGCTGACAAGGGGGAGGGGTGCGTAATTAACGTGGCCCAGATGCTCACGCCAAGAGACTTGCTGACGAGATAGTTCAAGGTAGGGGATACTTTTCGCCAGACTTTCCAAGTCCAAAGAGTCCAAAACAGCACGAACTGACTGACCTCGCCTGATAGTTATGATGGTTGTTATACCTGGGAGATGTTATGTGCTAGGAATTCATCCAGACATTTCGACAAACTTTGAGCCCGACTCGTGAGGCCGCGGCTTGGTGCTTTTGACAGTGGAGGGTAATGAATGCTGATGATGATGCGTCCATTTTAGGAAGATTGGCTGCAGTCAATTTCGGAGCCCCGGCCTCCAACCGGCAACCAGGCAGAACTGCAAGTCTGCTACCAACCACATGCGGCGTTGGCTTGGGGTAAAAGACTGGGGAAATATTGAAATGAAGAAAGGCACAAGTTGATGGTCATTCCAAACGGGTTGAACCGTCGTTGCAAATTTCATCAGCCTACCTGTACTCTGTACTGTAGCTGTTCCGGGAAGGTAGCCCTACCCACCCAGATCGGCGGACCCGCATATCACCGGCTGATCTGCAAGGACGGCGATGAAGCCGATGCCAGCGCGTTTACGGATACTCTATACACACTTACACAGTACACGTTTATTCCGGTCCTTCCTCGACTACGGATACAGCGTACTATAGATGTCTGTTAGATGGTTGCTTGTAGACCAAATGCGAAGTTCAGGCTCTGGTGTATTGCCCCAATGCTTCGCCTTGGGACGGCCCAAGCATCGCGCTGTTTCAGCTTCCACGAAATGCGCACATCTCGCCAGAAACAGTGCCAGTTGGTATGCCTTTGGTTCCCTCAAAGCCACCACGATGACGACTGCAATGCAGTCCTGAGGCCTCTCGATATTGATGCTCACGATCCTCCGTATCTCGCGTTCAATGTTGATCAAGCCGGCACCAGAGATGAGCTAGTGGACCAAAGCACCTCGTGGAGATGCTGGCCACAACCCACAGCCTGCACCCTATGAGATCGCAGGTTGCAACTGAAAGCGGCAGGTCCCGGCCTGACGATGCACCGAATGACAGCCTCCTCAAGGCAAGCGAGACCCCACAAGGCTCAAGTGCGTCCAACGAAATGCATTTGCGATGGATACGGCTCTCTCGCCCATGTTGCATCTACCAAGGCATTCTCCAAGGCATTCAACGCCCAATATGGTCAAGAGTGCTGTCATAGACCGCCAAGATAAATATCGTCGCTGGCCTCGGCCGGCTGCGACAATGAGCATGACGGGACCCGACAGCATCACTTATGCTCTCACTCTCATTCACACTCTCCCCTTAAGGATCACTCCTCCACCGCCATGTCACCCCTGCCGAGTCGTCTAGTCTGCGCGCTTCATCTCAGCTCGTCAGTCCTTGCCGCAGCCGCGGGGCTCAGTCCATTTCTGCAGCCGAGACACGACTCATCCTGCAAGGCCGTGCCTGGATCGCCCGACTGGCCGTTTCCCCAGGACTGGGCCCGTCTCAATGAGTCGCTTGCCGGAAGACTGCTGCAGCCGCCTCCTCCAGGAGCTGTCTGCCATCCAGGACAGGCAACCTACAATGCCACAGCATGCCCCAGCGTCCGGGCCGCATGGTCAACCTACGAGTTCCACCAGGCCGACCCCGTCTCAATGGACTGGAACCAGTGGACCAACGATTCCTGCCTTCCACAAGAAGGTGCTCCGTGCAGCGGTAAAGGATATCCTGTCTTCGTTATAAACGCCACCGAAGCCCGCCATGTCCAGCTCGGCGTCCGTTTTGGTGAACACTAACCACCCCCTTCTTCTGTTCGGGGGTTGGCGGCTGACAGCCCTTTCTTCCCTCCAGCCAAGAAGCACAATATCAGGCTGGTCGTCAAGAGCAGTGGCCATGACTACATTGGCCGCTCCAACGCCCCAAACTCTCTCTCCATCTGGACGCATCACCTGCGAGGAATCAAGACGCACGATTCGTTCCGTCCCAGCCGCTGCGGCGCCACCATTGATGGTGCTGCTGTCACAGTGGGCGCTGGCGTGCAAATGTGGGATCTGTACACCGCACTCGACCCCCTGAACCAGACGGTCGTGGGAGGCGGCGGAAAGACCGTCTCCGTGGGTGGCTACGTGACCGGCGCTGGCCACAGTCTGTTGTCCGCCCGGTATGGCCTCGCCGCCGACCGAGTTCTCGAGATGGAAGTGGTTACCCCCATGGGAGACATTGTGACGGCCAATGAGTGCCAAAACCAGGCTCTCTTTTGGGCCATGCGCGGTGTGAGTTGTCCTCCCCTCCCTCTCACATCCATGCCGCCTAACGCACGTCCTTACTTACCCTTTCTATCAGGGCGGTGGCTCAACGTTCGGCATCATGACCTCGGTCACAATACAAACCGTCCCCACGCCCAAACTCGAGAGTCTCTTCCTGATGATCGTCACCACCGCCACCTCCAATCCCCGCCCTATCTTCGACATGGTTGCCTACGTCGTCAGCCAGTTCCCCTCGATGGGCGACCAGGGTTTGTCAGGCTACTCGTACTACTCCAACCACTTTCCAGCCGGCAACACCACCGTCGGGGGCATGTTAATGTCCTGTGTCCTGCAGGACTCGTCGCCCGAAGAGATGCGCAAGCTGTGGGATCCCGTGCTCTCGCACATCAACACCACGTGGCCGGGCCTGTTCGCCGTCATCTACCAGCCCACGTCGTACCCGTCTTTTCTTGGGTGGTACGAGCAGAACTACGACACCTCGGCTGCTGGCTTGAACAGCTATCTGGGCTCGCGGCTGCTCGACAGGAGGGCCCTGACGGGTGATCTGACAAAGACGTCCGAGGCGCTAGAGCGGTTCGCCAATACCACCGTTGGGACGGCATATCTCTTGTCTGGCAACGGCGTCCACAATGCGAAGCCGAGGGGATGCGGGAACGCGGTGCTGCCGGCCTGGCGCAAGGCTTACGTTCATGCGAGTACGTAACCCCCCTTCTCTATAACATTGCACAGCAGAGGACAGGACGTGACTGACATGAATTCTTACTTCCAGCCACCGGCCTCAACGCCACGCCGCTGGACCCAGCCTCGGCACTGGCCACGCGAGAGCAGATCAGAATGAACGTGGAAGGGCTGAGGCAGTTGGCGCCGGACATGGGCGCATATGTGAACGAGGTATTGTTTTCCTGTTTCGCCTTCCCGCCTCACACCTACCTTATATACTGACATGGCAACCTGGATGCAGGCCGACTATGAAGAACCAAATTGGCAGCACGAATTCTGGGGGTCTAACTACAAGCGACTGTAAGTACATGCCCGCCGGCCTTCAGCTCCCCTCTCCTAAGACTTCCATCCCCTTGGCCTTCAGCCTTGAGATTCCGTGCTGACAAACACAGCCTCCAAATCAAACGCAAGGTCGACCCCGACGATGTGCTGTGGTGCCATCCCTGTGTGGGCAACGAGCGCTGGGAGCAGGTCGACGACCGTCTGTGCCGCGTCAAGGGACGGAAGCCGTAGACCACTGGACGGTAAACTAACAGTATTCTATCTCGTAATGTCTCATTATAACTTTGTCTTATCATCATCTCGTGTGTTATTCTATGTTATTCCATTCCACGGGTGAGAGGTGGAGGCAAAGATGGGATGGAACCCTTCCCCCCCCTGGCCACCATATAAACCAACTTCCGCGCCCACCTCCCCAGAAATCAATACTGCATTCCATCCCGCAGAAGTCCCTGTGGTGAAGTGGTAAAGATCTAGTGTACCTATCTCCTCGGCCCCCATTGGAAAACCGTGCCCTTTGGGCTGCTAAGGAGACACTAAGTCTCTTTTTCGATTTTTTCGATTCCCATACATTGCATTTCATTTTCCCATTTGCCTGTATTGTAGCTCTCAAAAGGAGGATTTCATTTTCTTCAAATTCCTCTTGATAATTTCTCCTTCACAGGTTCTCTCCTCTTATACTTCGTATCGCTATGTCCTTTCTCCCTCCACTCTTCCCCCCCTTTCCCCCCTTTCTTCCTTTTTCATCTTCAGACTCTCTTCATTCCATGTTCAGTTGCCTTAAAATTGTTTCGCATTTTTGAGTACAACACTTCGTTTCTGACCACTGGAGAGAGGAAAGACTCGTATATAAAGGGGTATCACCTTGTTGACAAAAACAGCAATCAACTCGAGCTTTCAATATCGACAGTCATTACGTCTTGATTCAGCCCTGCCCTTGTTTGATGCTCACATCCCCAACAACAACTTGACGCAAATGAGACCACTCAGTCTGATTGATACAACTACCTACTGCTTACAAAATAAACCCCAATCTCCATCTCTATTTCTATTCCAGTCCAACTTCTTCCTCACGTCCCGTCCGGACCCTCTCTATCAAATACACCTCTTCCCAAGAAGATATCTCCCCTCTCCACCACACCTCAATCCCTCAATCCCTCGCGCACAACATATCTCCGCTTCATATTGGCATGATCCACCACAGCACCACCCACCCAAGGTACTTTATCAAATAAAAGCCACACTCTCGTCACACCTCTCACCACCATCACAATCACGATCACGATACCCATCCCCATCCCCATTCCCCTGCCCCCGTTCCCGTTCCAAAACCTCCGCGATGTTCCCAACCCCAACTCCACCACCTCCAACCCTCCAATTCAAACTCCCACCCACACCCTCACCATCACCGCTACCACCACCACCACCCAAACCAGGCATACAATCCCCAATAAACAACCTCCTTCTGCTGGAACCAGAACCACAACCATAACCACCACTACTACTAGTAATCAAACCGCCAAACTGCCTCTGCAAAGCCTCACTCAACCCAGGACTCGACACCACCGACACAGACGGGCTGGTACCCACGCTCACCACCCCGCCGCCACCGCCGCCGTGGTGAGGAGGAGGAACCAACGATTTCAATCTCCCTGGCCCTGTGCTGCTGCCAGCGGCTTTCAAACTCGGCGGTCTCATAATCCGCAGCGGGTCCGGCCTCATTTTGCTCCTAGGCGGTATCGGCGGACGGTTGGTTTGGGGCGCTGGAGGGGGAGGAGGACGAGGAGGAGGAGGACGGGTTGTTGGGCTTTCGTTTTCGAGGAGCAGGTTGTTACTGTTCTTGTTGTTGTTCGCGGGTCCCTCTGCTGCTGCTGCTGCTGCTGCTGAAGAGGGATGGCGTTTATTGACAGAGTCGACACGGAGGGGGGAGGGGACATTGGGCTCGACCCTTGCCAGCGGTGCTTGGAGGGTCGGTTGGTTCCTAATGTGGATTGATCTTGTTGTGGTGATGGTGGATGGTTCAAAGACGTCGTCGTCGTCTGAATCATGACTGTGGTCGTGTTCGTCGTCGTGAATCTGGGCGTGTTCGCGGACGTGGCCTCTTAGGGATGGGAAGCGGCGAGTGGAAGAGATACGGGGTTGGGGTGGTCGGGCAGCGGTTACGTTCGACGATTTTGATGAAGACTGGGGCGGCTCGAACTTGTCAATTTTGGCTGACAACCACGTCTTCCACTCGACCGAGCTTGCGGTTGAGGCCTCGCGGCAACCGCCCGGTCGGTGCAGGGCCAGGGTGTTCACGCGGCTGCTTTGTTTAGACTGCCCTGTGGCCTTCTCAGGCCCTGAATCGCTCTCGTCTGAGGAATAAACGCTCTCAGAGTACTCTGCATCCCTGGCCGAGTCGGAATCAATCTCTGGGAGATACTCGGAACGCAGAGAGTGGTCTTGCCTCGTCGCAAAGCGCTGCTCGGCCCAGGCATCCTGCTCTTCCTGCATGGACCTTCTAAGCGCACGGCGGAAGGGGCTTCCTGTCCTGAAGAGATGCGAGGCCGGGGTGCCAGCAAGTCTCGGCCGCCAGTCTGCCAGCGTATCTTCCTGATTGAACCCATCGCCGTTGTCTGCTGCTTTGTTATCGTGTGCGCGTGCGGTGGCAACAGGGGTTGACCGCTCGCGGCTGGAAAAGCTGCTCATCCCACCGTAGTAACCACTGCGGGCGCTCGGAGTCGCCACAAGATGATAGGTTTGAGAATCCGATGAGTCCCGCCTTCGAGATACGCTCGCCCTCCCCGAAGACCTGGTCGGGGTTGTTGTATACTCAGACGCCTTCGACACCTTTCTACCAGGACTGACATGCCGGATCGTGTCCGGCGTTCTGCTTGAAGAGCGCCCTGGGGGCCGTACAGAGTTGCCGGGCCCGGGTGTCTCGGACTGCCGCTCCGCATCTTCCGAAGACTGCGTGTTCATGGCATTCATCCGTTTCACAAGAGCTGAATAGATCCGTTGGCTGTCCACAATCGGGCGAAGCACCCCGGCATCCTCCCCAACGCTATCGGGTACTTTAAACACCCCAGACCCAAGCGCCCGTCTCCGCATGGAGGGCGACGGGGCGTGGGCGCCGTGTTCCCTGATCACCGACAGCCGCTGCTTCTCCCACTCTCTCCATTGCTGCTGCTCCTGGCTCGTGAGTGTGCTGGGTCCAGAGTGCGCCCAACTCGTCAAGGAGGAGCCACTCGATATGTTACGATCTCGCTCGCTCCTCAGACTTTCGAAACTCGCTTGCCTGGAATGGACAAGCCCCGTTGAAGCCGTTTCAAGGGTAGCCACCTTGCGGGGGGGGCTACGGACGAGGCCGAAATGCTCTTTATTGTGTGCTTCATCATCGATGCTGAAGGCATGCTGGAGCGGAGTTCCATGGCTTCTCTGGGCTTCGATATGCTGGCATGGAATTGAAAGGTCCTCGTCGGGCCTGGCGACGGTGAATAAATTCCTCAGCTTAATTCGCAGGGACCGCGAGGCATTCCTGGCCTTCGATCTCAGCGTTCCCAGCTCCTGTTTGTCTTGTTGCGGTGCGGAACCCGGCTGCTGAGAGCTCTGGGTCGAGCTGCTGCCGCGAAGCGACTTGCGAATCTTCAAGTCACTTTGACTGTTCAGAGAGCCGAACAAGGTAGACGACTTGTATTTGGGTCGCGGGGTCTCTTTTTCGGCAGCAGAGGATCCATCTTCCGGCAGATTAGGCAAGCCTGACGGTGTCGTATCTCGCTCACGTAAGTGTTGGCTGGCGCTGGATTTTGACTGAGATCGTCGGCTACTCAGAAAACTCAGTGACTTTGGGGCTCTTAGGGTCGGGGTCTGATGCGATGAGCGGCCGTTGTTGGGGTCAGAACGGAAGAACCTGCGAGACGTCGTAGCCGGCATCGGCCGAGACCTCAGAAAACCGCTGGTCACGAACTGCGCAGAGTTATCCTGGGTCGGCCTAGCTCCTAGAGAACCGGTGAGCATAGACCTAGACCTATGCAGCCGGCGAAATGATGATGGTGCGGAGGCTATGTCATCTTCAGGGGTGTAATATTCGTCTCCGGCTGCTAGGGCCTCAAGGCAGCTCGCAGCGATCCCGGGTAACGGGATTGGAGGCGGCGCTCTGTGTGGAGGACTAAGTCGCTGGTCGCTCGAGTCTTCTCGAGAGTGCATCTGGCCCATGTTTTCCACTTCGTGCGTATCTGCGGATCCCCGATCCGTGTCCCCAGAGTTGCGACTCGCGTCGACTCGCCGACCCCTCGGCTGCACGGAGCATGGTCCCATAAACCGAACGCTCTGCCGACGACGAAGGTCCTGGCTATCTCCCTCTCCGACATCAGTCTGACCGGCAGGAGCCAACGCAGGCAGCCGGCGCTGAGGTGACGATTGAGGAGTCACCGGGAACAGCGACGGTTCGGCCATGGTCCGGCTCTGAGCTCTGGCGTAGGCCTCCTAGGCAGCAATGTTGGCATCCCGTTGTGCCAGCGTCGGGTCGAGGTGTTCGAGGATGATGCCCTGCGTGGACGAGGTCGACTTCCGGCGTTTGAGGTCCGACTTGGACTTCAGGCTACGCCGACGCAGCATCGGAACGGTCGAACAAGGCGGTGACGACGACGTAACGGTGCAGTCGCACCGAGACAGGAGATGAAGAACAGTAATCGAGAAAAAGGGACTGGTCAACAGAAAAATACATCTGTGTAGCTAACCTTATGCCAAGGGTAACGGAATGCCGTGCCGGTGTTGGAGTGGCACAGAGGTCGCAACTCGTAACTGAGACACAAAGCCGCCACTGCGAGGAGGCGACTTTGAGTAGGACAGTTGTGGAAACACAAAACGAATTCGTGAACTGGAAGTCATCATGGACGACTCCGAGGAGTGACGGTGGTGACGCGTGTCAGCAATGGAAGGCGCGCCGGGTGATGGTATGCCGTTAATCGTCAGCTGGAGACCAGAAACAAATCTCTCATTGTAAGCCGTTTGAAACGTCGACGTTGACGTCGGTTGATTCCAGTACAAGTAAACGGCAGCAGGCACGATAGGCCGGTATTTACAGAATATTCTGTGTACCGAATGAAATTCTGATTCATAGACTCAGTGAGCCGAGACTACTCTCAAAATGCAAGCCAAACCAAGAATCCCATGTGCGTCCGAGTCCCAAGTTGCCATACAGTACAAGAAACCACTCGGCTGCATGTTATGCCCATCCCGATATCCCAAAAAGACAAGAACAAAACGAAAGGAATGCCCGTGCCGTATCAACCGATGATGAACTTGAGGTTGCGCGCTCACAACGCCGATGTCATGGCTACCACTTAAGCTCACAACGCCGATGTCATGGCTACCACTTAAGCAGCAATCTCCTCAAGGAACTCCTGGAGCTCCTCATCCACCAGCTGGTGAATCTTCCTGGAGAACTCCTCGGCCTTGCCCGCAAACGACGCGACGCCCTTGACAACCTTGCCAGAGACGACCTCGAAGTCGTGCTCGATGAGCTCCTCCAGATGCGAGACCGACGCGCCAATGTCAATCTTGTCGGTCTTGGTTTGGCGGTCCACCTTATAGCCGCCAGCCTCGACGATGGCAGTGTAGTTGTTGCAACCACCGCCGTTCCAGGCGAGAAGGTTGGGGGTGCCCTTGGGCATGTCGGTGAGGGCGTCCTGGGTAGCAATCTTGAGCAGGTTCTTCTTCATCTTCTCCGGAGTGATGGCGGCGAGCGAGTACTCAGAGTCGCTGGCGGGTTGGAGCGAGAGATAGTAGGCCAGCAGACCGCAGATGTGGGGCGACGCCATCGAAGTGCCCGAGATGGTGTTGGTGGCGTACTTGCTGCCAATCCAAGTGGACAGAATGCTCAGCCCGGGGGCGAAGATGTCGGTGCACTTGCCATAGTTGGAGAAGTAAGCGCGGCTGTCGTCGATAGCCGAGGCACCAACCGTGACGGCCTTCTCGGCAGCAGCAGGCGAATAGTTGCAAGCATCGGCGTTGTCGTTTCCGGCAGCAACAGCGAAGTGGATGCCGACCGAGACAGCAGCATTGACGGTGTCATCAAGGGCCTTGGTCTTGCCGCCGCCCAGAGACATGTTTGCGACAGAGCCCTTGAAGCCCTTGCGCTTCCCGTCCTTGGCAGCCTTGACATTCTCCATGTGCGACTTCGCAGCCCACTCGACACCGGCAACAACGTCGGCCATGGTGCCGGAGCCATTGGAGCGAAGCACCTTTACGGCATAGACATTGGCCTTCTTGGCAACTCCATACTTCTTGCCTGCAATGGTGCCAGAGCAGTGGGTGCCGTGGCCGTTACCGTCTTCATCGGCATCGCCGGAGGGGATTGTCTTGCCCCATTTGGCACGGCCCTCAAAGTCGACGTGCTCAGTGTTGGTGCCAGTGTCAATGACGTAGGCATCCACACCCTCGCCGCCTTCGGCAGCAAACAGATACTTATTGAATGTCGAGAAGCTCAGGGTATTCCGGTGCGAAATACGAGCCAAGCCCCACGGAGCGGCCTTTTCTAGCTCGCTGTCGCACTGGGCGGCCTCTGTCACACGCATCGTGTGGACAATGCTGTCGCGCTCGATGTACTCGACCTGCAGCGGAGCGGAGTCAGTTTCTGATGAAAGCGGCCTGTCAGCGAAACTGAAACAACTTACATCCGGATGCCGCCGAACTTGCTCGATGACCTCGTCGTCGAAATGGCCAGAGTAGCCGAGGAACTCCTGGCCAATCTTGTATGTGTGCTTCAGCCCGCGGAAAACGTCGTCAACCAGTGGCATCTGACCGCGCTTCTTAAGGTCGGCACGCTCCGACTCCCGGTTCGTGTGGATCTCCTGGATCCAGCTGTGGTGCGCCGCAGCGGAGTCATCGCTGACGTGCTTCTTGAACTTGATAATGTACGAGTTGGGGACGACCTCGGCGTTCGATGACGAAAGAATGGGCGCGGCATCGCCATGGATGGTTCCAACGCTGACCCGCGGCGCCGCGGCGGCGCAGGCTGCGAACGAGAGCGCGATGATGCCTCTCATTGTGTAGTTAAAAGGAAAGGCGAAGTCGATGGACCAGCGACTTCAACGAGAAAAGTGAGAGTCGAAGAACCTGAAAGTGAAAATTCAAACTGCGATACCTGCTTCCCTTGACTAGATGCGATACGAAGGGATGATGACGGTTGAGGAGAGGGGGATGGCGAGAGGAGAAGGAGCGAGCTCGGAAGGTTGGGGAGGTGCGCTTTATCAGGGCCTCGGAGGCAGCTGCCATGCGTCAGACCTCGCCATAGCAGCTCACTGCCACTCACGGCCAGGGTAGTGGGCCAGGAGCTCGCCCCAGACTCTGGGCAGGACCCACTTTACTAACCTGATGCGGTGTGGACACCTGAGCAGGCGCTGGGGTAACGATAAGCCTGCCGCGATCAGTATCCGCCTCAGTCACCGATAGCCTTCGCAATCCGTTGACCCAACCGATAGAGCGAAGATAATCTTTCTCTACTCTACAGGTTGTATTCAACCGAAATGTGTCAAAAAGCATTGGATCTGGGGATTTTGAAGCGGCTGTTATTGTCCACGAGTCCATGGCATGGCACAGGCATTGGTAAGTCTCCCGGACGCCAATCAAGGTTCCAACCTGGGGGCGAGGCTGCCTTGTTTCGGATCGGCGGCTTTACAGCCATGCAGGGCTTCTGGGGATCCCTGACACGTCCCTCGTCTTGTCTGGTTTGTGTCCTGCCTTGATTCATACGAGCTCCGGTCGGTTGGAACTGCACGTCAAAAGATGACGAGGCAGCCTCGGCAGCAAATGATACCTAGCCTTGTTGAGCTCAATCCACTGATCATGCGGGATGAGACCTTAGCGAATACTACCAGGTATCCGTACTTCGACCCATACCTTGGGTTATCCGTTAGTATGTAGCACCTCGGAAGAACCATGAACGTCTTTGGTAAAGCTTTCTCTTCACGGTCTCTTCCTCCTGCCAATCTCTTTCTTCTGCTTTTTTGCTACTTCGAGTATATCCTGCCGGCGAATTCGAGACTGCTGAACGCGGAGCCCTCAAAGCTCCATGTTCCGCACCTGAGTCGCAAGCTTAAGACTCTCCGCACTCGTGACCGGAATGGAGGCGGGGAACCTTGCGGGCCTCCCCTGCCGGGCTCAGATAAGTACAGTACCTTAGGCTACCTCCATACCAGGCAAATCCAAGAACAGCGTCTGGGTTGACTTGGCCGGCTCGGATCGGTTTGTCACATACGGTGCATTGTTAAATAGAGGGTACTATGCGACCAAGAGACCGAGCTGTCTTGTTGTCATCACTGACATCGGAAAGGTGTGCAGTCCCAACGCAGCGCATGTCTGTTGACTGCCAGAATGGCTCGGATCATCGAATGGATACAACTGAAGTCTAAGCTGGGCGGGGGTTCCACTCAGGGGAAGAGGTCGATCAACACATGCCGGGCTAGGTGTTGCATCGTCGCATCTGACTCGGGCTTATTCCTGGGTTCTTGATAGGTAACTTAAGGAGGTGCGCTGACAGCGCAATGTATTGTTTTCCGGGATATCGACAGTATCAACATTTTAATCCGCCAGGCACCTCACTGAGATGGTATCTTTCGGCGCAGGAGCTGTCGCAGAACTCCCGTCGCCGATGTCGGTTAGAGAGCAGTTACGTCACAACGCTAACCATCACTCTCCGGGCACGCAAGCAGCGGCGCTTTGATGCAATTGCTGGACCCTGCGGTTATGGTACCGTCGATGTTACGGATACCTACAGTACTATCTAACGCTAGTCTCTTGCGTCTCGCTTAGAGTTAGTAATGGGCACTGTTGGATGTTCGGCAAGGCAAAGGTCATCTGCATCAATTCTATTGATTCTCTAAGTCGGGGATTGTTATCCGTATTCGTCCTTGGCTTCGCTCTTCCCCCAAGCGGAAAGCGGTATCCTGCTTTGTCTGAGGCCTGGGGAAAAAGAGAGGGTTGAGTCAAGGTAGTTCAAGTAAAGAAGCATTGAAACAATGACAAGGAACACGAAAGATAGGAAAATCAAAGGAGGGGAGATGGTCTCGAGGGAGAAGGAGAGAATAGAATAACTAAAGGGCAGAACTACCAGATAAACCCAAGAACGAAACTCAGTATTGGATATGTGGAGTTACGAGAATGTATACCATTACAAGATGACTTGAATGATTGAGAGTACAAGTCAAGTAGGCCAAAATTCACAATCGATGACTCGGGATGATCACCGTCATTTTGCTGGTTCCGGGTTGGTGGTGTGGCTGGTCCACGCAGCCCTTCTGCTCGGTGCTGGCACCGCCACAGTGCCCCTCTGTTTAGCCGACTCAGCACATGTTCAGCCCTGCAGGGCGAAGGAGCAGCGCGAGGCTGACGCCTAAAGTTCCCGTAGCTGGATGGGAGCTTCCATTTCATTTGTGTGTGCTCGAAGGGACCAGACCAAGGCGCTCTGCGCAAGCTTTTGAAGCTCGACACCAAACCAGTAAAGCGCTTTTGTTTTCGCTGCTCGATTTCACACAAACCACTGCCTCTAGTTAAGCTTATCTTCCTCTTTAGAGATCTATTTCCGACTTCCTGGCTGAGCTAGCGGAATTCTGCGGCAGCCTGGGGATGCTGGCGTAAGCTCTCTCTCCGAACGGCGCCAGATCGCGTTTCCCTTCCATGACGGCGCCCCGAGCTCTTGCGCCTGGACCCTCGATGGGTTCTAGGGAGTCGACAATCGCTCATTACTGTCGCTGTGTCAGGTCCTCAGCGAATTGGCCTAGTTGAGTGGCCCGGAACTCTGCAACATGCATCCCGTGCGATCCCGCCGCTATCGAGCGTCGACGTCGACCTCGAATCTCCAGGCCTCCAAAGCCACCGAAGTGCTCCAGGCCCTCCTAGACGGATTGTCCGGGTCAGCAACGAGCCTACCAGAGCGCGCGTACCCTGACATCGAGGAACTGGTCAACCAGATCCGCCAGATTCACCAGCATGTCGCCGCCTCGTCGCCGCCCTCACCACCACAAGACGACTTCCGCCATCTTGGTGGCTTTCAGGCGCTCCTCGACGTATTACGGTCATTTGCAGGCTTCTACAACCCACAAAAGCGCTGCACGACGGAGAGGAGGGCAATATTTGACTTGCTACATGTCGTGCTGGCAACGCTCTCGGCGTCCTTCCGCGGCCACTTTGGCAACAGACGGTACTTCCGGGATAGAGTAGAAGGAGGGGGTTGGGAGGCTCTGGAGCAGATTATAGCCAGCATTGGCGTCGGAGGAGGGAATTCCGACCTCTGGACCTGCTGCCAGCTGTTCGGAAAGCTGCTCTCTTTTGCCCTCGATGACCAGCGCCTGGATGAGCTCTGTTGCGAGGTCGCCTCTTTGTCGGCCTCGGATGACCCGATGGATCGGCCGAACGGAGAGGATAGGGAGACTGAACAGTCCGCAGAAGCCGATACGGGAGACAGAACCGGCGTGTCGCTTACCATGGAGGCCATCGATGAAGAATTGCAAGGCATTATCGGGCCCAACACAGCCATCCAGAACGCCGAAATCATTCGGACTGTGGTTAGCCTCTGGCGATCCATTCCGAAAGGTCAGGATGTTGCGGCGAGCCCTGCTTCGAGGATAGTGCTCGCGGTGTTGTCATCCCTGGCAAGCGCATCACTCTTCAACCTCAATGCTTTGCATGGGACCGGCCTGCTGTCTACCCTGCTGCGCTTGCTTTTTGCCGAGGACAGCAATCTCAACGGACCCGAAAGAGAGATGGCGCTATCCCTCTGCAAGTCCCTGATGCAGTTCGGCATCGACCAGTTGGCCGATGCGGAGTTCTTGTTGAATCGGCGGGACCCAGCTACCTCTGAATTTTGCTTGGACATGACGGAGAAGTACACTGGCCCCCCGTTTATTCAATTCGACCTCTGTTTGCACGGCCACTCATCCATCGAGCTCCCGAACCTTGGCCGGTCTTTTCCTCCTCAAACAGCGCCCGGATACACCTTTGCTTGCTGGGTCCGAATCGATGAGTTCGATCCAAGATCTCACACAACGCTTTTCGGGCTCTTTGACACTAGCCAGACTTGCTTTCTCCTCGCTTACCTTGAAAAAGACACAAAGAACTTTATCCTGCAGACATCTGTCACCTCTCCGCGGCCTAGTGTGAGGTTCAAGTCGGTGGCATTCAAGGAGCATCAATGGTACCATATCGCTCTTGTCCACCGCAGGCCCAGAACTATGTCAGCAAGCAAGGCAAGCCTCTACGTCAACGGAGAGTTTGCCGAGCAGCTTCGCGCCGCATATCCGAGCCTGCCTCCGCCCTCGAATGCAAGCACTGAGAGTTTTGTGTCTTTCTCATCAGGCAGTCCCAAGACAAACCCTGTTCAAGCTTTCCTAGGCACGCCACGGGGCCTCGCGGCTCAACTTGGCCCAGGACTGGTGCACTCTAAGTGGTCGCTAGCCTCGGCACATCTGTTCGAAGACGTTCTGAGTGACGACTTGCTTGCTGTTTACTACCGCCTCGGACCGCGGTATCAGGGGAATTTCCAGGACTGTCTCGGTGGGTTCCAGACCTATGAGGCCTCGGCCGCCCTTGGACTCCGTAACGAGGTGTTCCATCCCGGCAAGGACGATAACTCGGACATCTTGAGAGCCATCAGGGACAAAGCAAGCACCATCGTGCCCGAGCACAAGGTGCTACTTAGCACTTTCCCACTCGCCATATTCCCAGCCGATGGAAAATTCATGGATTCGTTGCTTTTTCGCTCGCTGTCCAGGAGCTCCGCCAGCAGCCTGTTTCATGCTACACTGAAGAGTGGGACGGCGGTTGCCATCAATGGAGCTGTGCCCTGTGTCGACGACGCGCTGGTGAAGTTGAACGGCATTTCGGTTCTCGCGGGCGATCCAGTTGTTGCCACTCCGTACTACTTCGACGACAACCTCTGGCGCCTCGGAGGCTTCACGCCCGTAGCCCTCAAGCTCGTGGAACGGTCGTCTACCGCCGATGAACTGCTACGGTCTGTCGAGCTGATGTTCCACTGCATCAGCAATAGCTGGAGGAATAGTGAAGCCATGGAGAGAGACAAGGGATATGCCATTCTGAGCATGCTGCTTCGTGCCAAACTTGGATACGGCGTGCCGGGCTCGGAGAGCCAGTCGCAGATATGGCGACTCACGCTGACCAACGAGGCCAGAGACCGATTGGGTTTCCAGCTGCTCAGCTTGGTGCTTCATTTTGTTGGGTACAAGCATGCTGACCCAATTGAGTCCTTCATCATCAACCCGCTCGCATACCGCGTTCTCTTGATCGACCCAGACACGTGGCGGAAGTCTTCACCGTTGGCCCAGGAGCTCTACTACAGACAGTTCGTGACGTTTGCCGTCAAGAGCAAGCACCATCAGTTCAACAGCCGCCGGCTGCTCCGAATGCGTAAGTATCGTGTGTGTAGCGTCCTCCATAGATTTCGGTGAGCTCACCAGCTTCCGACAGGGATCATCAAGAGGCTTCTGGATGCGCTGAAAGCCGAGACTATCTCAGAGGAGATTATGCCTCACTTCATGGTTTCCTTTGAGAGCCTCGTGAAGTGCAATTACAACGCCGAAGTCCACCGCTCCATCGCCCTGTTCATCACCTACGCATTCCACACTCCACCGAGCTCGTTGCCGCGAACACCAAAGCCGGCGGCCGCAAGCAGCCGGTCACCTACACCTGGTCTCGGCCTCTTGCGCCGCTCTACCGCCGAAGCCAGCTTCTCACCGTCGACGGTGGGCTCGAAGATGCTCACCAAAAAGCAGCTTGGCATCAATATACTGGACATGTATACCCGACTCCTCTGCGACAAGGCCAACTTGGCCGACATTCGCAAGTTTGCCAAGACCGTCACGAACAAGGTGATATTTGCAGCCGGCCCAAAGAAGAAGGCAAAGGAATACGTGCTGACGTCCGGGCAGTGGCTGCTCTACCTGCTCGCAGAGAATGACCCGGAAATTGTCGTTCTTGGTTGCAAGATTCTTGCTCGCCTCCTCGTCACGCAGCCTTCCGGCTACACGGCCAAGTTTGCGAGCAAGACTGGCGGCTTCTGGATCATGGCCTTCCGCCTGAAGCAGTGGTGGGACATCTCAACTCTCTGGCCGATCCTCTTCAGCATCCTCTTTGGGTACGACGTTGCAAACATCAACTTTGACAACTCGTTCGATTTCTTCAGCCTCTTGGAGATCTTCGGCAGCAGTCGCGTCGTGTTCCCTGATATGCTTCCGGTCATAACGTCCATGCTGCAGCAAGGTCTTCGGGACGTCCTCAAGTATCAGGATGACCCAGATTCGCCGGCCAGGGGTGACCTTAGCACCAAGCAGACCTCTGAAGAGGGTTTCAGTGCCATTCCAACTAGGCCTAGGGCGCGCTCGATGGAGCTGGGCCAGGCCCTTGAACCGAGGAGTGAGATAACCATTCCTATGCTACTTGATGTCTGCTAACGCGAGAATTAGGGACGCACGTACCTGACAAAGACAGGGTGGCAGCGAATGCTGGCGTCCTTCAGATTGTCATCCGTTTCTTGGCAGACATGCACACGCGTTCCGCCAACTTTAGGGATTTCGCCCTCTCCTCGGACTACGTTCGACATCTCTGCGTGGCGCTCTATCCGGTAATCGTGAGTTCCGATCCTGTCACAGCAGAGACGGAGCTCAATTCAAAGGACACACTCAATTTTGAGGGCGGCGATGTCATCATCCGTCCGGTCCCTGGGTCCTCGTCCACGGCGATCCCGATCATCCGGACATCGAATATAGGGCCTTCTGATGCCCAACTACCCTCTCCCAGTCCGGGCCGTGGAACTCCCCTCCGGCGGCCTTCGTCATTCATCCTGGTCACTTCGCAGTCACCTCCCTCGGTGCCGACCCCTGCTCGGTTGAATCACGCCGTGTCTCCAAAGAAGAGACCTGCCGCCCGGACTACTAGCAACGCCGTGCTAGAAGGCGTTCTAGAACTCATCATCGGCGTCTTCACAGATCAGATCCTCGTCAGAAAGGAGTTTCCTGGATTCGGTCTCGTCCTGAAGGTGCCACCAGGGTTTCAAGAACACCGCGCGTACTTTGAAACTTACATCCTTCGGAATACCATCACTCATCTGAAGAACACCATCCAATTGGATCAGAAAATTCTCACAGAGCCCAAGATTTTGCAGAACCTGGCTCGGCTGAATCTCCACATGGTCGAGGCCGTATTCGATGGATCGTTCATGGGCGGAGCTGAGACGATGATCGATTTCACCGGGACCCTCTTAGAATATCTGCAACGACCTGATGTGGCATCTCTGAAGAGCGTCCGGCTGTGCAGCTCTGCGGTGGCGACGATCCGGTCGTCCTTTTTGAAGTTTTGCCTTCTAAGGCTCTCGGACATGGGCGACCCCGAAACTAAGGATTCCGAGGCCCTGTCGATCATGGAACTTCTGCTGTACTGGCAGACCGTTCTACTCGCTTGCTTGTCAATGGATGACGATTACATGAAGCTGCTGTGGTATCAGCTCTACAACAAGCTGGTTGACTCACGGCACAACATCCGGCTGGTAGCTGCGACGCTGTGGCGCATCATGCTTGTGCAAAAGCCTGAGGAGTCAGCGGCAATCTTTCGGCAGACGATGACGCCGGACCAGCGGCCCTTGGCGAGGGGATTCGAGAAACTGACCGAGCTGGACGATGGGGCGTTTCTCGAGTGGGTTGACCAGCATCAGTCCTCGCTTGACGTCCTCTTCTTTGGCGGCATGTCCAAAGCTTGGGAGGAGTTTGTCGGGTTGGAAAACCAACGCACCGCGGACAGTGCCAGGATGAGGACGAAGGCCCGAAAGGAAAAATTAAAGCAGTGGCACACCGAGTCATTGGAGCGGGACAATGTCTTGCTCCGACACGAGATGGCTAACAGCGCGTGGATGAAGAGCATCTACTTCACCGAACACTTCAAGCACCAAAGGCTTCTGCAGGATGTGCAAGATGACAATGCCTTTCTCGCATCGACCTTTGCGAAGATGGAGCGCGATCTGCGCCGGCCAGGCGCCGTGTTTAGCGAACCGCAGACTATCAAGTGGAAGTTGGATCGGACCGAGGGGAGGAACCGCATGCGTCTTCGTCTTCTCCCGGAATATCCCAGCCAGCAGCAGCAAGATTATCAACCGAAGAGAAATAATGGGGCTGCGGCGACCCCGAAGCCCAGCATATCCAGCGGAAGCCTTTCGGTGACACAGGGAGCACGGCCCACAACACCTGCTCCGACGACTCTCACGGAGGGTCGATCTCAAGGGAATATGGAGGACACGGATATTTCTGCCGAGCCGGATTCGGTCGGTGGGACGGCAGACCAAGTTGCGCCGGAGGAAGATTTTGAGCTGGTCGAGGACCCCAACGAGCCGGAGGGAGACGATACCTTTGAGGATAAGAACAGGAAGGTGATGAGGCGGCTTCAGCAAGGGGATGCCGTTCAGAATGTCTTCAACATCTCGCGTATCATTGGCCTCGACGCCTCCGAGGGTATTCTTATCATTGGCAAGGAAGCGCTCTACATTATGGACAGCCTGTTCCAGAGTGCGGACGGAGAGATTGTCAATGTTTGGCAAGCACCGCCTGAAGAGCGGGACCCCTTTTCCGTGATCATCACAGGGGGCAAGCCGAGCGAGAGACGTCAAAACCAAGGCCGCACCGACCAAGAGTCGCGCAGCTGGAGGTGGCAGGATGTCCTCAGCATATCGAAGCGGCGGTTCTTGTTCCGCGATGTGGCGATCGAGGTCTTCTTCACCGATGGGCGAAGCTACTTGCTGACCGCCATAAACTCTGGCATGAGAGATGACATATACGCCAGGCTGACGGCCATGACGCCTCACACCAACAACGCGAGCTTGCTTCCCAATCCGGAAGATGCCTGGCGGCTCGAGAGCCTCAAGTCTCCTGAGGAGTCGCCACAGAGCTTTGGGGCCAAGTTTGGGAGTATTTTCAATTCGTCTGGGTGGAATCCCCTGATGAGGCGGTGGCAGAGGGGCGAGATTTCCAACTTCCAGTATCTGATGCTGGTGAACACCATGGCTGGCAGGACCTTCAACGATCTGACGCAGTATCCTGTTTTCCCGTGGGTCTTGGCGGACTACACCAGCGAAGAGCTTGACCTGAACAACCCGGCGACGTTCAGGGACCTGTCGAAGCCGATGGGCGCGCAGTCTCCGGCCCGCGCTGCGGACTTTGCGATGCGGTACAGGAGTCTTGCCGAGATCGGCGAGACGCCCTTCCACTACGGCACGCACTATTCCTCTGCGATGATTGTCTCGTCGTACCTCATCCGTCTTCCGCCGTTTGTGCAGTCGTTCATCTTGCTGCAAGGAGGCACCTTTGATCACCCCGACCGGCTGTTCTATTCCATCGAGGGTGCCTGGAATTCGGCCTCCCGAGACAATGGCTCGGATGTCCGTGAGCTGATCCCAGAGTTTTTCTACCTACCGGACTTTCTTACCAACATTAATGGCTACAACTTTGGAGTTCGGCAAGGGGGCGGCGGCAAAGTCGACAATGTCATCCTGCCGCCCTGGGCTAAGGGAGATCCGAAGATCTTTATCGCGAAGCACCGCGAGGCGCTGGAGAGTCCGTACGTCAGCCAGAGGCTACATCAGTGGATTGATCTCGTGTTTGGCTACAAGCAGCGCGGGGAAATTGCCGTGGAAAACCTCAACGTCTTCCACCCTCTGTCGTACAAGGGCACCAGAGACCTGGATAACATCACGGATCCTCAGGAGCGCGTCATCACGACCGGCATCATCCACAACTTTGGCCAGACTCCGCATCAGATCTTCACGAGGCCGCACCCGTCGAGGGAGCACGACCGGTGTCCGACCAAGCGGCTTGACACATCGATTGCAGCGCTGACAAGGGTGTCTTATCCGCTGCTAGGTATTTCTATTTCCTGGTTCCACCAATGTGTTGATGGGGTACTGACAATCCGCAGAAAGCCGTGAGCGAGTTGCCTCGCTCATCTACGTGCCCAAGCTTGACCGCCTTCTCTGCGCATCGCCGTTCAGGCTCAATCTCCCTCCACATTACGACAAGTTTCTGGAATGGGGCTACACGGACAACAGCGTGCGCTTTTTCCTCAGTGACAACAGAAAGGTAGGGCTTCGTCAGCGCGGTTCTAGAAAAGCGTTGATCAGCTAACCTCCTCCAGCCCGCCGGCCACTTCGAGAACCTCCACATTGGTCAGATCTCGACCCTCACCTTCGCCGACTCCAAAACTCTCGTCACGGCCGGTGAAGACTGCGTCGTGTCCGTATACACGGTGCAGTCCTCGCCGAGCAAGCCGCTCGTAGAGCTGCACCTGCGCTCCTCCCTGTTCGGCCACAAGACGCCCGTCACGCACATCGCCGTGTCTAAGGCCTTTAGCACAATCCTCACCGTCTCCCAGGACGGCGCCGCCTTCCTGTGGGACCTCAACCGGCTCGATTTCATCCGCAAGCTGCCCCTCGCGCGGCCGGCCGAGTGCGCGCGCATCAACGACGTGACGGGCGACGTCCTGATCTGCTCCGGGCAGAATGTTGTGCTGTATACCCTCAACGGGGAGCTGATCTTGGAGCAGAACGTCTGCGTCCCCAACCAGCACCACTCTTCGTTTGGGGGGCCCAACAACGACTTTGTCCACGCGTGCGCCTTCTACGAAGGGTCGGCGGGCGGCAGTGAGTGGATCGAGAACCAGCTCGTGTTCACAGGCCACCGGCGCGGAATGGTGAATGTGTGGCGGAAGACGGTCGCCCGCAGCGGCGGCGGCGGGTGGACGTTGGAGTTTGTGCGCCGGCTGGACCATGTCGACGTCAAGAGCGAGGTCGGCGCCAACGTCGAGGCCGCGATTACCTGTGTTGCGCCGCTGGCTGGGTTGGTGTACACTGGGGACGAAGATGGGCGGGTGGTAAGTTCTTTTTTTATTTTTACTTATTTGGCTTGTCATCCCTGTGTGTGGATTTGTGAGATTGCTGACTTTGACTATAGTGGGAGTGGAATTTGGTTCAGCGGGAGAGGTAGAGGAATGGGAGGAGGGAAACGTGGTGAGGGATTGATTTTCCAACAAAAGGGGATTGAGGCGGCCACGAGAAGGAGGTGCATTATAGACTAGGCGAGGACGTGGTGTATGGGAACAGGGCATGATTTGTAACCTGAGATACGTGGAGTCTTGGCTGGCAAGAGGTTTGATTGTTTTCCTGGGCCGGCCCTGCTCTTTGTTTCAGCATCAGGTTTAAGGAGTTGTAGAGTCTGGATGTTTATGTCTTTCTTTTGCATCGCCCATTGCCTCCTTTGGGCTGCTTTCCCCTGATTCAGCCTGTTCCGTGCTCTTCCAGGCCTCTTCTCTAGCTCCTGCCCACCCGTCAAAAAAGCCAACATGTACATAACCACAATCGTCCTCCACTGCACGGCGTATTATACACGCAATCCCGCCAACTGGTCTTGGGACCTTCCTGGATGTCGTTGTCTTCTTTCAGGGATTCCCTCACTCACTCCCTTTTGCTTGGATATCATCCACGCTGATCCCTCTCATTCCGTATCGTCGTCGTACCCCGTCAACTGCTTCCTCGGGCCCGTAGGAACTGCATATCATAAATCGCTACCGTTAGCGTCTCTCTGGCTGAATCACTGACAACCCAATCAATCCCCTTCTCCTTCTTCCATCCCCTTCCTTCTACCCAAGTCTCCGGAGAGTTTGTTGACTGGCTGTGTACTGTGTGTGCGTGTGTGTGCGTGTGTGTGTGTGTTTTGTTGGGGCAAGGGAAGTTTGGACAAACATACCGGGATAGGTCATGGGAATTGGCGCGGCGTCATAGTCGCCCAGTCGCCGGCGGATCGGGGGCACGGTGATGAGGATCGCGGGGCCCAGGGCGCCGATGAAGACGGCTGCGAAATAGCCTGGGCGCTCGCGCGCTGCCCAGCGGCAGTAGCGGAGGGGCCCGGCCCAGAAGCGGGGGGTTGTGCCGTTCATTTTTTTTTTTTTTTTTTTACTATTTCCTCGTGTCTTCTTTCTGGTGAGGTTGTCTTAAAGACGTTTCGTTGCTGGAGGACACTTGGGGGTTTCGGTGGGTAGCTGGTCGAGATTTGGAAGTGGCAGTCGCTGGATACGTACCTTGTGCTGTCAATTGCGGCGGCAGCAACACACACACTAGTCGTGCGAGCAGGACCTCGTTGTCGTCGTTGGAGCGCGCGAGCTGAGTTGAGGTTCCCGATGCGGCCAAACCGCGGCTAATTCGAGGATAGTTATTCACGCTGGAAGCACAGGCCAGCGAGCAGGGGAGCAAATGACGGCTGAGTGGGTCTTGGAGCTGAGACCCCCTGCCCCGTCTTGGCAAGGCTACGTATGCCGCATCAAAGGCAAGATCCAATCCCATCTATTTGCCTGAAGGAAAGCTGTCGCAGGGACGAGGCAAGCTTCCGTGGCATGAACTTGACGACTCCGAGTTTGCGCCTGTCTATTCTCCCACCCCTCCCTCCAATTGCGGCCGTCTAGGAGCGGGATCACTGTGCTCAACATGCGGTCACTCTTCTCGTTATTTCTCTTCCTGTTTGCAGCTGTTGTGTCGGCCATCAGCGCTTCGGGCAACAGGCTGCTGGTGATCCTGGAAGATGTCGCCGAGAAAACGAACTACTCCAAATTCCTTGGGGATTTAGAAAGTTTGTGATATGACTTCGGCTCTGCTATACGCTCTAGTCTAACAGTAGACAGGCAGAGGATTCCAGATCTCCTTCGAGGTGCCGAAGAGCGAGTCGCTGGCCCTGTTCCACCTCGGCGAGCGCAGTTATGACCATATCATCCTGTTTCCGACCAAGGCCAAGGGTAAACGGGACTATCAAACTCATACATTGGCATCGGTTTTACTGACACCCCTCCCAGGCCTTGGGCCCAACCTGACGCCCAACATCCTTGTCGACTTTATGAACGCACAAGGCAACATCCTCGTCGCCCTGACCTCCGACCTCCCGACCCCCACCTCCCTCGTTTCGCTGCTCGCCGAGCTCGACATCCAGCTTCCCGCCGACCGCACCGGCCTGGTAGTAGACCACTTCCACTACGACGCCTTGAGCTCTCCCGACATGCACGACGTGCTGCTGCTCCCGCCACCCAGCGCCACCACGCGCCCGGACGTCAAGGACTTTTTCGGCGCCGGCGCCGGCCGAGACGACGACATCATTGCCTTCGCGCGCGGGGTGGGCGCCGTGCTCGGATCCAGCGAGCTCCTAACGCCCGTGCTCCGCGCTCCTCGTACCGCCTACAGCTACAACCCCAAGGAGCAGTCCGAGGTGGTGGACGATCTCTTCGCGGCCGGCGAGCAGCTGGCGCTCGTATCGGCCTTCCAGGCGCGCAATTCCGCCCGCTTCACGCTGGTTGGTTCGGCCGAGATGCTGCAGGACAAGTGGTTCGACGCCGAGGTGAGCAAGGTGGGGGAGAAGAAGGCAGTCAAGACGTTCAACAGGGAGTTTGCGAAGCGCGTGAGCGGGTGGACGTTCAATGAGATTGGCGTGCTGCGGGTCAACTGGATTGAGCACCATCTCGACGAGGCGGGTGCGACGAACGAGTCGAACCCCAAGATCTACCGCATCAAGAACGACGTGGTCAGTATAACCGATTGCCTGGCCCCAACTGCTACCATACTGATATTTCCCTAGAAATACACCATCTCCCTCTCCGAGTACTCGTGGACAACCTGGAACCCCTTCACCCTCCCTGGCGACGACGCTCTGCAGCTTGAGTTCTCGATGCTCTCGCCCTTCCACCGCCTGCCGCTCACCCTCGACGCCGCCCACTCGTCCGACTCGGCGTCGGCCTACAGCGTGTCCTTCAGGCTGCCCGACCAGCACGGCATCTTCAACTTCCTGGTCAACTACAAGCGGCCCTTCCTGTCCAACGTCGAGGAAAAGAACACCGTGTCTGTGAGGCACATGGCGCACAACGAGTGGCCGCGCAGCTTTGTGATTAGCGGCGCCTGGCCGTGGATTGCCGGTCTCGGGGTAACGGTGGCCGGGTGGCTGGCGTTCTGCGCGCTGTGGATGTACAGCGCCCCGGTGGGCGGGAAGAGGGAAAGCAAGAAGACGCAGTAAGGGAGCACAAGTAAGGAATGTGTGTTGGGGTGGGGTATAGAGGGAGGTAGTTGTTCCTGTGTTGTTGATTCGTTCTGTACACAAGATACAACGTTCCCGGATGCAAGGCGCAAAATCTAAATTCCCCGAAGGATATGTATGAACAAATATGCATGAACCTTCTTGTGCACTCCCAGCCTACCCCATTGTCGCCCGAGGTGCTGCCGAGAGCGTCCGCTTCATCAGTCATGGACGCTCACACCCTCACCTCTAAGATCTAGCTTCTGACCTAACTGTTTACACACTATGTGACATGGAAGAGACACGGGGAATGAGAATGGAAAGGCGGGCAAATATCGGCAGGCAAAACAGAACCAAGGCCCTCAGATTAGCTCTCTTATGTTCCCACTGACAACCGACAGGCAAGCCAACTGCTGTAAGCCAGATCCCGTCTGCTGCCTGCAAATTTGGCTTTTTGGACCTTGGTCATCACCGGGCACGTTCTGTTTTGCTGCTGCTGCTGGAGTAGTCCCTGGCGTTCCCCATCACCGTTCCAACAGATACCGTGACAAGTACTTGCACAGAAGAAGAGATATGGAATGAAAGTTTACGATGCAGAAAGAACACTAGAACTTTCCGACACGTCAAAACTCCCTCCACCGAAACCTGATGGCACCCGCCACCTGTACCAAGCTGTTGAACAATTACTGTGTCCCCCCCCCCCCCCGTGCTTGCTGCTCCGATTGAAAACTACAATTTTTGTGGATCAGTCATTGGTGCTGCACAGACACGCCGGGCAAGTCCGGCGCCGGCGCACCTCGCATCGACAATATTGTCGTCATTGCAGGTCGCCGGGTGTTAACCACTTGGTATAAGGTCGGTGTACCAGGCTTGGTGGAGGGGAGAAGACGGAGGATCCCTGAAGAGAGGACGGGTTCTGATGTTGGTTCTGGGGTTGTGGTGATATAATAACGAGATATGGAATGGGGGTATAGTTTGGATGCGAAAACCTGCTCAGATATCCATTCTTGATCGCTCTCACCCTCGCCCTGGTCCCGGATCTGAAGCATATGCGGTGATATGTACAGGGGATAGGATGAGTTGAGCTTGGGGTGTCTTTCGTCACTGCAGTTTCTTGGGTAGGGGTTGACTTAGCTCTCGCTGGCGACGGGATATCGCTTGATATCATCTTGGCCGCGGTCGCGAGAGCCGTTGAGATAAAGCGGTGATCGAGGAGTGTCGGTTGCGGACTGCGACAACCTTATCCTCTGTAATGAATTTCATATGAACTCCGCACGAACACGATATTGCGTTGATGAAATCAGAGGCCGTTTACCTCCATGAACTTGTGAGGTTGAGAAGGGAATCATGGTCGGTGGGGAAGAACACGATCTTACCTCACCTTGGAAACGCGTTTGATGCCTGATAGGCTGATACACATCAAGTGGCTGTTGTGGGGCTGCGGAGGGCCTATGAAGCTCGCGCCACAGTGGCACTCAGCCTTCAACAAGGCTGTAAATTTCCAGATCCGGCCACTGGGCAGCTGTTCAAACATCTCCTCCCGTCTGTCGTCAACACCGAGCAGAAAAGCAGCCCAACCCACAGCTTGCTGGCACATCCCCCTACCTCACACATAGGCTTTTTAGCAACAGATCAGTCAAAATGGTAAGAAAGAGCCGTTACAAACACATCACGTCCACTACCCACTCCCTTTAACTCCTCCCAACAAATCCGCTAACCTTTTACCCCCGCCAACCAGGCGCGCAACTCCGAAAAAGCTCAATCCATGCTCTTCCGCTTCCGCGAAGCACAGGCCGCCGACTTGGGGATCATCGACGCGGGCCGCTCCCGGCGCCCGCGCGCCATCACCGAACAGGACAGCATCCCGGCGTGCGAGAAGTGGCGCGGACAAGTCCTCAAAGAAATCTCGCGCAAAGTCTCACGGATCCAGGACCCGGCGCTGTCTGATTATCAAATCCGGGACCTCAACGACGAGATTAACAAGCTGATGCGCGAGAAGCACATGTGGGAGGTGCAGATCCGAAATTTGGGCGGGCCGAACTACATGAGAGCCGGTGGGGGCAAGGTGTATGACGAGGCCGGGCGGGAGATAGCCGGCGGCGGTAAGGGGTATCGGTATTTTGGGCGGGCGAGGGAGTTGCCTGGGGTCAAGGAGCTTTTTGAGGCGGCGGCCAAGGCCAGGCAGGAGGAGGAGAAGCCGTTGGAGGAGAGGGCGGATCTGAGGCGGCAGGTGAATGCGGCGTATTATGGATATGCGCCGGGGGAGGAGGATGGGGAGTTGTTGGAGTATGAGAGCGCGAGGGAGAAGATGGCGTTTGAGGCCCTGGCCAAGGCGGGGCCGGCCGAGACGCCGCCCGGTTGGGAACCGCTGCCGGGGGATGTTGGGGATGGCAGGGTGTGGGAGCTGCCTACGCTGGAGGAGGTGCAGCAAGAGTTGATTGATCGGAGGAGAAAGAGGTTATTGGATCAGCTGTAGTCGGGACACCGGGTGTGGTTCTGTAGCATTTCCATGGGCTGGGTTTGGCGTTGGCGGCGCAAAGGGAATTGAGGGGAATCGCATCCCCGGAGTTCCGTTCGAGAATAGCTGGTGTGTTTGAATGATGGTAATTGCCGTGTTTCTCGTGAGATTGAGCCAGTTGTACAACAACCGAGCTCAAGAGTCTAACCCACAGGTGTGTGCAGATACAGGTGTGTATGTTCAAGACGCAGACTCGGCTCACAATTTACCATCCAAATTCAACGCCGAAATACCCAAACAAGTGATTTACATCTAGCGCTCACCGGGAAGAAGCAGCTCCCTGGGCCTAACAACGCTTCGGCCAGCTCTTCTCGATCCAACCAGCCATCAACTCCGTAAATGTGCCCTCAACATAAAGCTGGACATGCTCGCGACTGTACTCCCCACCGAGCAGCCTGAGTGCGATGAGCACCCAGGGCGTGATAAAATCCATGAAGACAAGGTCAACAGTCTCCGGTTCGCCGTCCGAAGGAAAGTCCACCTCGGCCTGTATACAGTTGGGCACAACGTAGAAATTGACAGGAAGATGCACGGTATCGTCGCCGTCGTTGCCGATATCGTCCCTGGTGGTGTAGCCCTCGGTCAGCCGAGGCCGCTGGCCAGCGCCCTCGCCGAGCGGCTTTTGAGGGGCACCGCCCAAGTCATCACCAGACGCGAAGGAAACCTCGTTGTTGATGATGGACTCGTGAATGACGAGCTGCTCAGGGATGGCCATGAAGCGGTTGTCCGGCGGAGTCGACGATGCTGTAATCTTGCCGGCGTTGTTCAGCAGCTTGATGACCTTGCGAGCCATGGCGTAAGGCACATCGGGAATGTATGTCATCTTGCTAAGGAAGGGTGAGACGATGTAGGTGGTGTCTCGGGTAAACGGGCCCTTGAAGATGTCGAAGCGAATGGAGCCCGTATTGACGATGGCTAGGCGGGGCACGTCTTTCCTGCGGGGGTTGACTGCCACGTCCGGGAGCACCTCGTTCTCGATCCAGCTGTAGATGCTGTTCTGTCCCGGATAGGGAGAGCGAGACATCCAGAGGGTCTTCGGGGCGCAGCCAAAGGCATAGTCGAGGTCCAGTTCGGTACGGGCTTTGGTGATCATAGCCGACACGTTGCGGCCGTGCTCGGTAAGGAATGAGGTGGCATTGAGGCCCGTGTGATGGTGCAGTCCCAAGAGGTTGTTGTCGATGTATCTGCGGTGGAAAGACAAGCGAGACCTCTCGGAGCGTGCTGCTCTCTCCAATTCGCCGTCGACAGACATCCAGCCGATAGTCTCGAAGTATCTCCCGCTGGCTACCGCAAACGACCGCGCATCGTAGGCGGTGGCGTCGCGAATATGGACATGGCCGCCAAAGAAGAGGATGGGAGTGAGAGGGTTCAGCTTACGGATCTCCCGAAAGATGGTCTGGAACTCGGGCATGCGCACTCCGACATGTCCGATCACGACGAAGACATCTGTTTCTTCCCTGACGGCTTCTTGAAACCACTTCTCCTTGACGGTCTCTCTCACTGGCTGGACAACTGTGTTGTTGGCGTTACCGGTAAAATCGAAGAGGAAGCCAAAGGCGACAATGTCGAGCTTCTGGTTCTTGGTCTGGAACTTGCGGTATCTCTGGGCCATGGGCATCCTCTCACCAGACCTGGTATCTATGTAGTCGAGGTTGGAGGCGATGTACTTGTCCTTGAAATTGGGAACCGTGTGCAGGTGCTCCCGATCGGCCGTCGAGGCAATGTAGAGCTCATGGTTACCGGTGCATATGATGTCGACATCTTGTTGACGGTAGATGTCGTAGTAGTATTTGCCCTTGGGACTGGATGCATCGTAAAGGCCGTTACCCTCCACACGATCGCCAGTGTCAACAAGCAGGAGGTCGACGCCATCCATGTCGGCTTTTTTGCGCATGTGCTCGGCAAACGAGACATAGTCGCCCCAGTCGGCCGAGTACTGTGGTTCTTGTAGATGGCCGCCATGCCATCCGTGAGTGTCTGTGGTGTGCAGGAAGTTGAGCTTGCCCCATACCAGGTCGCGCATTGGCGCAGGGACCGGTTCGGCTGCACCAGGCTGCGCCGCGGCCGCGATCCGGGCAAGCGCTGCCAGAGCACCGCCGAGGACGACAGCCTTGGACGTCATTTCGTCAAGGAAGTTCGTCGCGGATGCCACAAAGGAGTCTCGGGGATTGCTCGACTTGACCTTCAGAGGGTATTGAATATCTCAGACTTTCCCCCTTCTCATCGATCATCCAGGTGTTGTTGCCTTGTCGGCGGCGGGTCGGTCGTCACAAGCTGAGGCTCTCAAGGGACCACAAGGGTCCTCAGGTCCCAACCGGGGTCCCGGCAAGGGTCAGGTGCCCCTGGCAGCGGACCCGGTTTCCCGGGCCGGTCTTGGCAGCCTGCGGGCCTTTGACCCTGACAACCTCCGACCGGAACAACCACACGCCTCAGTGTTCATGGATTCGACCATCGTGCCTGAACGTGAAGGCAGAATACCTAAGCTTTGGCGGGAATTTGGGGCATGGCATAGGTAAGCCTTGCACAGGGCTTCTCTTGAGGGCAAGTCTGGCTCCGTTCAAGGTTAATTGGATGATAAGGTAGGTGGGCAAGACCGGAGCCTTGCACACTTCCATGCCAGAATTGGGCCAGAAGAAAAAAAAAAACCCCTGAGGCCTTCTGTAAGGTCTGTATGATAGGCATATATCCGGGCTGCCCGGGTCTTTTTTTCCGCACAAGACTTCTAGGTGCAAGGCTTAACCTTCACAGGGCACTTTGTCCCTGGGCAAGGCTTACGCGCTGTCCCATTTTCCCGGAATTGGTAAGGTAGCCCTCGAAAAGCAATACAATGCAACATTGGATCGCCTTCCAAACTCGGAGTCGGGGTTGGACTTTCAGTGGAGCCAACAAGCTGTCTGTTCCCGAACGGCCGACCCCGCGAGCCTTCCTACTGTGTAGAGCTGGGGCTGAGCTTCAAGCTTCCAAAGCTGCCCTGAGCTTGAAGTGACCTTGAAACTTTACTGGTTCCAAGCATCCCAACTCCCAGCTCCAGCTCTCAGCTTCGGGGACTTCCAGAACCAGATAAACCAAGATCGAACGAGGGATATTCGTCTCGGCACAGCAGGGCAGGTCACCGGTAACCTGGAGGGGACGGATTCTCACCCGCACCCCATGCAGGTCCTCGGCCGGGACTCCGCTCGCGTGCAGACTCAGCCTCCAGGAAGCATGCCAACATCTCGCCGAGCTCGACGTGGATGCGCGACGGTTGGTGCCAAGCCCCGGCTTGACCCCGCATATATTCCCCATACCCCTCCTCCATTACGACACATGCCTCTGCGCTTGTTTGTCCCAAGCCGAGCAACATGGCAGACATGGACAATGCAGCTAGTCGCCTGGCCAGTCAAGTGTGCAGTGTTGGCAGTGTTTGTCCAGCAGTCCAACCTTCGAGAAATCCGGACCCAACACAAGTCCGCCAATCTCCCGAGGGCTGGGTACACACCTTTTGCTCTAAATACGCTGATCCCCCTGCATTTCTCACGTGTTGCTCTCTAAACCGTACTTGAGCACGAGGTCAGCTTGTTGCTGATACTCTTGTCGCTTGTCACCGATATTGAAGCTTCAAATCGATCGACGTGTAGGGGTTGGCAACCAGCCCTGTCAGACCTTCCGGACTCGCTTCGTCCGACCTCATTGTTGTCTTGGCCCCAAGCTTCATTCCCTGTGCCGTCATTGCGTTTAGATGCACGCACCTCCGCTCGGCCATTTTGCTTCGTTGCTACCACCCGTCCACCCGTTCCCCTCTTGACCTTTCCAGCAACCGACTTCTGCACATGGCCGACATCATGATGACTACTCCCATGGCTGACGATGTCTCACGGTATGCACGCCCCGCAAGGGAGTCGCTGAGTTCTGAGGATTTTGAGACGGCGTCCATCCGCTCGGCCGCTCCGTCGTACAGTACGTAGCACCCTGCTAGTTAAGCTCCAACAGCCCGTCCTCCGAGATCCTCTTTTGCCCAGGATCAAGAACGTCCCCTTTCTCCAATCGCCTACACGTACTAACCGAACCCCCATTAGCCTCCGACGCTCCCTCCTACCACTCAACCAACCCACACCCCGACCCCCTCCCGCCCTACTCGCCACCAGCCCGCTCAACCCCTCCAACAACAACCACAACAACAACCCGCCAAAACAGCAGCGTCTCCTCCCTCCTTGACCCAGTGCCTTCCCCATCCTCCTCCTCCACCACCACGACCGCCCCGCGGCGCTACGGCCTCCCCCCCGTTCCCACCGGCCCACCACCCCAGGACTTCCCCTCCCTCTCGCAATTCCGCATTCCGCCCTGGTCCACCGCCAACTCAACATCCAACCCGACAGCCCGCATCTACCACAACGTCGCCCTTCGGCGCGCCGCCAGCGTGGCCAGCAGCAGCAGCAGCTCAACCGCCAACCTAGATGGGCTGATGCGGCGGGTGATGCTGGAGCGGATTGAGGAGGAGGAGCGGTACCATAACAGCCAGCAGCAGCGGGTGCGGCCGCTGGAAGATCCGTACCTGGTGGGCGAGGAGGCGGCGGCGCGGGCGCGGGCGGAAAGGATGGCGCGGGAGGAGAACTGGGGGGAGGAGGTTCTGATCAGGGAGGATCGAAGGTGGGATTGGTTTTTGGGTATGTTTCTTCTTCTTTCTTTTCTCCCCCTTTTCATTGCTCATCATGTCTTCTTGGACCCTTTTGGAGTGTTGGGGCGTGACTGACAATCTGACTCGGTGGGTTTGATCAAATCAGCTCAGATGAAGGACCGCGAAGAGCGCGAGCGGAGCTGGAAACGGTTCCGTCGCGATATTGACAGGCGGTCGAACAGCAGGCTTCCGTTCCGCATCGGCGCCCGTTTCTAGGGGGATGTTGGGCGTGCCTGGCGCATAGTTTTGAAGGTTGCTGTGTTTTGGCGCCATGTGTTGGAGGCTTCAGTTTTGCGCTGCGTTTCTATTTACTTCTTCCACTCCTTGCAGACCGTTTCGGCCTCGGGGCTTCATTAGGGTATTTTGCATTGGGCAGGATCGGGTTTTGTATCGGCCGGGGTGTTTTTGGAGTTCTTCATGCTTGGGTTTCAAGATTGCTAGGATGAGCTTGGTTTTTGGGAGGTCCTTGCATGTATGGACGATGAGACATGTTTTGCAGCCGGTTCTACTAGCAGAGAATGACAGCCAGCATATGCCACTTGATCTCACCCGGTAGTCTTGTCAGTCGGAACGGCGATACTACCATGTTTGAGTAAGGCACTGGAAGGTACTTACAATCTGCGTATTCTGATATAAGGGACGACGGTGCCCGTGATCAGCTCGGCAAAAGCAGCTCAGCCACGACAGAGGAGCGGAAGCCCAAAACTAATTCAATTCTCGCCGTGCCTGCCCTACCTCGTTCGTGACCCTCGAAAATCAAGTACACATCCGTCAACGCCAGGCCAAATGCTGCTAATGACGTCCCGCGAGCTGAATCTCAACTCCCCTTGTATACAACTTTTGTACACTACCCTGTTGCACCAAACTGGCAACCCTGCTGGTCTTAGCCCTTGCTCTTGGTGTTGAGGATGAGAGCAACGATGAGCCTGTGTGGTTGTCAGCGACCTGACCATGTCACTCTGGACTCGACGACCATTTCTTACCCGTAAAGCCCCAAGACTTCGCCGAAAATGAGGATCAACACCATGCCGACGAATACCCTGGACTGCAGCATGTATGACCTGACGCCCTTGTCGCCAACAACACCAATGCAGTAACCAGCGGCAAGGCCGGTAAGACCGACTGATAGTCCGCACGCAAGATGCATGAATCCACTGGTCTAAGTGTCAGCCCACCGACTGGTTCGTCATCACATCTGAATGTTGTTGAAGGACAAACTTGAACAAGCTATAGGACCCCGACGCCGGCGGTTGCAGGTCCTGGGCGATGAGGACGGAGATGACGAGCGAGTAGACTGCAATAATGCCGGACATGACGACGGGAATGAGACACTGCACCAGGAACCGGTTAGCGTGCCACGTTTTCCTTTCCCATGCCAGACCTTCGAGAGTAGGTTCCCACCTTCATAATCAAGTCCGGCCGAAAGGTCCCCACGCCTCCAATGCCAATGCCGGATTTAGCGGTGCCATACGCTGCGCCCATGCCTGCAGATGAGAGAAGTTCCGTCAGCCATCATCCGCCGATGTAACTGATAGTGCTGCGTCGACGCGGTCGTTCGGAAGGGTGGGAGGGTTGTCCGTACACCCGAATATCATGGCCGAGGCGATGCCGCCCTGCATACAGATTCAAGTCAGCAACTGGCTGATGTCGCCTTCGTGCTTTCTTGGGAAGCTAAGCATACCATGCCGATGAAGGGCGCAAACTTGGGGCTCAATTCTGACTCGGCCATCTTGGTTGAATTACCGGCACCGCTTATGGAGAAAGTACAAGTCGCAGTGCTTTCAAGTCGATGCGCAGATAGGTCGTGCCGAGGCTGCGCTCTGCTTGGAAGGTTGCCAGCAAGGATGGTTGGATGCGCGACGAGGTTCTACGGAGCTAACGTTTACCGCACGGCCCGCCTTGGAGGTTGCGTAGCCGCCAAGCTCAGAGCCAACATGTGCCGTCACGTGAACACTAACTAAACACTGAGTTGATGTCACGCCACAGAGCATGCTTTGGGCTGTTGCATCGGGACTCTTCAACAACTAAGGCCGCTGAAAACACTGAGTGCTAAAGGCCATGCCGCCAGCGTGGGCACTCCTGAAAGCAACATAGACGACGGGAACTAGTGAATGCCGTATCAAGTACATACAAAGGCAGGCGTTGTCAGTGAACCCTCTTGGCCATCTATCAATTCTCGTCCGCAGCCGATAACACGGTATTGATGCATTCTGCGATGCCGCAACTCTGCTATCCATGGTCGAGTGGTAACCTTGAAGAAAGCCAGTAGTTTTCGACCCATGACATTCTTCTCCCCCATTAGCCAACTCCCTCGTTGACCATACAGGTGTTCACCTTTGAGGTCTCCAAGTGCCAATACGGCACTGAGCTCATCAGGGACACAAACTGCGCCACGCCCCAGCGATAAGGTTACCACCGTACTCCGTACTGCGTATCCGTCCTAAGCTGCCCCGGTATGGTACCTTTCAGATTGAGGATCAGGTAAGGTACAAGTACCTCAGGTAACGGGAACTGCTGCCAGAGTGGGTCACAAACGCTCTTCCCCTGCAGTCCGTGTCCCGTTGCCGCGTGGCAGATTAGGCTCGTCGAGAAAACCGTCGCGAGTTGACCGAAATCAGGAGTTAACTATTGGCAAATCGCGTCTCAACCGGCGTCTTCCTCCCTTTGCATCCCGCCACTCAGTCTCAACTCGTCGTGCCTCCTGTGGCCAATGCGGCCTTCTTCCAGCTACTAGCACCCAGGGCTTCGTGCTCAAAGCGCAGCCCGCCCGGTCAAAAGTTGTCGATCGGCGTTTCGCGGCTTGTCCCACGGGAGCCAAAAATTATCGTTAAAGGGGGGAGCAAGCAAATCATCCAATAACGTCACCCGCTGCACAGAGGCACAACCGGAATCATCAACGATCAACCTCCTCCAGTCCCGCCCAACATCCCGACCGCCGACCACGACAGGGGACACGCACCGCCCGTTGCGGCCTTCGACGCGTCCCAACTTCCATCTTTGTTTTTGGACCTGGTATATCTCGAGCGTACGACGGGCGATCCCAGGTCGGCAGTAGTCGACGAGTCGGCGGCATCGGGACACGAGTTCGTCCATCCCATTTTCCTCTCTCGATCGATTCCGCACCTGCCGTTCTCCCCGGCCGCCTCGCAGTCAGCTGTGCATCGTGGGGTTGATGCAAGCGAAGTACGCCAGCAGTCAGTCACGTTACTGACACATGTCTCTTGGCAGTAGCCATGGCCGACTACCAGCGTGACCAGTTGCCGCCGCCGAGGCGGCCGCCGCAGCAACAGTACGGCGAAAGCAACTACCAGCGGGATGCCGCATTTTCCAGCATTTTCGGCGCCGCCCCTCCCCCCGGCCGCTCGCAGACTATGACCTCGTCCGTTCCTCCGCCCCAGTTCATGCAAGATGGACGCACCCACACAATGTCGTCCACGACATCGACCATGTCGGATATGCGGGGGCCGCCACCCCAGCGACCTCCACAACGTCCGCCTCCAGGAGGTGATTATCGTGAGCAACCCGCTCCTCCTCGGCCGCGGCCCAATGATGCTGGTCCGGCGTATGGATACTATCAGAGCCAGCAGCGCTCGGTCTCAGGCGGCCAGCAGGTCCCATCGCCGCAATATCTCCAACAGCAGCAGCAGGCACGGCGGCCATACCCAGGCGGTCCGCCTCCCCAGCAGCCGGGCCCGCCACGGCTCGACCCTTCACGTGGAGCTCCGCCCCCTCAAGGCTACTACAATAATGCGCAACGGACCCCCCCGCAGCCATTCTACCCCGACCGGAGACCTGCGCCTGCTATGAACTCGGACCCATATCGATCGCAGTCGCTGGCTAACTTCCCCCGGCCTCAGATGCATCAGCCTCCACCACAGCCTTATCAACAGCAACAGGTGCCGGCCAACGCCTTCCGACATGCTCAGTACAACCAACATTCGGCCCGGACCACGGCGCAGGGGCGTGTCGTTCCGGAGCGGCACATGGAAGACCGGTCTATGACCATGACTGGCTATCCTTCGCACGACCGAGACGCGCATCAGACCATGAGCGGCCGTGTGATTCCGAACAGAAGACCGGTTGGCGCCGTTTCCCCGCACGCCGACTATGGGGGGAGTCATGGCTCGCCAAACCCCGGGTATGCGTCTGGTTACGGTCCGCCGGGGTCTCAAACAAGGACCACCAGCGTGGCGTCATCAATGGGCCACGACAGCACAAGGTCTATGTCGATGGCCTCCACAATAGCGGCCCCCTCGATAGCGCCGAGTGAAAAAACAGACACGCAGACCCTCGTGCAGCGTACGTCGATGAGCAACTCGGTCAACGGCGAACGCCCGCCCACCGCCAAGATAAGGCCACCCATCGTTTATCCTGCGCTCCTCTCCCGCGTGGCCGAGTGTTTCCGCCAAAAAATTGTCACGGGCGACCGGACAAAGAACGAGCTCACCTACAAGAATGCCTTCAGCGGTGCCGAGGCCGTCGATGTTCTTTCGTACATTATCAGGACTACCGACAGGAACCTGGCGTTGCTTCTCGGTCGGGCCCTCGATGCGCAAAAGTTCTTCCATGACGTGACGTACGAGCACCGACTTCGCGATTCGACCTATGAAATGTACCAGTTTCGGGAAACCATGACGGAAGAGCCTGAAGAGAAACCGGCTGTCAACGGCGTCTTTGTTTTGCTGACCGAATGCTACTCGCCCACGTGCACGAGAGATCAGCTGTGCTACTCGATCGCTTGCCCACGACGACTGGAGCAAGTGTCACGGTTGAATCTCAAGATGGGCCCTGGCCTCAAGAGGGAAGGGGATGTGCCCGTGAATGACGACGACGCAGACCAGACGGACGAGCAGAAACTGTGGATCAATAGTGTCTCCAAGGAAATTGCCGACAGCATATCCGACCGCGAGAAAAAGAGGCAGGAAGTCATCTCGGAGATTTGCTACACAGAACGAGATTTCGTCAAGGACCTGGAGTACCTGCGCGACTTCTGGATCTACCCTCTGAGAGGCAAGATCAACGGCATGTCGCCCATTCCGCCTCAGAGGAGGGAACGGGTTGTTCGAACCATCTTCAGCAATATTATCGATTCCCCGAGTATTCACGGCGTCAGCTCCAGGTTTGCTAGGGCCTTGACCGAGCGGCAGCAAAAGACCCCGGTGGTCAAGAGCTTGGGCGACATCTTCCTCGAGTTCGTGCCGCAGTTCGAGCCATTCATCCTTTACGGGTCGAGGCAGCTCGAGGGCAAGTACGAGTTTGAGAACGAGCGCTCGATCAACAAGGACTTTGCGAGATTTGTCGATGAGGTGGAGCGGCGGAGAGAGTCGAGAAAGCTGGAGCTCAACGGCTACCTGACCAAGCCGACGACGAGATTGGCTAGGTACCCGCTTCTCCTCGAGAACGTGCTCAAGTACACGGAGCCCGACAACCCGGACAAGGAGGACATTCCAAAAGTCTTGACCATGATCAGAGACCTTCTGACCCGGGTTAATGCCGAGTCCGGCAAGGCCGAGAATCGCTTCAACCTGAGGCGTCTCCACGAGCAGCTCAGGTTCCGTCCGAATGAAAAGGTGGATCTCAAGCTTACGGATGAGGGCCGAGAGCTGGTGTTCAAGAGCCAATTCAAGAAGACGCCTACTGAGAATGCCGACATTACCGCCTTCCTATTTGACCACGCCGTGCTTCTTGTGCGCATCAAGCAGGTGGGCAAGACGGAGGAGTTCAAGGCTTATCGCAGGGTGAGAGCTCCGATTTACTCGATGCATGTGAAGGTGATGCTAACCAGACCAGCCTATTCCGCTGGAGCTGCTCTCGATCAAGGAGATGGAGGAAGTGATACCCCAGGCCGGCGCGGTGAAGCGCTCGTCATCGAGTCTTCTCCCGGCCCTTCGCACCCCTAGTATCGAAACGAAAAAAGGCGAAGGCTGGCCAGTTACGTTCCGCCATCTCGGAAAGAACGGCTACGAGTTGACTCTGTATGCGTCCAATCAGTCGGGACGACAGAAGTGGCTCGAGCTCATCGACGCGGCCCAGCAGAAGCTCAGGGCCCGGGCCGACTTCCTCAACACGACCGTCATCACGTCGGGCTTCTTTGCTGGCGCAAATAAGGTCAACTGTGTGGCACCATTCGGTAAGCTTCTTTTCGTCGGACTGGTGCAGGGCCTGGCCAAAGTACTGACGTTCTTCCAGACGGCGGGCGCAAGCTTATTTACGGAACCGACAACGGCATATACATGTCAGATCGCAGGTCCAAGGATAATGCGACGCCCAAGCGTGTTATCGACGTGCCTAGCGTGACGCAGGTCGATGTCCTGGAGGAGTATCAGCTGCTGCTTGTGCTCTCGAACCGGTCGCTCCTGTCGTACCAGCTCAGCGCCCTAGATCCCAACGAGCCCATCTCGTCCAAGCGGGCCAAGAAGATCCAGAGCCACTGCAACTTTTTCAAGACGGGCATCTGCCTCGGGCGCCACCTGGTGTGCTGCGTCAAGAGCTCGGCGCTGTCGACAACCATCAAGGTCTACGAGCCCAACGATGCCATGTCGCGCACCAAGAAGCAAAAGGGCCTCAGCAAGATGTTCAACGCCGGCCAGGACGAGCTCAAGCCGTTCAAGGAGTTCTACATACCGACCGAGTCCAGCTCGGTCCACTTCCTCAAGTCCAAGCTCTGCGTCGCGTGCGCACGCGGGTTCGAGGTGGTGTCGCTCGAGACGCTCGAGACGCAGTCGCTGCTCGACCAGGCCGACACGTCACTCGACTTTGTCGCGCGCAAGGAAGGCGTCAAGCCAATCCACATTGAGCGGCTCAACGGCGAGTTCTTGCTCAACTACTCGGAATTCTCGTTCTTCGTCAACCGCAACGGCTGGCGGGCCAGGCCCGAGTGGCGGCTCGACTGGGAAGGGTCGCCGCAGGCGTTTGCCCTGTCGTATCCCTGGATCCTGGCGTTTGAGCCGAATTTTATCGAGCTCAGGCATATTGAGAATCTGGCGGTGCATATTGTGCCGCATCGGAATATCCGCATGTTGCATACTAGTACACATGAGGTGGGTGTTCTCCTCTTTTTCCAAATCTTCAATTTACTTTGGGATCTTGGTTTGCTAACGGGTACAAATCATAGATCATCTTTGCGTACGAGGACGAACGCGGCGAGGATGTTGTGGAGGCCATTGATTTCTGGAAGAGCCAGAGGAAGTCGGAGATGTATCCCGCCGGTGTCAACCCGGGGTCGCCGCCGGGTAGTTCGGCGGGCCCGCCGCGTCTGAACTTGGGGCAATGAGGTGCGTCAATGATGGTCGGGGGGGCAATTACTCTATTGAGACAGGGAGGCATGAAGGGCTGGCACGCCGAGGCGAGGCACAGCTTGGTCGGCTGTGTTGCCGCCGGGGTCCGCGAGGATTGTACGCGGTTTAGGGGAGTTCCAATACGCCACCAACCCGGGTGGCCTCAATGAGGTGCGGGTGGTGGGACCTAATTCGGGTTTTGTTCAGGTTTAAACGAGGCTTGGGGGCGGAGCGGGTGAGCTAGCCGCGCCCATCACAGAGTGACTCGTCAGGTGGAAGGAGCCGCTCTTGATCTCGCAAATCTAGTCGCATCTTTTTTTCTTGGTTTACTGCGGTCTTGTTGCTCTCTTCAGGCCTTTGAGTTGTGATCTCATTCCTCAGTGTCTTGTATTATGAGCGGGAAGAAGAATAAAGAGAGAGGGTCATTGTGTATCTGGTGGCTCCGGAACTGACTTGCCTCGTTGGAAGTAAGTGACGGCCACGTCCGATTCTATCCTCATCGCTTATACTTGGCTCTTCCTTTCTACCGCCCTAAGACCAGTAGTATAGGATGGAAGGTTGAACATCAAATGCTGACGCGGTCCATGCCTTTGACGCCAGGACGCCAGGGGAGCTCTCAGATGGCGACACCGCTGCAAATGTTCCTCCTGCAAGTGATCTTGGCAAGTTGAATGTGTAATCAGCTTCCCGCTCTACATGTTTTCTTAGTTTCAGGGATTTCGGTCTTCGGCATTGAGAGCACGAACTCCTTGGCCAACGCCCAGGTACAGCGACTGCAGCAGGCAGATACCTAAGATGTATATACTGACACTTCTCATCCGACAGCCGACGCGCATCTTGCGTCTCCCTCCCGACCCGAGCGGCCAAGGTCAACTCAGCTTGATCTTTCCCTGGAGAGTCTGCAACACCGCATCCGCTACTGCAAGCAGCCTGGCGTCGTCCCAATATTGCCCGATTAGCTGCAGCCCTGCTGTGGCAGCGTTCTCGACAGCATCTCCTGCCGTTCTCGATGCGACGGGCATCGGGATGCTGATCGCTGGCAGTCCCGCCAGGCTTGCAGGGACAGTGAAAACATCATTCATGTAGGCATCCAGCGGCGTCTGGTTCATGACATGCTCCAGCCTCGGTGCCAGCGCTGGTGCAGTAGGGCACAATAAGAAGTCGACCTCTTCTGGGCCCCATTTGTCTTCCATGTCGATGCTCTCATTGAGATCGGTAAGATCGAACGTTTCCCTCTCGTGAAGCGGATTTTCAAGCGCAAAGACGCGGTTGAAATCCTTGCGCACCAGCCGGCGCACCCGCTGCGCCTTGATAAAGTAGTTGTCCATGGCCTCGGAGCTGAGCGTGTACGAGCCCAGCAGAATGCGCCGCTTGACCTCGTCTCCGAAGCCCTTGCCGCGATTCGCCGCGTAGAGAACACCGCCGAGGGAATCGCTCGCGGCCTCCGTATCCCTTGCGCCGTACCGGATTCCGTCATACTTTGCGAGATTGGACGACGCCTCGGCAGGGGCAACCACGTAGTAGGCCGCCAGCGCGTGCCGTGTCGAAGGCAGCGAGACGGGCACCGCGCGCGCGCCGAACTCGTCCTGAAGCGTCCTGGCCGTCTCGGCCCAGGCGTCTCGTATCCTCGAATCCAGCTCCTCGATATTGTACTCCAACGGTATCCCAAACCGAAGCCCCTTCAACACCTCCCCACCAATGCCTGCCCTTCTCTCCTTCCACCACCCAGAGGTATTATCATACCCCTCCCTTCCCCTCGCGCACCTCCTCCTCGCAGCCGCCGAGAGACTAGTCGGATCCAACGCATCATGCTCCTCCCATAACCCTCTACCACCACCACCACCATCAGACCGCACCCCTACTCCCCCGCCTCCAATGACCAACTCCCGAATCCTGCCCACGCCCCTAGCCAGCAACCCGACGGTATCGAGCGAGTTAGCATACGGCACGACGCCAAACCGCGATAGCATGCCGTACGACGGCTTGTACCCGACCACGCCGCAGTAGGCGGCAGGCAGGCGCACCGAGCCGCCCGTGTCGGTGCCCAACGCCACGTCGGCCTCGCCCGCGGCCACGGCGACGGCGCTGCCGCCGGAACTGCCGCCCGCGGATAATAATAACAACGGGGACGACGCTTCTTGGGAAGAAGAAGGAGGAGGAGCAGGACCGTCGTGGTGGTGGTTGGCTTGATGTTGTGGTGGTGGTTGTGCTGGTTGTTGCGCGACGGCTCCAAACGCCGAGTGCGTGCTGTGGCTGCCCATGCCGAATTCATCGAGGTTGGTCTTGCCGACGACGCGGGCGCCCCGGGCGCGGAGCTGGGAGACGATGGTTGCTTCGAAGGGGGAGTGGTAGGTGGAGAGAAAGGGCGAGGCGCATGTTGTCGGTTGGGAGCTATCCATGGTCGCGATGTTGTCCTTTACTGCGAGGGTGAAGCGAAACGGTGGGGTTTGTTCCTGGGGGGGTTCAGGAGCTGTTGGGGAGAGACCAGTCAGTCAAGATTGAAGTTGGCCTTCTGGCAGGAGAGGGATGGGAAGGGCACTTTTGGAGACAAAGTGATTCAGCAGCCGGCGCTGCTGTCGATTGGAGGAGCACACATGGCGCAGATGGAGGCTTCGGGGCCTCCCTCTGGCTGACATGTGGTGATTCCACTGCTTGGTCCGTTGAAGCTGTCAATTGAGCCGTCTTGGAACTGCGGTCATGTTGGCTGCGTGTGCCGATTCCAGGACACGTCCTCAACCGATAACCGGAAACACAATGATGGGTTATTGATAAGGGTTAGGGTTTAAAAGCTCACCGCCGTTGCCAAGCTCGAGCCAAGCTGCAAAGGCGGCTCACTGACTGATCCTGCGCATGTGCTTACTCATTGTATGTGTGATGTCATTGGTGCTGGTGACATGTGAAACTGAAATCGTCCTCCGTGCTGAACGAAGCATTGGCTTATGCTAGTACACGAATGCATTGATACGCACCCGGCCTGAAAGTCCTGTGTACACGAGGTGCATTGATGATAACTTCCGAGGCTACATGGAATTGCCTGGCTTAGGCCATATCTGATCATTATTACTCAAGCCTTCATGCCGAGGCCTGTCGGCGTTGCTGGCACCCTCATCAGGTCCAGCCTCAATCCCTGCTTTGTAAGCCCACACATGAGTCCACAACCTGATCTGCCTGTCATCGTGAAGCTTCACAGTCTTGAGAATCTAAAAGCCATCATCGTCCCTCATACCCACCACCATCACAAAGTTCCTCTCCAAAGCTAATCGTAACCATCAGCCTTTTCACCAGCCCTCCTATCGTCTGGTTCATGGCCTCAGAACAAGAGCCCTCGGCACATCGTCCAATACCCTGAAACGAAACCGGAAAATAAAGCGGAACATCACCTCAGGTGTTGTCCTTCTGGCCGGCGCGACAGCTGCAGTTGCCTCGTTGACCCCGACCAAGAACAAAAACAATCAAGCCATGTCGTCCAAACTCATCCCTCAAAACCCGGACGAGGTCGTGGTTATCCGCGACCTCACACCCAACATCGTGACCTTTTCAGTACCTTTTCTCCGGTTCGGCAAATTCCCTATTGGTGGGCGTGGCACGTTGGGTACGATACCTCCATCCACAAGCGACACAACAGTACCTTCAGTCTAACCACCATCTTCATCTTCAGTCCGTCTCTCCTCAGGCGTCCTCGCCGTCTTCTCCCCCGTAGCCCTCACCGAATCCACCAAAGCCAAAGTAGCCTCACTAGGCGGCAACGTCCGCTACATTATCGCACCCGACATCGAGCACCACATCTTCCTCTCGGAATGGGCGGCCGCCTACCCTGGCGCCAAGCTGATCGGGCCCGAGGGCCTGCCCGAGAAGAGGCAAAAGGCGGCCCGGGACGATGCCAAGATTGGCAAGGAGCCCTTTGCCGTCGTCGTCACCAAGGAGAATTGCAGGGAGAAAATAAAAATCGGCGACGACTTCGACGCCGACTTTGACCTAGAATACGTCCACGTCCATCCCAACAAGGAACTCGTCTTCCTGTACAAGCCCGACCGCGTCCTCATCCAGGCCGATCTCGTCTTCAACCTGCCCGCCGAGGAACAGTACTCGCGGGTGCCCGAGCATCAAAAGCCCAAGCCTGGCGTGCTGGGCAAGCTGTTCAACAGCTTCCAGACGACGCAGGGCGACGCGATGGGCATGAAGAGGTTTCTGTGGCATGTAATCAGCCGGGCCGACCGGGAGGCGTTCAACGAGAGCGTGATGAGGATCGCGGGCTGGGAGTTCGACACGATTGTGCCGTGCCATGGCGAGACCATGGTGGGGAATGGGAAGGAGGTGTTTGAGAAGGTGTTTGCGTGGCATTTGGAAGGGAAGCATACGAGGAAGTGAGAGTGAGTGACGGTTGTTTTGAGGTCTGCATCGACTTTAAAGCAGGAGTAGAAGCGTAGCTCCGCATGGTATGCGCCATCATTCTTTCTTGACCTAATGTATAATTCCTGTTTGATCAGGCATATGCATGGTCCAGTACCGTGGTATTTGATGAGCCGCTCTTGGAATTTGCGTTGCATGGACGAAATCAACAGCATGGAGACGCTTGGACAATTGATCGACTGTGTACCTGTACCAAAGGAGCATCGATAACTGATCGTGCTACCAGGTAAACGGCAATGATTGAAAGCAGGTGGACTAGAATCTAGTCCGATAGGATAGCATCGTAGACAAAAATGTCATTCCAGGATTGGTCCTTCTTTTTATTGCTCGTAGTTGCACTCGAACAGACTCGGACCTTCAGTGACCCTGGAATGCTCATGTTGCCGACAGCTCAAGAAGACAGATCAACTATGTACATACCAGCACAAAGAACCATTCCCCATCTTCACCACCAACCAACCAACCTCCCAACCCACCCAGCCACACCACCAACCCAATCCCCAACCGCATTCAACAACCAACCCACACCCCGATGATGCCCAACCCCAACCCCAACCCCACCACCAACCGGCCGCTTCCACTCAAAAAGCCGATGCACCCCCTCCGAGAACCAAACCCACAGCGGCTGCGTCACAAGCCGGTAGTCCACCCGGACAGGCGACCAAGCCAGGTATGTCGGGCAAGACGCTTTCGCGGCCGTGAGATCCGCAACGTAGGCATACCGCCAGTCGTTGTCGGCCATCCAGATGCGCCGCTCGGCGAGCACGGCCACGTACGACAGCCAGGCGTAGGCCAGGAGGAGCGTCACGGCGGAGCCGACCATGGTGGATGCCGGAGGAGGGATTTGATGAGGCCAGTCGAGCTTTGGGGGTTGAAGTCGTGGTTGTGGAAGATTCTTCTGCGCGTCTTCTTCCTGGCTTTCCGCTTCTTGGAGAGAGGTATGGAAGCGACGGAGGAGGAGGAGGCGGCGGATGTGGAAATATGTGTAGGATAGGGCATAGGAAGCGAGGCGGTAGATGTAGCCTGGCAGACCGAGGGGGATCGACAGGAGGAAGGCGATTGTCGCGAAGACGTTGGAAGGTTGCACAAGAACCAGCATGAGGAGCCATGCGAACGAGGTGAGGATGCGGCAGATGGAGATCCAGGGACCCCACGACATGGAGAGGGCGCCGTGGCCGTGGTGGCCGTGGCAGGAGGAGGGAAGGATTGCTTCCGAGGAGATGGTCTTTTCTGCTCCTGACGGGGCCGTTCTGCCGCCGGCGCAGCACCCGCCCTTGACGGTCGAGTAGTAGATCCGCGGGAAGAGGCAACGGAGAAGCGTGCAGAAGCAGGCGGCTTCGCCGTGCTGGCTCGGTAGGGCCGACGCCTGGATCCTGAGGAGGGTTTCGGTCAGGATTTGCTCCGCTCGGTGGCGGTCGGAGGCGGCCTCGGAGTCGAGGAAGGCCTGGGTTTTTGCTCGCTTCTCATCCAGTTGCTGAATACGTCTCCCGAAGAAGACATGTTCCCTGAGGAGCTCGCGTTCGTGTCGGTCGATGTGGGCTTTGAAGGCTACCTTCCATCGCTCATCTACCTTGCTGGCGGTATTCCCCGGACGTTTTTGCAGCCTGTGGAAGGCCTCCAATTGCCTCCTGCCGAGAGCAACCAGCTTCATTATCCGGGACCTCTTCTGCTCTAGCTCGGCCAACTGAACTTCCTGAATGCGTATCCCGTCCTGCAGCTCCCGCCGTTTCTCCTCCATGAACGAGTCTGCTGTCAACTGCTGGATTTGGGCAATACACTGCGCCATCGCCGCAGTACCCTCCCGGCCTGCTGGGGCTTGCAAACTCCACGTGTCGCCAGCTTTCTCAAGGAAGGTGCCGACAAGTCGCACGGCCTCGCGTGACCGTCTGGAGCTGAGTGGTTGATCAGGGCGCCGTGCGCGGTACGTCTCGTATTGCTCGAGCAATCTTGATTGTTCCATCTGAAGACCTTGCACGGCGCTGATCTTTTTCTCAATGCCTCTCAGCAAATCTCCCTCAGAGTCAGAAGGCTTCGAAGTGTACTGTTCGAGTTTCAGCAAGGCTCTGAAGTGCATGTCGTGTACTCGGAGATCGATTTGGATACTCCACAGATCGATCTCAGAATCATTCGCCAGGTGCTCCTCCAAAAATCCTGCAAAAGCCGCAATGAGGTCTTCAGTCGGCGTATTGGGATCCAGGGACTTGAGCCCGTCGAGCATTATGTGGAGCTGGTTGAGACAGCCGCGGATAGCGATTTTCGCGTCCTTGTCGTTTGAGTCCTCGTTGGCCATCTGCGCTAAGTCCGCCTTGAGCTTGGCAAGGAGCCGTCTGACGCCTAGAAGATACTCAATTTCGTACTCGCCACCGGGGAACGTGATATGCCCTAACCCCCTGAACGAATAATGAGAACCAGGGCTTGATAAAAACGATGTTTGCGATCTCCAGCTGCGTTGGGAGGTAGCGTTGGCGGCGCCAATATAGATTGATGGTTGGCTGGCTTGTTCGCCGATGTCCTTGGAATTCGACCATTCTGAAGGCGCTTGTTGTCGAAGGGCATCGAGTTCGCATTGCAGCAACGCCTTTTCGCGTTCGACGGATGCCAGGCGCTTCTCCGCTTGTTTGCGCTCTTCATCCAAACCTTCGGCTGCGACAATGGCCCTCTCCAGCTCTGCCCAGAACTCTTGTATTTGCTTGACGTGCGTCGCGTTGACCTCCGCCATCTCTTTTGATACTCGCTCGACGGTGCCGTCAAACCTGGCCGTTAATTGATCCAGGACTGCCCGGTTGACTTCCACGGCTTTGAGCTGGCTGTCCACCATGTCGCGGATGACTTGAGTAGGCAGGAGAGGCTGCTGGGCATTTCGGGGCAAGGGAGGCAGTCCCGGATCACGTCCAAGCCCACCGAGAATACGGGCAAGCATGGCATGCAAGTACTGCACGGAAGTCTCGATGCTGTCAACGCCTTGCTTATATCCTGCATGTGCGAGGGCAGCCTCCGCACCCTGCTCATCAAGCTTCTGCTTGAGTTGTTCAAGTTTCCGCTCAAGCGCTGCGTATTGATCTGTGCGTAGCAGTCACTTTTGTCAGCTAATGACTCCTCTCCCTGCTGGGCCTGAAGGTGTGGCTCGCGCTTACCAGGCAAGTCTATCATCAGTTGGGTGTCTTCTTGGTTCCTCTTCAGGCTGAGCGCCCGTTCAGCATTGAGTTCGGCCTTGAGCGCTTGGTTCCGAAGCTCCAGTTCCTTCACCCTGAGCTCCAAGCCCGAGTTCCCCCTGGAAAGCGTCCCTTGTAATCTGGGCTGCTTCCTGGCCTCATCCGCTGCCGCTTTCAGCTCGTCGTATCTATCCTGAAGCTCTCTGTAGCGGGCGTTGTTGACTACAGCGGCAGCGCGGGCGTCGTCCAGGGCATCTCGAATCCGCTGAGACCAGGCATCATGGTCATCTCGGCCGCCGGTGGGTGATCGGGACGCCGCCGTCTCGTCCAACGGTTCCCATCCGGCGACGACGTCTTCCAGAACCTCACGTTGTGTTTGCTGCGCAGTTTCAAGTTCGGCGCACCTTGTCTCAAGCATGGCCGAGGCCGTGGCTAGAGTTTGGTTTCGTTCCTCCAGGCGTGCGATTTGCTGCCGAAGTTCGTTATTCTCTGCTTCGAACAACTCGGCCGTTCGGTGGAGATCTTCGTTCCGCTCAGATTCCTCACGCATCGCCTCTTGGGCTCGGGTGGCATTCTGCTGCTGTTCATAGATCTTGCTCTGCGCGTCGCCGAGAGCAAGAAGAGCGTCTACTTTGCCTTTCATAGCAACGTCGTATAGCTTCAGCACATTCCGCCAAACATCCTGGACAGCATGGCTCGCCTCAGCAATCTCTTTCTGAAGCATTTGATACGTGTCTGCCCTGTCCAGCATACCCTCATGGGGAGGCTCAGTCACGTCCTTCAAGAGAGTCCTGACCTGGGCATCCATTTCAGGCGGCCATGTTTCATACTCCGGGACATCCTCCGTCTCATTCCACCTCGGCATGTCCAGGTTAGCTATGTATAGGTCCCGAATGAGGCCAATGATACTGGCGTTTTGACGGCTGCCTCGAGAACGATCACTGTTGTTGCTGATGATGCTGGCGGCTGAGGGGCGGCGATCGGCTAGCATTGCACCACGTCCCAAGGCCCGCAGCAGGGGAGAGCGCGACGCCGCTCCTGGAACCGGTGGCCGCAAATGCGAGGCTGGTGATAGTCCAAATGACGACGACATTGGCGTTGACGGAGCCTTGATCCCGAACGGCTCTAGAGGAGATGCGGGAGGGGAGCACAGCCCTGCAGGCTTGTGCTCGCCGACTCCTTCGAAGTCCGGGATGAGCTGCGCATCGTCACCCAGACTACCAGAGTCGCCTTCATCTCCGGTCCCAGAAACAGAAGCGCCTATGTTGAAGTCGGGAATCGGGTCCAGCCTTCCCTCACCAGCTCGAGCGGCGGCGGCGGCGCTCGCAGGATAGAGTCGCCCCCTGGGCGAAACATCATAGTCTTCCGCCATGAATTCCAATTCCACGAGCAAGGACTGTGTCTCGCACGGCCGGGTTAGGAACTTGAACTCGGTTCAGGACCGTCAAGAAACGGCCGAATATGTTCAGATACTTGATAACTTGCAATGCGGTTGAGTTTGAGTGCGATTGCTGAGGAAGCCTGAACTTCAACCAAGACAAGGTCCCAAGCACATGCAAAGGGAGACAGGCCTTCTTGTTCGGCAAAGCTCGCGCGGTATATCAAGCCAATTGCTTCAGACAAACAAAGACTTTCCTGTCTGAATGTCGTTGCGGCACAAGCGTGGCGTACTCAACGCCAGACAAAGGAGCTCGTTTGCGCGACAACAGCACCGCCTTACGCCCCGAAATAGGTGCTGGATACGGAGTAACTTTGTTGTCAATAGACCAAATGCGGGCAAGGAACTGAAAGCTCGCTGTGCCATGTAGCAGACGGCACGTGATTTATCTAGACGGAGAGCAGTAGCAATTCCGACACGAGGCATACTATGAGTACCAGCCGCACGCGCCGGGCCCTTGTTGCATTTCCTCCTGTCTGTGCGGGATCATGGGCTGCTTTATATCGAATGCGTCGATAATATCTCTCCATGTTGCCATGTCAATCGACATGATAGCTTGGTGTCTCATGGCGGCCTTGGAACGAGATGGCTCTGCCGATGCATTTTTACGAACCGGCTCTGTTGATAGTTAGGTTTGCTCATCCATCTGTCTGCCAGGATTGCATACCGATAGATGGGAGACCGTCGTCGTCGAAGTCGAGTTTGACGCTCCCTTCTCGGATCAAGAAGCTGACGTAAAACATGTTCTCGACGGTCTGCCCGAACGAGAGCGGGTTGACGACGAACCGCAACAGGTCGATTCCTCCAGTGGACCGCAGCGCATGGCGGTCCATCAGCGCCCTCTCATCCTCGGGTGCGGCGCTGTCGCCGAAACTATCAAGCGCTTCTTCAACCGCATCCTGAGCTTCCTGCTGGGCCTGCTCCAACTGTACGTGGATCTTCTTGCAAATTGAGGGAAGGTCGTTCTTGTCCGACTTTTTCAGGTCTTCTGCCCTGAGCTCCTCTGGCCTGACCTCCTGAAGGCTATTAACCCTGAACGGTGCAGACCTCTTTGTGATTCTGCGCAACTTCTTTTCAATCGACAGAGGACCCAAGAGGAAGCCGGGGAGAGCAGGCCTGCGGACGGCGGGTATGCAAGCGAACCGACCCAGGTGGGCCCAGTTCATCATGTCGCCGTCGTCGCCCACCGCATCCTCGTCGTCACTACCCAAAGCGCCACGGTTCGGCTGCCTCCTCCTCCTCTGAGTGCTTGACAATTCGATGGCCTCATCGTCGTCGATCCCGCGGCCTTGCAGCATGTACGTAATGCACTTGGAGACGAATTCGTCAACATCGACACCGTTTCCGACGCTGCCAGACGTTAAGCGTTGAACTCTGCGTGCCGAAAGATCGGCAGCAATCACCAAACCACGTGAGTCAATGGCTGCCTCGGCGGTCTGCTTGACATTCTTGATGATCTGGTCGGATTGGTCGAGAAATTCGAGCAGTGCCTTGGGATCTGCTTGCAAAAACTCGTCTGGGTTCTCGCGCATCTCCTTCTGCATCTCGCGAAGGGTCCTCTGGATCTCTCGGCGCTGCTGCATCGACTGTTCCGGGTCGTACTCCTCGATATCGCTCCCGTCTTCTCCTTCGGGAGACGGATTCCGCGTCCGGCGGCGGCTGGTCGACGGCTCAATCCCAGTGTCCGATGTTCGCTTCCTTGTAGAGAAGCCAACGGCGCCCAAGGCATCGCCGGCTCCCCGAACTGCCAGATTCCGACGGTTCTCCATTTCTTCCGCGTCGGGAGACAGCGGCAATTGGTGGCGCGTTGCAATGGACGATGCGAGCGCTAGACGCTTGTTATGACACTTTCTTATTCTGGTGGGTCTGGATTGCAGGAAAAGAGGGTTATTGCACCTCTCAATACTACAATGGCTTTGTGCAGATTGGTCCGCCCGCCTTTGGATTTTGTGTTCTGTTGGCAAGTTTCCTCGCGTGGAGACCTTGGTCGCGTCGATGGGAGTTGAGGACGCGTCCACGGCCCAGTAATTGAGATAACAACCTGAAGGCTCTGTTGGGGTTGGAAGGCGTGGGGTAAAGACCAGGCAGGGGAAGCCGCGGCCTTGTGGGGCGTGCTCCGGCAGGGTGGGACATCCCAGACGGGAGCGACAGGACTTTTGGTTGCGGTTTCGGAAAATCCCTGACAATGGATAATGAAAACAGGACCTTGAAATGTTAAGTTCAGAATTACAATTATTCCTGTTTAGTGGGAGGAATAAATAGAGGGTTAGGGCTATATACGTGGTCTCCATCCGGCCAGCGCCATGTCGGTCTCCGACAGCTCACGACCCCCAAATTGGGTACCAACCCTAGTAGAGCCTATGTTTCCATTTCCCTAAGCATTTTCAAGGTAATTAATGTCGAATGAAATATTTTTAGATGTGGGTTGAAATCTCGTACTGGGAAAACTTCCATACGCAACCCTAACAGGGACAGCTGCCTGCCCAGGGAAGGAACGGAACTTACCACCTATAACATCGGTCGGTTGCCTCGGGTCAGGTACCTTACCTTATATTCCCTGTGTAAAAGGGACTTACCCTTCTCATCTTCAACCTCTTGGATCCCAACGCCAAAACACAGCACGCTCTGGTCGCGCGTTGCTAGAGACTGCACTCCAACATGGAGCCCTTCTCATTCGTCAGTTCCGACTCCCTAGAATACCCTGTGAGCATTCGAGTGTACGTGGGTTTCCCTCATTCTTAATTCCTAAGGTGGCTCATGAGACGACTGGGCGCAGCACCCTGAACACTAAACCTTTCGCCCTATGAACCATGTCGCTGACAGTCGCCTACTAAGAATCAACCTCGAGGGTGTCGAGGCTCCGCTCCGGTTTTCCACTCTTCTTGAGCACCCCGAACTCCGGCATATCGGGTCCAACCAAAGGTAAGACCCGCACGTTCTTCTTATGTGCTGCTCTGCGATGGTGCCCGAACTGAGTCGTGACGTACGCCGTCCAGTCCCCACTCAGATCTCTATATCACGGTCCAGGTGTGGGCCGGATCCAAGCCGTTGACCGTCCCGGTCCAAACCGCTTACAAGTCTTTCCGGACCGAGAGACGCTGGAACGAGTGGCTCACGCTCCCCATCACCTACTCAACCTTACCCCAGAACTCGCGCCTCGCCATTACCATCTGGGACCTGTCCCCGACCGGAGGCCAGGGCGCACAGGGGCACGCGATCCCCTTTGGCGGCACAACGCTTGCGCTTTTTGATAAGGACAATCAGCTTCTCAAGGGCCGTCAAAAGTGTCGTGTCTACAGGCACAGACAGGCCGACGGCAACGATGACACCAAAACCCCCGCCGTCCTTGCTAAGAGGAAGGCGAGGAAAGGGGAGCCCGAGGCAAGGGAGGTTGACGAACTAGATCGCATGGAGAAACTGTTTAAGAAGCATGAGATGGGCGAGATCCCCCGTGTCGACTGGCTCGACCAACTCGTCTTCCGAGGTTTTGAGAAGCGCGGCCTGCAGTCCGTCAAGACATCTCTAAAGGCAGCCCAACAAGCCAAGGTCGGGCAAATCGATGGCTTGAATGGTGGTGATGACGCTGGGTCTGCGCCAGAACCGTCAAGCTTTGTCCTGAACGTTGAGCTCCCAAGGTTCGACTTTCCGGTTGTCTTCGCCGACCACCAGTACCCGCCTCCACCTGTCTCGTCCTATCTACAACTTTCGTCGTCCCAATCAAACGTCATCCTCAAGCCGCCGCCTGAGGTTCAGTTAGGTCCGGGCATCAACGCGATGGATGATGATGAGAGCTATGGTGGACGCTTGATCCGTGTCTACGACCCGGAAGTCTCTGCGAAGGATAACCCGGCAGAAAGCAAGCACCGGAGGCTTGTCCGCAGTCAGCATCGGAATGGCATTCTGGACAAGGACCTGAAACCGAACGCCAAGGTCCGAGACGAACTGAACATGATTATGGCGTATTCGCCAACCCACATGCTGTCGCCCGAAGAAAAGGATCTCATTTGGAAGTTCCGCCATCATCTGACGCGCGACAAGAAAGCTCTCACCAAGTTTGCCAAGTCGGTCAATTGGCAAGACCAGTCAGAGTCGAGGCAAGCAGCGCAGATCCTCGGGAAGTGGACCGACATCGACGTCGACGACGCGCTGGAACTGCTGGGCCCCACTTTCGATAACCCGGCCGTGAGAGCCTTTGCTGTCGACCGCCTACGCAAGGCCGATGACCAAGAGCTCCAGCTGTACCTGCTGCAGCTGGTCCAAGCCCTCAAGTACGAACACATCTCGCCCCAGCCTGATCATGAGATAATCCAGGACTCCTCCTTGGCTCGCTTCCTCATCTCGAGAGCCGCCGACAACTTTACGCTTGGAAACTACTTCTGGTGGTACGTGATGGTGGAGTGTGATGACAAGTCGCAGGACCAAGGACCGGTGAACCAGGCCATCTACGAGAAAATCGCATATGACTTCATGACTGAGCTTGTCAAGAGGCCAGGCGGCGAGGAGAGCCGAAGGAATCTGAAGAGACAGGGCGAGTGGATCTTGGTTCTCTCCAAAATATCCGGCGAGATCAAGGAGTCGAATGAATCCATCGCCAAGAGGACGGAACGCGTGAAGCACTTCTTGGCCGATCCCAAAAATGAGCTCGTCACCATCGATCCGCCACTCCCGCTGCCTCTTGACCCAACAGTAGAGATTATCGGCGTTGTGCCGGAAAGCACAGTGGTCTTCAAATCTTCGCTGCACCCAATCAAGGTCTCCTTCAAGACCACCGCTGGCGGCGAATATTCCATCATCTTCAAGACGGGCGATGACTTGCGCCAGGACCAATTGGTAATCCAGATCATCACGCTTATGGATGAGCTACTCAAGAAGGAGAATCTTGACCTCAAGCTTTCTCCGTACAAAATCCTGGCCACCAGCACGACCGCAGGGTTGTCGCAGTTTGTCCGCTCCGCGAGCTTTCAAGCCATCTCGTCCAAGTACCGCAACAACCCGGCGCTCGCCTATCTCAAACAAAACAATCCCGACAGCCAGGGTCCCATGGGCCTGCGAAAAGAAGCCCTGGACACGTTCGTCAAATCCTGCGCCGGCTACTGCGTCATCACCTACATTCTCGGCGTCGGCGACAGGCACCTGGATAACCTCCTCCTCACCCCGCACGGCCACTTCTTCCACGCCGACTTTGGCTATATCCTGGGCCGCGATCCGAAACCGTTCGCGCCGGCTATGAAGCTTTCCAAGGAGATGGTCGACTGCATGGGCGGCTCCAATTCGGAGCACTACCGCCAGTTCAAGCAGTACTGCTTCCTGGCGTACAGCGCGCTGCGCAAGAACTGCAATCTGATTCTCAATCTGTTCACCCTCATGGCCGACGCGAACATCCCGGACATCAAGCTCGAGCCGGACAAGGCGGTCCTCAAAGTCAAGGAGCGATTCCACTTGGAGCTGGATGAGGAGGAGGCCATTCGCCATCTGGAGAGGATCATGGACGACAACCTCAATGCATTGGTGCCGGTCGTGATTGATAAATTGCATGAGTTGGTGCAGGCTTTCCGGGCTTGAAGCCATTTGGTCCGCGTTTAGGGGCGTTACGAGGTCATTTGGTTGTAGGGTAGTTTTTGAGCGTACTGTGTGATTTGGTTATTCGGTATGGATGCCTCAATGCGTTCTAATGCGCTGTCTCTGCAGGCGCTCTTGGTGTTGTACGGGGTTCTGGGTTGATGGCTGAAGCGGCCTTTTCCTGGAAAGCGGGTTACACAGAAAGCGATTGATACCGGAACCATAAATCTTCACAGTCTATCACATCTGTGTCCTGCGACATGCACAGACATGACTATATGTCTGCACCATCTATGTGTCACCAAATACAAACAGGCCCTTTCCGGGCCGGAACCCCTCCAAAGTGCCCTGGACAGCATCCTTCAGCGTCTTCTCCTCGGTGTCCCAGTTCCACTCAATCTCTTGGAACGGCGCCTCCTTGAACTTGCCCTCCCGCATCAGGTCCAAGATCTCGTTGACGGTGTTGCGCTTCTCGAGCGGATTCTCCTTGCCCCATTCACTAAGCCAAAAGCCCTCAAACCGCAACCGCTTGAATATCTGCGGCCCCGTGGGGAAGGGAAAGCTCTGCCTCGACATGCCTCCGTACGTGACCATGCATCCCTTAGGGCTGAGGGCCTTGACCATGGCCGCCGCCGACTTGCCCCCGACACAATTGAGCCCCAGCATCACCGGCTCCTTGCCACCCCGCGTCCACTCCTCCTTTAGCCTCGCCGTAAACGAGCGATCGAGAAACTCGCTCTCGGTAATCACGACAGTCGCCCCCAACTCCGTAAGCTCCTTCTTCAACGCCTCCGTCTCCTCAGGCGTCGCCCTCTCCCGAATCACGTTGACACTCCTCAACCCCCACAACCGCCCCAGCTGGATGACTGCTCTTCCCACCCCAGAATTCGCCCCATTCTGCACGAACCACGCCCCGCCGGTCGCGCCCTCCCCCCTCGCAAAGCTCTTGACACTCAAATCCACTAGGTCGACATAGTCCTTCAACATGCGGTACGCACTGCACGGATTGACGCTCACAGTCGCCACCTGCTTGGCATTCAACCCCTCCCTCCCCTTCTCCTCCCCGCCCACCTTGAACAGCCTCCTCTCGGCATCCTCGACAAGCGCGTGCGTCCGGAACGTCCCAAATCCCGTCGTCGCGGGAATCACCCAATCCCCCCTTTTTAGAGTGCTCCTCCCCTTCCCACCCCCGCCCACAGCAACGACCTCAAAACACCCTTCATTCCCCGGAACGGCCGCCGGCTCGGGCGTGCCCAGAGGAAGCTGCTGGTCAAAGGCCGGCTTGGCGCCGTAGGTGCCCTGAATGGTATTGACGTCGGCCGGGTTGATGGGCGCGGCGAGGGCGCGCACAAGGACGGCGCCGTCGGGTAGGGTGGGCGAGATGGAGTGCGTGTGCAGGCGCAGGACGTCGCGCGGCTCGCCGAAGCGAGAGAAGACAAGCGTCTTGGCTTGGGTGTAGCCGTAGGGTCCGGATTTGTAGCGGCGCGGCTGTTGAGAGAAGGGGGCCGGAATTGTTGTTGGAGGTCGGCGGCGGGTGCGGAGGAGTCCTCGGGTGGTGGTGCCGGTTGTGGTGGTGCCGGTTGTGGTGGTGCTGATGATGCTTGAGCCGAGGACGCGAGGGCAGAGGGCGGATTGAGGTCCGACGAGTGCCGCCATGTTTACTTGGTGGTTTTGAATCGCGGGGTTGGCTCGGTGTCTATGATCGAATTCAAGAAGTACGATGAACGATGAGGTTGCACAAGTTCGAGTGTACGACGGATACACCGAGCAGAGACTTGAAACCGGACCTGCGCGAGATGCGCTAAGAACAACCTCCAACCGGTATTGCGCTTCGGTCTATGAAATGGATGCTGAAACTGTCGATTGCTTGTTCCAGATCAGTCCACGACCAAAGCGAGGTATGGAGACGTTCCGCATTACCTAGGTACTTAGCCACGGTCGACTTTCGCTGTCGGCTCCGGTGGCCCGAGGGTACTCCGTATGACGTCTTGAGCTCATCTGACTCTCCACCTAAGCTTCGACCAATCAGGAACCAGTCTTAGAAGCTTCCACTGAGACCCTTCCCTCCTGACAGCTTTTTGACTTGGGGAGAATGGAAAAGGAGACGGCCTCGTCACTTCCCTCAGGAAGTTCTGATGGTCTCTGATTCTCTGTTCGCTGGAGTGCCGGCGGCGGGATAGCGCAGACAGCGCTTTCCAGGTTTCTTTGTATATTGCCTCATAACCAGGTACTGGACCATTTCACATCGTTGGTTCAAGCATTGTTGTCTGCGCCCAGAGGGCTCCCTTTGCCATGTGATTCAATATATGGTCTTCTAGCTCCAGACGCTGAGCAGAGTTCCATTCTTTTCTGGCCAGCCACAAGTGTGCCTAGTTGGCAAACGCTAAAACACTGGCTAGCCATAAGCTTCAGATGTCTGGCTATACAGATCATCATTCAATGCTGTGCAACAAGACGTCAATGACAGCTTCCCCCATATCGGTTACTCTTCTTCCTCTCCCGCAGGGCCATTTCGTCCCTCCTGGACTGCAAGATTATAGTGTCTGTAAGCAAAGCAAAGAGCTAGCCACCGTTGCCTCTTTCCCCACGAATAGAAGTGTACAAAGTGTTGTGTCTCAGGGGTGGGAATCGCTGTCGCCACAGAGCGCCACAACCATTGTCGAACATGATGAAAATAAAGGGAAACATGAGCAGATCTAGCGTTTAGACACGCTCTCAGCAAGCGGCCAAAAGACATGAAACATCTCCAGTACCACAACAGCTGCAGAGCATGTGGGGTAATATAAGCAGCAAAGAAAAAGTTTTCGTCAGATAACAACCATTTTCGTGAAGACAAAGGACGCAGAAAAATAGTCAAAGAAAGAAATTCAGCTGGGTATCTTGCGTTTGCAACTTAACAGCACCCCTTCAATTACTCTCGGCTCGGGCAGCATCATCTTCCGCCATCGTGAGGCCACTCAAGCTCTCGAATATCTCAATGGCATGTCGAGCTCCGCCATCGGATGACATGGCGTTGAGACATGGGCGACATATATGGATCCTAGTTATTTGATATCCTTGAATAGGTCGCTTCCGAAACTGTCGTCGTTCTGAATGCCTAGCTTCGACTTGAGCTCGCTCAGCTCAGGGATCGTGGGCGGCGGTGGGCCCGTCGGCTTTCTGTCGTCGGTGGCCGGCGGTGAAAGCGGGGTCACGGGTTTGGAAGGCAGGGCTTCGTTGCTTCGTAACCGACCGAACCAACCGCTCGAGCGCTTCGCCTTGCGCGAGTCGGCAACGCTAGCGGTGCCGCGGCTTTGGGGTCGCCTGTCCAGAGCGGCGTCATCCCCATTGGCGTATGCCGTATTCAACAGGCCCCGACTGAACAGGCGACGGATACTCCCGGGTCGGTTCGACAAGGTTGGAGACGTAAGGCTGTCCTCGGCGCGCCGCTTGGTGCCCGTTGTTGATATGTTTGATAACTGGGAATGCGGTGATGCCATCTTCAGGGTTCCGTTGGTCGCGCCGGCGTCTTCCTGTCGCGGCTGCTCGATCTTTGGCGTATCTGGCGGGGTTGGACCGGCTTTCTCTTGGATCGGCGATGGCAGCGGGGGGGGTATGTCAGTACCGTCCGTCAAGGAGCCGAGCTTCAAATCGAGAGCGGGAAGCTCAAAGCGTTTGGGCTTAGCAGTGCCCGTAGGCGCGACGGTGGTGCTGTTGGCACGGGACGGCATCGCTGCGCTGGGGAGAAACGAGAGACTGAGACCAAGAAGGGCCGACGGGCAGGGCGTGTGTGAGCGGTGTCAGAAGCCGATGAAACGAGCGGAGGTACGGCGTACGAAAGCAGCGACACGGGATGGGGAAACGAGAGCCCAGCGGAATTCAATGATCGACCGAGCGTTCGAAGAAACCAGCAGAAGCCGAACGGATCAGAGGCAGAAGACCAGGGCAAATCGCCTCAAACTTGCAGTCTGCGCTAACGTTAAATGACCGGCGTCGTGGGCCGCTGAGTGGCTGGTGGGCGCCAAGCTTTGTTGCTTGTTTGTGTGGGAGTGAAACAGCGATCACGCCAAGTTCAGCCTGGTGGAGGTAAAGTTGGCCCACGGCTTGGGGAGTCAGTCGTTGCTGGCTTCAACACGTTGCCAGACGGTGAGTCCCTTAGTTGTACGGATGATCATTCATAAATTGAGGCAGGGCTTGTAATGGTTTGCGTGGATATTCCATTGACGGAGAACGAGAAGGGGACTGACGGAACCCCTGGGAGCTCGGCAGGGACCTGATAGTGGATCCCACCTGGCAAGCTCGGCAGGAAAAGGAAGGCGGGTCGGTAGGTAATCCGAAAACGGCAAGCCCCTGGCTCACGCCTGTGGGGCCTGATGTGGGATGCTTCAACCATGGCGTGGAGACATTCACTCCTTCTGTTCTGTAAGTTTAGCCACTTCTTCACTTCCTTTCCTTTATTTTTACTGCCACAGCCAGTTCATGTAATTGCTTCTCTTCCAAACGCGCGAAATCGACACGCGACTTGAGTTGAGATGGTGGCATCTCACTGGTGTCCTGCCCTTTGCATCGTTCACATGAGGACGGGGAGTTTCGAACGGCAGTCGCCCAGGACATTGTGAGCCCTGTCTCTGCCTAGGCTGTCTGATCTTACACTGGTCAGGTTTCGAAGGAACTCTGAGATCAGGATTGGGGGTGCTATATAACCTGCATGCGCTCAACCGCTAAAAGAGGCAAGTTGACGTGTTGCGCTTTCTTGAAAAGCTGCATCTCATGAATAAAATGCATGGACCCGTGGCCGGCGAGTAGTTGATGCATGTGCCGCACATTGTACTGTTGAACGTCGCCATCTCTGACTTTGAACTGAATTCTATGCAGAAACTGGTTTGACAAAGAGAATAACCGTTAGGTGCTATGCTCCGAATCCATTCCCCTCCTCCGACGTCCAACTCCCCACTCAGCCGTCGCGGCATGCCGTCGTTGTATTCGTTATCTTGGGCTACTGGCAGTAGCATGTCCCCTCAGACAGCTCCATACCTCCGCCTCCAAGCCCAACCACCGACTCCAACCAAATCTGTCCCCCTTGCCTTCTTCTCAACTCCTCGAAGGACAAACGGTCCGGTTACTAGGAGCCATGACCCCGGTGTTTACCGCATTATGTTTCGCGATGGTATGTATTGTACCAGTATAACTATTTCGGGACGGCGTATTGCTGCGTCCAAGCCCTGGCCGTTGCGATGGCGGCTTGCTCATCCTCCTTCCAGCTCTTGGCAACGTCGGCAGCCAGCGGATCGTCCGGATTGGGAGCGCCGAGAAGCGCTTGAATAGACAGGAGGATCGTTCGGATCTGTAACGCAGGGGACCAGTTGTCTAGAATCTGGTCAGCTGATGCCACCACACTCGTCGAGCGTTCCCGACACCTACTTTTCAAGACGTCAAGGCAGATGCGGCCCAACTTGTCGACGTTGGGGTGGAAGATCTTGGTCAGGAAGCGGATTTTTGGCGGGGCCATCGGGTAGTCATCGGGAAGGAACAGTTCGAGTTTGAAGATGCCGCCTGTGACGCCCGTCTGTGTCAGCCAACCGACTCGTGACCGGCCCAGATGGGGGGACAGGCTCAGAACGCACCCTCGTACGGCGATGACGAGGGGCCGTGAATCTCGACGTCGAAGTACCGGAGATTATCTTCATGGGGAACGGCACTGATTCCAGGAACTCTGTTTGCATGAGTCAAGTCAGATGCGCCCAAGTCGTTGGAGGGGCTTGGAAGAGGTCTCATACGGCTCGGCCATCAGCCTCTCCGTCTCCTTGATGATCCTCTTTGGCAGCGCCATGACGGGAATACCCGGGGAAGCCAGAAGAGAATGTGGCCCTGAGAGCTGGAGTCGTGGTGGTCGTCGGCCTGCAGCGGAATCCGAGGGATCGAGGTTGACAGGCTCGATCAAGCTCCAATGCCAGGGGGCGGGCGATAGCAGCGGATTCAGTTTAATTCCAAAGAGTGTGAATTTGAGGCGCAGGTGGCAGATGACGAGCGGCAAGTTTTGAGTGTGGAAAAGGCGTCAAATCGGGTTCCAAGTCGGTAGTTGTAAAACGACTTGACCTGATGCCGGAAGCGCAAACCGAAGGCCAAGCAAGTGGGATGTTGCCCAACAGACCCACCAAGCCATGATAAGCGCACGTGCCACTATCTGACATGGGACCTTTGCTCCAGGTTCCACTGGGCTCTCTCGGCTCCTCAGTGAAGGTATGTAGACCCACTTGGTGAAGGGGTTCGATAGTGGAAGTGGTTTTGTCCTCATGAATCCTGGTGGAATCATGATCGTGAGAGCAGATGACACAGGAACTGTCATTCTTAAATTGAGACAACTCACTGCTCTTCTACTGCCTCATTGCAGTCGGCATTTGCCGGGACCCTGCAGATGGCGGTGTTTGAGCCATTTTCGCATTTCGACGAATGAGCACGACAAGTCGACAACCAGATTTCACTTTTAAACTGGAGGAGGTGCTTCGACTCCGACTGGACTTGGGCTGTTCATCGCTGCATCGTGGCTCTTGGGCGAGGCGGCCGCCTGAGCTCAGTGCACTCAACAATGCGTGACGGCTCGTCCCGCGCTTCAACATGCCATCCTCTTTTGTCCAGCTCTCGGCTGCCCCGAAGAAAGGAAAGTCGATAAGATCAGCGTTTGAGAGCGAGAGTTTCGATGCCGATGGAACCATCCACGTCGATGGCCTGGTGGGCTCCGCAACCATCTCCCCCTCGGGCCGAGATGTAGCTCTAGCATCGTGAGAACACTCTGCCTTCCCTCCTTATACGGCAAACCACCGACTCTGCTGATCTCACACGCTTGCAGGCCTGAAGGTCTTGCCATCATCGACCTGGACTCACCCTGGAGTCCCCCGCGGAGGCTGAGCAGTCACGGCCTTCCATGGCTTGTTGTGGACGTGCAGTGGTCACCGTTTGCGGCCCGCGACTACTGGGTTGCATCCACGGCAAATCATCGCTGCCTCGTATGGAATCTCAATAAGCGGGACGACTCGTCATCGGGCGCCATTGAGCATTCCCTCCAGGCCCACAGTAGAGCCATCACCGATATCAACTTCTCTGCTCACCACCCAGATTCCCTTGCCACCTGCGCGGTAGATGGCTACGTGTACTGTTGGGATCTGCGGAGGCCGAGGCAGCCTGTGCTCGCCTTTTGCGATTGGTTTGCCGGCGCCACTCAGGTCAAGTACAATCGTCAGGACCCATTCGTCCTGGCCTCTGCTCATGACCGCTGGCTTCACATCTGGGATATCAGGCGAGCCGCTGAGCCCCTCAAGACCATCAGCGCCCATACGTCCAAGATCTATGGTATCGATTGGAACCGCACCAAATCAACCTGCATCGTTACCTGCTCTCTGGACAAGAGCATCAAGTTCTGGGACTACGCCGAGAATGATGAGGCGCCCCGGAGAGTCATTCGCACCGATTTCCCGGTATGGCGAGCTCGACATACGCCTTTTGGCCACGGGCTACTCGCCATGCCACAAACAGAGCCAGGCAACCTATTCCTATATGACCAACGCCCCGACCCCGAAACTCCCATGGATGGCACCGTCAAGCCCGTGGCTGTCTTTCCCGGACATGGCAGCCACAAGGCCAAGGAGTTCCTCTGGCGAAGCCGCGGTGGTGTAAGCAACGAAGGGATCGATAACCGGGAGTTCCAGCTGGTTTCTTGGGGCGAAGACAACGAGCTCCGCCTTCACAAGGTTGAACATGAGCTTCTAGAATCTGTGGGCCACGTCCGAGGCGCCCCACTGATGAAGAACCTCATCCTCACTCGCAAAGGTGCCACCTACAAGACCTTCCGCACTGTTGACGATGCTGTCCACCGAGATCGCAGGAACCCCACCATGAGCGATTGTCCAGGGAATGTTGGGCAACTACGCCAGAGTGCTCTCAGTATCGGCCTGGACACAGGCCTTCGTCGGGTCGGGCCATCTTGGCGAGCCACGTCCATGAAGGCGAAGACAAACACCAACAAGCACGTGGATAAGACCCAGCTGCAAATTGGTTGGATGAAGGGCATAACCATGTCAAAACGGAAGTCCAAATCCGATGCCTCCGGACGCCCAGGTCCAGACGACTCTGGTCTGTTTGGTCCTGGTTACGATAACGGCTGGGGCGAACCCGACGCAATCCAGGACGAGTTCCTGCGTATCAGCAGCCAACTTCCAAACGTCAAGTGGGATAACATCGACTGGGACAGCCTCACGCTGAATGCCTCGCTGAAGGGGCCATGGGGCGTCAATCGTGAGACTATCTTCATCAAGGTGAAGGTGGATATTCCTACCAGCTATCCCAAGACCAAGGCGCCCAAATTCTACGTCGAGAAGTCATCTTTCATGCCGGACGAGACACACCGAAAACTAGAACATGAACTTCATGAACTGGCACATCGTTTTCTGCTGCGAAAGCAGAACTGCCTTTACACGGCCTTCATCTATCTGCTTGGCGAGGCCGACCTCGAGACCAGCACTTCGTTTTTCCATAACGTCCGAGACTTTGACGACGACACGGACGGGCTGGCTGACGAGAGTTCCAGCGAGGAGGATGAGAACGACAACCCTACGGGTGGTTCCGTATCCATGTCGCAGGAACTCAGCAGCAGCACCGAATTAGGCCCTTCGGCGACCCTGGTCTCAACTCAGCGGCAGGCTGTTACTCCACTGCCTATGTTCTGCGGAGCCCGGTTTTCCAACGATGGCAGGTTGGTGTGCTTTTTCCCAACCAAAGAGGAGAAAGCAAGGGCCTTGTTCGCGCTTCCACACCCAGACTCCTCCAAGGAGCGGCCGAAAGGAGAGCCCACATTTGCTGGCTTTGGACGTCTTTCCCACGGCTCGCCACCTCCTAAGCAGCGCTTCCATGACGAAACGTCTGCAACGGACGAACAGTCGGGAGAATCAGATGACTCAGAGTCGACAACGTCGACTGACTCGGAGCCGACAACGGTGCACAAGATCAATCCGTGGTATCAGCCGGGGCGGCGCTTCCGGAAGACATGGAGCGCCAATGAGTCTATACGCTCCAGTGGCGGTGGGACCGGCGCTGGTACTGGAACTGGAACTGGCACGGGAACGAGTCGGAAAAGGCCCGGTAAACCCAAGAACGTCGTTTCCATCCATAACCTGCAGAGCGAACTGCCATCGAAGAAGCAGTTTGCTCAGGAATACGCCATCTTCGGTGAAGGGGCTGATGTGTGCAGCCACAACGCCGCCGTTGCCGAGAAATACGGATACCAGGATCTTGTCCATATCTGGAAGTATGCTGCCCTTCTGCTTCGAAGAGATATCCCCCTCGAAATACACGACCTTCACCACAGCGGCCAACCTATTCTTGTCATCGCCAAGGACGCGGTTGCTCGTGCACAAGGAGAAGACAAAGGAAAGGCTGCGATCTTTGGGTCCAGTCTGGCCGGTCGTGTGAGATGGGGCCATCACCCTTTGGCTCGAGATTTGATCAGCGATCTCTTTGACTATTTTGAGAGGATTGCCGACATTCAGATGTTAGCCATGCTGGCATGCATATTTGGCGACTACTCGATCGAGGAGGAAGCAGCCATAGCAGCATCCCATCTTCCCCAGCCCAAGACGCCGCTACCGATGAAAGCGCCCTCGTTTTCGCTCGAGTATTTCCCGACCGATCCGGCACTCTGGAACTTGAACTACAAGAGTCAAGCGAGCTCAGCCATTACAACACCAAGAACAGCCCTGACGCCGGCCGTGTACTCCGACCCGCCCAGCTCCGACGAGAAGTCGGGCTCAATCGAACCTAGGTCGCACTCATACTCATGTGGAGAAACGCCACCCAATCCTGCCCGGGAACATCTCCGAGAGATGAGCCAGACACAAAGTCTGTCTACATCTCCCAGCAACAGGTTATTTCATCGCTCCAACTCGACCGTTGCCGCCGCGATTGCTGCCAGCCTCCCCCGAGCGCTTGCTGGAATCGTGTCCGGATCCCCTCCCGATCCCATCCGGAAGAGGCTCAGCCCAGGTGAGACCATGCCAAACAACCTTACCCCGAACGCAGTCGCTTGGGCTGGCTCGAGCATGTCTGGCACTGGCCCCGATACCCCCGGAACATCGCGCACTTCCTTTTCGGATGATGAGTACTGGAAGGACGACCTCTTCTCCATGGTTCCAGTAGCCGTGTCGTGCATCCCGGAAAACCAAGGCCTCTTTGACGACGACGGTTGGATGTCGACTCCCTTGATCGACCGCAGCCATTTCCAACTGTACTCTAGCTACCGCTACACCTACGCCGAGATGCTCCAAATGTGGAGTCAGCCCCTATCCCGCCTCGAGATCATGAAATTCGACGTTCTCAGAGAAGACAAGCTCCCCGCCAGTGGAGCCACAGCCAGCAAGTACCCGGAGGACTCGGCACCAAACAACTCCCCCTTTTACCCGGCGGGTGCCACATCTCCCACCTCTCCCTTCGCCGACCGCAGGGGCTTCTTCCAAGAACTCCTCACATCAGGGCGGGGCGTAGACATCACAGGCTTCTGCCGCGTCCACCCGGGCGTCCCTCTCGAACCGGCAGAGTACCTGCGTCCGCCGCCGCCCACCCCCACCACCCCTGCCGCCACCAGCAGCAGCAGCATCAACCATACCCCCGTCGTCAACGGCGCGGTAGGCGTCTGCCACCGCTGCACGGCCCGCCGCGAGCACGCCGACCTGGTGCCCCAGACCGAGATGGAGTGCGTCTACTGCTGGGAGCCCGTCATCGGCCTGTACACGCCCTGCCTGGCGTGCGGGTGCGTCTCACACGAGGCCTGCCTCGCCGAGTGGCACGCCCTGGGCGGGTCTGAGTGTCCCGTCGGCCACGAGTGTCGCTGCGTGGAGGAGGCGAGCAGCACATCGGCGGGCAGCTGGGCTGGGTTGAGGGCCGCCTTGCTGCTCGCCGGCGGCGATGGTGGTGGTGCTGCGGCGGATGATAGGCACAGGGAAAAGGGCAGGGGGGCCGGTGGTGGTGGTGGTGGTGGTGGTAGTTCGGGCGCGGGCAGAGAGAGTGCTCCTCCCGGTTCTCCGAGGCCAGGCGGCGGGACGACGACGACGACCTTAAGGTCGGCCAAGTCCAGGCGCAAGTCGGCGCCCGCGGACGCGGCAAAGTTTCATCTCCTCCGCAGGATGCGTGACTCGGCCGGGACGCCCGTGGGTAGTACTGAAGGGTACGGCACCGAGACGGTCACCTCCTCCGCCCGGCCGATCGCAGCCGGCGATGGCACCAGGATGGGCGGGGGCGGCGGCGGTTCTCGCAGCAGCAGGAGAGGCCAGGACGACAGTGACATTGACAGGACGGACCGGCAGAGCGTGGCTTCGTCCAGTCGGACGGGTTCTGCACTGACGATGAGTGGTGTTGCGGGGGCCCTGCTGGCGGGCGTCAAGCCGCCTCCTATTCGAGGTGGGCAGCCCATTTCTGCGGCGCAGCTGAGCTTGGGCAAGAGGCTGAAGAAGCAGCTCGAGGATTCGGGGCGGCCGGGGGTGCCGAGGAGGAATTCGGGCGGGTTGGCCATGTGGAAGACGACGTCGAATGGTGGGTGATGTAATTTAAATGTAACGTTTTAAGATTTTGTCTATCGGAGCTGTACGTCAAGCTGTTGGGAATGAGTGAAATATAGCGTCGCGGAACTTTGGTGAGGCAGGGGAATTTTCGTTCGGATGTGCTGGTCAATGAACGAGTCTTGAGCTAGTTCCGCTTTGATACTATAACTTCAAGGAATATCTGACAATTCAGGGCCCTTATGAAACCGCTGAAGGGACTCTTGCTGCCCCTGACAAGTGACCATTGAATTTGAAGGGTGTGCAGTTCTGCAATATCGGTCAATATATAGCCTAGTAACTCTCCCCAACTGACAAGGCAATGAGCATGTTAAGATCACGAGATTTTCGAAAGCTCTCCTCGTCGTGTTCTTTCCGTCCCCTTACGCATGTCCGACTTACATCCCAATACAGCTTACAACCTTGGCGAACCAAACAACGGCGTATCCCTTGTCTCGTTTTAGTCTCCTCTTCGGCTCCTATTACGTCCCATTCTCAAACTAAACTCACGACCAATTCTTGGCAAAGAAGTCGAGCACCGTCTTGTATCCGCGCGTGTACTCGTCCTTGACGCGGTCGTTGGACAGGTCGGCGCGGGCGGCCATCCAGCCGTGGATCTGGTCCTTGAATGTCTCGACGTGCTTGGCGCCCTTGAGGTTGGCCTCGAACTGCTTGACTTTGTCGTCGGGCTCCTCCTTGGAGGCAAGCATGACCAGCGGCACCTTGATGCCTTTGGCGTCCTCGGGCTCGACCATGGCCGGGTGGCATTCGGCCGCGATAGAGAAAGGGTTGGCGTCACTCGAGGTGACGAGGCTGACGACCTTGCCGCCCCAGCAGAACTGGTTTTGGGATGGGAATATGTGAGTGATATGGGCTTGCTTTTGATAGGGGAAGAGAGTGGAGGTGATGTGGGGAGGAGGGAGGGGGCGAGGGGGGCGCAAGGGGGGTTGCTTACGCCGAGGATGCCCCACGATTTGATTTTGGGATACTTTGCCCCGAGGGCCTTGGCATAATCGGGCAGCTTGCCGGCCACGCCAGGGGGGGGGTTCTTGCCGAAGAAGGCCCCGAGGTTCTTTTGCTTCTCAGGGTTGTTGGGCGGGTACCTGCGGCGCCGTCTCAGATTCGACTCGCGTGGCTGGAAACGACTGTATGGGAGGAGCTCACCATTCGATAGGGCAAGGCTCGCCTTTGAACCAATCAGGGATCACAACCTTGTACTTCTGGCTGTGAGACGTAGCAAGGATGTCGGCTCCTTGGACGGTCTGGTCAAAGTAGCCAAAGATATCGTAGATAACGACGATTCCCTTGGTGGCATCAGCAGGGCCGGTCACATCTGAAGGGAGACGCAGTCAATCAGCCGGCTGAGTCAATCATAGTAGATGCTCAGGGGAAAACGGGGCGTACATGTCTTCAGACCATCAACCTCGTCGTAGGTCCCTTTGGCGCTGTATCCGGTCGATACAACCGGGGGAATGTTGCAACAGGCCTCATTGTGGCCGTGGCTCGCTGGCATAGTCGACATTCTGGCGGATGATGGAACACCTGGGCTGAGAGAACAATGTCTTGTGTATGGCCGGCGGGAGGAAGGCAGAAAGCGGCAGATGCTGGCGAGACGGCGGGTGTAAGTACTTGTCCCTAGTCGTTTCAAGACGACTCTTGGAGAGAGTGCGGGGTAGTAGGCTGCGCAGCGAGCAACAAGACGGAGCTGATTGAGAGCGAGCATACCTTTGGAAATTTGGTGAAGTGTCTCTCTGTGTGACTATTTGATATACAGTATCTCGAGATGTAGCCACGACTTTGAAGAGAAACCTCCAAGTTGTTTCGTCTCGGTTCGTTCCAACTAGAAGTTGTAGGGGCCATGCGGGGTAGCTCCGTGGCTTTTCATCAACTCCAGAAGCTCTGATGTCACTTCCTGCATTTGCCGAAGCCGACAACCCATCATCGCTCGGCTGGCGGAGCTTCAAACCCCGCAGCCCGCGGTCCTCATTAACTGATACAGGCCTAGATTTCATGGCGAATTCCCCTTGACTCCCATCTGTGCACAAGCAGCATCCCTTGATGTTAATTACAAACAGCCAAAAACAAGGGGAACAGAAGGCAACGCAAACGAGAGGGTGAAGTTCCCTTGCGACGTTGTCCTCCAGCCGGATCTCTATCTCAAGGTTCACGTGCTAATCATATATCCCGACTTCCTCATATCCTCCACGGTCTTTATTACCACCTGGATTTCGGCCTCAAAGCGCAGCGTTGTCCATATCTCGGAGAGAGGGATCCATTTCGCATCCAGCTTCTCCCATTCTTCCTGCGTCCCAGCGTCCCGAGCGTCGGTGCACTGGGCCGTGGCCGCAAAGAAGTAGACGATCTTCAGCGCTTCGGTTTCTGACTGCGGATCGGGGTACAAGCACGCGCCCACGAATTCATTGCTTGGATGGCCTTCGGTGATGTTGGGCGGCTTCTTGGATGTATCCGAGTGGTGAGCCCTCGGCGGAGTCGCTCGCGTCGCGACGTCGAGCTGGACCGGCGTGACGTGGAGGCCCGTCTCCTCGTATGTTTCCCGAAGAGCCGCCGAGAACATGGTCTCGTTGATGTTTCTCCTGCCCTTGGGGAGCTGGAAGAGCTTCAGCCGGTCGTTCCAGATGACGAGCAACATGCCTCGCTCGGGATCAATCGTCACCGTGCCGCAGGACATGCCAAGCGCACTCGCCGGTCGGAACACCATGCTCTTGTCGACTTCGTCTAGCCAGAGCCTTAGCTCTGACTCGTCTGAGCCGGGCCGGGGCTGGGGCCGTACCATTGTTGGGGCCTGTGATGACTCGAACGTTGCGGAAGAGGCAAGATGGTGCCCATACGACCCGATGAGCTGTAGGAGGCAGGCGACTAGGCAATTATTCTACACGTCACCCCGGAACTGAATGAACAATAAGTGCCGCGATTGTTCAAGAGCAGGCGTTGGGGTGCTCTTTATGCTCGGCTGAGGTGGTCTCCTGGGCGGTCGGTCCCAAGGTGGCCAATAAGCCTCGTGCTTCCACGCAACATGGCGTTTTTGTTCTTCCCATGTGGCCAAAAGAGTGCATGGCAAACCGCTGCACTTAACGCCCGACCGGTGAGCATACAAGACAGGGAGGGTATGCTCGAAGCCCCCACCGCATGCAGGTCGACAGAAGCGCTGGCGAATCACGGTTTCACACAGGGCCCAGGCATCGGGTGTATCGACGCTAAACCCTAAGTTTCCGGGACCCCAACCGCCCAGGAAACTCCGGAGTTTTCGGAATGCAACCTGACGTTGGGCTTCTGGGCGGCTGCAGCATCAAATCGCGGGAGCTCGGGCGTTTAGTTCGAAGATTTATGCATGAGCACCGGGCTGGGCCAGGTCGCCTGCCGCATTGGGGCTCAAGCCGGTCGTTTTCTCCAGACATTGTAAAGCAACGCCAATCAGGGACCCCTTTGTTGTCACATCGAGCCTGCGATCCAACAGGGGAACTGCCGAGCAAAGATACCCTTGACACATGCCACCCTAGCCCCGACCGGTGAGCCCACCCCTTGCACAAACATGGCGGTAGTACTCGGTCCTTGTCCCATTTGAAACACCACGAGGTGCCATCCAAAAAAAGGTGTCATCGCCGTGGCTGAAATACCTTACTCTCACCGGACTCTGATCGTCACTGTGTGCTCGTCACACCCCGATTGGAATCAACCGCAGACGGGTCAGCTGTGCTCCAAGGTGGGAGCCACCTGCGACGGCCGTGAAACGGCCCAATCGTTTGGTGAGCATCTCTTGCCGCTGCACATCTTGCATCTTCCCACCCTTGTTGCATACGCAGCTGTCCCACACACCAAGGGACGCCGTTATCAGAGGCAAGGGCAGAGAGGCCATGGCCGTTGGGGACCTGTTGAGATGGCAGATGGAAGTGCAAGCTCAGAGCCTCGGACAGAAGGTTGTGGGTTACTGTATGAGTCCTGGCGTGGATTGCTTCACCTCTCCCAGGATAACACATGGCCGATCAAACGATATACCGCAAAGTTATATCTTGTTGGCGATCAAAGCGTTCCCTCTCTTCGTTTTGGACGATATCCTGTCTTTGGCACCGTTTGCTTGATAGTCAAGAAGGTGAACTTGTCGCCCCTACTCAAGTCGGGAAAAGCCTCGCTGGCGCTGGAAATCGTCCCTGACTTGGGGAAGTGTCCTTCCCAGATCTCATCGTTGACCGGCACCACGGACAAGCCCGCCACCAGGCGAGACTCATTCTTTCCAGTCTGGTTTGATAGTCAAAACGCTCCAGTCACCGGTACTTAGATCAAGCACTATCTGCACCGCCCCAAAAATAAGCGTGCACAAGATGCTCCTCTATCGCGCTCGAAATTTCCCAAACTGTCAGCCACTCCGTGGGTCTGCGGCCCGGTTGCTGCACCCGATGGTGGTAAGGGCTACCAAAGAGGTATATAACGGCGATGACCTTCCGCTCTTCCTTGCACGAAATGCGTCTGTCCGATTTCGAAGGCAGCCCGGGCTGACACCTCACAGCCCGCTCCACCTTTCTCCTTCCATCCCTCCTTGGTGAGATTCCAACGCATTTTCCAGGTTGATTCCAATCTACCCTATCATGCATGACCGTCCGACGAGCATACCCATAGGGCCAAGGCAATGGACTGTCGCTTGCGTGTCGAGCCGCTGATTATCATGCCTACCAACCTTGACCGGATTTTCCGTTTCCCAAGCCGGTAACCCGAGGGCACCGCCTCTGCATCTCGGCTCGGCTACCAAGGCCAACGGCAAGCCTCAACAGGCTGTTCCAGCGGCCCGCGGCCCGTCAACCTACCTTAGGTATGCCGTCCTGCAAGCTCACTTTGCACGGTTGCATTCCCACCCGTCCCGATTCTCTGACGTGCAGCCTATAAGGCAGAGAGAGAGGGACAAGAATGGTAAACAGATGATTATACAGGCCGAGGCCATCTGTCAAGTTCGCAGCGGGGTAAGAGGGGGCTGGACGGCGGGGG